GGCGAGGTGCAGGGGCTGGAGGAGGGGTGGCGGAGGGGGGTTGGGAGGGTGTTGGAGACGGAGGTTGCGGCTGAGGGGGTTCGGAGGGAGGTGTTGGAGAGGAGGAGGGAGGGGGCTAGGTGAGATGAAATGGATTGAGAGGGTGGGGTGTGGGTGAGAAGGCACTTTTAAGGGAGGGATGGAGGGAGGGACTAGGAAGAATGAATGGTCTTGGAAGAGGGAAATAGAGCACTAGAGATGGAAAGAGTGCATTTGGCGTTTAGGAGTTCATAATGTACTGCTATTCTAGCATAATTGTAAAACATGATACCACTTCACGAATGAAAAGTCGGTTGAACGTTGCTTGAAATTATCAAGCTCTTTGCGTAAAAGGTATCCCAGCCACCAAAACCTAACAATGTCTCAAGAACGAACGTAACCCATGTTCAACGCCTTAAACCTCATCCCAACCCATTCATAACAAATTTGGCAAAGGGTCATTTACTTCTTCTGAAGAGGATCAATTTCCTCAACACCTTCATCATACTTGGTCCTTCTCATAATACTCTCGACTGGTCCTAGAAGTCTCTGGAAACCGTCCTTGCCCAGTGTAGCAACTTTGACCTCCGTTTTGCTGATGACGCTGGCCGCACGTGGAGCGTCATTTAGAAGAGCAAGCTCTCCAAAGTAATCGCCTTTGCCATATTGCTTGACGGCTTTCTCGACGTCATTCTTGAAAGCCTCTGCCTCGCCACTCTCTAAAAGGTAGAATGCCTCACCAGCATCGCCTTCCTTGATGATCGTCGTACCAGCTGGAAACTTCTGGGCTTCCAGAGCATCTGCAATCTTCGATCGCTCATACTTTGTAAGCGTGCTTAATATTTTCACTTCTTCGAGGAAGCTTTCATAGAGACGGCGGCGCTGGAACGTCGAGTCCATGAGAATTCGGCGGAAAGTGATTCGGTCAAGAGCCCACAAAGTAGAGTTTGCTTCAGCAGACATGACGGTTGCCGCTCTTGGAGCATTGTACATAAGAGCTAGTTCTCCAAATGATCCACCTTCCTCAATGGTGGCAACCTCGGTTCCTAAGCCCTCCGGACCTGGTTGTAGAGAGCCACTGGGGTTAACGTATACTCCAAATGAACCTTTTTCAACGACATAGAAGAAGTCGCCTTCATCGCCCTGGGTAATGACCTGAGAAATGTGTTAGTACCTAGAAACTAGATGTATATACCTTGCTACATTGACTAAAGCGTACATACCTTGATGCCTTTGGCGGGGATAGCTTTCTCTACCAATGCACCCAAGACCTGTCCGCTTTGCTCGTCATCGAGATGGCTGAACAAAAAGTTTCCGGAGATTGACTTCTGCAGCCTTGTAATTTGCTCTTCGGTCTTCTGGTGATATGGAGGGGTCCAATGATCATTAGACGAAGCGGTGGGATTGAGTGATTCGGCCGAGACGGAAGTACGTCGTCCCAAGCCATAATGTGCTGGGAAGCCGTCTCCACTCGTTTGCTTGAATGAGGAAGGCGGACCTTCGCCAGCCGCATCTCCACCGAACGAGGATCCAAATGTTGTATTGCTAAAGCTTGGAGCCGTGGGCGATGCCAATGAATCATTCTCGTCTTCCTCCATGACCTTGCCAATTGCACCCTTCTTCACTTGCTCGGGTGCCTCTCCGCCAAAAGGATTGGGATTTGTACCATGTCGACCTGGGAAGGTATGGCCGGACATCTTGGAGGTTTGGTCTGGGGGCGAAGACAAAAGAAATTCAGCACGTTGTGTTTCCAGACGCTTTGCAAAGAAATTGGCGCAGAACTGAAGGATATCAGTGGGATGCGACTCGGAGACTTTTGTATTCAGCGACTGGATCTCTTGAAGATATGCGGCTGGATATGACATTCGACTATAGGTCGAATGGATGGATGTGTTCAATTTTTGTTGTACTTGCTGTGTGCGTTTGAACTATGAGGACTAAACGGTGACTGGAATCGAAGAGGAAGAGACGGCACCGAGGGGTTGTAGGAAGGCGTGGTCCAAGCTTCGGAGGGTGTAGGGCTGTGTTCGCAGAGATTAGCAGTTGTCATGCAGTGAAGGAAGAATGAAGAGGAAGAAAGCACCAGTCCCTTGAAGGGATGTCGAACTGGAAGGAGCGTCTTTGGTAGGTGTAGTTCTATTTGTTGTGACCTCCAGCAACTGAGGCGAATATATTGCGTGCCTTCAGAAGCGGTGTTGACTGACTGGAAGGCGGGGCGGGGCGGGGCGATGGACTTACGATTAAGCTCTGGTTTAGCAAATTGTTGGAGGGGAGTAGTTGAAGCACGTCGGTACTGGTGCAGCTATGGACTTGGCAGAGACGTGTAGATGCAAGTAGGTGGGAAGTAAGTATATCAAGTTGTTATCATCTGAAGGTCTTCAGAAGAAGGGAGGGGTTGCGACCAAATTGCAAGCGCGAGTGCAAGTGCAAATGCAAGTGCAAGTGCAAGGCCAGGCCAGGCAAGGTGAGACGGATCCCTCGCTAAGAATACTAAGTAGAGTAGATTTGGAGAGTTACAGGAACTCGGCGGGGATTCGGTGGTGCGTGCGTTGGTGCACGGAACAACACAAGGGCGACGGTGATTGGATAGACCGGCACTTGGCAGGTATGCGGCTTGCTTCGGAGAGATGGAAGCCTTCTAGAAGAATTCTAGAAAAGGCGTAGAAGAGAACAAGCTTCAGTGTGCATGTCAGATGTCAGATTTCAGACGAGAAGAGAGTATGATTGCGGCAAAGAGCTTCGAGTTTGCTTTCCAGTTGTGATGCACGTCCACGGTACATACATTATGCTTGGGCATGCATATGTACCTAGGTATGTCGGTACGTACTGTATACCAGGTATGTAGGGTATACCCAAGTATGGCGATAAGCTTGGAAGAACCAACAACTTGGTCGACGCAGCGTAGGATGGCGAGGGGACCATCTATCTCGCGAGAACTCACCTGTTATCAAAGCCTTAGCTGCTGATCCTAAGCGTTCAATCACCGATATCGAGTATAAGATAGCCTTATGAAGAGGTAGGTTTGCACGAATGTTCAAGTTTGAAAAGACGAGAGAGGAGGAGAGGAGGAGAGGAGAGTAGGGAAATGGGAGGCGGGGTAACAGAAATACTTCTTCAACAAAGACTGGAACATCGGCTAGAGATCATTATTTTGCTTTCCTCCATGGCTGGACTAGAGTCAGTGTTGCTTGAATTGTCTCGGGCAGCCCAACTAGTTCCCAACAGCCCTTTTATCACTACGGTAGCTATCTTGAGTACCTGTATAGTTTCCTGAGAGGCAACTTTCACGTAATTGCAATACTGATACGTACCTAGGTAGGTATTCATATCAGAAGGTACCAAGCGTATATATAGGAAGGTATATTTCCAAAAAGAGATATCTCGTAAACGAGGACCAAGCCAGGTCTCTAACAGAAATGTTTCACTTGATAGTACAAGTATTAGAAGGGTTTATCCCTATTCGATTCCTCGGTCTACTTATACGGTATTAATGTTGCGCTATCTGCTGATTCGAAATCGGAAATTAGAAGGCGTTCTTGATGATAGCTGTAAATAGCTCAGCTCGAGCTTCCCCTCTCTTCGAGAACGACAACAGTGTGTCTGGGATGATGAATTGTCAGCTTGTACCTAGGCTAGGTAGGTAGATACTGTAAAGCATTTACTATACTTCAATCAAAGCTGATTGAGTAGCATTCTTAGAGCTATATACTTCAAAAGAAAGTCATCAGCGTAGTTGCAAGATCAATAATTAATAACAGAATTTGGACGTTATAAGTTAGAGCTTCCGGGGTACCTGGAGCTATCTCTCGGCTCCACCAGCTCAAGCAGCTGTGCACACTCTCGGGTCAGGTCTCCATTTCCAACCTGCATCTGCATCATCGCAATTGCAAGTCAAACAAACCCTACCTTAATCCCATCACTTGATACATTTGCGTCGCATCGCATCGCATCGCATTTCTCTTTTCTCAATTGTCTCTACCTTTGTCCGTCGAGTGCACGCCTCTTCCGTATCTGCCTAAGGTAGCTCGTTCTCGTTCACCAGGCCAGGGCAGCACCATTACCAATTTTCCCGGCTCGACAAAGACTCCTGCAGAATCGAAAAGACGAGCCACCGAGACCAACCTCCCCAAATTACATTTACCCCCCACCCCGTTTCTTGTTGATATTGATTTGTGTGGCCTCGATCATTATACCCTCTACGATTCCACTCTCGACGACTCCTTCGAATTAATCAACCCTACATAATACCATCGCAATTATGGGAAGCTTTGTCTTCAAGTGGTACGTTACTTGTCTCTTTCACGGGCCCCAACGCTGGATCAGGGGGTTGAGAATGAGATGAGATGATCCGTCGCACTCTGCGACAGTTCTTCTACGTCGAATTCAAACTGAATCTAGCTTCGCGCTCTCGCTCGCTCGATCATGTTTTGTCCCAGACCAGATCAATGACTTTCTCACCCAACTTGGCTGACATGTTTCGTTTCCAGGGAGCATCCCGCGTCCGAGGTCTATGTCACCGGTACCTTTGACGACTGGTCCAAGACAGAGAAGCTGGTCAAGACTGGCGATGTCTTTGAAAAGAATGTGACGCTACCAAGTGCGGCCGAGAAGATCTACTACAAGGTGCGTAACACGACAAACAACTCTCCTTCAATTGGTGCCGGTCAAGCTTTCTATGGTTTTATGGAGGATACAATTCAAGATCACCTTGGCTACCTTGCCTTACTGTACGATGGGTGGTTATCCATCCCTTTTCTTTGCAGAGACGATATCTCGTAGGATTCGTCTGCGTGGGTACCTAGGCTAGGCTCCTAGGTACCTATGCTATGGTGAGAAAGCTTGGCGAGACGTGCGTCATCCTCGCAGTTCGCGCCGAGAAGCAAGTACTTCGAACCTAGCTTCTTGTACCTACACTGGCGGTACGAGTATGACGTACTCCGTAGTGGGAAAAGGAAAGTTTGCAGGGTCACCCGCTGGAGAGGCTGCCAGTCAGGTTGGATTGCGAATTTGCGACCATCAAGCTTGCATCTCCCGCTTCCACCCACCTTGTCGCCTATTTCCACCTCCGCCCCCCCCCCCCCCGCCATATAAGCTCTCTCTTAATTCTCCTCTCGATCCTGACAGAACCACCATCGCGCGCAATTGTTTCTAGAACTTCATTGCAACGCCTTTGCTAATCTGACTCTACCTTCCAGTTTGTTGTTGACGGCAATTGGGTCACCGACCACACGGCTCCTCAAGAAAACGACGCTTCAGGCAACCTCAACAACGTCCTCACTACAGATCGCATCATCAAGCACACTCCCGAAACAGCCGGAATCATGTCTGGAGTAGCACCAACCTCTACAACCAGCCACTTGGCAAAGGATGTTCCTCTCGAGAAGGCTCCTCTCGAACAAAATGGATCGTCAGACCTGCCAGGCGCCTTTCCCGAGACTCCTGCAGCCACAGAAAGGGCTGAATTCTCCGTCAACCCCCTCCCAGCCGCAGACGGTGCAGTGAACCCCATTCAGCTGGCACCCGGCGAGAAGGTCCCAGCCCCAAGCGACTTCACCACAAATACTCTCACTTCTGGGGTCCATGATGATCCTGAGCTTGTCGCGGCAGACAAAGAGAAGAGTGAGTCTCAGACTTTTGGTGTTTCGCCTCTTCCAGCTTTCGCTGGTGCTGTCAATCCAGTCAAAATCGCGCCGGGAGAGAAGATCCCCGAACCGAGCTCATTGACCGCCAACACGATTACTTCTGCCGTCCGTACCGACAAGGAGTCGTACGAAAATAGCGGTGCTTTGGGACATGCTCCCGTACTACCTCCAGTTGTCACCCCTCAAGCTGAGCGGGACCAAAATGGCACCGGAGTTCTCGATCTTCCTCCTATTTCTAGCGCCTTGATTCCGGAGTCAAGCTTACCAGTGGGAGCTACAGGAGCTGGTACTTTTGATGCTAGCCCAACGATACAATCGTCGGGCCCTCAAAGCACCACAGCAAACCTTGCCGCAAACGTCCCACTTGAATCTACAAAGGTGCCTGAGATTGTGAAGGAGAGTCAGGCAGAGGCTGGATTTGCTCCAGAGGCCAGCGCGGTACCGGAGGAAGTCAAGGAGAAGAGTGCGGTCGAAAAGGAGCTTTTGAAGGAAGTCCCAACTGCCCCATCAACTGCAGAGGGCACTGGTGGCCAAGGGACCGACAAAACCGAGAAAGGCGTTGTAGGCGATGTTGCTGCTGTTGTTGGAGGCGCCGCTCTTGCTGCTGGTGCTACTGCCGCTGCCTATGCTTCAGGGGCGGCGAGCAAGCTCCCAGAGTCAGTCACGAGCAAGTTACCAGAGTCTGTTCAGAACTCCATTGCCTCTATTAATGCCAGTTCAAGCTCTGGTCCAGCAGCTACGGCCATTGATACCCCAGAGGTTGTGAAGGAGTCGATCGCCGAGTCTGGACAAGCCCCTGAAGCTGCTGGCAACGAGACGGCTGTTTTGGATAAGGCAGCCGTGGAGAAGGAATTGCTGTCTGAAGTCAAGCCAGCAACTGCAACTGGCGAATCTGCACCTACAAGCAGCAGTCTGAAGGCAGCGGTCGTGGCTGGCAAGCAGCCCGAATCACGCGACATCTCACCTGGAACGGTTCCAGGTTCCCATACCGAGACCCAAACTGCACCCACTGTCACCACCGGTGTAGCTTCTGCCACTACCGAAAAGAAGAGCACACCTGCAACCCCAGCGAAGTCCAGCACCAAGGCCCCCGAGAGTCCCGCCAGCTCCACTGCCACAGATAAGAAAAAGAAGCGGACCAGCATCTTTGGGAAGATCAAGGCCAAGCTTCACAGCAAAGACTAGATGATTGTTTTGAAGTGGACGACAAGTGAGGAAAGGGGGCACATGACGTAATATTAGGTGCCGAGGCCCAGCTTTTCGAGGTGTACGATAGGTAGTAACAGTGTTGCTTGATCCCTATCTCGACTTAATGTGAAGGAGATGCAGGAGACAACGATGGCTCTGCTTGCTTGCGGTTTCTCGATGTTTCGTTTTCAATCAATACCAATTCTTTTTTTGCTTTTGCGTGCATGGGTGGGTCAGTCATATTTTGCTCCGAGCTTATATTACGTTTGTTGTTGAAGAGATGGATGGATGAATGCAGAGATGGAGAGTTGTTTTTGGAAAAGATAAAAAGAGTGCCGAGTAGTCAGTCTACGTCAATAATGAACTACATTTTCACTTTAAATCTGGCGAAATAGTCAAATAGCTACGAATTAAGCCATTACATTTTCAATATTTGAGTCTACGAATAAATGAATCACTCCACTGCCCGTATACTCTAATTCACTAATCCATAAACTGCGATTGTCATGATGTGGTCTACTATGATTTCCTCACTAATTATAAGATCAGCCAATTACATAGCGGCCCAATTAATTAATGATGGCTATTTAACGAGTCACTATGTGTATACCAACAAATTCCATAATTGGTGAGTGAATTATAGCAGATCTTTGTTTTTTGATTCATTGGTTGATTGATTATACATGACCGAAATTTGACATTATGGTATAATGCTCTACCACACTGTAGAGATCTAACTAACATGCATATATACATATATGCATACACACATGTAAATGCAAGGGTATCATCGCCAGCCATTATTACGCCCATTCATTAATCCGCTCGCTCGCTCGTCATTCATGCATTCCTGAAAATGAAAATAAAACGCCATCAGTCATTAATGAGAAGGGTTGGTGATGATACAATGCACGATGAAGGAAATAGCGAAAGAGCAATATGTAGGTGATATGAGATAGATGTATATAAGGAAAGAGACGAGAAGGATGAAATGAAATAGGAAAAATAGGAAAATTCCAACATTAGTCGAGTCGTTTCTTGTCCCAACCCCATCGTGATCATCAAACATGAATGAAATGAAACCCGTGTAATATGTCCGCTAGCTAGCCCCATGATCTGATAAAAAGTTTAAAAAGTAAATAGGAAATGGAATGGAAAGAACACCGGTTGTTGCACATGTGATGCTCCGCCTAGAAATGCATGCAAGAGAAGCCCGTGATAAGAAGATGAAGACGAAGGAGACGGAAATATAAATGGGGTATGAATGAAGTGTAAGGAAATGAAAGACATGCAGGCGGAGGAGGGTATCGAGGTAGAAAGAAAGAAGTGAGGCGAACAGAACCAAACGGAACGGCACTGAGGTAATTAAAACCACTTCCCCTTTCCGCTCTTCGAGATCTTCGACAAGATGCCAATGCAATCAACAAGCAGACTGCACGTCCCGCCCACACTCTCGAGCTCCAAGCGTTGCCTCACGGCCGCGATGACGCCCGAGGTATCGCCTTTGAGACTGGCCGTCTGGTTGACCAACAAGTCTTCGACGCCAAGCGCGAGCATGCCTTCAATATACGTAAACGCTTTCAGCCGCACCCCATCTGCGGACGGGACTTGGGGTACGTCGTCACCCATGGCGCTGAGAGCACTGGACGAGTTGCTTCGTGAGATAGTGGCGCTGCCGTTGCCGCTTGTGGAGATGGAGGTCTGGAAGCGGTGGCCGAAGGCCCAGCAAATTAGCACGCAGACGTAGACGCTCCAGTAATCGGTGATGCAATTAGCTTGGCAGTTGAGAGTGAGTGATAGGACACGGCAGGCGTGCTGGGTTGCTTGTGCGGCGGCAATGGATGAGGACCAAATTTTTAGACGTTGCGAGGCATCGTTAAAGGCAGATGGAGGCGTGATCTTCTTGCCAAAGATCCAGGTGTCGCCTGCGATGGCGAGCAGATCATGTAGAGGTGTGTGGTTGAGGGCGAGGTAGGTTAGAGCGAGTGGCGAGGTGGGGAAGAGTGTCTCGAGGCTTGCGACGCCGGGATGGTAGAGTTGGCGATCAGTCAGGTAGATAGAGTCTTCTCGGGTTGGCAGTCGATTTGCAAAGAGCGATACAGAGAGGTTTTCAGAGTAGGGAGTTCCACCGAAATTGCTCTGAGCGGTTAGGTTATGCTCGATGAATTGAAGCTGCTGGGGGCTATAGTTTGATTGGGATTGCTGAGCTTGCCATTCGGATGAGGTAGTGGCAGTCCAGAGGCTTTCCAAGCAAGGTTGGTAGAAGTGCCCAGGATTGATACGGGAGGCTTTGGAACGAGGCTGCTGGTGGTAGATTGACTGGTGTACGTCGAAAACGAAACATGCACTGAGAAGACGTTGGCGGGCTTCATTGTCAACCCATTGAAGCCACTCGCTCTGGGCATCTTGGCTCTGATTGACTTGGTTATTAGGTTGCGCCACAAATCGGTCGAGCAGAGACTCGACCGACGGAGCAATGCCTGGGCTAGTGCAAGGTGTTGGGATATAATCTTGGCCAGAGCTTTCAAGTAACTGTAACATGTCAGTCTTGGTCTATAAAATGATCGCCATTCATTTCTTAGGAAGATGAGGAGTTCAACTTACCCTTCTGTAAAGTGCTTCGAAAGGTTTTGACAATCGTACTATGGGTTTTCGCCCTCGGAACAGTGTGAAGATCTCAGTAAGGAGTATCGCTTGCATGGTGTTGAGATTCCATGTCGGACACTGTGGTACTGGTCAACGTGATGTCCTATTCCATTATAATACTCGAAATATATTCTTTTCATCTCATTTATTTCCTGCTCACGGGAGGGGTTTACAAGTAGACTTACTAAATCAAAGGATTTTCTGCAAAGTTCGTTCAATTCAGATCCTGCTGTTCGTGCTTCGGGAGTATTTTGATACTGGCTGCCAATGGCTGCCATTGCGGAGGTAAGAAGGTGGTTGTCTTCATTAGAGATAAAAGAGGGACGGTGAACGATTGGGAAAAGAGTGTGGAAATATTGCCAATAGCTTATTAGGTAGGTGTTGAGGTGCGGTTGTGCTTGGTAATTGGTCAGTTTGGTACTGTTTGCGTTTATTCTTCCTAGTTGTTTCTTCGCTCTTGGCGGATTAATGCTTCCCAATCTGGCGTTGGATACTCGAGAAGGGGACGCTGAAGAAAGTTGAGCGATTGATTTATTATAAGTCGAGAGGGCTGGAGTACCCACTGATTCCATATACGTATAAGCTCCATATGAATTAGGCACATCCAATAGTTGGTTCCGACTTGGTGGCGTCATTCGAGGAGGAGTATAAGTTGTTTCATATTGGTCAAGAATTGAAGGATCAAACGGGGGATCTCGCATATCTTGCGGCGTAGTAGTAATTCCGTGAGGAGACCACTGGGTTGGTGCGGCTGATACTGCCCAGTCAGCGACTGAAGGGGATCGTCCTCGCCATTGGCGGCCGTTTCGAGGTCCATCAGAATGATTGGAGAAAGAGCTGTCAGAAGCGGATGAGCACCATGGAGAATTTTCCTGGGTGTAGGAAAGGCTAGGTATATAGGGTTCTCCTGGAATTCTCAGAAGCGGCAATGGTTGTGCTCGGGTATAGTCGAAGGACTGGCCGTCTCCTGACTCAAAGGCCAACCCTTCAAACGAGGATGGGGTTGACTGAGAGAAGTCATTTTGATTTGGCAGATCCGCAATGGTCCCAGAGAAGCTTCCCGGATTCATCTGTTCGAAGCCTACCGGTCGCCTAGTAGAGGGAGGAGATGTCGCCGTGTATGAACCAGATTCACGAAGCTGAGCCTCGCTTGCCGATCTTTTGTTAGATGGCGGCGTCGACGGTCCAGGGGAATAAGTATTTACAGGTTGAAAGTTGGGAACAACTGTTTCAAAGCTTGTGCTAGTCATGGTACTATCTCCACTTGCAGAAGTTCTGGGAGTTGAGGAATCTGTAGTTGAGATCTGGTTCAAAAGGCTGCCTTGCGCTGGAGTTTCCACTTTTAAAGATGGGGGTTGACTCTCAGATGCGCTTGAAGATGCTCTGCTTCGATTTCCATCTTTGTACGGCCCCTCTCCTTGCGTTTCACTATTATAATGTCAGCTACTTCTACCAAGAACTCGTCTAGACTGCCTACTGTCGATGCATATGTCTTGTTAGTAAATCCGGTCTGTGAAAAGCCCTCTCGCAATCTTTAAAAGTGCACGCATATGCAGGCTTCTGGTGGCTCAATTGATGGCGCCTGTTCAGATTGATCGTTAGAAATAGCCCATTGTACAATGCCAATCATGGTCATCTCACCTTAAGTGCTCGGCCCTTGTGAACGTCTTTGCACAGATCTCGCAGGTATGAACAGGAACTCCTTTCTTTGCTCTGCTAATACGGCCTGTAACAGGCGTGTACTTGACAGGAATTTCTGCTCCCGAATCTGAAACTCTCGGGCCCTGTAGAGATGTGCCCGACGCGCTTGCTTGGTTCGACCCTGAGGTCTGATATCCCGAAGTGAAGTCCATTGCCTCCCCAGTGGCGCTACTACTTCGGCGTGGTACGTTGGAGCGTGAAGCTGCTGGAGGAGTCGTCGTCTTTGAGACTCGATTGGACCTGCGCCGCTTAATAGGTGCCTTCCCTTTGTTGTTGTTACTGTTGTCGTCGTCTTCAATGGATGGCGAAGGAGTCGTGGAGGATGGGGCAATGGAAGGAAGTGAGGCTTTTTGTAATGCGGCTTCCCTTGACCTTCTATAGGCTTCTTGGGACTGAAGAGGCTCCACATCATCGACATCCATGATATCTTTAAGACTCGACATGTTGAACGAATTGGGAACAAAGACTGGTGGACCCTTACAGCCTTGCTTGCACAGCCTTCTGGAATTGATTTGATCCGGGGCCAAATCTCAGCGCAGGTCGATTTGGTGTAGACAAGGCAAGTCTGGTAAGAATCTCGTCTGGGGTAAGGCCTAAAAAGGTATGGAAAGAAGTTTACTCGGTATCTCCAGTATTCTTAGACGTTTGCGCAGTATAATACAAAGATAGAACGTATCGTGGGGCATTGCTGAGCTTTCCGATTATGTGTACAGTAGGGTACAAGAGAAAAGTGGTGGAGAGAGAGGGAAAGAGGTTTGGATTTGGGAGAGGCTACTGTACAAGCCACCCATGTCAAGTAAGCGGACTGATAGAGTTAGTTCTCACTATCCTTGTAAGGGAACCCAGCAAGCCGTACAAGCCTGTCGATACGTAAGTCCCGAATAGGTTTTAGACTGCAGCAGGGGCTGGCGGGACAATCCAGAAATAGCCCCCTAATTAAGCGCTCTGGCCAGTTGAAGCGTGGAGCCTCTGGAGAGCCACTCACTGTACGAGTGGGAGAGTCAGGAGCGTCTTCCCCTCACACCCTTCATGACCATGATAATCCACCATTATGATCGGTAGTCGCTGGTCTGCGACTGCTTCGAGTTGAAGGTCAATCGCGCGCGTGTAGATGCCACTTAGCGACAGACTCGATTATCTAGTCAGAGTGCCTAAACTAGATCGACAGGGACAAAAATCCAGAAATGTAAAGTGGGAGGGACCTATCGTACTTCGTAACAGTACGAAGATGCGAAGATGCGAAGATGCTGTACGAAGTACTGTACCAACTGCTGCAGAAAGAACAGTGCGGCACGAAGTAGCCAGGCCCGATGGCTCCCCGGGAAAAACTCTCGTGGCATGGAAGCGCTAAGTTGGCAGCCACCCACTGACTCGAGCCCTGGTCCCAGTACCGAGAATCTCTCCTGTGCGCATCTTTTACTTCGACGAGGTACTGTACTTCGTACCGTGCCTTTTCAAAATAACCCAGAGGCATCTATGGTACTCGCGGCTATCATCGTCATTGCCATGGGTAGTGAGTGAGAGAGAGTGAGCACTCCATAGGCAAACTGCGCGCTAACGCAAATAAACGCGCAGTCTGCTGTGAGTAACCTCGTATGATTGGGCTTCAGTACTACAGCGGGCATTCTTTTGGAAATTATAATACAGTACAGTAAGACAGAAATCATCAGAGTAGGGAGGGCACTGGGAATAGCACCCATGTACGGCAAGCCTGCAATGCTCCCAAGACGGTCCGTTCTCTAGAGTTCCCCTGTCAGTGATCCTGGCCTACCACGCGTTTCATGCCTGCTCGCGCATACTGTAAAAGGCACATTACTGGCCAACGCGTGCTGGGGGTATTGAGGCGGAGGAACCCAGTAATAGCAATGTAACCCCTTCCAAATTTAGAATCAGAACTTTCCGGTCGCATCGAATATGGGGATTTATCCTCCAAGAAATCCTATTCTGTACTTTGGGTTATATTAATAATCTTCGCCTACGTCCGCGTCGAGGCGCACGTTGAAATAGGAATGCAGATGCCTGCATACTACAGTATGCTGTGTAGAGCAGGAGAAGAAGCGAAAGCGAAGATCTGAAAATCCTAACCAGACGTTTGCGGGAACGCTCCGCACCGTCCCTCGAAAGACCGTGCATCAGCCTTGACCCCTTCCTATCTCGTCGACTCTGAAACCCAGGTATGGGGTAGACTTACTCGAGTACAGCAGGTCCACGAGGCTACGAGGGATGATGGTCCATGCCATGGTGGGGGTGTTTTGATTCCTGACTACTGCAGTATCGGTGGAATGATCTTCTGCTTGGGTACATACTATACGAGTACCAGATCCGGGATCGAAATAAATATCAGGGTGAGAGGTAGAGATTGAGGAAGGCGAATTTAAACTTTGATCCTTTGGCCCCATCCGAACATTTAAGTTAAGTTCTTGTGAGGATCCCGCAATCCTTTGCAAGTTTGAGGCTCCTCTTTTTTCTCTCCTTCCGGTTGTTGAAAATAAAACCTTTGAGTTCAAATGCATCATTACAGTACACCAGCCCAATCACGGGACTGGTCGAAGATACGATCAAGGAGGTTATGAGATAGATAGTCTCCTTTGACGGCCCCCTTTTATCTGTATTACTACCAACTCGCCATCATGAACTACCACAAGAAGGTTTCGAAAGATCGGCATTAACGGGATTTCAGAAAGATGACGCCTGTTTCTCTCAAGTTTGAGAATATGCTGCTTACTTGCAGCATGGGGTACGAATTGTTAGGTCATTGGTATATGACGATATATACTCGAGTATCTGAAATGCACCGCAGGAACGTTGTGTACTATCCTGAGGTACATTAGTCACTCTTTTTCGTTCGCTTCTAGCAGGGGGAAGGGGACATTGAAGACTCTGGTTGTAACAAGTCTGCATCGAAATATTTTCCTTTTTTGTGGTTGATTGTTCTGTCGTGGTTTGGAATAGCCGACCTTGTGGTGAGGGATGCTTCATGACGACTTCACCTGCATGCTGCAGTTGCCAGCGATGCCACCCTCGAAAAGGTGCACCACTTCATCCGAACATTCTGAATCTCGATGCAGACGTTGTTGACCACACGGCGGTTAGTCAACGTGTTACGACTCCGTTTGAAGTATCGTCGTTCAATCAGAACATTGGTTCGGCACTCGAGTCGGACGCTTGAAGTCCACCAGGGTCTAGGATTGCAATCCTCCTGAAATGGCCAACATTTGGTTCTCGTGGTCTTTACGTGTTGCCCCCAAACGTTTCCAAAGCCAGCTTCAGAGAGAGAAGAGCTAGTATTGCAAATCCACAGCATTTCTGCACTGCGTTGTGTTTTTGGTCGTGGCTTCAACGTCTGCGCCTTTGTTTGTTTCTTGGCCACGAGAATTTTGTTGCTTGAAATAGAAACGTTCCTGCACCAGCGGAAGTCGCTTCCCAAAAGGGTATGCTTCCAGAAGACCTTGTGGAAAGCTCGCTGAGTAAGACCATGTTGTTTCACCAAAAATATTACAAACACATTGCCCATCATAACAGAATGAGAAAATCTCTGTCTGCAGGATGAACCTATTCCTTTTGCAGAAAACGTCCAGTTGAATCTGATGTAACCTCAATACTTCTCTTTCGTGTGTGCATTGCATTCAGCTACCTGCTTTGAGACAGTCTGAATCTATTAAAAGTACAGTTCAAGCTTGAAGTTGATGGAAGTGGGTAATAAACCCATCATGGCGGAGCCTCAATACCTGAGTAAGTTCTAAAAATGGATTTTCAAATACACATTTTAACTCTTGAAACTTGGTCATAAACAATAGAGATCGTCCTCTGTTTGTAGCTCCTAGGCTATGTCTCTAGGGCACAGAATGGTTCTATTGTAAGAATGGCGGCCTTCGCGGTCTGGGGTGAATATCCAGTGCTAAACGCAGAGAAAAAAGGAGAGCCTTTTGGGACGCGACTTGCAGTCACAGATGAAGAAGGCTTGTCGTCCGTAAACGCTCAGCATGAGAAGGGTGGAGAATGGAGATAGTTGGAGCAGAGCACAATGTTCCTTATCTAAAGTGCTCACGAAGACGCGTACTTTCATAAGAAACTTAGTAAATCTAATCGTGTTTGGTACGAATAGTTTGCAAAGGTAGAGAAAAGGAGAAGGAGGAGTTTCACGTATTGAGACTGCCGACACGTGATAGTCTATCCCGATCTGGAAGGAGAGCGCTTTGTATCGGGCGAGCTGGACCCCGCCATTTTCAAGTTGACAAAACACGCCGGCCTACTAATGCTCATCCTCAAACGGGCACAGAGAGCAGCAATTCCTCTTCTTCAAATTCCCAGTCATCAAATCGGCTATCGACTGCAATCTGAAATCTCGAAGAAGCCGTTCAAATTGACACACCCACCCCATAGGCATTCTTACCTTACAGACGCCATCCGATCCCACCAGTCTAAAAAGATGGCTCCTCAACTCGACGGCTACTTCAAGCAAGTAGACAGCCTCTCCAACCATTTTATTGAACGTCTCCGAAAGGCCGTTGCCATTCCATCTGTCTCTGCAGATGAAGAACGCCGACCAGATGTAGTTCGCATGGGAGAGTTCCTCGCTGCTGAGCTATCAGCTTTAGGAGCAGAGGTTGAATCAAGACCACTAGGCCCGCAACCTGGACATGAGCACATGGAGCTCCCACCCGTGATCATTGCTCGCTACGGAAACGATAAGAAGAAGCGTACGATTCTCGTCTACGGTCATTACGACGTACAGCCTGCGCTGAAGGAAGATGGGTGGGGTACGGAACCCTTTACGCTTACGATTGATGATAAGGACCGCATGTATGGCAGAGGAAGCACCGATGACAAAGGACCTGTTCTGGGATGGCTGAACTCGATTGAAGCCCATCAGAAAGCCGGAATTGATTTCCCAGTCAACCTTCTGATGTGCTTTGAGGGTATGGAGGAATCCGGCTCAGAGGGCTTGGACGACTTCATTAATGCGGAAGCAAAGAAGTACTTCGCAGACGCGGATGCTGTCTGTATCTCAGATAACTACTGGCTCGGCACAGAAAAGCCCTGTCTAACGTATGGTCTTCGCGGTTGCAATTATTACTCCGTCGAGATCTCTGGACCCGGCCAGGATCTGCACAGTGGTGTATTCGGCGGAACAGCTCAAGAACCAATGACTGACTTGGTACGTGTACTTGCAACCCTCGTCGATACCAACGGCAAGATCCAGATCCCAGGTCTGAATGAGCTCGTTGCTCCTCTTACAGAGGAAGAGAAGGCTCTATATGGCGACATCGCCTTCACCATGGACAACATCCACGAATCTCTAGGCAGCACTACAACGATTTATCCAGACAAGGAGAGGACTCTCATGGCACGCTGGCGCTACCCCTCGCTTTCGGTCCACGGTATCGAAGGTGCCTTCTCTCAACCCGGTGCTAAGACCGTGATCCCAGCCAAGGTCATCGGTAAGTTCTCAATCCGAACAGTTCCCAATATGGAGATCGAGGAAGTCAACACTCTCGTCTACAAGTATGTTGAAGAGCAATTTAAGAAATGTGGGAGCAAAAACACTCTGAAGTGCTATGCGCAGCATACAGGCAAGTGGTGGGTCGCTAGTCCTAAGCATTGGAACTTCAGCGCAGCTGGAAAGGCTGTGGAGAGAGTCTGGGGCGTCAAGCCTGACTTGACAAGAGAGGGTGGCAGGTGAGTTATATGCATTTCAGTTTTATTCGTAGAAGGAAACTAATCGAGGAACAGTATTCCTGTGACCTTGACATTCGAGGAAGCAACCGGCAAGAACGTGTTACTTCTCCCAATGGGAAGCTCCACAGATGCGGCGCACTCAATCAATGAGAAGCTTGACAAGAAGAACTACATCGAAGGTATTAAGCTGCTGGGCGCATATTTGCACTATGTTGCCGAAGAGCCAATAGAAAATTAGAAGACGCAAATGATATTGCTATTCTCTCATGATAATCATATCCTGTTTTCGTCTCTATGCAACATACCTCCCATAAGGATCCGCTAACTGCAACTGCTACCGTATTTTTGTTCATCTAATCTCGTGACGGGATCTCCCTAAAACGCCTCGTGTGCCCTTGACCATCATGCATGTTGGAAGAAGTAAACATAGGCAAACTTCTTCATCTCCTCGATATCAGTTGCTTGCACAACCTTTTCATCGTTGTAAAGAACCCATGCTGGCGTCTCTTGTCCAGAAATGGCCTTGCGAATAAATGCAACGTAGTGGCTATCAAACAGGTTAGCATTTGAACTTTAATTCGAGAACGGGGTGGCCTACCCAGCATGAATACTGGCCCCTTTGTGGCAGATGATAGACTGTAACTGGAACTTGGCGGGCAGTTTACTGCTTCCAGGGAATTCTTTAACGACAGGTTCAGCGGCGGCAGGCTCTTCGTCTCCAAAATCTCCTTGGTCGTCAGGATGATTGAACAGCCATTCGACAGCTCGCTCTAAATCACCACCAGTTTCTTTAAGAGCTTTTCGTGCCTGTGGTGGTCCGAATCCCATTGCGCCCAGCATCTCAATCTTTTCGGGATCAGCTGTACCAGCTGCTTGGCCTCCACCACCAAGATCCAAGGGTTGATTGATATCTGGGTCGTCCATGTGGCCAAAGAGCCACTCCATGGCAGCATTTCCGTCTGCGTTGCCGGTGGCATGCAGAGCTCTCTCGCAGCGAACTCGTGGGAAGCCCATGCCTTCTAGCATTTGTACCGCCTCGGGGTTCGCGACAAAGGAAGGCGTGCTTGTGCTGACTTCCTCCGGTAGGAGCTCCTCAGAGGGTTGGTGGCCAGGTGACCTGTAGTCGTCAAGCAGGAAGGATTCATCGCCAACAACAACGGGAACATCGACTTTGGTAGGGACCCAGTTGATGAGATTGAATCGTCGAGCATTTATAGCCAGAACCTCAGGGAAAGTCTTGAAGAGCGATCTCTTTAAGAAGCCATCTCTGCTGCCACATGAAGAACAAGTGAGTTCCACGTGCTCCGAAGATGTGAAGCTATCCAAGCACTCTTTCAAAGTCACAGACTCATACTCATCCTTTTTATCATCGCTTGGCTTCTCTCCTGAATTCGAAGCTGGCGGGATAATCTTTCGGATAGGGACTGGTATTGAGATATTGTCTTGCTCATCGGTACTGTATCGGACTTTCTTGCAGCTGAGGCACTGTAAACGTTGCTCCATGACGAAACGGAATGATCGCACTGGATCTTGTAACTCTGCAGTGTGCTTACTCCGGGTAACGAGCTTAAAGACGTGTAAAAGAAATTCAAAGGCATCTTGTTGCCGCATCGTGGAGAACTCAACGTGGCCCCTTCCAATCAAATACTTCAGCATGGCCGGCGCAAGACCCTTCTGGTATGGAACTTGGTTGTCCCCAGAAGCAGCAGCATCTGGATCCGGATTTGAGTATCGTCCAGAAAGTAAACCGTCGCCCAATTTACGGAGTTGAGTTTCCAAATCTTGAGCTGGATCTTCAACGGTAGGGAGCTCGGATCCAGGTAGATAATATCGGGCCTGAAACTGTGGCAGCGAAAAGAGACACTGTATCGTGCTTGCCATATAGCAACTATTTCCGAGGTTCTTCAAGCCGGTAAACCCTTGGCCAAATAGCTTCTTGAGTTCTCCACCAGACTCATCAGTCATAGAAAAATCCCACCGCAGATTCTGCTCCACGTTCATTTCAGTCAAGCTCTGCTCGGTCTTCTGACGCTCAGCAAGTATGATTCCCCAGTTTGCTAGGTGACCTCCGAGGTTTTTATCAATGCGCTCCTCGTCACACGCGTAGCAGTAGACATCTGCTGTTCCTTCCGGTGTGATCGATCCCAATTTGACTGCAACTGCATGCCCTATGGTATTCTTATGCTCTAGTCCATGGGAATGGCCACTAACTCCGCCAAATTGAGCGCGGCCACATCCAAGATTGCCACACTCTAAGCAAAGCCAGAGATTCTCCTGGAGCTCACACAAAGAACAGTGACCAAGGTCCTGTGACTCAATCTTTCTGGGGGGTTGTTGCTGTAGCATAAGAATATGTTCACAAGATGTGAATTCTTGCTCCCAGGCCTTGACTTCCTCCTGTCTCGAGAATGTGTTCGCTTTCATGACTCCTTCAACTACTGCAGCAAGCTTTCCCGCATTCTTATCTACGTTGTCCACATTGCATTCGTAGCATCTAACCGTCGTCTCGTAATTGTATCGATCGGCTTCGGTTTCCGCAGCGATTGCGATCTTAGAGATCTTTTGAGGGGGTTCGTCACGCTCGACAACGCGCCGGGTCCTCTTAATGTTCAAAACTAAAGGATGATGTCGAGTTGTAGAATGGAGTGCCGCATGCTTTCGTTCTCCGGTGCAACCACCGTTGAAACAATACAGACACACGTCGAGGCCGGTAGGATCATCCTAGAGGAAGATTGGCATCTGGCATCGAATAGAGAATGACACAAAAATTCGGCCACAGAAGACTTACTATGGAGTCAAAGCACTGAGTACAGTCCTCCCGGTAGACTGACTGGACGGGGCCGGGAGGCCGCAAATCTGCAAATGAGATTAGCTTTCATCTCAGGCATTATGACCACCAGTAGATCAGCATGTACTACGCTGTGGTAGATATTGAAGGTGGCCTAGGAAAGACCAGATACCCAGTCCGAAGCAGAACAGCAGGCGTTCAATCTTGTTTGCCCCCCGCCTTTCTAAGAACATGGTGGGCGGTCTCCGAAAACCGCAGAGAGGGGCTTTCTTGAAGAGAGGTTATAACCTACCTGCGGAATCGACATGCTTGCAGGACATCTTGAGACCTGTATATTGTGTTGTTGTTATGCTGCAAGATTTGTTGCACAAACGAGCTTGAGTGAAGCTGGTGGACGATGGCGGGGCAAACAGGCAGGAACGCGCCCGCGTTTCGGCGTGACCACTATGGAAATCTCGGCTCATATAAAAACCGGTCACTGAGGCTAGTATAAGGTTGGGAGAGTATCTGAGAGCAAGGTAGGTAGACAAACCAAAGATGAATTCTTACATGTCTGTTATTGTTGCATTCGAAATTCAAGCCCTTTTCTAAACACTTAAACGATCTATGGGTTCCGTTCCAAAGTTGCACGTTCATCGTTGTTCTTGCGTATTCATCCTTTCCTCCAATAAGTTCGCAAGTGCTATCTCGTCTGAAAAATTGTTGAATCATATCACCCACCATCTCACATCTTCCAGTCTTGTGTTAGACTTAAAAAAAGGCACTCATTATCATCGACTTTTAAGTTTCAATTTCTCACTTTGCCTGACACAATATCATTTGGTGCCGAATTTGCTATTTATCGCGAGCCAGTGCTTGCCAAAGCTGTAAGCAGTACAAAATCACATAGCCTACTCAATTCTTAGGGGCATTGTCAAGTTCGACGAGTGCATCTTCGGAAAAGGTTCCATTCTCAACCAGGATTGAAACAAACTGCCGAAGCCAAGTCTAGCAATTTTTCAACTCGACCCTTCTTCTGACACCCTGAAAATACACTTTAGTGATCCGAGGAAGAACATAGGCTAGTAGCTTACATGTTCCCCAGCAGACCGAAGACTTGGGCCAGGGGCTTGGATGGTCAAAGCTGAGCATTCCAGAAAATCGATGGCGGTGCTGTCAACAGAGTAGTCTCCAGTTGTATCGATAATGTACTTGGAGTCAAGCCAGCTCAGCAATCTAATTGAGTGTCTGCGGGTCTCTGCTGCTATATCGTAGTTCCTCTCAAACTCGTGGAGGAATCCTTCGCTGGGGCTTCCTTGAACATTAATGATCTTTCCTGAGTTCCCAGCAACCTCTTGCTCGTAGTACGGTATCCAAAGAGCCCAGTGTGCTGCGAAGATGGGCGAGTGATAGATTATGAGGTATACTGGACGAGACATGGTATCGACGTTGGACAATCAGAGTCTTGGAATGCAAAATAGTCAGTTTTACTCTAGTGGGTTTCTCTCTCTGGCGAATGCCATAGAGAAAGGAGCGACGGCTTTATCTACATTTGCAAACTTTCAATGTATGGATGGAAAGCCCAATGATTCGAGTTTTACTGAAATGAATCCCAGCACACACTCATCCTAGACACAAAAATCTTCACCAACTTGTAATGTTCTAAACTGAGTGGCACATTGAAAAACTGCTAGAATGAGACTGTTTCTTTATGCCCCTCATGAGGCCTATCACTCTCATGGCTTAGTTGAAACAAAGCGTAGATAGTCATGGCGTTTCCTCATCATCTCGATGACACATAGAAGGGAGATTTTCCTTTGCGAAGAAGATCTGATAAGGAGACGGGGCGGAGACTGGACGGAGACTGGACTGCGGATTTTACCCTAGTTGACAAAAATTGGAGGCTCTAAAGGCTAAGAGGAGCTGGTGGAGCTTTGAAAACAAACAAAATGCATTAAAAATTTGCGATCTTATGAGGAAGTTCTTCATCAATAGTAACTCACCAAGAGTGGAACATTGTATATTTTGTAAGATTACTACCGTGCTTGACGCCAAGTGGCTGGTTGTGCAGCGGGTCTTTTGTTTGAAAATGAGAGTGCACGTGCCTCAGTGCTGAGTAATACGGATTAAAACCGAGCCGAGGGGAAGTTCCTCGGAGCTCGGAGTGAATTCAGCGTCGGAGATAATGGTCTCGCTGCTACTTCTTTGGCGCTGGCCAATCATGTTAGCTGCTCAGTCTGACTAGAGTCGTCATAAGAGAGCGACTCCTCAATTTTTTGATTATTGAATACTTCCCTCCATCAACCTCAACAACACCTTGATAACATTGATCATACGCTTGGTCATATCAATCCCTACGATCCTATCAACCTACACGAAGCACTTGATCCTTCAGGATGTTCAGAAAAGTTTTGGCCAACGCTCCCCGCGCCGCTGGAAGAGCGTTATCGGCTTCAGCGCGATCCGCCACCAGACCTACAACCTCTCAAATCTCAGCATCGATCGCAGTATCTGGCCGACGGTCATATCATGAGAAGGTCCTTGACCACTACTCCCGGCCGCGCAATGTTGGAAGTATGCCGAAGGCCGACACCGATGTTGGCACTGGTCTTGTTGGTGCGCCAGCTTGCGGCGATGTTATGAAGCTACAGATCCGCGTCGACCCAAACAACAATACGATTTCTGATGTCAAATTCAAGACATTTGGCTGCGGTTCTGCTATTGCCTCATCTTCATATTTGACGGAGCTGGTTCGAGGTATGACTTTGGAAGAGGCCGGCCGAATCCGCAATACAGAGATTGCGAAGGAATTATGTCTGCCTCCTGTAAAGCGTGAGTAGTTGTCCTTTTGAATTCATAAGGCTTTCAAGTGGCTAATTATCTCGAAGTCCATTGCTCTATGCTCGCCGAAGATGCCATCAAATCCGCTATATCAAATTACTATACCAAGAACCCGGGTGCTCGGTCGACGGATCTTGGAGGAACTGGCGCGAGCATGCCAAAGATTGACGTCGAGACTGTAATGGAGCCGACAAGCCCCCAAACTGCGACTGCTTGAGGGTTTTCTGAAAGGCGTTTGGGGTCATAGGAGATCGGTCTCTTTAGAGATTAACCTGAGAACAGGAACGATGAAGGCATATCGCTTTCAAGGGAATCATCGGTTGACATCACTCACTAAGTGAAAATGACGAGGACAGCGGATGAATTTGTAACGCTTACAATCGTTCTGCGTATTGGTGTTTCCAATTGTACACAAGCTTCGCCACTTGAATAAAAAAACAAAAGATTGATACCATTTCATCGAATTTAGCTGCATGCATGACTGTCAATAATTATTTGAAAATGAACGATCCTAAGCATATGAAAGCCCTGAACTGGGCGCATAGAGACTGTCAAGGGTGGCGAGGGCATGACTAAAGAAGTAATAACTCGTACGGTGTTCTACGGTCTTTTCCACCTAGAAACGCTAATAACGACGAGTTTGCAAACTCTTTATGATACTTCTTCATATAGCGGCTTTTTAGAATTAAAACTGTGCACATTATAAGAATCAATAATTGAAAGATAGCCAGCTTTCCTAAAGCTTTGTATAAGCAACCAAGAGCCTTAAAAGCCTATAATTTTATAAGTTGCCGGTAGATTGTCGGTGAACTTAGGCCGCTCTTATCGGTTGGAAATATTTTTTATCGTATTTTCCACAGGAAGTACTGTAACAGCCCACCTGGATAATCTGCTCCAGCACCAGATTCGACCATGGCCAAACGTACATTAGATGCCGCGGGGCTTCCCAATGAGGAGAATACAGAAGGAACCACTCATGTCCCAAAAAAGCAGAAGAGCGACAAGACCAAGAAGACGAAGAAGGCCGTTGACGACGCGGGCAAGGATACCTCAACTGACGACCGAGAAGCAAAGGCCGAGCGGAAAGAAAAGAAGCGTCTAAAGAAACTGAAGAAGGCAGAAGCAGAAGGAGAAGCAGAAGCTGCTCAGCCCGAAAGTGCACCCGAGGAATTGAAACCTGAAGAGGAAAATTCAGATGACAAGGCTGATGCCAAAGCTGCGAAAAAGGCCGCGAAGGCGAAATTGAAGGCATTGAAGAAGGCCGAGAAGAGCTCCAAAGCGGAGACTACAGTTGTTGTTCCTGTTGTATCTACAGAGCCTGCGAATGGAATAAAACCTGTGCAGGCTTTCGGCGATGCTTATACTGAAGACAGCGCATTGACAGCCCTTTCTCAAGCCGACGTCGACAAGTTCCTCGCAGACAACTTCATATCTATCTCGGATCCCCAATCTCCTACCCCTACATTCCGGCCCATACTCAATTTCGATTACCTACCCATCAGCGACCCGGCTCAGCGAGCACCTTTCAAGAACTTCAAGGCTCCGACACCGATTCAGGCGGCTGCATGGCCTTACCTGCTAGCCGGCAGAGACGTAATTGGTGTTGCAGAGACAGGTTCTGGCAAGACGATGGCATTTGCTGTGCCTTGTGTGCGTCACATCTTGTCACTTCCAGCGAAGCAGAGGAACAAGGGAGCTAGGGCTGTGGTTGTGTCGCCTACGAGAGAGCTGGCTATGCAGAGTTATGAGCAGATCATGCTGTTGGCCAAGGTCTCCGGGCTCCAAGCAGTCTGTGTTTACGGAGGTGTCCCAAAAGATGAGCAGCGCAGATCTCTCAAAACAGCAGATATTGTCGTGGCTACGCCCGGCCGCTTAAATGATTTGATCAACGAAGGATGTGCGGACTTGAGCAGAGCCAAGTATGTTGTGCTCGATGAGGCGGACAGGATGCTGGACAAAGGATTCGAAGAAGAGATTCGGAAGATCATCAACACGACCGCGACTGAGCGACAGACCCTTATGTTCACTGCTACATGGCCCGAGTCTGTGAGAGATCTTGCTTCGACGTTTATGAAGACTCCGTTGAAGATTGCCATTGGAGACAACCCAACCGGTGACCTCCGTGCGAACACCCGCATCAAGCAGGAAGTCGAAGTGGTTGACCCTAGAAACAAGGAGTACAGGCTTCTACAGCTACTCAAGCAATATCAAAGCGGTGCTCAAAAAGACGATCGTATTCTAGTCTTTGCGCTCTACAAGAAGGAAGCGACAAGAGTCGAGGGTTTCATCCGGCAAAAGGGATTCCGAGTTGCAGGAATCCACGGAGATCTCAGTCAAGAGCAGAGAACGAGAAGTCTGGATGCTTTCAAGAAGGGCGAGACGCCAATTTTGGTGGCCACGGATGTCGCAGCAAGAGGTCTTGATATCCCTGCTGTGAAGCTCGTCATCAATTGTACTTTTCCTCTCACTGTTGAAGATTACGTGCATCGTATTGGGCGAACTGGAAGAGCTGGCAAGGAGGGCTTGGCCATCACGCTCTTCACTGAACATGACAAGGCGCAAAGCGGAGCGTACGTCTCATCTCATCCCCTATCTCAAGCTTCAAATACTAACCAAGGTCTTCAGTTTAATCAACGTCCTTAAAGCAGCCAACCAAAACGTCCCAGACGAACTGCTGAAGTTCGGCACGACTGTCAAGAAGAAGGAACACAGCGCCTACGGCGCTTTCTACAAAGACACTGGCGGCGAAGCCAAAGCAGCGAAAAAGATTGTGTTTGATTAGATCATTGGATCCTTAGTAAAAGTACACTAGTCCCGTTTCCCCTGTCCTCTCATAGAGTTCCAGCATTGAAGAAGGTACGCGCGTTCGCTGAAGGCACTGCATTGGATGGATTGATTAGCTAGACTCTTAGACGAGACGAGAAATTAAAGACTTACAGCATGACTACAAATACCGCCGCTATGCCTCCGCTTTTTACGAGATCCGTGAAGCCGCCGTTGAAGGTCGTGGCTGTTTGCCGCAGTACGGCGTATGTCCCGAATCCTGCTGCGATGGTGAGAGGCGCAGGTGCTATTTCGCCGAGTGAGAGCGTGCTGCCGTGACGTTTCAGATAGCTTGTTATGAAAGCCGTGCTCCAGATAACCCGGAAAAACATGTTGAGGACATTCGCCCAAACCAACCCTTTAGCTCCCATCTCCAACACTTGTAGAAATAGGAAAGCGGAGCCTGCGAAGCCCGCGGAGAACGCGAGCATCCATATTGACTGTCGGTTGACTTCTGATTCCGTCGCGACGGAGGAGACGAATGCTTCAGTCAGGCCGTTGAATGCCAAGAGCGGGATGTAGTAGCAGTAGGTAGCCAGCACGTCTCCTGCTCCAGATGTCGTCCATCTTGATCCGGCGACAATCTTGAGGAGGAGCGGAGCGACAGTTGGGCCAACGGAAAGTACGCATACGGAGAGCAGAGCGTAAGATCGTAGAAGCATGAGCAGGTCTTTCCGAGCCTCTTCGATCTTTGTCTTGGAGGGAGCGCCATCGACTGTGGATAGCAGTTTCCCGAACTTATTACGACTGCTCTCCTCGATTGGTTGGAGGATTAGCCGGGCGAGAAGACCACCGTAGTTGTTTGCGAGTGCGTAGATGCCCTGGGATACGGGCGTGGCGAGGGCAGTGATGAGGAATGTATCCCCTTGAGTGAGGACATGCTTCACTATTGACTGTACAAAAAGGCTGGTTCCGAGAATCAAGAGAGGCCGGGAGAAGTACGACAGGATGTAAGCCGCTTTGTCACTGTATATATATTAGCATCCATCCCTGCTCTCTCAAACGACTCTTAGAAATAACGAACTCGGAAAATATGGGTGTCAAAACCAAGTTGAAGCCACCCGCTGAAGATACATCCCACACGCTCCCATAATACACCAGCGCCAACGACACAGCATACATAGCCTGCCCCAGCGCAAACGGCAGAACCCCAATATCAACAACGTTTCGCGAAGCCCATATAGCAGACCCGCAAGTCATGAGACATCTCAGCACCGTAGCAACAGCCTCGGCCCTCCCACGAATCTTGATCAGAGATTTATGCTGCACGACAACGAAGCACGGCTCCGCCAACAGTTCCCAGACCGCAGCAATGCTATACAGTTTGAACGCCCCTTGAAAATACGGCGTTTGCAAAACAATAGGGTCCGTGTATCGGAGATATAGCCAGGCCAGTATGACGGCAAAGACAACACCGAGGTAGATGGAAAGATGAGCTAGGTTCACAATTGCCTGTGTCTTTCCAGCTGCTGTCCGTCCATCCACGTGACCGCCCGGCACCTTTTCGTCCTTCTTGCCTTCGTCTTTGCCATTTCCAGGTTCATCCGTTTGCCTCTGGATAGCCACACGCAGACTTTCTCTAGCGAAAAATAAGACGGAAATTGAGTAGACTTCTAGCTGTGTTGAGATTCCGAGGAGTTCGGGTGAGAGATAGCGGAGGAGGATTTGGTTGACGATGAATGTTAGGGCTCGGGAACCGACTTGCAGCGCTATTAATATGGTTGCTCCTCCCCCGGCAGATGAAGAAGACACATTCGAAACCGGTGCTTCTTTTGAAGGCTCTGTTGTTGAACTCATGATACAGCGATTCAATCGAGTTCTGGACACTTTCAACAACACAACTTTTAGCCGGCGCGGAGTTTCTTTTTCCCTTTCGCGTAGTTTCGCCTAGCCCCTGAGTCCTTGGCATTCGCTGGCTACAGAGAGAGACCTAACCGTAGTTCCCGGATTACAACGAAAGCCCATTTTCCCTTGAATTAAATCCCAGAAAAATGCAAAAAAAACCATTATTCAGCTGAGACACAGCGACAGGCATGAGCGAATCTTGTTCCCCCTCTGTCGGCATCGGCAACCAACTACCGCACAGCATCAATAACACGTACATATGTGGCGTCAATCCCTTCAACAGCGCCCCGCTGCTCCAGAAATGCTGCCAAGGCCCCGTCACAAACATCACGTCGCCCGCACCCGAGACAGGGCCGCTCTCAGACTCCTGGCCCACGACATGTCTCGCCTACTGCGCCATCCTGCTCCATCCTTATTATAGCGACCAAGACGACGCCGTGCACGAGAACTTCACCAACTGCCTCGCGAGCGATAGCAGTTTCTTCGGCAGTATTGTCTGCACGGAAGCTGACGGGCTGGCGCCGAACGAGTGTGCGGCTTGGGATGAGGTCGCTGGGTGTACGAATTCTAAGTCTCAGACGTGGGATGGGAGTACTTATGTCAGTGGTGCTGCTAGCGCTACGATGACGGGGATGGGTTCGAGTATTGGTAGTGGAAATGGGATTGCGCAAAGTACTGTGGTGGTCACGAGATCTGCTTCTGCTGTGAATTTGGAGACTTCGACGCCGGTGCCGAGTGCGAGTCCGACGCGGTCTGCTGCTGCACCGATTCTCAGACGGACGGGGATCTTGAAGGTCGTTGTGGCTTCTATTGTGGTTCAAGTGTGCTTGTTCTCGCTATAGGCATCTTAAGTGGGAATCTGTATTCTCGGTTCTATGTAGCTGTGGGCCGTTTTCATGCTGGACATCGCAAGACAGATACACTAGCGGTTGTATATATGTAACGTTCATAAGGGAACGGATAGAGTAGGCATCAACAGGAGTCAGGCGATCGGGGAATATAGTCATCTTGTGGTAATGCTACATTCAAATGGTTCAACCTATAGAGCGCTCAAGAGCTCACTTTTCCTTCCAAACCCCCAAAGTCAATTCCCCAACAACTTCACCCAAACTCCTAACCCCAAGTTCCGAACATAATCTGCGATAATCTATATAAACATCTCAAATGTACACACAGAATTGAAGTGGAAAAACAAGAAATAAGCGCCGGTCTTTGTCCATGCAATGATTCCTTTCGAAAGAACCCCAGTCCGACAGTACAGTAACAAGAAACAAAAAATACGAAGAGCATACAGCGTTGTCCTGACGCTGCTTGCTCACTTATGGCACGAAGGGTTGCTGATCACCGACCCAGCTCTAGGCGCAGCCACGGCTTTCGGAATAGCAGGGTTTTTAGGACATGCATCAGTGCCAATACAGCACTCGATAACATTGCTATCGCACTCGCCTTGGGTGTTCGCAAGGTCGTCGTGGGCCCAGGTATAAGCGGCAGATTCGCAAGGCTGGAAGAATGCATCGGGGGTAAGGCCGAAGGCGAAGCTAGGGCGGATGGGGTTGGGGCACGCTTTGGCTGTCTCGTTACACTGCTTATTGTCAGTCCTGGACTGACTTGGTTATAAAGGCAGGTAGGTGGGGTACTTACTGGGCACTCGTAGTTGGTGCCGCTTGTGTATTTGTAACTGAAGAGATCGATGTTGCAGCCTGTGAGGACTTCCTTGGTCGCTTTGCATGAGCAGGTGATGGGGACTGAGAAGCCGTTCCTGAGACCGCATATTAGTAAGTGTGTAGTATAGGGATCGAGGGTGAGGGATTATGTACACATAGCTGACGTCGATATCGAGGCCGTTGGGAGCAAAAGTTGCTTCGAAGAGACTGTCGTCACCAGAAGGCGTTCCCTCACTCATGGCAATGTTTCCAGACCAGTTCAGCGCTACCGTCAAGACAGCCGTTTCGTTGTTCTGCAAGACGCCAGCTGTGCCAGGACCGCTGATGGGTGTTTGGTTTGCGATGTATGAAGTAGAGACAGGACTGCCTAGTTTGTTGATAATGGAGAACACCGCCGTTGAAGGGCTACTCCCTGACGCAGAGCCAATGGAAGAAGCCTTGGAAGAAGCCGGGATTGTAGCGAGAGTGTTTGTTTTAGTAGTACTCTTAGGTGGCGCTGAAGTTCGTGCTGTCGGGGCCTGGAAAGGTCGAGTAGAGACACCAGTAGCAGGCCCAGTGAAGCCACCTGATGGCCCAAATGGGACAGATGGAGCCGCAGGAGCAGCGATCACGGCGGCGGCGAGAGCCAAGATGTGAAGAAAGCTAGTATGCATGATGTGCTAGTTGAAAAGGACTAAATGGAGATGTAAAGACTGTTTAACAAGATTACAAAAATGAGAGTTGCAATGGAGATAAAACAATGTGTAGTGAAGGTGCAAAAACGAGAGTTGCAAATAGAAGATGAAAAGAATGTTCAGCAAAGTTGGAAAGAGAGGGTTGAATTCTGAATATTGAGGAGTATAGATGTATTATTTATCTTTCTCGGTCATTCTCCTCTACTCTAATACTTTCTCCCCCTAGTCGAAAGTCTTTCTCTCCTCTTCCTCCTCAAATCTCACAATCCTTCTGGATTTTTGGAAATTGGTGCGATTCGAACATGCCAGGACAGTTAAGTTAGTCTTGTGGATGGTGTCGATCAATTAAGCGGTTTTTCAAGACTGGGGTAAAAGGCCTGAAACGAATCCCGTGCGGCGCAAAAGTATCCTACCTCCCTCTTCGGGTTCAACTGATGTGATCCGGGTAGTATACACCTTGTTCGTCCAATCAATTCATTGATCTCGGATTCGCACATCAGAATGCGACCCCAATACTCCAAGAAATTAGGATTTTTTTTTCATTACCTATGCGCCGCTGGGCGCTGCAGGTTGTACCTGACGTATCTATTTTTGGCCTCCTATTATCATTGTAGAAAGCTGGTGAGCTTGCTGAAACATTAATAGAAACAACCAAGATAATTCTGATATCCACAAACTCGGCAACGTCACGTTCTGCCCGTTTCGGTACGTACACAGACCCGCATGTTCAAGCAAGTCATCCGATCTATCAAACGATCTAGTAACGGCTTGGCTACGGCACGATGTTTAGCATATTCCTAAGAGTGGGGCCCAGTACTAACTCGTAAAGCCTTGTTTACAGTTGACTGATAGAACGAAAAGAGTGAAGAAGAGTGAAGATTCGAGATGAACGCATTTTTACTCTTGGGAGCAAATTTAAAGTGTGATGGATTCGAAGTCTGCGAATCCCCTTGCTGACCGTTCTTGTGGTATTTGCTTGACATGTGAGATTGTACGAAGGCGCAGTCTTTACCTACCAACTGTCAACTTGGGCTTGAAACAATGTACATGGGTTATTACCGTTTCAAAACATGATCTCCATGAATATTGACAGGACTCTGTCTGATTGGTTGAGACACGATGAATTTTACGCACCGTAAAGATGAACCCTACACATGCATCGGAGAATATCCTTGTCACTAAACTTTTGGGGTAAATCTCCGTTCCGATCCTTTTAGGGAAGTGCTGAATTCGAAACCATGTACGAAGTACGAAGTACATAATTTGCCAAGAACCAAAATTGCCAGATCCAACGATTGCTTGCAGCTTGATGAATCCTCTTGACCCTTGCACATGGATGTTATCCGAAGTCCTGTTTCGAGATTCGGCACTTACTAGATAGGGTACTTCCCCTCCTCCTCCCTGATCGAAAGCTTAATTCATTTGTTTGCAGAAGATGTAAATTATTGATCTTTCAACCGTGGTGTGTTACACACTGATCCTGCAGAAATTCCGCTAAGGGTTCGGATCGAGAGCACTTCTCTTTCCCATAAAATGTCAGGCGCTTACGAGGTAAAAGCACACACATTAAAAAAGAAGAAAAAAGAGGAAAGGGAGAACTACTCAAGTAAACCACGCAGAGATATCAGAAGATTCTGAACTTTCAGAGCTGGGAAAGGGCATTTGACAAGCACAAACTACTCAATAATCGAGAGGCCATGAACGTGAAGGACTAAGTCCCCCGCAATTATTTCTTGTTGTTTATGCCATGTGCATTCCTTTCCGTTTCAAGGTTGAAGTCTCAATCCTTCGGGGCCCATCTCCCGTCCTCCGTACTAATAATCAGCTCATCGACTTTCAACCTTGACTCCACGATCTCCAGTCCATTGACTAAATCGTTCTCTCGCACTCCTAGCCATTGAGATCAGCATTGCCAACGGGAGTCAAGTGCGGGATTTGAGCTTAGTTCAGAGTGATCTACTCGAGATCCCAACACACAGCTGGAGGGGATTATAGTCCTGAGATAACTGAAGGAAGATCGATCTACAAGACATTGACTTACTCTTCCAAGCCTCCTCCTCATTCGGGGCAATGCCAGCCTTGACATGCCTTGGCACCAGTCTCTTGCCCGCAGTATCAAAGTCCACTTCTACAAACCACTATATCCAAAAACTCAGTATTCCCATTTTGAAACGAGCAAGAGATTCCGTCGCCGGCGGGGCCCTCAAGAAGAAATCATCCTTGCGAAGAACAGGTCATTGAAGCGTTCGGGCAGTTATCGAAGCTCAATAACAGGCAGCTTTTGCAGTCTAGCTTTTCAACCCGGTGGTGAAGGGGAGCTTTGGAACACAAAGAAAACAGCAAATCATGAAACAATACACACCAACTCATCCATCACCCGCGCGGCCTCCTTCCATTCTCCTTTTCCTAGGCTCAGATAGTTCCCCTCAAACACGACAATTCTGCTCGACGGCGCGATCTCAATCTCATTCTCAACGGGATCTTTCTTTGCATGGTCAAAAGACGGCGCATATAACGTTTTGGAGGATGAAAAAAGCGGCTGACGGATATTTTTGGCCAGAGTAAGAAAAGCGGGCCCATCACTGCAGACAATTGGGGTTAGCCTTTTCAAACTTGCTTTAGAAATGGGAAGAAAGAATTGGTCGTTAGTGCCGAATCAGGATCAGTCTGGGCATGTCATAATAGCACACACATCAAGACGCTTTGAGATGAAGAAACAATGGCCTTGCCAGTGTAGGCAGGGAGCTGGATGATGAAGGGCGTTGGTGCTCGATTGGATGAACCTACAAGGTGAACGCTGCTCCACGACGCGCATGTGCATTTTCTGGATCGGGCATAGAGGAAAGGTGGGCGCGGGAGTAGTGGTAGCCGTCCATGGGGATGTAGACTGCTATGGGGGTGTCCTTGCCATGGAGGGCATTGAGACGTGAGGTAACTGTTGTTGCGAGGCTTGTTTTGCCTTGGCATAATATCAGCACCCAAACTATGAATAAGAAGGGAAACCAAAAGGGCAAAGTACCAGAGCCAGGAATACCAGAGATAGCTATTAAGAGACGTCCAGATTGGGGCACCGTTTGGAATTTCGCTGGACTGGGTAGTCAGTTTTTCTATCTTGAACTCGCCATAAATGGGGATATAATGAATCACCCCAGGTCTTCTCGACTAGTCTGTTTACTTGTTCTTCCATATTGCGCTGTTAAATCACCCGGAGATTGTAAGAGGTTGATTGAAGTTGAGAGGGGAGGGAGGGGATGGAATACGGGAAAGCTTCGGCTTCGGTTCCAAGTGACATCAAAATTCTTATCGCTCGATAAGAAACTCCTCTGCTTGACATTGCATTGCATTGCATGACTATATTGCATGCCAGTAAGGAGCTTTAATTCTTTACGAGGTATAAGGAGGCTAGGGAGGTTATTGCAAAAGTTTGAAAAGGCAATTGAACGTATAATCCAGGATAGTGATAGTGGATTATAAGGAGAGGTGTGATGTGAAGCTAGCTACAGTACTGACTGCTTGGTCCCCTTTTTATGCAGGAAGCCGTCTCAAGAGGACAAGCTTGACACCAGGACGACCCTTCTCCCGTCTCATGCTTCAACCCGAGAAGAGGATTAGATGATGGGTAAGGTAGATGATAATAATCACGTTTCACATCTCGTTGCCTTTCTTTTTCATGCAACTTATGTTCCTCACGTGATGAAATCTAAAGGTTGGATTTACGAATAATACCTAGGTAGGTAGCAACTTGAAGCTTTATATGAGTTATCATATGCAGAGGTTCTGCTTCTTGCTAACCAATAGCGAGTTGGATAAACTGATTCAACTTCTAGACGGGAGAGAGCGTGTGGTGCGCCGAGGCCGACCTCCACCGCTTCCCATGGCCTTGTCCCTGATGTGCATAGGTAGCTCTCGGCTTTGGATGGATGTATGACCAAACCAGATTGCTCAGCTTTATAATTCAACGTCCTCCCATCTTTCTCCCTCAACCTTCCCTTGACGACTCACTCTACTAACCATTACCGCCACCTTCATAACAACTATCCCATCTCATAAGCATCGTGCTTCTCTCTTCCTAATAATATTTTGCCATCATCATCGACGCTATTCGCAAAACCACCACCGCCATCCACCTAAGACATCATCCGCCAATCAGAACACACAATTCAACGTTCGCGACACAACGACATATCAAACTTCATAATCTTTTCATCATGCCTCCTGAGTTAAGAAAGCGCAAGGCCCCAGCTACTGAGCCAGCTGCAGCTCCCCCAGCAAAGAAGAAGGGTCCTGTAGCAAAAGCTGTCGCAAAGGTCAAGGAAGCTGTCGCCCCCAAAACCAAACCTGCCAAGACCAATGGTAGCGCCGCTTCTACCAAAGCTGCAGTTGGCGATGTAATCACTCTTGAAGGATTTGGAGGAGAGATTGAGACAAATGAAGGCACCAAGGTCACTTTGAAACAGCTCGTCGATGAGAGCAAGGGTGGTGTTGTGCTATTCACCTACCCGAAAGCTTCAACTGGAGGATGTGAGTACTCCACCGGAACACATGAGTCATTTTTGATTAATTACTGATGGGAATAGGCACAACTCAAGTATGTCTCTTCCGCGACTCATACACACCTCTCACTGCAACCGGCTTCTCCATCTATGGTTTGTCCAAGGACTCACCCAAGGCCAACACCAACTTCAAAGAGAAGCAAAAGCTCCAATATCCACTTCTGTGCGATCCCTCCGCCAGTTTGATCTCTGCAATTGGCTTGGATAAGGCTGGTGGCGCTAAACGAGGTGTCTTCGTAGTCGACAAGTCTGGAAAGGTTCTAGCATCTGAGCCGGGCGGACCAGCCGCTACAGTTGCGGTCGTCAAGAAGCTTGTTGGCGATGGAGAATCTACAGATTCTGCTGCTGTTTCTGAACCCTCTACGCCAACTGTTGAGGAGCCAAAGACGGAAGTTCCCACCGCCAATGGCATCAATGGTACAAGCGCTACGGAGGACGATGTTGATCAGGCAGATGTTGCGGCTCAAGTTGCTGACACTGCTGAGAAGTTGGATAGCAATGAAGTCAAGCCTGTAGCGGTTTAGGATATCTTTGCTTTGTGGGAGGGGAATCTTTTCTAGGACATTCTTTCTTGTTCGCGGTGGGACAAAAGTGGGACATGGAATGACTGAACAGCGTTTGCTATTATGATCGATACCTGGGTTTGGGAACGCGAGCTTTCATCATATTCTAAAAGCTAAAGCAAATCTTGAATGACATTGCTTGGGATCAGAAATGCAGAGGGGTGGATATGAATAAACACAATGCACTTTGAACAACGAGATCTACAATTGATGCTTTCAATGACTTTTGACATTCCAATTAAAGTCTTTATCATCTGATACCACTAATAGGCGTCAAGAAGATGCCAAAAAATCAAATCAGAAGAGCGTCCTACAGTTATTGAAAGTGTTCCTACTTTTTTGATACCTCCCGGGCTAACCTCGGCTCGCTACAAAGCTCATCCAGCCTCAACGACAATCCATCCCAAGCACCACCTCCCTTCAAGCTCCCACCAACAACGAGTCAATTGCGCACTCAAAGCAGCAACCATGGCCTCCCAAAACGCAGCAAAGGCTCTTCACGCCGTAGAACGCGTCGTCCCCGTCCACAAAGTACATCCATCCGCCCATCCCAATCCCCATCCCTCCCCCAAACCATCATCTCGCCCTCCCACTAACACCACCACCACAGAAATACACAATCCAATCCACCGGCATCTGGGAACGAATCCGCCGCCTCCTAGCCGTCGACTCCACGCGCTCCAACGGTGTGCCCCTAAACCCGCAATTCCGCAACCCACCCCCAGGATCCAACGCACCCCTCTCCTTCATCGACCCCGTCACCCTCCCCGCGGGCGACATCGCCGAGAACCCGTACTGGAAGCGCGATTCTCGGCGCTCGTACCCGCAGCTCTCGTTTGTGAGCCAGGCCGATGCGGTGGCGCTTTTGACTGTAGGCAGCGAGGCGGCGCCGAAGAAGGAACTGGTTGGGGAGGAGGGCGGCAAGGCGCTGGTGCAGGCTAAGGGCGAGGGGGAGAAGGGGTTGGCGGCGCATTTTGAGGCCGTGGGGAAGAAGGGCGTGCTGGAGGCGTTGGGGAAGGGGGGACTGCCGCCGTTGCCGAGTGGTGCGCATTTGAAGGAGGGGGCTGATAAGTATAACTTGACGGAGGAGAATGCTTATCCTGAACAGTGAGTTTTACCCGTGGTTTGGAGGGGTTTGTTGCTAACATGCTTGACCAGGTATCCGTGCCGGACGTTTCAATAGAGGGCGTGGAGGAGACTTTGCTTTGTATTGTACATATGGAGAATGGGTTGCTGCATAGAAAATTGACATACTTACATTTTACATTTCCAATTCGAAGGGTGTACCTCGATAAATGAAGAAATAACCGTTTAGTTCTTGATACGCGTCTAGGTAAAGGGCTCTCAGCTCTACATATCTGATGTCTAAGAATCGCGGGAAATTGAGCAATGGGCTCACTATATAACAACGGTTTGTCAAGTCATATTTTGATCTTTACATTGTTTCGTAACTAGAGGTAGTGGGTTTGGACAAAACTGGTTTTCCACTCACCACAGAAGAAGACACTGCTCGCTTGCCCTCGACACTTTGCTTGTTTCTTAACAATAACGTCTTTTCCCAAGTCCTGTCCGCCAGCCGGTGGCAGAAGCACAACAAATCGGTCATCAATATGCACTCCCTGCCGATATACGCAATCCCGCCGGTAGCCCTGCTCTATCAAGCCCTGTCAACCAGCCGGTGGACGTACAAATACAGCATCAAAATGCCACGTCTGCGATAGTCTCTCATAAGCTGACTAACTAATTGCTGTCAACCGAAACAGTCGTTCGTTCGTTCATTCTCAGTACTGATGCAATGGCTCTCAAAGCTTACATTATTTACTCTCCAAGTAGATTTGTTAGGTAAATACGATACAGCCTTGTGTTAGGAGGAGGACTAGGTATACTCAGTGTTTTGATGTTCGCTGAAGCTTGCTGCATCGTTTTGTGTCTTGCACTGAGGGCGATTCGGTAACGAGGGATTATGTTATATAGTACTGTACACCATGGTTGAAAAGTTGGCTGAGCAAGGTCAATACAACGAAAGGACATCCATGACTATATCAGCCATTCACATTGAGATGTATGGATAATCACTAGAAATGGATTCACTTCACCCTCAATTCATTTTCTTTTGGCTTCGTTCCTCAATCACCTTGCAGCCAAAAGCCTTTATATAACACACCCTTAACGGCAAAGACTATACCATTCGCACAGCAAAACAAACGCCGTCCAGCCCCTGGTGCAGGGCCTCTACTGGAGTTGAAGTAGGTTATTCTCGCATGGAGCCTTTGCCAATACGCAACCTCGGTTTCTGGAGCAGAAAAGGGAAAGGCTTTCGGTGGCATAAAAATGGCAGGGTCGGAGGCGGCACTTGCCAAACAAAAGATCTCTCCTCTTACTCGCATCATTAAACTATGCACCCTTTCACACAAGGACGAAAAGTCTTAGCTTTACCACAATGTAATATCTCAGCATTTCCATTTCTTCGTATCCGTATGCTCTACACGACAAGTGTTCACATGCCCACCCCGCAAACTATGCAACAAACCCCAATGCCGAATTAACTCCCCACCAAATGCAATCCCCTCCATACAAATGTAAACAAAGAAACCAATCGAAGCCCCTTTATTTTTTACCTCCTCATGACCAGTTGATGTCTCCGCTCGGCGCCCTCGGCCTTCTCTTCTCCCTCAACTGCGACGTATTTCCTAGTGGTATAGCCGGGGACCCAGAAGTACTGGATTGAGTGTGACCGCGTAGGCGTACGCCGTTGTCTCTCCTGTTTAAAGAGCTCTCGTCCTGGATTGAGGGCACTGCCATGGAAGACCTCGAGCTGCGGAGGAGAGATGTTCTTGGTAATCGACTTTTGCTAGTTGAGGAGGAGCCACTTGCAAGTTCAGAGCTCGTGCGTCGAGGTGTTGGGGGAATTTGTGATATACTTCCATCTCTGCTGCGTGGCCGATAGAGGATGGATTCACTACTGGCAGGCAGTCGCCTCGGCGTGATGCTGCCGTCCACGAAAGAAGATTGAGACACACGACTAACGTGCGTGGGAGTAATGGGCACCGATGAGCTTTGATGCAGTCCTGGAGGTGTAAACGAGCTCTTTCGTCTTGAGACTTGTCCTGGGCGTTGTCGGCTATTACTGGTGCTTTCGTGCTTACTTTCCTGGTTGGATTTTACCAACTCGTTTGCCATGTTCCGTACTAGTACTGCAGGGTCGTTTTCAACAAGGCTCTCAATCGCCTCGAAGAGCTTGTGACCTTGAATACTATCTGACTTTCCATCGCTTGGATCACAAATACTTCGAACAATACGAAGAAGATTTAATCGTACTACAGCCTTCTTGTGGTTGAGTTTCTGGAAGATACCAGAAAACAAATCAAGCCGTGCCAGAGAAGCGGCTACAGGCGAACTTAACCTGAGAAGCTTCTGTAAGGGTTCTAAAAGGTTATAATCAAAGGCGCTTGCTCTCGGCGCATTGAAACATTGCACAATTGCTTCGATAAAGTTGCCCTCAAGTAGAGACTTCTCGACTTTGGCAGTTTCTTCCTGAAGCCTAGAGTCGGGTTAGCGAGCTTCATCTCAAGTAAAAACAGGAACCTACCATATGAAGATAGCATCTAGGGCTGTGACCTGCCAATACTGATCTTCTAATAGTGACACATAGAATTGCAAGCCTTTATTTTGCCACAAGTATTTCCTGCCAACCTTGCCCGAGTGTGCCATGTCGCACAGAATCGGAAGTGCAAACTCCTTTGGTGGTCGTTTCGTTTTCATAATCTTCTGTAGTAATGGGATAATGCCATTGATTGCAGCATCCTCTTGCCGCACCTTGCTGAGTCGACATAGATTATACATTGTATTCAATACCTGATTAGACATCTCCCGGAAATGTGCGGGAGCTTTCTTCATGCTTAAGCTTAACAGATCTATCAGAAGCTCTATGGCATTAGCAGCATGTAAGCTGTCCAGTGTCGTTGATAACATTGAAAGGTTCTTGATGAATTTCAACATAGTAATCTGGTGGGCTGGAGTCATTCGTCGAAGATCTTTGAGAACCCCTACTCGAAATTAGCATGATGAATTGAGAAGTAAGGTGTGAACATACGTTTTAGAACGACGCGTTCGGCTACGACTTCTTTGACGTAATTCTCAGCTTGCGAGAAAAGGTAGAATATGTTGACAATGCGACCCTCGATGAGCTCAGCAAGCTCATCCTCTTCGTCAAGAACACGATCTAGGACTAAAGCAAGAGGCGACAGGATTTTGCTTCTCGAAAATATACGGCAGAAATCGTTCTTCGGTGTTGGTCCCTGCTTGGTGTTAGCTACCAATATCCAAATACTGTGAATAATAGGTCTCTTACCTGAAGTTCGAAGACGTTCCAAATTCCATTGACTCCGATTAGCACTAAATCTCGGGCCTCATCATAGTCTTCATCCAGAAATTCAACAAGAACGTTCAGTCCACCCGCGCTTACGAACATCTGTAAAGTCAACGTTGAGGTCTGGTACATCTGCCGCACAAACGCAGCTGCTTCCAGTCTGATTTCCGTCGAGTATTGCCTAGCAGCAAACTTAGTGATGATTGGAATACCACCAACGAAGCATAAGTTTTCTTGAATTTCTACGTCGTTCAGAATAATCTAAGCAAGTCAGCATAAGCAAACGAACAGGGTGCCAAGGTAGGCTGCTTACAGTGTTGACCACCTTGAGCAGTCGCAGAATCATGCTTTGGCGGCTTTTGACAGTGCAGGGCTCTAAAATCTCGAGAATTGGCAGCATTCCATGAGCGCTGATAATCAGACCCTTTGCATCTTCAGATTCGTAGAGTACATCAAGCTATGAAAATTAGCACCTTGCAGAGTTTTATTATCAGAGTCCTTACCAGCTGCTCTGACAAATCCGCAAGCGTCTCAGGATCTTCCGTCACCTTCAGAGAGCTTACCAAGCCCTCAACCATTGTACAGAGCCTAGCATGCTTGTCACGAGCAATGTTGGCCTGTAAGTCCATCTCATCAAAACCTTGTTCGAGCGAGGCAAACGGATCATCCTCGTCATCTTCATCCCCAAGCCAAGAATTATTCGAAAGCTTAGAATGAAGCATCAGAGCCCCAACTCCATCCTCGGATCCCCGATCACTCTCGTCCGTCTCGACAATCGCATCATCTTTGCCAAAGATGTCCGAGAAATCCTCGTCATCTTCGTCTTCAGCATACCTTTGAATTTCTACGGAAGATCTAGTTCTTCGCATTGACGGATCTTCCCTCCGAGGGGCTGTCTTCCTCCTCATGCTACCATTTCCATTAATAATGGGCGGTTGAGCTGAACGAGGAAGACTCGTAAGATCCGACGGATGGAATAGCTTGGGTGATAGTGCGTCATCCTTGACGATATCGAGTCGGCGATCGAAAAGATTGTCATTGTCTACAAATATATCCGAATAATCTTCTACTGATTGATCTCGATACAATGCTGCGGATCTGGCAGGCAAATCGAACTTTGTTCCCACTTGAGACTTGACAGGAGATTTCGGGCGCGGTGGTGCACTACTTGATGTTTTCCTCGAATGGTTCTTTGGTGTGGGTGCAGGTTTGAGGTCTTGCGTGATCACTGTAGGCTTGACACGATATGGTCGAATGGTCTCGAGGTCAAAGCTGTCGGGTTCTATGTTCTTATGGGGACCTTTGATAGTCATCAGGTCACCCTCAAAGTTATTATCCCAATTGTCACTCTCATCATTTGTAGTATCGAAGGAGGCGAATGCCTTCAATCGATCAGATGAGAGCAATCCACCAAAGTTGTCTTGTGGCTTGAACTGGGGAAGGTGAAGTGCACTTGGTGATATCGAGGTCGCAAAATCATCGTCCCAATTATCATCACCTGGAACAATCAGTAAATACATGACAATTGAAATTTTGACATACCAATACTTTCAGGGGATCGAAATGCCTCGGCCTGGTTTTTAGGCTTTGCTAAGGAAAGCGGGCCTTTGGCAGGTGTGATCATCGCCGCGGGCTGTTGCTCGTTGTGAACGTTCCGAAGAGGAGGGTCCTTCCTCGGAGGCATTGGACTGGCGACATTTGACCTTGTTGAAAGGCGGAAGGAACCAGCTCCAGTGGGCGATCTGAGTGCCTCGTTCCATTGCTTTACTTCCTCAACAGCTTCACTGAAATTGGCAGGAGGCTTTGCAACGGGTGCATCTGTACGCCGGGAGCCTACTATCCAAGCATGCTTCAGCAGTTTCCGAGCAGATACTCGAAGGTTGGGGTCCTTCTGAAAACATTGCATAAGAAAGTCTCGAGCAGCCTGTGGAATGGTTAGAGGACTGTGTCAAAAAGCGGAGGTAGATATCGCTTACTGGTGAGACTCCTTCTGGCAAAGGTGGATGGTCATCATTGACTATGGCAAAAAGTGCTGGCATAGGAGCCAACTTGTGATACGGTGGTTTCCCTTCCAGCAGCTCAATAACAGTACAGCCCAAGCTCCAGATATCAGAAGCAGGAGTGGCTCCAGAGAGTTGGATTATCTCTGGAGCCATCCAATAAGGAGTTCCAACAACTTGTGCTTCCTTATCAGCTCCAGCCAGTGTGCTTGTCGATACCCCAAAATCTGCAAGTTTGACCTTCCCGTCCTTCGTTGTGAGAATATTTGCCCCCTTGATGTCTCGATGAATGACACCCTGGTCGTGTAGATACTGGAGACCCAGCAGAATTTGACCCATATAAACTCCGACGAGGTTCTCGGGAAATTTGCCGTAGCTTTTGCATATCGAGTGCAACGATCCGTTCTCGCAATACCTGCGAATGTTAGAAAATCTCCAGGGGCCTTGGGTGCTAAGACTCACTCTAGTATGATATTTAGGCAGTCTGAAGACTTAACAAATCCCAGGTACTTGACAATATTATCATGCTGTTAAATGTTAGACTGTATTCCTGCGGTTCTCCATGGAACCTAGTACTCACATTCAAGTTTTTCAAAAGGTCTATTTCTGCCTAACCAAGATGTCAGCTCTCAATTTCAGTATAAGCTAGTTTTATAGGTACCTCAATCATGCGTAGCTCGCTTTTGGGCAGGTCTCCTAGCCTGATCTGTTTGACAGCTACCGCTTCTCCAGTTCCCCAATTGAACGCCTTATATACTGATCCAAAGGCTCCTTTGCCTAAACATTCCCCTAGACGCTATGCAACATGTCAGAACTTGGGTTTTCTCTCCTAGGGAAGGACACCCACGTAGTCCTTGAGGCCCGGGTCCTGAAGAGCCTTGTCTTTCCCCGCTCCTCCACCCTCTTTCCTCGGTGTGCCAGGAGTCCTCTCCGTCCTTCCATGTCCACCCCCTGCCCCTGCCCTACCATTTGGTTGACGTTCCGACGAAGATGGAGGATGGGCGACCATGGCCGGTTTGTCGAGACCCAGGAGCGGGTTTCAAAGAATATGGAGAGGAGGTCGGGTGCTTTGGCAGATTGAGCATATCATCCCAATCATGGAGTCTCGGCTTGGTGGACCAGTGTCCTCGTTTCACGTCTCGGGGTATATGATTATGGTCAAGGTTGTGGATATAGGCGGGATCTTTCAAGGTTGGGTTGGGCCTCAGCGCGCATACGACTTTCCAGCGTTTGCCCAAATTCACTTCGCTATTGCTGTTGGGTAAAGAATCTGGCAGCTCGAATGCCACATCCTCTGCTGGTTCTTTACGTAGCAATGCTCTCTTTAAAAAAGTGTTCGTGGTCGGGAAGATAAATTGGCAATGATCAAATGACAAACAACCGGGCTAGGATCTCGCGACTTGCATGTAAGGCTGAAGGCGCGAACTCAAACAAGCCTCCCCAATTGGATTTTGTAGGTAGTCCCGAGGATCAGTCTTACTGTTTTCTTTTTCACATATAATTAGTTGCCAATCATCCTATTAGATAACTACTACAGTCTCATTCAAATCTCACATTTTTTCGATGCATCATTATATTCCGTCTCGCCTGTTTATGTTCCAATGTTCGTCAATTATACTGTACGCTGATCCATTACAAAAAGTAAATTCATTAAGCTTCCTGGTTACCGCAGGTATCACATTTTTTGACCTTTGAGCAGACTCTACCCCGCCAACTTTTTGAGAAATGTAAGCAAATGCAAGACATAATACAAAGTGATATCACAACAAGGGCACAGCCCCACCATTTTCGCATTAGAATTTCATATTATTGTTGCCATCGGGCTCGCTCATAAAGTCGTTGGCTCGCGACGAAGATTGCGGCTCAGACCTGCTGAAACCCAGAACTCATCCGGGATATCGTCAGAATGCGCCATACGTGAAATAATCATATGCATCGAGTCCAAGTCAGGCTCTTCCACAGCACGTGCCTGATCAGCTCGAGCAGTGACTACATCGGCATATGACCTCCAAGCTCGAGGTCCCGTATTCCGACCGAATTCCGCGAGTTCAAACATGTCTTCATCCTCTTCATCGCTTGTAGATCCTGAATCTGACATATCACAATCGTGGAGAACCGGCGTCTCTTCCGAAGGTCCCATACTCGTCATGGAGGTACTGGCTGATGCTGCTGCAGAATCTGATGTTGAAGATGCTGCCGCAATTGCAGATGGTGCTGAAGCGAAAGAAGATCCGGCACTTGGTGGCTGAGGATCAGGTGGAATACTCGACAAAAGCGTGTCCCATGCGGCATCTGTGGGACCATCTGGGCTCAAACTTCGGTCTCGATCTCCTAAGCCATCTAACAGAGCTGCTTGTCGGGCCACTCGACGTTCATTCATCGAAGATCTATTGAGGGCGTGAACTCTCTCCGACAAAGTAGCATCAAGTGGAAGCTGTAAGAAGTGTCAGCCTCCCACGCGCGTGTTTAGAAAGCGTTCAATACAAAAGACGGGGGGAAAACCCGATTGACTAAGACGTGGATGTATTGTACTTACATCGCTCCAAGTCGGCCCAAATGTGCTCCTAATAGAGACAGCCGCCGCGGTATCTGGATCAAATCTTCGAACGGTAAGTCCTGGCTCATGAGGAGGAGGCTGAGATGGCGAAGGAGCAGGTGGTGTCATGGTAGATATTTGACGAAGAGATGCGAGATGGGCTTCAGTATAATGGGGAGTCGGCGCCAGATTTCTTCGCGTTGCAAGTCTCGGCCTAATTTGACGCATCCGCTGCTGATGGTCTTCTATAGCAGAATAGTCTCTAGACTCGGGAACAGGAGGCATCAAAGGACCATCCACCTCCGCGTTCGTGGCGCGTGGACTTTGGCGTTCGAAACTCAAGGTATCGCGATGGCGCGTCTGGCCAGCCTGAAATAGTCGATGGGCTCGCTCCGACGCCGATTCTCCATCGTTTGGAGGACTGGCTCGCTGCATTTCCCAAATCTCATATTCTTCTGGGCTTGTATCGGCAACCATTGATAGTATTCGGCGCCTGCGAGTGTCCGCGATATGGGGACGCGTGATGTGACCGCGAAGAGTTCGATGCCTCCTGATAGCAGATCGCGGTGCAGCAGTCGGCTTTTCCGCCGCTTTCGATGCCACCTGAGGCTCAAGGGGGGCGACAAACAGTCTGCAAGTGAGTTAGCATTGGATGGAGGAAATGCCAGGCGCTGGATCGATCTTACGGCAAGCCCATTTTGGTGCGAAGAAAAGATCTCGGAGGGGCAAAACAAGTGGAGAGGAGTGATAGTGAGGGTTATGCGACGGTGAAAATGGTAGTTTTGGCGATATTTCGGATGGATTGAGTCTATCGCGATGCAAGATTTTGATTGTTGACCTGATTAAAAGAAAGAGGCGGGCGGGCAGGCAAGCGGCGGCTCCGCCTTTCATGCAAGGAATCGACAGGGGTATGACGCTAATCAAGAGGCTGAGAAGGCTCAAAGAACGGAGAACCGGTCCCTACAGCATTGTATCGTTCGCTGACTCACCTCACCAATCCAACTCAATAGCATTTCACTCATTCACACAACAGCAAACTTCACTCAATCATCGACAGTGATATGAATGTTGCCTATGGAATTCATTGGGCAAGCAGTGGCGGCTTTTAGCTGGCAGCCTTGAAAAGATGATCGAGCTCGGGTTGGGGCGCATCAGCCGCCTGGTCCGACAGACTCCTCAGCCTTGGAAGGCTATACACGTTGCAGGTACCAATGGCAAGGGTTCAATATGTGCCTATCTCTCTGCCATGCTTCACGCCAGTGGAGTGCGATGCGGGCGATTCACCTCACCGCATTTGATCGATCGATGGGATTGTATCACCATCAACGAGCAGACTGTCAAGGAATCCGTTTTTCGCGAGGCTGAAGGCTTGGTCAAAAAGGAAAACGAAGCGGAAGATATTGGCGCCTCCGAGTTCGAGCTCCTCACAGCCACGGCGTTCGGGGTATTTGCCAGAGAAAAAATTGAGATGGGAGTCGTGGAGGTCGGTCTTGGAGGTCGACTGGATGCTACAAATGTGATACGAAACAAGGCTGTTACGGTCATCTCAAAGATCGGACTAGACCACCAATCTTTTCTGGGAAACACAATTGAAGAAATTGCGCGTCAGAAGGCAGGCATAATGCGCTCAGGAGTCCCATGTGTTTTGGACAGAAGCAATCCCCCTGCTGTTCTGAAAGTCGTTGAAGACTACGCAAAGGAAATCGGCACAGATGTCGTTCTTAGTTCAACGGAGTCGTCATTCCTTGATGAGCTCTCGCAAGAAGACTACGAGCCTCATGAATGGCAAAACCTAGCTTGTGCGTATACAGCTTTCCATCTAGCCTACACAAAGCAAGAGTCTCCACTGCACCGATTGTCGCCCGCAATACAGAACGTCAACTGGCCTGGACGTCTTCAAGTAACCGATATAAGAAGTCTTACTGGCAGACAGGAGCCTGTTCTCCTGGATGGTGCCCATAATGTTCAATCAGCACAAGTTCTACAAATGTATGTAGATAGGAAGTTGCGGAAGAGTGGAAGCAAAATTATTTGGGTGGTTGCAGCTTCACAGGGGAAGGAACTAGAGGGCATCTTGAAGCCTCTGCTCCACTCAGATGATTTTGTGGCTGCAGTCGAGTTTGGGGCTGTAGACGGGATGCCGTGGGTTCAGGCTATGGACTCTAAAGACATCTTGTCCGCCGCTTCAAATTCCGGGGTCAAAAAAACACAGCTTTATAATGCAGGTGCAGACCTATCTGGTGCACTGCGCTGGGCAGCGACTGTTGCTGATGGCGACCCCATTGTTATTGCGGGCAGTCTCTATCTTGTGTCGGATGTACTGCGTCTCCTCCGCACTGCGAAAGCTTTCAAAGATCACATACTAGGCTAGCAATGTGAAAGAATTCGAAGCCAACGTTTCAAGCAACATTTCGGATGCCAAGTTGCCCCTCATTTGTGCCTATGCTATTACCAGGAGAAATTACTTGATATTGATTCCCACCCCTCTGGCCCTTCTGGATGCGTTGCAGATATGTACAATGGCCACACTTGCCAATACTTACAAATCCCCAGTTCAATTGACCATGTAACACACACACATACTAGATCCACAAGTAATCTAGAAAGTAGCCGCAGCAAGATTGGTATCAAAATTTACATCAATAAAGGGTACATTCGCACTCCCAAAATCCGTATCCTCAAGCGCAGTTTGCGCAACAGCCGGCAACGACTCCCATGCAATCAGAGGCTGCGATCCCCCAACAGTAGTAGTAAGACCGCAAGAGTGATCCACAGGCCAGACGCTCTCATACTTAATCAGAGCAGCGGTTTCAGAGAGTGTGTACCCGTCCGTTGAGCAGTCCCACTTGCCGTGCGCAGATGGACATACGGCAAGGATGTTGGAGGCTGTTGTGGCGGTTGAGCTGGTGAGCCAAATTATCACGCCTTCCCAATCATGACGGTGGCCAAGGCCATCGCTGGGCTCGTCTTTGGGCATATACCTTTGACTGTTAGTAGGCGGATATACGGCTGGAGATGAATAAGACACACCAGGAATACATCAGGGCGTAGTTATCGCCATATGTAGCGCCACGAACGTATATCTGCCCAGTACTGCTGCTGCAATCACCGTTCGAAGAACCTGTGGTATCTAGGCCAGCGCTAAAATATGTTAGAGATTGAGATTTACGGGGTTGTGACAGACATACTTGGTATCGCCAGCAGCGTCCACAGCGGGGAAGGGAACACAACCATTAACTACGTAGAGAAATGGCTGGTACGCCTCATAAACCGTGCCGACGGTACCACTGGGTACGGTCTCAGGGAAGCCCACGATGTCGTCCGAGCCAATAGTTCCACGACGTCCAAGTGGTGATGCATTGACGGCGAGGAGAGCCATGGAAAGCTGTAGGAGTCTTGAAATAAGAGCCATTATGAATACGAAAATAAATATTAAATTGGGCGGAACGAGTAACAACCAGCAATAATTCGAGAAAAGGAAAAGTGCACGGCTCTTATACAATTTCCATATACCATGGGATCGCCGCACATCCTCGGGCATTGAAAGTATAAATTAAATCTCAACGACGATAATAACTGTGGATTCAGAATGAATTCCAATCGGGAAATAGACCTTCATCACGTTGCAGCTATCGCCAGGTCCTCTCCACAAGTGCCGGGCCAAGAAATCCATGTCCTAGGAAAACGTGGTGGGATAGATCGCATCGTACCTTCTTAAAGCAAGGCATAATAAATAGAAAGTGGGATGCGACGGCTGCATAACCGAATGCGGAAGGAGTCAAGTTGCCATACGAAGTAAAGGGGGTCACTCAAACTTAATTATGCTTTCTTAAAAGACTTCACTTATGAACAGGGTGTGCTTAATGTGCTAGCTAAGTACATGGGTAATGGTTGGTGGAGTGGAGTGGGATGAAGGAGATAAGCGAGTGAGGAAAGGGGTAACGTGGGGCAAAAACCTAACAGGGCAAAGCCGCAAGGCTGGTATGCTATTTATACTTCTAGTTCTGGTGTTTTCAACGTCCTGACAGGACAATTCCCAAGATAGCTTGATGGGCGTACTCTTAATGGAATCCATACGTCTAATACTCCCTACAGAATGTCCCCTCAAAAATGACCATTCTATGCCCCTGGATAAAGTCTAGTGAAAAGAATTGGTAGAAATATTCTACACATCTCTGATAATAATATTTTGTTCTTTCTTTGTTTCACTTTATACCCCCCATGTCTGAAGTTCCAAAGCTTCGCTCGAGTATGTTAATCCAGCTTGCTTCAACGTCTGTATTTGTCACCCGATATATTCCATCATACGAAGAGCGGGATAGAGGATCTCTACGATCCCTAAGTGTAGTACTTCGAGAACCGCCTGTTCGACGGGAGATTGCCTTGGATCTGTTCGACAGTGGTACGCCGACACTGGATATATAGAAGCAGTAAGCATTTCTCCGGACCTTTTGAGATCCCTATTATACCACATTTGCGGGATTTGAGACCTAAAAACTACCCCCTGAATTTCAATCCATGAAGAAGCATCGCTAACTCCAATAATCTGTAGCAAGGAACAAGACGAAAGTTATGGATCCTATCGAGGCCACTGCGTTGCATGACGTATTTGGTGAAAACCGGACAGCTAGGAAACCGTTATTCCTAGGTTCCTTCAAGTCCAAGATTGGCCATTTAGAGACTGCTTCTGGTAAACTTATAGCCTGATGCTCCTTTCACGGGCTGCAAAAGAGGCAGGCAAGCGCTCATAATGCTGAAATTGGCCTCCAGCAATGCTCGAAGCGACGATTGGCCGATGTAAAATGGGAAGTCTATGAGCAGAAGCGGGATTGAGTTTAGGAGTGCACGAAGAGCCAATATGACACAAATACTGAGTATGGTTTTGTTCATTGCCAGTAGTTCAGGGTAATCACTAAAAGCTGTTGGTTTATACGTACAAAAAACCCATTCTACACACAATATGGCAGTACATGCTATTCGGTTTCTAAGAGTCATAAAACAACACAACCACGTTCCTACGTCCCTACGCCCGCCACTCGTTACACACAACATGTTACACACAACGCGAGCACACTGTAATACGACCAATCGAAACCCCGATGCAAATATATTGCGGCGTTCTTAAATGCATATTGACAGGTAACACTTGCTAACGATATTGCACATCTTCAGTGTAACTACCCCCACCACACCAGCAGAAAAATCTAAATGTTTACTTGAACTTGAGGGTTTCGATCATTTCACTATCCAGGAAAGAACTCCCTCACGGATACACTAGAATAGTCTTCCGCCGAAGTACCCCGCTTTACTCAAGATGTACAAATGATGAGCCTATATTTTCAAGTTGAGTATGAAATGTAGAAGAGGCGGTAGGAGAAAGCGTTGCGAGTATGAATATCAATCCTAGAACAGCTTCCAAAGACACCAGAACAGGGGAAATGCTGGCGCTTCTACTTCTAACCAAGCGCTGGCAAGGTTGTCAGAGAGGCCGGGCGGTAGAAACCAAAACATTCAAAGTCATGTGTGTGAACGGAGAAGTGGGATGAAGTTGAGGTTTGCCATTCAAATATACGGCAGTTTAACCACATTACTGACGAGCGAGGAGCATATAACCTAAAGCACAAAAGCATCGCCCACAAAACACCCTTATACCCAATGCACCTGTGCTAAGATTCCCATTGCTTCCCATATACTCAAGCCTCAAGCATGACCACCGCCTTTGCATGTTGAACATCAAGCGATAAGGCATCGTTGAGCATCGTATTCCCTACACCCCACACCTGGCCGTCGTCCCATCGAAATCTATTCGGTCTGTCCGTGGGACATGGAGATTTTGTTCCCTCCACTTCCATTTCGGTTTCCATTTCCATTGATACAAAGCGACCTACTCCTCATAGCTTCTAGCAAACCAGAGTGGCACCCCCAGTCTCAATAGCATCAATCTCGCTCAGATCAATGGGAGTCCGGCGGAACCGAGCAGGCAGCTCGCTGCGGTCGAAAAACTCGCCCTTGGCCGGAGCCACGGACCCAAGCGAGTGTCCAGACTGAGCGCCAATGCTGCCTTCGCTAGAGCTTGATCGGCCGAGGGGGCCGTGTTGCTGTGCCTTTTGTCTGTAGGAGGAGAAGGAGGGGGAGGAGTTTTTGGAGAAGTCGGCGGGGAGTTCGTGGGAAGGGGAGGCTGGGTGGGCGTGTGGGGTGTGGTCGACGGATGCTGATTTTTTGTTAGTATACCTATAACAAAACACGTAAACAAGTAGGAATGGACATACAAGGAATCGAGCGTTTGCCTATGAATTTGATCAAGGGCGTGCGTTCAGCAGCTGCAGAGGCCTGCCTAAGAGCTTTGGTCGCAAACATCTTTCGAGATCGGGATTCGGATTAAAAATTGAGGGTGAAGCTGGCGATAAGGTCTAGGATCCTACTGGAGTAATTGTACTGCGATAACTTTCGTGTGTGGTTTTGCAATTGTTGCGGGCTTGGGTGATATTTTGACGCGGTGGGTGGATGGATGGATGGAACTTTATGGTTTCACGGTCACGGCCGAGTGGGGAGGGAGTTCGTCAAAGTCACTGCAGTAGCGGCGCAGCGTGCAGGTTGACAATAAATGGGGGAGCTTTACAGTGCTCCGTACAGTACAGCAGCGAAAACCGGAAGGAGTGGCCGGTGAAAACTTCCACATGCAGACCCTTTTCACGGAAATATTGGACAGCAAAGCATGCAGTATGCCACACCAGGCATTTTTATTCCAAACGTGGGGTAAAACTCGCTGGGTTGAAAAATAAATATGCTGATACTGAAGAGAAAACCAGCCCTTTTTTCCTGTAAATCTGCAATCGGCCAACTCCGCCCGTTTACGGACATGTACTGCACCAAAATGGCGTGACGCTCCAGCGGCATTAAGGCGTGAGTGAAACTCCGTAGGTACCTTAGGCTACGGATCACGGTAGTAGTGACGGTACAGTATGATTCAGTCTATCTTATCCGCATCTGCTTTGCCATGTGTGTGGTCAGGGAACCCTACTGTAACATTATTTCCCCGCCGACCGAGGTGCTGTTGCAGATCTCCAGGTTACAGGGCCCAGGGCTTAAGGCCGGTTAGTTGCATACACTCGGGACATCCCATGTTACTTCTTCCGAGTATTTTAAAGGTTGAGGAGGAAGATGTGATTGGTGTAAAAGTACTCTGGGAACGTTCATCTATAGACGGGAGTATTTCGTATGGCATGAGGATATGATTCCAGTATATAAGCTATGAACCCCCCCAATAATATGCTAAGTAAGTTTTTCTCTCTAGTTTTGGCCATATGTATCTTGACAAAAGCCTATTCGAGGCTCCGTTCAAGTTTTGAAAGCATCGATATCATCCTGGAAGTGGCGTCAATCCTAGCTTTCGCCGTGGTAGCCAGTTCCTTGGTAATTGCGAATGCAATGACAACAAAGGCGTTGGAAAACTCCGGTATCATTCTCCAGATTTTGCATCGTTTGAACACGAGCTAAGTTTATCGGGGTCAAAATACAACTTCTTGCTCTTCACTTCACCACGTTCAAGGAGGTCTTGTAGTCTGAGGTTGAGTTGTCGATGGCGGCACTGTCTTGAACTTTCCGGGTCTCTCTCTTCATTGGATTGCTTAGGTTTAATAGATAAATCCGAAGTGCATGGCTACCACCTTGGACTTGTTCAAACCAATGCGGCTGAAAGACTGCTGCCAACGCATAAGGCTCAACATTACCGTAAATGGTCAAAAGGACCGGCAACCATGGCAGCTTAGAGGTCTTAGTTTGTGGGGAATTACATGAGAACAACACTAACAGAGCATATACTCACATGTCTCGGACATATTCTCATCCCGAAGACGCTGTCTGCAGGAGCACGTTCCATGGCAAGGGGAGCCTTGCTGATTACATTCATTCAAACCAAAGCCATCGGTCTCTTCAAGTTCTGCTCCCTTGTTTGAAACCCAAATCTCGTAATGGACATGTGAGCCGAGGCCTTTCATAGCTCGAATGGAAGACTTCGAGAAACTGTGTAGACATCTGAATAGCTGATTGCCGAGGCTTCATATGCCGATCCTATTTTATGCTGCAAGAACTCAGGAAGTTTGACTGCATGCACTTGCACCTGCATCTCTTTCTTGCAGTAGGAATGATGAGTTTTGGCAACGATATATACTCGGCAGTGATTGAGACTTTTCAAGATCGATGTCACGCAGAAAATGAAGCCCCCGATTCCCGTGCTTTCGCAGCCCGGGGTCTACTAATAAGCTTAAATATCGCGCATACTTGCTACATGTGTGCTCGCATCGATCACAGTCAGCCGCTGAGCTGACTGGAAGATATGTGTTGCCAAAATAATGTGCCGGTTCTTTGATATTTGTACAGTGGTACCGGGCTTATGAAGAAAGACTTGAAGTTGTGTTTAGAGCAGCGGGACTGGGAGAAGAATGCAAAAGTAATGGGGTGCAAGAATATGAATTCTTGTTAAAGGTCATAATCAAATGTCGATTGTCATTATTGAGTGAGATATTGGACTTCGAATAATCTTGATTGACGTTGAAATTGAAATTGAAGTTGAAGATGTTTTGTATCGGCCTATATTTTCTCCGAGCATCCTCATTGGCTCGCGCCGAATTTGGAAGCAAGTCTTCACATTGAGCACCATGCGCGTTGTACATCTGATATTCATGAACCTTCTTATCTTTTAATCTTGAGTGCAAGCGATTTCGCATCCAGAAGTCGTTATTGCCTCTTCTTCTCCTTATCTGAAAAGATCCACATCTATGCTTGTCTCTGAGTAGTCCCTAGTCGCCTTCCCCAGTGACTTGGACGAAGTCTCAAGGCTTAGGAGATATTGATCGACCCCCGAGTGAATTGCTTTTTGAATAGCTGCACGGGGTCCTTACACCAAGACAAAGGTGCTCTTGCCCGAAGCTCTTGCTTGACGATCTGAAAGGCCTTAATTCTTGCACAGGTTGCCATACCATCGCCATCGCTTTTCCATGCTAATATATGAACAGAGCAATACTTCCGGGGGTGCCATCATGCATGAGTTATTTTTGACTTCTCATATCGCCAACGATGACCTCTCAAGAACGGTCCGGATTCTCCAAGGCTACTGCGGGATGAAGCCAGTGTCTCTCATTGAAAGGCGCTTGATGTGGGAAGGCCCACGTGCCCGCACCAATCTGAAAGGCATAGATCCAGGTTTCCTCATGAGACAACCGCCGCAGCTGGCACCAGTATGGCGAGGTCTCCACGAGCAGCTGGTGAGGCAATCATACATCCTCACATTGATATACGATGTCACTCGAGATTTTGGTCAAGCAGAGGCAAATGGCAATGAAGAGAAACCGTAAGTTTGTCCCAGGTATATCCTTCTCTATGAAGGGCGTTAGTACCTCTGTGATTTTGATATCCAGGGCGAAGAACCTGATGCTGACGTTATCCCATCCAAGAGTACTAGATTGTGACCAATTACCAGGGACTCTCAGATGGAGTGATCTTCCTGACCCAGGAGTAAATAGGCCAGTAAACACAAGGCCAATAATCAGTATCGAGGAGCAGAGGGGACTGTGTACAATCATGCAATCTATGGGACACCGGTAGGTTCTACACTAAACGCTACATCTCGGTTTCACTGCCTAACGAGTTTTAGGTTCATCAAAGAAATTATCCAAGAATGCTACAGATTCATAAACAACAATGTCGTCTTCGAATTAAGCCGTTACCTTCAGCTTCCGGACCACGCTGGGAATAAGCAACAGCGAAAGATTAGTACCCATTTACCCCCTTTCCAGTCTCTCGTTGCCTTCGATTTGGAAAATAAGTGGATTTTGACGGCCAGTGTGAGAGTTGCAAATGGGAATGACCCGGATCAGATGCAGCAAGGTATCGGGGAGCTGACAACTGTCAAGACGGAATTCGAGGGCTGCTTTGACCTTCATATGGTCGACCGTCATACTGTTGATACCAGGGTCAAAATCTGAGATGAGTTTTGGAGGGTGGCGTAAGGGGACCTAGATCATAAGGTTTTCGGCATTTCAGATGAACCGCTATGTTTAACGTTTATGCAATGTGACCAGTCTTCTCTTTCCCTAATAGGGTTCAAACATTAGAAGTAGACCTTTGATGCAATAAAGCGTCCTTCACGTCGAATATCACATGTTTGTAGCTGCTGATGGGGTTTAACGTCCTTCCATTTATACATCAATGCCTGCACCATCCTCTACTCTATGTTCATTCTTCCCCTTCCTCTGTATCACGCTCTATCCCTGGTTCTTCTTTGTCTGCCAGACGCAAATACCGAAAGGAGCAGCTGCACCTACATTAGCATGTTGTGCCAGTAGTGGCGTCCTGAGAGCTTACCGAAGCCAACTGTCATGAAAGTCCAGTATCTGACCGCAAAGTACTTTGTCAATGGGTTGAATGGGAGGTTGCTTCGAGGACCCTCGGGGTAATGGTATGGTGATGACATTTGGGAGCGGGTTGAGTGGAATCCCCGGCGAAGGGCGACCCTCGAGGTCATTGCGGAAACGCGGACTGCGGCTTGGGATAGCATCTAGGAATATCTTATCAGTCCAGAAATATCTCAATTGGCATAAATACCAGCGCACCTTGAAGTTTGATTGAGTGAAGTGTTTGGGGGGAAGGATGGAAATGTCGTTCGATGTCTCGCGAAAGGGAGCTTGTTAGAAATGCCGCTAGCCGTTTATTGTGGTTAAACTTCGGCAAGTTCGAAGCTTCCGATCAAAATTCTTTAAGCAAAGACTGTTGATCTTGCGATAATCAACATTCGGACTCTCTTCCTTGGAGCTACAAACTCTAGCCAAGATGGAAGAAATGTTCGATGTCTTCGAGGACAAGCCCCAGGCCTCTGTCTCTGTCTCCGAAAAACCCAGGAAATCGAAAAAAGAGAAAAAAGACAGGAACAAGAAGAGGAATCTGAACGGAGACGTCAAAAAGGTCGCAGAGGAGCAAGATGTCGATTCTGACATGAAAGATGCGGAGCATGCGGTAGAAATAATGGAGGAGGAAACAGAAAGCAATGAGCTGGAAGAGATGCAAGATGCTAAGAGGCGGCGCATGGAGCAGGAAGCAGAACCAGTGGTTACAGATACCTTTCAAACAGAGCAGTCGCGAGAGGTCGCAGGTTCAGCGGGTTTACAAGCCAAAGACGACGGAGCTCTGGTCATTCAACACAACATTCAACATCAAGTCTCCCTGCCTCCCGACTACGCATACATACCGATCTCACAACATAAACCACCTGAAAAGCCGGCTCGAGTGTATCCTTTTGAGCTTGATCCTTTCCAGAAGGTCTCAATTGCTTCTATAGAAAGAAATGAGAGTGTACTAGTATCGGCGCATACGAGTGCGGGGAAAACTGTTGTTGCGGAGTACGCTATTGCACAATGTTTGAAGAACAACCAGAGGGTCATCTACACAAGTCCAATCAAAGCATTGAGCAATCAGAAGTACCGAGAGTTTACGCAGGAATTTGGAGACGTTGGACTCATGACCGGAGATGTTACCATCAATCCAACAGCTACTTGTTTGGTCATGACAACAGAAATTTTGAGATCTATGTTGTATCGGGGCTCGGAAATCATGCGTGAGGTTGCTTGGGTCATTTTCGACGAGATCCATTACATGAGAGATAAAACTCGTGGTGTGGTTTGGGAAGAGACTATTATCTTATTACCTGACAAGGTCAGATATGTCTTTTTGTCGGCCACTATTCCCAATGCTATGCAATTTGCAGAGTGGATTACAAAGACACATCAACAGCCCTGTCATATCGTCTACACAGATTTCCGACCGACACCCTTACAACACTATTTCTTCCCCGCAGGAGCTGACGGCATCCACTTGATTGTTGACGAGAAAGGCAACTTCCGAGAGGACAATTTCCAAAAGGCCATGTCAACCATTGAAGAAAAAAGCGGTGCCGACCCAGCAGATGTCAACGCAAAGCAGAAAGGCCGGGGGAAAGCCAAGAAGACGAACACCGGCGGCAACAAGGATACCTCGGACATCTACAAGATCGTCCGAATGATTATGCTGAAACACTATAATCCAGTCATTGTCTTTAGTTTCAGTAAACGAGAATGTGAGGCTTACGCTTTGCAGATGAGTACGATGGCTTTCAATGATGAATCGGAGAAGAACATGGTACAGAAAGTCTTTGAGAACGCCATCGAGTCGTTATCGGAAGAAGACAGGACTCTTCCGCAAATTCAACATATCTTACCGTTATTACGTCGAGGTATTGGTGTTCATCACTCCGGACTATTGCCCATCTTGAAGGAGACCATTGAGATCTTATTCCAAGAGAATCTGATCAAAGTGCTGTTCGCCACGGAGACTTTCTCTATTGGTCTGAATATGCCTGCCAAGACCGTCGTTTTTACGAGTGTCCAGAAGTTTGATGGTACTAAGATGAGGCATCTAACTCCCTCAGAATTCGTACAAATGTCTGGACGTGCAGGCAGAAGAGGACTCGATGACAGAGGCATCGTTATTATGATGATCGACAGCAAGATGGAGCCTGCAACTGCGAAAGAAATCGTACGAGGCGAGCAAGATAAGCTCAACTCTGCTTTTTATCTCGGCTACAATATGATTCTCAATCTGATGCGTGTTGAAGGCATCTCACCAGAGTTCATGCTAGAGCACTGCTTTTTCCAATTCCAGAACACGTCTGGTGTCTCTGGACTAGAAAAGGAGCTCCAAGATTTACATACAGAACGGGATAACCTCGAGATCGCGGACGAAGCTACCATAAAGGAGTACTACGATCTTCGGCAGCAGATCACATCCTACACCAAGGACATGCACGATGTCATTAACCATCCTGCTTACTGTCTGCAGTTCATGAATCCTGGGAGACTCGTTCATATCAAGTTCGGCGATCAAGATTTTGGATGGGGTGCTGTGGTCAAATTTACCGCACGGCGACCAAAAAAGGGCAGCGACGAGACTTACGCCCCACAAGAATCGTATATCCTCGACGTGTTACTCCAGGTATCCGATAGTTCATCGGTTGGTACGCAAACTTCAACCGATATTCCGGTCGGTGTCTACCCACCTGCTGAGGGTGAGAAGAGCAAGATGGAAGTAGTCCCGGTCCTGTTATCATGCGTGGAAGCAATTGGCCACGTCCGTATATTTCTCCCTAAGGATCTGAAATCAACGGACCAGCGCAATACCATCCGCAAAGCATTGGATGAAGTCAAGCGTAGGTTTCCGGACGGTATTGCGATCTTGGACCCGATTGACAATATGGGCATTACCGACGATTCCTTCAAGAAGCTCCTGCGTAAGATAGAAGTTCTTGAATCCCGCCTTTTGTCAAATCCCCTCCACAACTCACCCCGCCTACCCGAACTTTACAACCAGTATGCCGGGAAGATGGAAATCGGACGCAAGATCAAGGAGAAGAAGAAACAAATAACCGAAGCATTGAGTATTATGCAGTTGGATGAACTTAAGTCTCGCAAGCGAGTCCTACGCCGTCTCAACTTCATCAACGACCAAGAAGTTGTGGAGCTCAAGGCTCGTGTCGCTTGTGAGATCTCGTCCACTGGCGATGGCCATGAGCTCCTCCTATCTGAGCTGCTCTTTGACCGCTTTTTCAACGAAATGCCACCCGACATGTGCGCCGCAGTTCTCTCTTGCTTTATCTTTGAGGAGAAGACTAAGGCCCCACCCGTAAAGGATGAAATGGCCAAGCATTATGCTGAGATCTTGCGCCAGGCGAAGATCATTGCGAAGGTAGCACGGGAGAGTAAGTTGGAGTTGAATGAAAAGGAATACGTGGAAACTTTCAAGCAGGAACTTATGGGCGTTGTGCTGGCTTGGGCTCAGGGGAAGTCATTTTCTGAAATTTGGTATGTCCTACACCCTCCTTACCCGTCCCCACCGTTTACTGATAACCCAAATAGCAAAATGACGGAAGTCTACGAAGGTTCACTCATTCGTCTCTTCCGACGACTAGAAGAACTGCTTAGACAAATGGCTCAAGCTGCTAAAGTCATGGGCTCCGATGAGCTTGCCGCTAAGTTCGAGTTGTCGCTCAGCACGATTAGACGAGATATTGTTGCAGCTCAGAGTCTGTACTTGTAAGTCAGGATTTTGATCTCGGCTTGGAAATGAACGGGAGATGGGCATATGAAATAAAAAGTACGCATGGTCGGCTGGGTGCGTGGAGCTTGGCGTTCTGATATTTCATCTAAAGGGTTTTGTCTGCCTTTGATATCCACTGGTAGTTGATGTTCTTTGCATGAATTCCTTATGCTGGAGTTCAGCTACTGAGGCTCCCGCTTTTTACTTTGGACATCAAGGGTGATGCTTCCATATTCTGTGATTCGTCCCGAGTGAGTTTTAGGTACAGTAGGTAGGTGCATCGCCGAGTCCTTTAACACCAATAACCCGGCTTAACCTTTAATCAATCTTCGACGCTGTGCAGTAGTACCGGTAGGATCTCGTTCCAAACAGCGGGCCAGATCAGATCAAGGGGAATTCTATCATTTATTTGCTTTTTCACGATGCATGAAATCTATTCGATGCCCTTGTTGTCTGACACGTGTAAATAGTGACATCTCATGAATTGTGATTGCTGTCATGGATTTGTCAATAGAAGAAGAAAGCAAAAAAGCCACCGAGTACGGAAACCCAGACCCTGCGGTCTAGAAGGGCTGCGGCGTACGTGCATAGCTGCCATGGGAGGACCATGTCAAGCCATGTGAAATCTTAACGCTCAGACTGAATCTTTACTGAGTACTACTGTTGTATGACTGTACTGGTCTTTTGGAGGGGTCCAGAATCAGGGGATACAAGCATGTACTGTGAGACGGAACCCGACAAGCAAACACAGCCTTGCGGCATTGGTACCCTACACTTGAACATTTACCCCTGACTAAAGCTCCTCCACGAATGGCAAGCGGATCGGAATACGAATGTAGCCATGACTCAATACTACAATAACTTACGTCCTTCTCAAGTTCCTTCCCGTTAAAGCTCTGTAGGTAGCCGGCCGAAGGGGAGACGCAAGCCGCGTTTCTCTGGAACAAGTCTCTTGTTCCGATGCAGGACATGAGGGGCGATTCGTGGCTGCTTCGTAAGGCGCTGAAAAGACGTTTACAATGTTAATTAAGCCTCGACATTTTTTCCCTGTGGGATGTGGATGTTGTTCATCTGCAATGCAAGCCCGGTCAGGCTAAAGAGGTGTCTGCCAATCATCCTGAAATGCGTTGTTCTTTCTAGGCCAATTCTGCATAACATAGCATCTTTCAACCGGGACTTCCTAGGTAGGTACCTGTTCACTGCAGCGCCAGTCGCGGGTGAAAGAGTTTATTAGCAGAAGTCTTTATTAACGGTGTTGGATATAAAGTACCATAGTGCCTTGTCTTATGCTCAAACTGTGGCCTTTTCTATATATAGAGACATACGGTATAATATGGTATATAGCTTTTCAATATGGCAGAGGTTCAGGATTCCCCTCCTTCAGTGACCTCAATCGAGACAATCATCGCCCGATGTAGAGCCCCTGAGTCGCAATTCGGAAGTAGATCTGCAGCTGATAAGAAGTGGCCAGGGTCTAGTTTGTACTCCTATACAGTAGTACGGTGAAAGAAAGAACATCTGCAACAGACAACTTGTCAACTTAACAACTTGACAACTCAGACTTTTACTTTTCCATTCTCTCTACTTTACTGTAATTGTATAATAGCACTTACTGTGATTTCGAACTGCTCCATATTAGAGCTCCAGACCGCCTAGATCACATTCCAGACCCCTGCGGACAGATTTTGTCACCAACGCTGCACACCCACAGACGAATACTAGCACTGTATCGTCTACTACTATTTTGCTAGCAGGCATTGTTGGGATCTACGAAGACCCTCCCCCCACTTCTTTCAACACCACATCTCTTCTCGTCTCCTCATTCACCGTCTCCTGCGTTCTCAGAAGCATAAACTCTAGCATATTTACTCTCCTGCCTATTCCTTTCGAGAATTGAATCAAAAACAGTCACCCAACCGCCCGTCACCTTTTTTCACAGGTCGAGGCACTGGTCTGGAGTTTTCAATGTCATACTAACGCGGTCGACGCAATCCTTCAAGGCACTGAACAGCACACGAACGTTGTCAATAGACCTCAAGACGTGGTATGCCATGGATACCTCTTCCGCACCTCTAGCCGATTACTTCTGGATCGCCGGTATCGACTCGCTTTCCTACAATGACTCCCTCTTCAGGCCACAAAATCCCAGTGACCTTAATGGCGCCGGGCCACCCTCACCAAGAGTCGACGCAACAATAGAAGAAGCGGACAGTGAAGGAGAAGGACCTGGATCACCTGTAAATAAAGAAAATGACGCCCCTAAAGCCACGGCCCGGCATTCTCGCACCAATTCCTGGAATCGGCTCAGCAAGCTATCCAGCGATGCACGAAATTCAATTTCGACGCTCGATGAGCTCGAAAGCACAGCTAGTAACAGAAGCAGTATGACTATCAAGGCTCTGCCCATGAATGGCAACGAGGGCAGTGGTGCTTTGGGGGATTTCGATTTCGACAAGGCCTTGACGAAATTTGCGAATGAGAGGGAGAATTTCCTGGATGACTTGAGCTTTTCTGCAGGAGCTCCTGTTCAGAGCAGGCCGCCGATGACAACGCCAATCATAAATACGCGGGCAGAGAGACTCAGGGTGGAAGATGGGGAGTTCGGTGGGACACCAGGGAGGAAAAGCCCTTTGCTAAGGAGTGTAGGAGGTAGCATACGACGACGGATCAGTTTTAGGGACATGAACAGTATGAAGAGGCAACCAAGTGTTCAGAGAACAAGTAAGTCGGATTTGAGGTTTCATATAAATGACTGGAAAGGATTATATAACATGATTGGAATCAGGTTTCTAGGGGGGGCTTTGTTGATCCTATGACTACGTGCTGACATGTTGCATCTGCAGCCTCTGTACGCACATCAAGACGGATGAGCAATTACAACTCTGTTATTCCACCTCCCGAACCTTTGAATATCGATCCAGATACCCACCCCCTGAAACGAACCTTCGAACCCGTATTACTGGACCGATACCCCCCGAAGCATGCAACGGACGAGGTAAAGAGACGAGGACGATTCCCTGACTACATACCTATGTTTGCATTTCCAAATGATGTTACTATCATGTCTTCAGACGAACGGCCCCGGTCGACATGGCATGGTTTTGCAATGACCTCTGACGACAATTCGAAGATCTATGGCATTACGGTTATTGTATGGATGCCGCTGAACTCGGACGCAGCTGAGAATGTCGAGAGGCGATGCGAGCAATGGAGGCAGCGCCACATGACAAATGAAGAAAGGGAATTGGCTGCAAGCTTGGGAGAAAGATTGGCTTCGGAACGTGCAAATTTGTCTCAGTTACTGGCGAGGTTACCAACTGTAGTCTCCGGTTCAGATGCCAGAGATGCCCTGGAAGAGCAAATTAGTGCTGTGGAAGAGAAGATTTCACTGATGACTGATATGTTACGGCCCGTACGACATGGAGCTGCTTCCAAGATCGATGGTTTGACAGATGGTGAGACTGGGCTGTGGTCACCCAGAGCTTATGGAATCATTGGACGAGATGGCAGTATGACTAGCTTCTGGAAGGAGTGGTTACGAGCTGTGGTCGTTCCTATGACTAATGGAGCCATTTACAGGGTTCCAGCAAGTACCCCAACGCTCGGACAATGGCAACCCCTGGAGCGATATGTCGTCAACCTCTGTACAGAAGCATTGAGCCCCATCTCCTCGAAGACTCAGGTTGAATTAGGAGTCAGAGAACTGCGATTATTTGCGAGGAAGGAAGCTGCAAATGAACTTCCGGAGTCTCGCAGCACTGATCTCTACGCTTTGTTTAGAGCTCTCACTATTCAAAATATTGTGGCTTTATTCGAATTTGCCTTGTCGGAATCTAGAATCATATTACTATCATCACATACGGCTATGCTCCATCTTGCAAGCAAAGCTATAGCAAGCTTGTTATATCCCATGAAATGGGCGAGTATTTTCATTCCGGTTCTGCCTAAACGGTTGATTCAAGTCTTGGAAGCACCCTGCCCATATATCGTCGGGATTGAGAGGAGATACGATAATTTGGAACTTCCAGAAGATGACTACGTTTTAGTAGATTTAGATCAAGATACCATAAATGCAACATCAGCACCTGACGCTCTGCCTCGGCAACAACGTCGAAAACTCGTTTCACTCCTCCAGTTGGCAGCTCCTCATCATAACAGATGTGGAGTTCAAGTTGGACCACCACCATACGCTATCGAAACCTTTCCTTACGATGCCTTCACATCTGAGAACGAAGCAATCTTCACCCAGAACGCCCCTCCTAGTTCCCTGGCACAGTACGTGGCCCAAAATTCAACAACTTTCGGAGAGCCTGATCCGATAGCTTCGAAACGGGCGTTGGTCTTCAATGCATTCTTGCAAACGAAGAATGATCACAGTCGTGTGGAGAGACCTTTGACAAGTAAATCTTCAGCCAGAGCTAGTCCCCCTTCATCGGTCTCGCCGGTATCAGGACACTTTCCGCCTTTACCAACCACGCCTGTCTCGCGGAACGATTCTGGATTTGCTCTTGCCGCTACATTAAGGGAGAAAAGGTCGGGACACTTCGATGCTAATTCAAGAAGAAGCTCATCATTCAATGTGGATAGACAACCTACGCTACGTCGACCGAGCGCGCCTTTCGGTGCCGGTCACTCCTCAAGCCTGTCTACCTCCGCTGTGTCCATAGACGCCCAATCTATGTATGGCTACGCTCCCTCAGCTTACGCGGCTTCGACCCTAGCTGCCTCGACCATCATGCCGAATATGCTCATGCAGCCAGTCCGGAATACGGATAGTATGATCTGGGTTGAGGGCCACTGTATGGTCCTGAAACCAAATGACAACTCGTCCGTTTGCTCTATCTGTGAAGAGAAGCCTGACGGGGATGGAACATACAAATGCACGAGCTGTACCACGGTCGCTCATGGTCGCTGCTTGGGTACGCTATCTTTGGTCTGCCCAGCAGCATTCCACGCCGATCGCGTACGAGCAGCCTTCGTCCGTTGCTTTGCAAGTCTCTTCTACACTTACAGGAAGTATCTGAATAGACCGACGAGGGAGCAAAAGAAGAGCGGCCAACTTTACGGTTTCGACATGGATGGATTCTTGAAAAGTTTGCCAACTGAACAGCAGGAGTATATCACTATGTTGAAGCAGACACAAGGTAATTTTCTCCTCACCCATTACTTTATCAACCTCTAACACATTTTACAGCATTCAACGAATTTATCCATGAGCGTGAAACCAATCCCTCCAACTCCCCCAAAGTCCAACTCTTCGATAGTATCATCCTGTCCAAGAAATCCCGCGGCCGCACCTCTTTCTTCTCCTCACGTGGTGCCTCAAGATCCTCCTATCTTGACGATACCTCCGATCATCTCTGGCGAAGTGCTGCAGTGCCCACGCCGAGCTGGAAGGTTCCAGGCGATCTTCACGCTATTACAACGCGCATCCCGGCTCAGCTAGATGTCACGCTGATGCGGGAGCCGAGAGTTATTCAGGGCGTTCCGAGGATGGATATGCCCGGGAAGAGAGTAGGACGAAAAGCGGTTCCGAGTTTGCTTGGGATTAGTGGTCGAGGCTAAACACGGCCAACGATCGTCACTGCTTGCCCAAACCCAAAAGCAACAAAAAGAATGTCATAAGAAAAAAATAACAGAATGAAAACGAAATAAGAAAGTTGCAACGACTGAAGGACCTAATGACACATTCTTGTAAGATACGAGCAACATCAGCAAAAGCATTGGACGGGATGGTTTCTGGTGTACATGTGTATGTATATAGGTGTTCGGGAGCAAGGCATAAAAGACAGACGACAAGCAGGCGTTTGAACGTGATTGGAGTGAGCCAGTAGAGGGGGGGTTGGAATACGCGTCTGGAATGAAGGGTAGATTGTTCAAGAGATGAAGGGATAATATATGTCGATACCCAAGCCCCCTCCAAAAGTACCTTTGCCATTAGTCGTAGCCGTATTTGAAGTACCACATACCAAACAACTGTTTGCTATTGTCGAGTGACAGGTCTCTGCGGACGGGAAAAGGGCGTTTGATTTCTGTGAACCCTAATTTCATGTACTCGTCGTCCACTTCCGAGCTAGTGCTTTTCTTTTGGCGTGTAATAAAGGAAGAACTGCGCCTCCATTAGTACTTACTTTGAAGTTGCGGATTCGGGTTGTATAACACATATGCTTTCTAAATATAGGGATTCTAGTCCGGTGTCCAGCGAACGGCACAAGTGGCCGTCCTGCAGTCTTATAGAAGTAAAGCTAATCAATATATGTGTGAAGATATGTTACGTGGTTATGTTTTTCGACATTTGAACGTACGAGACAGCCGCAGGATTGATTTACTTCGTAATGCAGTCAGCAAAAGAAATAACGATTGGCTTTGTCTCTCTCAGTCTGCAGTTACTTGTTTCAAAGTCTCGAGAAAGATCGAACTCGTATGCTCAGCCACTGATTTGCTTGGTTCGTACTGGATGTAATCTCCAGGGATCCTCTTTACCTTTAAGGTTTTATGTAACTTTAAACGTAAAATGGGGGATGTGGGTAGGTTCCGGCTGAGTATACGAAGTACGACTCTCGCCGCAATCTTCGCCGCACGCACGCACCATTCTGATGGGGATCTCCCACGCGATGCACGCCCTCTATGGAGTAGTGCGTCTCCTACTGCGCCTTCGGTTGTAAACGCGCAGTAGAGTCGAGTCAATCGAGTCAGTCGAGTTTTACCTTATTTTCCTTAATCGTTTGTCCTGCTGTATCGTTATTTTGCTCCTCTTTTAAATCCGAACCCTTGGTTGTACTTGGATGAGGGCCTCCAGTTATCTCGAAGTGCGTTATAAAGTCTTGAAAAGTGAACTTAAAGAAAATGATCCAAAATACCAAGCTAGTTTTTTGACCGCTTAAGGATTTTTATACGATCTGCAAATACATTCATGATTGCCTAAGATCACTTTCGAGCATCCCTGAATAGCTAAATTCAGTGGGTTCTAGGGAACAACATCCATGTACAAACGGGAATAGCTTCTCAGCCTTGAACTACTCAATCTCACCAAGGTCATTGCTTTTTCCGTGCCGTAAACTGGAGATATAAAGCCTAGATATGCCTCTACCCTATATTACTTCTGTTGGTAAGAAACCATTCTCCTAAGCTACTTAAACACATATTCAAAATGATCTCATCCGCCGCTCTTCTCACTTCACTTGCCTTGATTCAGTCCGCGACATCGATGCCGCAGCTGCTCCCTCGGCAAAATAACAACTGCAATGTCACATTCTCCCGTTTCTCCAAGCAGGATGCTGGGAGCTTCCTCGCAACGATCGAGCATGTGATTGTTCTTACATCATGTAAGCAACCATCCGCTGACAAACATCCCTATCTATCTAACATCGTACCTGTACAGTTGAGGAGGGCAAGGAAAGTGTCCCGATCTCTCGCTCGTCGTGTTGGAATGTTGTCAATTGGGGAAAAGGCTGTACCTGGAACAACGCAGAACGCACCAGTATCGACAAAGGCTGGACAATCCAACACGAAGGCTATAGCGCCTACGGCGACTATGCCGCCCCCGTCCAGATCCACGGCAATGGCTGCGAGGGCACAGTCCTGACATGCAAGGGCGACCACAGCCACTACACACTCCCGAACCCGGGGGACCCCAACGGCGGCGGCCAGTACTTCTACATCAGCAACACGGAGTGCGCTCTCGCGGGCCAAAACGCAGCTGCATTGCTCGGCTCCAATATCAAGGGCCAGGAACTCACCAGCTTGCTTCAGGGCGAGGGCAATATGCAGGGCTTCAATGGAGATTTCTCAACCCTCAAAGACGATGGTGAGGTGCCTACGCCGGCCCCCTACCACTGCACGCATTTCCCCGTCTCCGAATCCGTGTGCACGCCTTTTTACGAATGTGTCGATAACGCGCCCACCCCCGCCATCACCGCGTACTTCGCGGACAGCGCAAGTATGGCTTCCACCATGTCGACGGTGCCGACGGTTGCCCCGATTTCGTCGCCTGCTCCGTGTAGTAGTCCGCCGGCGACGGGGACGTGTAATTGCAATGAGGACGGTTGCTCGCAGGATTCTCCGGCTTGTTGCGCTAATGGGACATGCTGAGGACAATGACTGTAGTATATACGTATCGGCATTGCTGCGAGCTCTTCTTGGTAATTTAACGTAAAGGGGACAGGCATTAAACAGGAGCGGGCATAAGCACGGCATTTATCTAGTGATTCAATTCTTGTTATTAATTTGATGCGAACATACATACATACTGAAAGTTCCTTTTATGATACTTGACTTGTCTTCTTCTGGTAGGTGAGGTGCATTTCAATTGAAGGTAATGAAGTAATATTCTTTCTTATACTACCTATGTATAGTTGGTTGATTTTTATATGGTAGTTTGGCGTGGTTATTACTGGCGCTAGCATAATAGACTACTTGAGGGGATTCTGTCTCCTAGTTAATTACGTATACCGGGAATTATTATCAGCAGGACTGATGCTACTTCCGAAGACAAGTGTTATAGATCAGAATAGGTGATTCACTTGATCCAAGTGTATTAAAGCTGAGCCATTCATCGCATGGTCAATTCCTTTAAGTGATTCTTTAGTCCGTTTCCCATATGATCAGATATTCACATCCTCTTTCTTTTTGCCAATTTTCTATTATATACTTCAGTGTATCTAATAAGCCATCCCAGACGGCTCGCCATATCCCAACACAGCGATTAAAATTCACTACCCTAACCGTCCATTCCATTCCACCAGTGAATAGAATCCCATCATTCTATATTTATCTAGCCTGAACCGCGGTTCCAACTTCCCATTCCTTCCCATCCCTTCCCAAGAATCCAATCTATACTTGGTCATTCATCAATGCATACAATTCCACAAACAACATCAACCTCACAGAATGGCCCACAACAACAAACGCACACTTCAAACCCCGGAAGAACTGATGAAGAAACCCAAGGTCAAGCGTCGCAACATCACGCCTGTGAGAAACGCTTCCCAGGGGAGACTGGTGATCTTGGAGCCAAGAACTAGAGCCGACGCTCTTGCCTTTCCCGGGCTGTTGTTTCCTGTCAAAGGGGTGACTTCGGTATGTGGAATTGGCTTGCTTTTCTTTTCTTACACGTTTGGGTGCTGCTCTTTGAATCATGAGCATAGTTCTCTCTCATACATATTTCCATCATCCTCTCAATTCCTCGCACTACGCCAGAAACAAATGTATATATACACAGTACTAACAACAAGCCTCACCCTCCAGAGCTCATCACAAACTCCTACTCCCACCCAGCCATCCAACCCCGCAACGCCTCACCTCCACCCTAACCAGCACCCTCACAATCACAACCGCACACCAAGTCCCTCGACCCCAGCATGCGGCACCCCCCACCTAATCCCCAACGACCAACTAACACACATCGCAACCCTAATGACCTCCCTCAGCGAAGAAACCAACAGCATACGTTCCGAGCTGCAACTGATGCACCAGCAATACACGGAAGTACAGCGGGAGTGTAAGGAGGTGAAGAGGACGATGGAAGCGGTTACTGCGCTGGGTATGTTGGGCGAGGAAGTTGTGTTTGAAGGAGAAGGGAAAGGGAAAGAGGGAGGAAGTTCTCGTGATTTGAGATCGGAATTCGCAGCTGTTGCACCAACACAGCAGAGGAAGTTTCTAGCTGATGAGCTGTCACATAAGATTAGAGTGTTGCAGCCGGAATTCCCGCGAAAGATTTCGGGCATGATTATAGAGGGGGAGAAGGATAATGCTGTGTTGATTAACTTGTAAGCATCTCATTTGCAAGTCTGAGTGAAAATTTAACTTACTAACAGTTCTTAGACTCGAGGATAAGTCTGCTCTTCGGGCCAAGGCCGATGAGGCTTTTGACGTTTGGGTTGCGGAAACGAAGAATGGAAATGGTTTGAAAAGAGGATGAACAGCAGGGAAGCAATGAAATGAGAGTTGAGCTCTGTAATGGAATGGATATGGAGTGGTAACGAATAATGATAATCTAGAGACCGCTTACCTACAACCCTCAGCTTGTTCAGGAACATCCCAGGAGTCGGGACGTTGAACCCCAATTGAGCTTAGGCAAGGAGAGATAAGTCAAAGTGCAAGAACAAGATCAGAACCTCAGATGATGACCCGAAACATTTGATCTCCCTTCAGGCGTGAAAGCATCCATATGAACCACAGCATCCCAAAACACCTCTTGTCTAAGTTTTCCACCAGCCTAAGATACCAGAAAACGCCCTCCCACTTCCCACGCTCATGTAACCTTCGCCCCCAACGCCCCCGTACTCAAGAACCCCCTATTCCCCATTGTCCCTCTCCACCCAATACTCAGCACCCCAAACATGATCCTCCCCCCCCTCCTCCGTCCCTCCGCCATCCACCTCCTCAACCAAAAAGCAAACCTGCCTCACATCCCCCGGCATCAACACAGGCCTCTCCTCCCCATTAAGTCCCACACTCCGAAGCCCGTCCCTCGTCTCCAACACCACACCATCGAGACAAATCGTGTCCTCTCCACAGTTCTCCAACTGTGCTTCTAGCGCCCATTTCCTAAGGGAGGAAGAAGATGGGGAAGGGGGCAGGGGCCCCGCTTTGGTGCGGACGACCATACACCCTTTACAGACAAACTGGTACAGTTTCCGAAATGTGCGGATCCGTCCAGATGTAGGCGTTGTTTCTGTATATGTGACTGTGACAGCCAAGACATGGGAACCCTCTTCTTTCAAATCAAAGTTTACGATTTTCTGTAAGCTTTTCGACGCTTCCAAATCTACGCCGGCATCCTTTTCGTTTTCGTCTGATGATGACGATGATGATGATGATGAGGGTGGAGAAAGAGGGAGAGATGTAGGGGTTGCGGACGAGGGGATCTTCATTTCTGCTTCTATGCGGACATTGGAGATTGTTTTCTGGGGGGTGCTGCCAGGCAGGATCTCGTTGTTTGCGCATAGGGTGCAGGAGAAGGTCTCGCCTACGTATGCGGAGCCGAAGGCCGGGGGGAGGGTGAGGAGGGGCGAGAGGATGAAGGCATCAGGTTTGGTAGAGGGGTATGCGAGGGATGCGGTGAGGTCTGGGGAGGGTGAGGGTGAGGGGGATGGTGGGAGAGGGTGTTGAATTGAGAGGGAGGGACGAGAGAGTCTGTGTACTGGTCAGTTCCTATATTATATTATACTTGCATTGGAATTGAAGTGAATTAATTGTAAATACCGTAAAACTTTGAGCGAAACAGAATGCGGTTCCTTCACCGCATCAATGGTCGAGGGCACGCGCTGATGCGCCATGTTTGGTGTTTTTCAAGCCATGTAGTTGGTTATTTTTCATGTTCATGAAGTGACGTTGGACCAAGCTCAAGCTCAATCTTTCCCTTTCTCCACGCCATGCCCCGCCGTAATCTGATCTTATCGTGGCACCAGTGTGGCTTCGTCTTAAAACTTTCTTTCCACAATCGGAACAGTCTCCGCCTTAGATCTACAACTACGCGGGCTGCTTTGGGAAAGGAGGCAACGACCATGGAAAAGGGCATTCCTCTGAAGAGGGAGGATGGGTTGCTTCTCATCATGGATACGCCCAAAGGTGCGTTTGTTGCTTGTTTCAGAACAATGCAATTTTTCACTTTTGCCACTTTACTGACTCTGCTTTACATTTAGGTCGAGGAGTCTTTGCTGGTAAAGATATACCAGCTCGTACGGTCATTGAAGTATCTCCGGCTTTGGTGCTGGATCCAGTGGAGAATAAAGAGCATATTGAGAAAACAGATCTCTACAATTATACATAGTAGGTCACATGATTCACTCTGTTTGCACGCTGAGGCTTATTGGGTTAGCAATTGGCCTTACACACCGCCACTGTTGGAGAACGGGAATGGTAATGGAAACGGCCATTTAAATGGCTCAGGAAAACCTCCCTCGACAACTCAAGCCGTTATTCTCGGTCTTGGATCTATGTTCAATCATTCCAACAAGCAGCAGAATGTTGGATGGGAACGTGACCTCACCCATCTGCTCGTCACCTACACGGCACTGAGAGATATCAGAAAAGGAGAAGAACTCTGTATCTCATATGGATCACGGCTCACATTCAAAGATATGGATGGAGACGGTGATTCTTTTGAAATGGAACCAGATGATATGGAGGAATGGCTGAATTACACAGACTTAATTGACTGAACATTCCGTTTTGGCGACGCAATTATCCTTCATGTACTGTGTGAGACTTCCTTAATAATGTACAAGAGTGAGGTATCCTGCGAATTTGTGACCACCCGTGCGAAGAAGAGAGAACACGCCTCATGCATAAACAAAAGAGGAGAAGTGTAGAGAAAATCAATGACCACACACTATCACATGCCCGGTGGAGGAGGTACCTATGATTGTCAGTTTGAGAAAGCCTCCTATATCTGTCTAACTTACAGCATTGTAGCCACCAGTCCCTGGAGCCGATCCTGGCGGTGGAGGAGGTGCTTCTGACGGAGGTGGAGGTGGGGCAGAGCTAGGAGCGCCAGGTGGAGGTGACTGTTGCTGTTGAGCAGCAGCCGCAGCCATATACTGTTGGTAATATTGTGCGTAGGCTGCGTAGCCACCATAAGCTGCGTATGGATCTGCACCAGCACCATAGTACTGAGCATACTGAGCGGCATAATCGGCTCCGGCTGTTGGACTGCCAGCGCCAGGTGCGGCTGGGGTTGTTGGACTCATGACGCCACTTGGAGTGTTGGGAGCGGGAGAATTGTTGTAACCGCCTCCTCCGTAGCCACCACCATAAGAGTTTGATCTATCAGGAGCACGATCACCATAGCCACGCTCTCCTCCATAACCAGTGCTAGGGGCACCATAGCCACGTTGTGGGGGTGGTCGGTTTTTGAATTCTTCATACTGCTCTCTGACGTTCTTCAACAAATCCTCGCAAAGCTCCTTGGCCTTTTGAACCTCGTTTGGATCAGGTCCCCTAATTCAGATTAGCAAGAACCAGGGTGTCAAATAATCAATACTTACGCAACATGCAAATACATATCTTCGTCACTCTCACGCCCAGTCCCATGCTCCATGAAGCCAGATCCACGGCCCTTGATTTGGACACGACACCTAGTCTCTTGTTGGATATGCTTGACATAGGCACCCCCGTGACCAACAACTTGAGCACGAAGATTGAAGCCAGGAATTGGGTCAAAGTCTATCGGAATTCTTTCCTCGGGCCATTTGCGCTGGTTTTCCATTAGCAACTCCTTATCCAAGACCAAAACAACTTACTCTGCCAAATTCGTCTCTCTCGACTTGATCTGGCTCTCGTCGGCGGAATCGTCGCTCGTCGACTAGGTTGGGAAGTTCCTGCTGCATCAGTTCTTCGATCTTTTCGACCGCCTGCTCGAGGCCTTTTTTCGTGGTACTCGTAACGTGGAGATACAGGGGCGGGTTCTGGTTACGAATCAGCAAGTCTTCGCCATTGTTGCCGAATAAACTTACCGTCGACGTTGCCATGTTTCGATCTGGGTAGTAATTTCCACGCGTGGTGACATCTTGAAAAGTCAACATGAAATCTCTATAAAAACGGTAAGTTGTAGGTATATTGCGTACCAGCTCCGGTTTCTTCTTTAATCTATGTCACGCAGCGGGAGTCAGCAGATGCCAATGAGGTGTGTTTAGTGAGTGCTATTCGCGCTCTAAGTAAGCTTGAAAGTCCCCACAGAGTCAGGTGTACTTGAAATGAAAGGGTAGGAAGAGCTAGGCTATATGTATAATATATCTATGAAGAAAGTCTGATATATCAGTGGAATTTGACACAAGGAGTATTTACCATCTTTTGCGTAGAACCTTTGGTCAGTGTGTAACGGTTGCGAAGGTCGTTGACTTCAATGTCTCTGATGTAGTCGCCGTCGGCAATGTACATCTCACCATTTATTGTGCTTGCGCTATTGCCTGCGCCGGATGCGCCTGGAGAAGCTGATTTTCCGGCTGCTGGGCTTTCGGTCGATCGAATAGGGGGAACATCGACATGCTGAATACCCTTCTTTGCTTGGATGTGGGCATTAATCCTCGCAGCGGCGGCAGCTGAAATATATGTCAGCCTAATTCACAATCTGCAATTTTGATATCCCTCTCCAGCGACTTACCAGCAGCAGCGGCAGGATCAGCACCACCTTTCTTTGCGGCATCTGGAGCTGGAGCTGGGCTATCGGATGCTCTTGCAATAGGACTTCTACTGCGTCTAGAATCGGTGGTGGGCTTCCGTGCAGGGGGAGAACGTGAACGCCGATCGAATCTTGAGACTCTCTTGGGCTCAGCTTCAGTCTGGTCAAAGCGCGAGCGCTTGGCGGTGCGTCGTTCAGTGTCGTCCATCTTGACAGACAAACGGAAGACTGCTATGTTATATTGCTTTCGTGCGCAGGGGATAGGTGGCTGGCGATATGGTAAATGCAGGGTTGCGCAGATTTAAAGACGGATGGATATGGAGATATGGAGCCTCAAAAAAGATCTAACAAAATGTACGTAGATCCTACCTGAGCTAGGCTAAAGTCACGGTAAGCCTACAATTCCCCAGACGGACTTGTGAACCAGTTAAATTGTTCGCTTGGCACTGCAAGACTCTCCGCCATCGGCCAGTTGGTCGGTGACTCTGCAATATTTATTCTGCCCAGTAGTTGCTGCTCAACTCTCACTTCTATTTCCACTTCCATACACTCAATTGCTGAGCCAGCACTTCCCAAAGAAGGGCAAATACCTTCACAATCCCACAGAGTCACTGCTGACTAGCCATCCCGCTACAATGGCCTCCCGAAAAGCCCTCCTCGCTCTGCCAATGCGAGCATCAATTGCGCGCGTCCCCTCAGCTCTCCTCTCTCGATCTACCCTACGCGCAGAATCCACAGCTTCTTCGACCTCAGCACTGGCATACAAGGCCCTCCACCGCCGCATCTATCCTCTCCCAACAACAGACGCCTCCCCAGCCTGGTCCGCCCAAGCAGCCGTCTCCAACATCCTGTACGAGACGCCCTCCCCCTCCACCACACCCCCTAAACGCCATATCCTCAACTGCCTCGTGCAGAACGAACCCGGTGTGCTGTCCCGCGTCTCCGGTATCCTGGCCGCGCGAGGCTTCAATATCGACTCTCTGGTTGTCTGCAACACTGAAGTCGAAGACCTGTCCCGCATGACCATCGTGCTCTCGGGCCAGGACGGCGTAGTGGAGCAAGCACGGCGCCAACTGGAAGACCTGGTGCCCGTCTGGGCAGTGCTAGACTACACACCCGCTGCTCTGGTGCAGCGAGAGCTCCTGCTCGCCAAAGTCAACATCCTGGGTCCGGAATACTTTGAGGAGTTGCAGGCGCATCATAGGGAGATTACTGCCCACGACGAGCAGAGTCTAGAGGGCCAGGAGGAATGGGCGCAGAGGCGGCTGGAGCAGTTGAAGGAGACTCAAGACTTTCATCCGAGTAAGCTAGCGCTGAGCGAGGCGTTGAGACATAAGCATGAGCATTTGAAGTCGATTACGTATTTTACGCATCAATTTGGTGGAAAGGTGCTGGATATTAGTACTAATAGCTGTATTGTGGAACTGTAAGTCTTCCCTCTAGGTTCAAAGGAAAAGTATACAAGGAAGCTAACTGTTATTTTAGTTCTGCAAAGCCAACCCGAATCGACTCATTCATGAAGCTCGTCTCCCCCTTCGGCATCCTCGAATCCGCACGAACAGGTCTAATGGCTCTTCCCCGCTCACCACTCTTCGGGCCCAACGACCAGGAATTAATAAAGGAAGCCGATGATATTGTGGACGCAAGCACCCTTCCTCCAGGATAGATTAATGGATCACTCACGTGGCAAATTGTTATTTATTGGGGGAGTTGGCGCTACTTTCCACAATTCAGAACAGAAACCTTGTAGATAAGTATGTGATGATTTGTTTAATGGATGTGGACAGTGGATCCGATTTGCCTTTCTAGTTTATCCATGCATGTAAGTGCTTCCTAAAACGCCGATTGTAACCTTAAAGCCCGCCTTGATATACACCCTTATACTCCTTCCCCAGTCCTATATGTATCCCCCATATCATGTATCCATTACTCGTATGAGAAAACAGCAGGTTTTATAACCTAACACTTGCGCCGATCCCGGACCCCACATACCAAATTGTTTCCGTCCATTGCCCAAGTCTTACCTTTACGGTGCCTTTGGCGTCTAGTTTTAAAGAACCTCCCAATGCCTCGCGAATTTTCTCGTATCCAACAGAATCAAAAGACCAGTCAACCGGTAACTTCGGTGACTTGCTAGTCCCGGGTGGAACTTTAAAAGGCAGGTCATAGTTGATCTTTCCTACTGGTTCGGTGTGGTTGTACAAAGCTGTAGCGTTGATGTTTTCGATAAATATAGTAGAGGACTGGAGAGGCGAATGGATAGTGAAATCAGCCGTGGATGATAATAAATGAAAAGTTGCGTCGTCTAGGAACTTGGGCGTATCGTTACTATCCCCTGGGTTCGATAGTTTTGGAGTGGGCATTTCGATAGGGAATCTGCCGAGTGCTTCACCGATCTTTGGTTGGTAAGGAATGGAGTCTCTGTGGATTCGAAATGTCAAGGTAGTGTTGTATCCTGAGATGTATTGGGAAAGTAGTTCTCGACCAATTTTCTGGGCTTTCTCATCGCCACGTTGACTTGGATCCCATGTCGCCTGGACTAGGATATTCGTGTTATTACCATGTACTACTTTGATGCTTCTTGCTGTAGCTTCGCCGAGAATCGAGCCGTTATTGAGGACGTGGATGTTGATAAAAGGGACTTGCGCAGTGTAGAGAGTAGGGTTCGTGAAATTGACTCGAGCCTCGATAACCAAAGATGTTTTGGTCGTGCTCAGAATCCTGAGGTCGCCAACCTTTGGCTTTAGAGTACTAAAATCGCCACCTGTAGAGATGGCTGCAATCTCGTCAGCTTCGGTGCGGTCGAGGCTCGAGCTGAATCTGAATAATTGAGACGGTTGCCTAACGTTTCACGGGGATGACCCCCTCTGCGGGTAACTTCTTGATGACAAGTTCTCCCAAGACTGTAGAGACTGTAACATCAACAAGAGCCTTAACATTCAGCATCACCCCACTACCACCAAAGATAATGGCTTGAATCACGTCGCTGAATACACGTTCGTCAGTGATCTCGAGCGGGGCGTTCTTGATCTCAGATTCGATCTTAAGAGATGCAGCCTCGCCATCCTCTGGCTCAATTCGTTCTGACTTTGCGGCAGACTTGTGTAGATTCAGATTTCCAAGCTTCTTATTCTTGTAATAAACCTCGGCATGTGCCTGGACTCCTGTGACGTTGATTCCAAAATTCATCTCCTTGGGCAAGTTTGCAATCACAAGCACCTTGCCAGATATCTGAGGATTTTCTTCGTCAGTTCCAGGCTCCGCGCCAAGGTCGGGGAGGCTAAAATGTGTGTCCGTCAAAGAAAAGTTCTTGATAAGATTATCAAATGTACGGCCTGGGAACGGCACGGGAACAGTAACACTAGAAATTATTTTGGTAATCCACTCAGGGGTGTCACCATTGGGTGCTTCTGAGCCTCGTACATATATGGTTGTATCTTTCCCCTTGATATAATGGCCAAGTAGCGCATCAAGCGGAGAAGGCTTTGAGTCTGGGCAGGCGTTGACTAGAGGTTTTGGTAACTGGCGGACAATTCCTCCAACTTCAACATCCACCTCCGAGTTGGGTTCAATATTGATGGTGCCTGTTGTGGCGTCCGCAAGACGAATGTATGGATCGTCAACGCCGCAATTTGGAACAAGAATATCATATCCAAGGGGCGGAACAGTAAACTTGACAGGGTAGCTGTTTACCACGGAGAGCGAAACATCTGCAGCCATGCCACGACGACCAGTCAATGAGATGGGTACTTCCCGGAAATTAAGACGGGTAATGTTATACGCCGGGATACTTGGAAGAGTGTTGCCTAAATGCAGTATTAGCCAAATGTTTGAGACATCTTAGCTGATGGCAGCAATGTGGAAGGTCTGGAGACACTTGTTGATCAGAAATCTAACGCTGATTAGACTACATACCAGTCCCTGTTGGAACAGATCAAGTGATTACAGCCACGCATTTAAGCTAATGACTTCTCTCCCAGATAGAATGACGCAAAAGTACGGTAGAGGGATTGACCTTCAAACTCAAGTGACTCGGAGATGCTCTGAGTGCCCAGGGAGATCAGGCCGGATTTTAGCCCAACATTGGCCTTGCCCAACACCCTCAACTTATGCAAACGACCCTCCAGCCAATCGTTGGCGACTTGTCGAATCCCTTCGATGTTTCCCGGCTCTAAATCCGTGAAAAAATCAATGCCTGTTGTATGCCCGTTTCGAATGTCAACAACAACTCGTGGTACAGTCGCCGTGCCAAGCAGAATATTTCCTAGTTCTGGTAAATAGACCTGCACTTCGGACTCCTTAGTCTCTATTTCACGAGCAATCCATGTACCAAAACGTCCAATATTCCTCACATCCTTGTTATTAACTCTTGATGCATCCATCCGTACGTTTGCTTGAACTCTTGCTCTGACTCCGGTAGCCGTGAAGCTATCAATGGACAGATTAGTAGGCTCGATGACAAGTGCTTCTTTGGCGTATGCCTCCACGGCAGCGGGAGCCAAGAATGCGCCGGTAAGGATGGCTATTGCCACCAACCCAAGGATGCTGATAGCAATAAAAGTTGGCCAGCGTCGTTTCGGCTTTGGGGATTTGGCTGAGCCATGGCCGTTTTGTAAAGATCGTAATGATGTTGCGGCTGGAGATGGGAGACGCCCTTGTCCGTCATCCTCAGTGCCGTCATATCGAGGAGTCGAGTCGGATCGTGACAATAAAGGTGTTATCTCGTGGTCGTCATCGTGCTGGGAGTGTTTCGAAATAGGTCTATCGCTGCTACCAAGCAACGGCGAGGAGGGGTTGTCGGACATCGTTCAGACGAGGTTGGCTAGTTGTCAGCACAGTAGAGAGACTCGACGCCCAGCGCGAGGTTTAGAGATATGAAATACTTCGGGTATCGCGAGTCTATGATGGAGAGATGGGAGCGACGAGGTTGGAGAAGCTGAAGCTGAAGCAGGAACAAAACAGTACAGCAAGCAGCTGGTGCAGTACAGTGATTGATTGCGTAGACAGCATTAACCCAAATTAAGCCTAGTCATATATACAAGGATCCATCCGTCCCCGCCCCGTATCTCTTCTTTCCATTCACGCAAACAGAAATATTTCCATCTCGGAATCAGATCACCTTGCTCGATACAAACACCTCAAGGTCGTTCTCGCATCCCTAATATCCGCGACGTTTAGGTCATTTCCTAGAGGCGGAGCATACATGACCATCAAACTTGATCAAAGGGCATGTGTGCCGAAGAAGGCTTCGTTCTAATCTGCATAGGTTCTTAGTACCAGATGTTCAATCCAGCAACATTATACTCCCTTATCTCTTTCAAAAGCTTCGTAAATAGCAACCGAGTTCTAAATTGGGCTCTTTTGCGACCTCTGGTCCATTGCGATTTGGCTCTCATTTCACTCGAACATCCAGGGCTTACGCTTAATCAGGCCAGTGCCTTCCATGCGCTGGTCTTCCGGCCTCGAGCGAATACGTTTAACAGGAATTTGGTTTAGGTTTTGGTTTTAGATTCACATCCCCGGCTTTGAGTTATAGATTGGACCGTTAGAATGGATCGGGATGACTGCTACGAGGGCCTCGAGGACGTGGCAGCTTAGAGAAATGATATTTAGTTAGTTGCAGCCAGAGAGATAACCATTTCACATCGCAGATATTACATACCTAAATTAGCACAAATATATGAATAAACTTTCAGAGCTTGATAATACAAACGTTTTGATAGAACAGTGCTCTTGCCAAGTAAGATGGCTGAATTAACATCGCTTCATCTGGACTATCTATAGAAAGAAAGCGAAACGTCGCCTTCTCTACTCTCATCTTAATCGCAACTTCAGCCCCAACACGCAACGAATAAAGTGGCATGTGACATTATCTATCATACTATCAGTTATGGCCCAAGTTGCTCTCAAAGAGAAAACACCTTTGCGCCTAGAAATTGAGGAGATCGACGAGTCCAAGAACGTTGTCGCGACGTATATCGCATCCGCGCCAAACGACGATTGGAAAACCTCCAGAATTGATGTTGTGGTAAGCATTTGCACAAACTCCTCAAGTATCATTCCTAGCCACTAATTCAAATAGTTTAGGTTCCCAAGAATACCAACTCGTATGCGAGAAGCATCTTGAATGCCTTCCTCCCTGCTGGATATCCGCACAGTGTCACCAATGATTATCTCGAGTAAGTCCAGAGGTGCTTTCTAGAATATGGCTAATAAATCCACCAACAGGTACCAGATTTATGTAAGTATCATGAAGTGCTTTGGAGCACGGCGGGGACTGACGTCGGTAGGATTCCCTTCAAGCTTTCAGTAGCTCAATTGCGGGCTTGTTGTCCAGTAGAGCAGTACTCGAAGGTATGGTCTCAATCATGTCCAATTGTATAAGATGTAATTTAAAACTGTCAACTCAGGAATCGGTGTCGGCGACTCCCATGCCTCACCAACAGCAGCACTCCTCCTCTCAGTCCTCCAAGAGAGCATGGGACGCATTGCCACAATTCTCTTCGCTCATAGACTAGGAACTTCACTCGAGCCGGAATGCAAGATGTATCGACTTGCAGCAGACATATTCAACGATTCTGCCATGATTCTTGACTGTTTCTCACCAGCACTGCCAAAAGCTTCGAGGGTTGTTTTGCTGAGCTTATCTAGTGTGCTCAGGAGTCTATGCGGTATTGCGGCTGGAAGTTCGAAGGCGTCACTGAGCACTCATTTTGCTACACAAGGCAATTTGGGGGAGCTTAATGCTGTGAGTACGTTCGCTCTTAGTCAGGGCCAAACTAATGCCATGCAAGAAAGACTCGAGTCAAGAGACTATCATATCTCTGTTGGGAATGCTTGTTGGTAGTCTCGTGGTCTCCCATATATCATCTAAATGGGCAACATGGAGTGCGATGATTGCTCTTCTTGCCATACATTTAGGGACGAACTATCTGGCGGTCCGAGCAGTGAGCATGCGGACTCTAAATCGACAGCGTGCCAACATCGTGTCTTCGAATATTTTCGAAACGGTATATCAGAAGATACATGCTGCCGAAGAGGAAACGCTATCCGATACAGACTTGCTTTCCATTCGAATTCCTTCGCCAGAAGAAGTGTCCGTCAAAGAAAAGGTTTTCGAGAAAGATGGAGTTTTGAGATGGAAAGGAGGGAAGCCCTTGGGTTATTGCAGAATAGGAGTCGATGTTCGAACCATTCTCAATCTATTTGGGAAGCCAAACCGGTCGAGTGGTAGCTATAGCGAAGACCAACCAGTGACATTTGCTAAGCTGTTGGATATATACAAGGACGACGGTTATATTATGTGGTATGATGAACCACGGAAGACATTCCTCATTATCTTAAAAGATACTGCTCAGACTACGACTCACCTTCAGGCTTGGATGCATGCTTTATACCACGCAGAAGCTTCGAAACTCGGTCGCTTACAGGATGAAGAGACTGTGATGGCTGCTATTTCAAGTACAAAGACTTATGTTGCCAAGGTCTTAGACCGCTTTGCAGTATTTGAAGAGCTCCAGAAAGCCGGTTGGGATATCGAGACGGGAGCTATGGAAACAAAATCTGGGACAAGAATCAAGCTGAGAAGTCTTTGAATGAGTAGTTATCTTTTCTAGATGAATATCAAATACAAATCATTAGGCTGTTCCTCAGACATGTTGTACAGCACTCATACATAACCCCGTCTATTTTATACAGGCTCTCGCCGGAGCGGGGATTTACGCCCAAACGATCAACGCCATCTCATCCCATCATGTTCTTACACCAGACCAAAAGTTTTGAACGCACGCATTTTCCAGCCCTCCCAAGTATTCAACTTAGGTCTTACATCGAGGTAGAAGTTCAACTTCCCATTCGACTTCCCCTCATTCTTTCCCGCATAGAAATCAATAATATATTCCACCCTCGTCCCACATCGATCCACAACCCAATCGTGTCTATCAAAAGGTGCTATATAACCAAAGATAGTCTTCATTCTAGCTTTCGGGCTCATCGTCGTCGATAATCCAAGGAAGGAATGTAATCTCGGTCCTCCACATCTGCAGTCCCGTTAGTACAAATCTCAGATATATAAATCGGAAAAACGCACTTCTGTTCAGCCCCCCAAGGCCGTTCCCATTCCTTAATCTCCTTCCACGCCCTCTCATTAACCGCATTATGAATCGGCACAATCGTCTTCATATCTCTTGCCTCACTACTATACCCCTTCCTCTTCATCGCCTCAAAGAACATCTTCTCACTCGGATAGACCCAATTCCCACTCGCACTAACACCGCTCTCCCTCTCACTGTTCGCTGGCTTTGCTCCGGCTTCATTGTTAACGGGAGAGGCTCTTGGTATAGTTGAGACTTCGCGGTCTTGGCCGAGGGTTTTGGGGGTTTCGGAGGGAGGTGGGGCGGGGGAAGTGAGTCTTGAGAAGAGACCTTTGGCTTTCGGGGGGGGGAGATTGGTCGATCTGGGATGAGTCGCAGCTGTTTCCTTCAGTGAGGAGGCTGGCTTCTTTGGCTGCGTCTGGGAAGGGATGGGGAGGTTTGTTGGTCTTCAGCCATGCTGCTCGTGTAGCAGGATCTACCGGGCACACTTCTGCAGGAGTTTCTGTTTCTTTGGACATATTATTGGTGATGAGGCGTGAATGTGTCTCGGAGTTGATGATGCTTCACAATTATTTGCATGTCGGTGTCGGTCTCCGAGCTGTTTCCCGACCAATCGGTGTAGACCATGTACTACTGGAGAAAGCCCCACCCCCACCGAGTACCCTCGAACTTTTTTAAATAATAAGTTGAATAATAATAGCCTTACCAACTCACGTTATTGAGAATCCCTTGAAGAAACTTCTCCGACGATTATATACTCAGCATGGCGGACCAGAAAATCTACCAAGCAAGCACCACGGCTCCAGTGAACATCGCTGTAGTAAAGTAAACAAACCCCCCCCTTCTCAACCCCGCACCCTTCATAGACTTACACATACAGATACTGGGGAAAACGAGACCCCAAGCTCAACCTACCCACCAACTCCTCAATATCAGTAACCCTCTCCCAAGCTGATCTACGTACACATACAACAGCAGCCTGCTCAGCATCCTTCCCAACCTCCGACTCCCTCCTCCTGAACTCATCTCCCCAAGATGTCACCGGAGCGCGAACCCAAGCCTGCTTCCGCGAACTGCGCTCTCTGCGCGCTGCCCTCGAGGCCTCCGACTCTTCTCTCCCAAAACTCTCTACCCTACCCCTAAAGATCGTCTCTGAGAACAATTTCCCCACCGCAGCAGGCCTAGCTTCCTCAGCAGCAGGCTTCGCAGCTCTCGTCCGCGCAATCGCAAACCTGTACGAGCTAACCTCCTCGCCCACCGAACTCTCCCGAATTGCTCGCCAAGGAAGCGGAAGTGCGTGTCGATCGCTATTCGGCGGCTACGTAGCCTGGCAAATGGGCACCAAGGATGACGGCTCAGACAGTCTAGCGGTCGAAGTCGCGCCCGCAAGTCACTGGCCTACCATGCGTGCTCTCATCCTTGTTGCATCGGCAAAGCAGAAAAAGGTCAGCAGTACGTCTGGAATGCAGACTACGGTTGCTACCTCTGAGCTGTTTCAACGGCGCGCGGAGGTTGTGGTGCCGAAGCATATGGAGGAGATGGAGAAGGCTATTAAGGAGAAGGATTTCGAGGCTTTTGGGAAAGTAACGATGATGGAGAGTAACAGTTTTCATTCTACGTGCTCGGACACTTTCCCTCCGATTCGGTACATGAAGTAAGTTGAGGCTCTTTTGGATCGTTTGGCGTGAAGTGGAACATTTTGCTGACTTGGTTCAGTGACGTTTCTTGGGCTGCTGTTGGCGTTGTCGAAGATATCAACCGCAAGGCCGGCAAAATCGTTGCTGCGTACACCTTTGATGCTGGGCCTAATGCAGTGATATATTATGAAGAAGCGAATACCGATATCGTTGCAGGTGTTGTAAAGGGGGCTCTAGGAAGCGTCTCTGGATGGGAGTCACGAGATATCAAAGCCCAGGCCAGTGATGTCTTGGATGTAGCTGATGTGGAGGTATTGAACAAGGGTATAACGAGGGTGATTCTCACCCAGGTTGGAGAGGGCCCGATTAGGACCGAGGAGTCGCTGATATGATATCCCAATGTGCCTAGAACTGTATCCTCTCACTTCATGTGAGAGGTTGTTGGTTCATTGTCCCCCCCTTTTCTCTACGCGAGTCGTCCGTCGTCCTCTCAAGTACTCTTCATATACAAGATATCCAAAACATTCAATTCCTTTCCCAAGCAACAATTCTTGCAATAAAATACCGAGCGTATCACTGCAAGGCGACAACTTTTTTTACTTTGAATGCAATTTCTCATTAAGCCTGCATGTGCACGTCGGATTTTCAGATGCTGTCTTAAAGCTTTGTGATTTTGTCCCGAGGTGGTTCTTACGATGCGCTAAGTTCAATACCAAGGATTATGTGGGAGCCACACACATAGCAGAGCCATCCGCATCTTTCGGTGTAGCAGTGCCAATCTTCGCTGTCCGACTATAATGGGAGTTGGGTACAAAGTGAAGTCTTCGCAATGCGGAATTCGCTCTCTCGCAAATACCATTCCATAAACTCCAGCCAGCAACATTAGAAGAAAGTAGCCTGGTACGCCCATGAAATACCACCATATCGGGAAGTTCCATTTGAACCTGCTCAAGTCATGGGATCCAGAAGCCAGCAACAACGTCGTGCTACATGAGCTGCATCCCGGATCGTTAGCTTTGGGAGGCAGTTAGAGCTGTGCGGCCAACATTTCGGAAATGGGTGACTCCTCGACCACAAAATCATATCCGCAACCTTGTAAGTTAGTAGTTAAATTAGTTGCAAGCTCTGAAGGCCATGATGTTGTACCATTGGTGAACTGCATTGATGGAACACCTTCTTCAGCTTGCCCAAGAGGAGCAATACCTGCGACGGCAAGGCCGCATATACCCCACACCATTGATTTCAAGACTTTAGGTCCAGACAGTTCCGATACTTTCTTAGCAAGTGCTAGGGAAAGCTCCTGGGTATTTTCATTGGCGAGCACTCTCTTTTTGGCGTTGGCTTCCTCGTGGAGTTTAGACATTTCAATTACATTCTCTTTTCCCGCACCCAGCTTGGTTTGGCTTCGGAGTCTTCCGAGGACAATATTTGAAGGGCATTTTCGACTCGCTGTTGAATACTCCATGACTGGTCTTGACACCAAACAAGAGACTTTAACATTGCATTTTGGTAATGGTTCTTTGCAACTAGCAGGTCGTTCTCTGCATTCAAGTACCCTATGTTGGCGTTCAGTGCTTCGCATCTTACCGCTGGGAGAGAAATATCTTTCGAATTGACTCCAACTCCAGCATTTTCCAAAGCATCGCCATATATCATAAACAGTTTATTTGTAACACAGCTTTTTGAGAAGATCAGCATTGCTTCAGTCTAAGGGCCAATGACTGACTTACTCCAAAAGCTCTTGGCATCTGAACTCATATAATTCGTTGACCCGACAATATTTGCTCATTATGTCATCTTGAGACGCAGAATATTCCAAGACGAAGGGCAGAGATTGAATGGCTTGAAGAAGCGTGTCTGCATCAGTCCGCGATATTTGAATGGTTTCTGAAGACATTTGCTTCAATTTCTCTATGATGGCGAGCATCGGATTGGGCGCAGGTGGATATACCATGGGCGCAGCAAAGCTAGTGTCTGTGGTCCAACCCGCAATCCTACTTGCGATGTCTCGAAATCCCATCTTGCTGTAATCTGCAACAGGTGGAAGTGACTATCAGACACCAGAGATTTAGACTTCATTCTCCAGGAGAGGAGGGATGAGAACTTACTCTCGGCGTTTGAAACCTATCCTCAGGTTGGCCTGAAGAAAATCCATTGATTTGCTTGGAATCATCTTCAGTCGCTCGGTCTACACGTCCAGTCTCTAAATATGATGCCTCCTCCGGATCATCATCCTTCTGCAGGACCAGTAGGAGGTCTTGAAGGAGACCCCGAAAGTACCCGACTTCCTCTGAGTCAAGAATTGACACTTGATTGCTCTCATTAGCAGTTGCTTTTATTTTCCTGTAACTAGTAGTCAGCGGGTGCAAGGGATCGCCCGATATTTTGTTCTTGATTCTGAGATGTTGTCTGAAGTAGCTAAAAGCACCGAGAGGCTGTGCGACTCTCTAGTGTCCAGTTTAACATCAGCAGTGGCATCCTAGACACGCACTGGGTTAGTGGGAGTATCACAAAACCGAGCTTTGAGAGTAGAACACGCACACAAAATTTCCTTCGGATGTCTTGAAGACAGTCTTTTCTTGACTGATTACCTGTTGAAAACCCGGAATTGAGGAGTACCTTAACTTCAATTTCAATTGATGGCTTCAGTGTGGCATAAGTAACCCCAGTGCTTGATTTTGGTCTGGGTCGAGGAATATGCTTGTAGGTCTTGAGGAGTTCAATGACATCTTTAGGTTCCAAACTCGCCACCTTGCCTGATTCTATTGATTGAATGAACCTGTGGACTGGGAATAGTTCTGAGAACTGCAAGTTTACAAAGTCAGTATTATCTAGTGTCGAAGAATGATGGAGTTTTGGATGATATTGTAATCTCATAACTCTCGAGTATGTCCAGACAAGCAAACGAAATGCTCGGAGAAGACACATACCTGGGAAGGCTACCCATTTTCGATGACTATCACCGTCACAAGAGCTAAATCTCTCTTGCATTGATAGCCATCCCCTTTCCATTAACCTGGGCCTCTTCAAGCCTCACCACCAGAGCAACAGCACAAAAGAAAATCATCTCGGCATAATCTTCAATTTCTTCTCCAGTCATGCCTCGGAGCTTTGCTAACATATCAAACCTGTTATCTTTTACTCTGAGGCTGTAGTCATCAGACAGGTCTTGTCTATAATCTAGACGGTGGCGATTATTAACTGGTGGGTCGGAGTAAGAGCTTAGCCAAGCCTCCAAAGCGAATGATGCAGAGGAGTGAGAGTAGAATGAAGCGCGATGAAGCAATAATTGATGATCTCAACTTCTAATTTGTCAAGCTCAATGCCAACCTGATGTCTTCCGGCTTTGACGGCTCTGCTTTCCAGAGCAGTAAGAATATCTAAATCCTCTTCTGGCATACGCGGGATCTTTACCGTTAATACAATGTGACACATTGTAGCCAGATCTCCGACAGATGAAGTCAAATTCAGACCTGAGTGAAGGGTTTGCACGAGCTTGTTCCCCATATTTACCCTCGTAGTCTTGTGCTCATCGTGTTCGCTTGTCTCAGATATCTCGCCCTGAGGCTTAATAGTCTATGGAGAGTGTTAAAAAAAATGACGAGTGCGCAGACTGGGCTGTACTAACTCTTTTTAAGATAATCCCATCTTTTGCAAGGACCGGACTCAGCGCAGAGTACCCAGCATTGCCTTGTCGGTATATTACACCGAGCCAGGCAGCGAGTTCCTCCTTTGTTAACACCATACCAGTAGAACCTTTTGCTTCATTACATAACTTGGTGCTTATGGCGCAAAATTATGGCTCCTTACTGGTCATCTGCTCTTCCTCTGCAATATTTCGAGATATGCTTGACATCGTAGCCAGCTCAAATGCGTCCAATACAAGTTCGATTCCCTGATATATGGCGCCATAAACTTTGTCTAGGAGATCGTTATATTCGCTGGGAAGTCTATATCAACCTTGGCGCTGCACTGGGATATTAGCAGGTGCGACTCTCCTTCAAGGGCTTAGATGCGCTTCACCACTGCTGCCATCAATTTCCTGATCCGTCATCTGGCTCATTCTCAACGCATTCTCCTTTTCTGCCATACTGGCAATTGCAAATGAAGGTGGCAAGATAGAAAGACGGTAAGACCTGTTGCGGTTGAGAGCCAAGAGTTCGAGGATTTGAAAGTTGGGAGTTGAGAGAGTTGAGGTTGATAGGAAAAGTCTTGCAAAGTGAATATGGAGCAAACCCATAACAAATCGGCAATGGCGAGCCTAATACCGAGTCAATGAGCGGTATAAAGTGTCAATATTCTTAAAAGCTAGTCAACAGTTCCGAAAATCCGACTTGGCCTTTGAATAAAAGAAGTAGGAAATGTAGTCAGTCGCTTGCCTTTATATTGAGGCAGGGTATTTTTTATAGAACCACATTCAATTCCCCCGGTTCTTGAGATCCGAATCTCTTATGAAAGCTGTGACTTTCAAGGGGTATTGAATCACAAAGGCCTTCATCCTGCTCCATAAAGTGAAACTTGCTAAAGCTGGAGTGGCTCACGAGGGCCCACGAACACGACCGCAACTCTCACGCCCCCTAGACAAAAGAATATTCAAGAATCAACTCGCAAGTAAACCCTTTGAATTCCAACGGCAAAGCAAGAGCTTTATTGCTAACGAGCAAACTCTGAATCCTAGGTAAGAATCCATCCCGGGTGTTCAAGTGCACACCAGCTTGCCTCTGAATTCCGCCCTATGCCAATTCTCTTCCTCTGTATAGCTAAATTAAGCTGTTTAATCCTCCACCTTATGTCCGACATCCTCTGGATTTTTCTCCTGTTGCGCTGCCTGAGGTGCTTGCAGTGCTAAGAGCGCTTGCCTTTCCTCAGTCGCAAGCTGTCTTTCTAACATATGATTTTGACGCGCTTCCGGCCCGGCCTCGATTGTGTCAAAGAAATCGCAGGCACATATTGAAAGACCTCGAAAAACTGGGTCCAGATTCAAGTCCGCAATCCATCCCTTGTGATACATCATTAATACAAGCAATCTACTCTCCCTATAATAAAAAACCCCAGCTGCCTTACTACACAGATCTGAATACTGTTTTGCCTGCAACCGCTGAAGTTCGCTTTTCAAAGCATCCGAGAACCCTCGCCTCTCCATTTCTGTGACTGGGCACGTCTGGAAAATAACTCTTGCCGTCGCCTCAAATTGGGTTTGCATCAACCGCAAATGTTGATTCATATGAAACAAGTTATTGAGGTTCTCTCTGGCATTTGGACCTTCCTCAAGAAACGGCCGGCCACCCTTTATATCTAAGAGGATCGGTAGAAGGGTTCTATTCATGCATATAACATCGTCGCCACTGAGGTAATCGGTTTTCTTGTGGTGAAAGGCATGAATGATCTTCATCGTGAGAGCCTTTTCGGGAGTTGCGAGGCCATTCTGATCCGGGTCAAGATCATTGTCTGGCATGGTCTCAAGGTCATTATAACTCTATGCAAGTCAGATACTCGAGTTAACAGTCAGGGAGGAGCAAGACCCACCACCGAGACCCTAATGACCCCATCTACAGCTGATATCCTGCATCCGTACGTAACTCTCTGATACTCATTTACTATGTTCATTCTGTATGCATTCTGTGGTGTGACATTCGTATCAATATCATCATGCATGATGTCCCACACGTAAGGAATCACCCTTGGCGGAGAAGCATGTTGATCATCTGCTGGAGTACTGGCAGGAGTACTGGCAGGAGTACTGTCGCCCTGTGGAATTGCACTCGGTGTTTGCCGCATCGTGAGGTCGGGATAGTACGGCATGTTGCTGTCAGATATTGTGCTGTCAGACGATATTTGACGAGCCATGTCAGCCATGGTTACGAGGATGATGTAGATACTGTCGATGTCGATGTGAAGTGAATTTAACGCTGTTGTCGATGCTTGATTGGTGTTGATGATGTGCAAGACTTGTGAATCAAGGAATCAAATGCGGTGGGCGACGTTGATGGAGAAGCCGATTGCAATAAAGGCAAGAACGACCCGCCACGTTAAAAATTAACTGTAACTTTTTAGAATTGACCCCGAACATCTACTACAATTCAGCTATGTAGTAGTGCTTGTCTGGAATTCAATGGCGAAGAAGCAATGCCTTAGAGGTAAGACTACTAAAGACAATATAAGTATACCACTGGCCCCATCACATACTGCAAGCTGAGCTTGCAACGTCTGGAAGTGAAAGGGCACTTGTTGAATGCTTCGATGTTAATTTTGAAAGTACACGTTGAAAGTGTATACACGATTTTAAGTATAGTTGTCGGCGAATCCCAAGTCGAGGATCCAACCAGCAAGTTTCAAGCAATACAAACGTCAGAACACTAAACAATTTAGTCAACCAAAAGCAGAGATTATTAATAACCTGAATCGGAAGACTTAAAAAAGGTATCTATTAAACCTACAAAACTTTTTAAATCCTTTTCTACGCTTAACTCCACAAACCAAATCACCTACTCCAGAATCGACTTCATTACCTTTATTTGGTCCTCCACGCTCTTCTTGGCAGTTCCTCCAGCCGCAGAGTGGAATTCAACACTGGTTTCGTAGCTGAAGCAATCGAGGATATCTTGACTAAAACGGCTATCGATGGCTTGGAAGTCTGTAAGCTTCATTTGGTCCATTGGGATTTTAGACTTCTCCGAGAATGCGACGCATTGTCCACTGATGTGATGCGTCTCGCGGAAAGGAACTCCCTTGCGGACAAGGTAGTCTGCTAGGTCGGTAGCCAGCATGAAAGGACTATATCTTGTCAGTTCGCACTAAGCTGGATGCGCCGACGTGACTTACTCGAGAGAAGCACGCATTTTCTCGGGGTTGACGGCAAGTGTTGAAAGAACGCCTGTCGCAATTCGAATACTATCTGAAACTGTCTTGACGTGATCAAGCATAGGCTCGACACTCTCTTGAAGCTGCAATTTGGAGGTCAGCATTTAGGTCACGTTACACGACATAGGAGTTAAGCGAGCGACCCCTTTTAGCAGGTGCATTCTTGAGTGAAGCATGAACGAAGTAAAAACAATGCAAGACACGAGAATGCAAGATGACTTACGTCCTTATTGTAGGTGCTGTGACATTGGAATTAGCATATTATGTTTGAAAAGGATGAGCTGAAAAGCTAAGCATGCGGGACAGCAGGAAACGAACCTTGGCAGACCCTTAATTGTCATTGTCAAACCAGCCATCTGACCGAATGCTCTTCCTGTCTTTCCCCGAAGAAGTTCTAAGCTATCCGAGTTCTTCTTTTGAGGCATCAACGAGCTCTGTACTTAAGTTAGTGGTGGGTTGTCTTAATATGAAGTGGGTTGAGAGGTATCAACGCCTCATCTTTCAAATTACATATCGCAATAAAGGGATAATAATACATACACCAGTGCCTGTTATTTTGAAAATCAGTACGTTATGTCAAGCAGGGTTAGAAGTAAATGGATTCTTTTGGGGAACGCGGAAGATCTCACTGTAAGCATCCGCTAATCTGACGAAAGAGAATTCTCCAGTCCCGTAAATAATTAGGTCCTCACTCCATCTGTACCGTATCAGCATAGAGTACAAAGACGAGAGAGAACGAGAACGTTGAAATATAGGCAGAGAGGCTAGATGGCTGAAGTGACTCTGATTGGACGATATGCATATGGAAAAGGCCGAATTGATGTTAGTGTTATAGAAAAAGGGACTTACCGGGACAAATGCGTCATCAGCATAGTTCCCCATTGCATCGTCTCCAAAACAAAATCACGACTGGATACTGCAGCCATGCTGTTCCACAGCAGTCCTTCAAAGCCAAGCTCTTTAGCCATAGCCTCTCTGTTCACTCCGAAACAGTTGCCCGCAAGGGCACCAGCACCCAGAGGACTTAAATTGACTCTTGCGATAACTTCTCGAAGTCTCTCAAGATCAGAGGCGAATGCCATTCCATACGACAACATCCAATGACTCCATCGAATTGGCTGGGCGCGTTGCAGATGGGTGTATCCGGGCATGATCAAGTCAATTTCCTGCTCAGCCCTAGCCGCAGTGACTTTCAAGAAATCAACCAAGAATACCTCAATCTTCCTGAGCTCATCTCTCAGCCAAAGTCGCATGTCAGTAGCAACTTGTTCATTTCTGCTTCGGCCTGTGTGTAGCTTCCCACCAACTTCTTTCCCAATGATCTCTCCTAACCGACGTTCATTCGCAGTATGTATATCCTCGTCGACGCCAGGAATAATCTTGAATGTTCCAGCAACCCATTCTCCCTCGACTTTTTTGAGACCCGACTCGATTGCAGAGAACTCGGAGGCTGTGAGGATACCGGCTTTGTAGTTGGCGCGAGCCCATGCAATGCTGCCAAGAATATCTTGGGTATGGAACGCTCGGTCGTAGTAGATTGATTCATTATATGAGACCATAAGAGGATCAAGTCCACCTGTCGAAGAATCAGCATATTGTAAAGCTACGCATACAATGACTCAGACCTGTGAAGCGTCCTCCCCACAGCATATTCTCCCCGGGCTTGCTCCCTGGTGCTCTAAGCTGTTCCGAAGCCATTATGAAATTCAATTGGGGTCACTTGGGGAGAGATTAGGTAAAACAAAAGAAGTCGAGGACTCTATTCTGAGGCTTTGTGGGGAGAGGGGAGACATCCACTGTGTGGAACTCGTTATCGCAGTGATAGCAAAATCTACCTGCACCTGCACTAAGAAAATTCCTTGCAGGGATATTTTTCACACTAGTCCAGCCTTATACTATTACTTTAACATGTGACTTCAAGATGCACCACGACCACGACAACTTTTCTCGTAACCTCCGACTTTTTCTGTACCGTCTGTACCAACCCCCTTTGTCTTGAGGAGCTCTCCAACAGACTCAAAATCAGATAAGCATCTGCTCATAACACGTGTTTTGGCATGGCGTCCTTCCCGAACGTTTATACTCACCGCAAGGTGGCCGATACAGCCTCCAAATCCTGCGAAATCTGTTATAAACCAAGCACAAGCGTTCTTGTTACTCCTGAAAGCAAAGTCAGTATCAGTTATTCGATTGCCTCCGTCGGCACTGCTAAGTCATTCCAGGATTTCTTTTACGTCTGTCCAGGTCACCTAAAGGACAGAGGATTCTGTTCCCCCATAATTGACGAGGCTGCCGTAGCTGCAAAGAAGAAGAAAGAAATGGAGGCTGAGGTTCAACGAGTGAAGCAAGAGTTCGAGGAGAAACTGAAGAAAAAGAAGGATAAGGAGAAAGAGAAGGAGAAGGAGAAGGAGAAGGAGAAATCCAACGACAAGGATAAGGATAAGGATAAAAAGGATGACAAGGACGAGAAGCCGGAAGAGAAGGTAAGCAATTGCCTACTGTGCCCAAGATCTACATGCTTAAATTATAGTAGAAAAATTCAAATGGAAAGGTAAATATATCCAGAAGATGCTCAAGTTCCAAATACTCACATCGATATAGGAGAAACCAGATGAAGATATTACTGCACCAGATGAGGAGCCAAGAATCTTTGCCCTTAAAAAGTCTTTCTACCAGCAACGAATCGACAAGAAGAGGAGTGCAGAGATTGCAAAGCGCAACCGCGAACGACTGCAAAATCCAAGTCTCTTCCCTCAAGTCCCAAAAGGCCTTCCTTGAGCAAACCGATCACGACCACGATGTGAGGTATATCTCTATCCATTTCCACCCAAACACTACGGACCCAATTACCTTGAATAGCTCTCCAAGTCTGTTCGGAGCAATTGGAATCTAGAGACGCACTACTGCTTGAAGAGTAAGATATTCGGTACGAAGTACAGTCTTCTCACAGACTCTTTCTTCATTTTCGGACTTCTGACCGAGAGCGAGGACCTTAATGCAGAGAATACCTATTCGGTAACAACGTCCGACATTCGGATGCATCACTTTCTAAGGCATGCATTGGAACATTCACGGGGTGTCGATCCTGGATGACAACAGCATTGTCATCCCCTAAAGAGGGGTTTGCCGGGATCGGGCCTTGCCCTCTCACCCGCTACCATGCATCTTGATTCTTGATTTGGACATGGATGTATGGGCATCAGCACGCTTCGATCTGGCACCCTGTATTATACCCTAGTAGCAATGACATGATTATCGATTAACTATCACGGCAGTGACGGCACTCGGGGCTGAAAGTGCAAGGGTAAGTAAGCCATGCATCCATTCACAGACGTACCCCACAATGGAAGTAGGCATATAGCAGAGGTGTCCCACGAAATGAAGATATATTCAATGGTCAGCAACCATAAATTGCACACATTCAGTGCCATATTACAGCATTTGAAGTCACACTCAATCCCTCTTGATCACCTTTTTTCCATTATATCTCCAATGGCTTGCTTGTTCGTAAGGCTCGTGTTGTCTAGTGCTTACACCTCAGCTGTCACGTCGGGGACATCGGCCAATTCGACAATCTGCAGATTCTGCAGTTGCGTACCCCCTCGACCGATTCGGAAAGCTGTTAGAAGGACCCTACCTGTCAGCTTTCGCTTGGTTATCCCGAATCAGCCATAGCATTGAGCCAACCCCTGTTTTCACCAATCGATAATCTAGCAACTGTCAGAAACAAGACGCTTCGGACCTCTGCTGAGATCACCAGGCTGCCAGACATGGCTACACATGAAAAGCGAGACATCTGCTACCAGCTAAGGCTTCACGTAGTACATGATTACAGCCTTGATGACCTACAATGAGATAAGGCTGCTTACTAGCAATGTTCTTCGACCCCGCATATCTCGCAAACCTATATTACATGCAGTCATACTTTACATAATATCAATACGTGAGAAAGTATATTGCCTAATATGGCAAGGCAAATATTTTCTCCTACGCTCGTCAGCAGGCTAGGCTGTCTCGGAAAACTCTTCAAATATGCCCCGAGGACTAATAACACCCTTTGTCTAGCTCAATGGCCACTTATATAGCTACTTTACAGTGGTATCGATGACTACTCTCCATGATGGTCCTAAAAGAAACTCAAATATAAGACGAGAAATGGAGACTGCCATATGCCTTGGCAAGGTTGATTTAACTCCGCAAAGTACATTATTTTCTACCCAGTCTACAGCCTGCATGACTGCCTTGTTCGTATAGTATTACCTCTCTGCAACCTGTATCACGTTCCAATTATCAGAGGAAGATCATCATATTCATATGCATCGCAGAGACAGGTTCGTTGCCTACCTAATCCCGTGAGGCAAATTGCCCGAGTGCCTGGGCGAAATTGGGGAATGGAACTGGGAACAATGGCTGGACCAAAATCCATACAGCGGATGCAAGTATTCACATTCTCTGCATACACATATGCGACTCAAGTGATGGGATATCTGCACTCGACCGTGCATGTGCAGACCAAAGCTCTCCTTTGTCAGCCTCGTACCCCTCTAGTTCCCAGAACGGCACCTTCAAAGGTTTCCCTTGCCCCTCATTCCAGGCGGCAGCCGAATACCCCCAGACTCATCCGCCGCACCAACACTCGCTACTCCGAACCCATCCTTTCCCGCCCCCTGACTTTGGACCTTCTCAGGCCTTTTGGTGACCTCGTCTACCCGTCCCTTATGCAAGCTAAAAGCCGGCAAAATCCATATGCCGCAACTGCACCGCATGCCTTGCCAAGCATAGCGGCCGATCTGTGCTAAGCACTTCTGGTTCGGGCATTCTAGTCGACCGCTGAGTAGTCCCTGGTCTAGCGCTGGCCGCATCCAGGAGAGCGGGTGTAGGAAGTGGTGAGTGCATGCAACGTGGTCTGGAGGTGAATCGAGCGAAGCGATTGGAGACTTCGGTGATGGTGTGGGGGCTGTTTTTGAGGCTGAAGGAAGATGGGTGATAAGATAGGGGCTCGTAGCTAGTGTGCGGCTGAAATAAGCAGACGTCAGCGTTGGTATCATTGAAATAGGGGGGCTGCCTTCCATCTCATGAGGTTCGGGTAAGAATTATGCAGCATCATGTGATTGCCAACACCGAAAGGAGTAACGGAAGATAGCGACACTTACCGACATTTCCTACATCTCAACTCGACTTCGTTCCCTTCTGAGATTCCTCCCTCCTGTGTTTCCTCATCCTCGAACCTTACTCGTTCTGGTGCCATGCCGGCCGCAAGCGCCACGTCCACTTCTTGGCGATACAGCCATCGCTGATATCGAGGATGTGCTTCGATATCTCTCGGACAGCCCATTTCCTTGTAGAGTTCCAATTGCGCCATAAAACCATCATTCGGTTCCGCAATCGGCCGCGACTCCTGGATTAGTGAGAGTGCTGACGCAACGGTGTGTTCGGGATATTGTCGTAAGAGATAAGCTATAGTAACCGTGACCGAGCGGGATTTGCCCATGGCGCTATGAAGAAAGTCAGCGATATAGCAAAGAAGGATGCTTAGAAGAGCCCGTATGGGGAAATGAAACCGTTTATAGATATGAGAATACGAGGATCTAGAAAGTATAAGGTTTTGATGTTGTGAGATATGCAATATGAGATAAGACACGGAACGAACGTGATTATCACTGGCATCATCGAACGCCTTTGCGTGGTCCTGCCACACTTGGGGTCTTCTCAGATGGACTCCTATTCTGGGACAGTCCAGACTTCAAATATCACAACTCACCAATGAATAAGCACTTTTCCCTTTTTACCGTTCTTCCCCTCCTTTAGAGCCTTCTCGATGAAGCTGCCCGTTCTCTCAAACTCGCCGAGCAGGTTCTCATCGTCTATATCATCGACTTCAACACTGAGATGCTCATACTTGTCCCAGTCTTCAAAGTCTTTGAAATCATACTTGAGGACCGAGACGACATGCGTAATGCCAGTGTCAGCCAGCGTGGACTTGCGGCGTAATATAAATATCCTGGGAGGTCTTGTCAGAAAACTCATTCATCACCAAGTCATTCCCGCAAATAGTATATTAAAGCGATTGCAAATTCCAATGGAAAAAGATACATTATCACGTGTCAGACTTCTGAAAATGGCATGCGGGGTTATAAAAGGGGGGAGGATCAGAACCGTGGAACAAAAGCGAAGTGACTACATACCCTCCAACATAGAGCTCATCCTCCCCAGGGACCCGCGATAGCGCCATGTCTGACACGGGAGCGTTTTGATACCTAGATGATTCGGGGTTTCGGATTTCGGATATCAGGACGCAGCCTCCATTGAAATTTGCCCTTCCCGGTTATTAATGGTACGATCGATTCTCCAAAACAGTTTCCCAATGCGGACGAGTTGGGATAGGGGGAAATGGGTGGGGTGGGGTGAAGAATCAGGTGATTAGTTATCTCTTTCGTGGTGGTCAAGCAAGCAAGAAGATGGTGAGATTTTGTTTCCCACGCCACTACTGGTAGAGGCCTCAGGCACAACATACATTAGTAAAATATGGAAGCAAACGAACCCCTTACAAAGTTGCCACTTCCAAACAATTGCCGCCCCATTTGCAGCCCCATTTGCAAGTGCCGCGGGTCACAAAACGCGGTTCCTATCCATCCACCTGCCTTATCCATCAAGCTTCTCCGACCTAGAACCCTGTGGCCTGTCCCCGCTGAGCCCTAGCCGTGTCAGCTCCCGACCAAGCAATGTCGCAAGGCAAGACCGACCTGGTGGAATGTCACTATGTCTCGGCGAAATTTCCTAGGCCCCGCGGTAGAGGCTGTTCTCTGATGTTTCTATGAAGTAAGGCTTGTGTGGGAAAACTGAGGATGCGCTCAGAATTTTTCACTTGCTTAGGCCTGGAACCTTGCCTATTCGCATAATGAGGCAAAGTACCTAGCCTAGTTACACCGAAGGCACGGTACTTCGGTAGTACTGTACATCATACGGAGGTCCGTATGTTTCTCTCCTGAATCTTTCGGCAAAGCTCTGGGCTGATTATGGCACCTGGTCTTACTTGTACGAAGTACATGCAAGAGTCGTGGCCGTGTTCTAAAGTCTGCAAGTCATCTCCTAGCTTGTTACAAGCGTAATCGTGGTGTACTGACAAAGATACTGTAATCAATGATTATTATATTGATTACTAAATTTTTATTTGCAGCACTGATTCAATTTCACAGGCCTGAAAGTCTCCCTTTTTAAACCCTTCAAGCCACATACAACCGACAGTGCGGTACCCGGAAGACTTTTCTTCCCGTTCGGTTTTTATGACGGAGGTACCACTAGTTGGAGATTGGAGATACCATTCCGAGCTCCGTGGTATTAAGTTGACGCTTGTCATAACCAAGCACTCATTTAGAGTCATGTATCTAAGACCCTAACGCCGATGACATTGTCTGGTCGGCGACCTGACGTCCCAGAACAACGGTTGAACATCATGTCCCGACTCCCTAAGCAAGGTACCCGGGTATCTTACTAAGTCCAGTTTAGCATCAGCGTCATTCATGAACCTAAAAAACACTTCATTTCCTTTTTAGGTTTAACTTCTATGGTGTTTTGCGGCTTCTTCCGCAAAAAAGTTGCTACTCGAAGTCTCGATGAAGTACAGTGAAGAGTCTGAGGGTTCATGATTAGTAGGCTTTTTGTGTGGGAGGTGGTGAAACATAAACATGATGGTATAACTCCTTGAATCTTCATTACATGCCGTACCTAACAGAAATAGATACTCGTACTAAGACTTTATAACAAGTCTATAAAACCCACTAGTTACTTGAATCCACCTCTCGGCCACATACGTACACAAAGTCGCCGAATACTAGAGGCAACAGGCATTAGAAGTCTCAGCCTTGTCATGGCTTCCACGTCTCGTCAAGATCTGGCGCTCGCGTACTGTATCGTTTTCGTTTCTCGTGTTCTATTTGCCTTCTCATTGGCGGGAAATGTAACCAATAGAATCTCTATGCCTTCATAAGAATCGACGCGCCACCTCAAATAGTACAAGTAGATGTCCCAGAATGCAAGTGGGGCTCTAGACTTACGAAGTATTGGATGTACCGTACTGTACAGTACAGTATCATATTGATTGGGGGCCACTTGAGCCCTACAAGGCATAAGCCCTGACCCTTGCAGGACTCTGGAAGATCCCAAGAACATAAGACACGGGAATCGGTTCCAGATTCGTGCTTGGGCTCCCGCACGACTAGGTTATTCTAGAGTGGCGGTTCCAGCCAGTCAGCTTAGGAGATATAAAGTGTGGATGCTGCGTAAGGTTACTCCGTACTCGCGTTTGGGAAACCCCGCTCTGGCTTCTGATAGGGCAGCTCGCCATAGGGCTAGTTTTGCGCGCGGTAGCTAGCTACGGTATTTGGCTGTTCGATGCTCTGAGTGGGAATCCTCATATACTGTTCATTTTTAACCTATTTCTTTGCGAAAGCTCCTATTTCATGATAGGTTGTCGGGGTTTCGGCTATGAGTGATGCTGAATTCGGTCATCATGTCTCGCATCTCTGTGCCGTTTGCACCCATCTATCAGGCTTGTAGCCTTTGGATATCATACTTCTTGACTCTCTACCCATGCACAGTCGGCGCGGCTTTGAAAGAGTCCTTTATTGTTGCAGCGCTAATAATCTTGGTCGAGGCCGTGCGCTTCGAGACTTGTCTTCCATTCAAAGCTGAAAGATTTTCCTCATCTATTTTTGTGTAGCGCATGTATTATTGAACGGGATGATTACTCCGTATCCAGCAGACCACGAGGAGGCATTAGTGGTGGCCAGAATTGCGTGTTGATACGAAGTGGTAGAGTGGATGTTTTCTACTTGCGCTAGGAATAGATTCCGTTCAACGGAATCGTTGACCGCTGGTCATTCAAGAGGCTACTAGGTCTTTCAGGGGTGCGCCGTACTGTAGCCTTCGATAGTTTGTTCTATACAGACCTCGTGACTTCTTGCTGCCTTGATTAGTTTTGAGAGTTCAGCCTTTGATCCAAGAGGATATATGGCCGGCTAATATGTACGCCTGCATACGCTTTATAGTATCATGTGAGTGGCTTGAACGTTGTAAGATGTGGTTGCAACAAAACAGGACTTTCATACTTATACGGCAGAGCTTCTTCAGCTATAGGGGTCTAGAAGAAGGACAAAGTAGGACAAGAAATCTGGTTTTATGTCTTGGCGAGTGCTTAGTCAACGAGAAAATACTCATTACTACTGTTGCATTAGTGTCATAAAACCGGCGGATTTGGATTTACGGTGAGCAACTTCTAAGAACGGCGTTCTTTAGCAACGCATAAACAAGGCACGATTTCCAAATGGAACTCTGTGCCTTCGGATAGAATCTCAGCTCGGGCTCGCTTGAGTATGTACCTTTCGGCCCGTGTCGGGACAAGGTACGGGGAGCAGGAGTAAATGAGACAGGCCTGGTTCTGCAAGAGACCTCATGTAGGAGGCGTGTGGCTTCCCTTGCTTCCTAAACCCGCCATAACCGCGCCGTTTGTATTCCAAATACTCAGATTGATGTTCCATCATAGCTTTCCCTGGTAATATCGGTTCGAAAGTGCAGGATTGATGCTTTTGAAGAGTCGTTTATCCTGAGCGATGCTAATCTATATATCTTCTGTAGGTTTCATTGATAGCATCGTGTATTAACGCAAGTGCGAGGGCATCAAAGTCATTGTCTAGAAGCCGGCCAGGGGGTAGTCAGCAAAGAAGCACAGGAACATTCTTTCCTCCGGCAAAAAGTGCTACTTCGAAAGTTTGTTGCTTATGGTATAAGCATATGTTTGTCAGAAGTATTCTTGTTTGAGTCTGTCGTTCGCACGGCCAATCAAATCAGCGCCAGTGACGAAGTTTCGATTTAGAACAACGTATGATTTACCGTTCAAGTGTGTAAGCCTTGCAATATTCGTTGCATCATTTGGAAGACTTTGGAAAACCGTTGAGAATACGGCCTCTGGTGTTTTTGATATGTGACCCCGTGAAGTGTTTTTTACTTAGCTAGACTTGAGCGGTGAAGTTCAAGTGGCATCTAAGATGATGTTACTGAGCCAACTAAGCTCGTAGGCGCTATATAATAACGTCAGACTATACGACCAAACCCTGATAATGTGAGGTTAGGGGAACACCCGCGATGTCGATACGAACAATAGAGCCTCGCGAGTATGAGTAGGTGCTTCAATTCAAATAGCATCTTTTACTATACTTCGTACGCTACTACTTTTCTACTAAAACTTAGTCTATGCCAAATCGAACCCCCAAGCTAATCTAATCTAACCTAGACTGTTTCGAATTAATGAGGCATCATCCTACCCCAATTTTCCAAAAACTTTGGAGTTCCTAACCCATGTCGTATATCCTGGGGCGGGTGGTGGCGCAGCAAGAAGTATAATTTATGTACGTACGTGGTGCAGTGGTGCAGTAGCAATGAAATGGCTGCAGGAACTGCACATGCAAGCAGCACGATGTTATTGGGTGTATGGAGGTACTTGGTACTAAGAACTACCAAACGTACTTTCGTAATGTGACCAATTGACCAGCTAAGCCTGCGATGTGCATTGCTGCTGCTTGACGATAGAACCTAGATGATCCTTCGGCCACATGTTCGATGTGTGTTCGGAGTGTATTCTTATAAATCTTGGCCTTGAAAAGGATATTTCCCTTTCTCTACATTGAGGTAATGCCGACGCGGTCACGCAAACGCCCGAGGACTGTTGTAGATTAGACGCTATACTTACCCTGTAGTGTAGTGGGGGTTCAGCTACCCTACACGGGCCTGCAGTAATTTACCAGGTAGTCAAGAACCCCATAGGTAGCTGGCGAACATAGCCAAATTACCCTGAAGCCGCTACAGATTCCACGGCGCCAACCAGTAGGCAGTACAAGAAGTACCAGGGCACATCTGCCAGTTCATCTCGGTGTATGTACAGTACTGTACTCGAGTACGAGTAGTAATGTGCGTGTAACTGGATAGGTGTGGCATCTACTGGGTGCAACCTTGCCAGCTTGTCAAGCCCCAAGGACAGTGGTTTGGAGCTAAGATAGGTAGGGCTGAGGCCCGTGGATACTCTGAAGAACAAGAGAGAAATGAGGGTGGCCCTATCGCTCATCCCTACAAGGCCCCTGGAGCCCTGTCGGCCCCCAGTCTAGCTCTGGTTCCAAACCCCGCTGTCTCGAAAAGGAGTGGGTTGCAACTGAGCGTTTCTACTTGCAGTCATCATTACGCCGTATGACAGGAATGTCTTGTCTTGCAGATGCGAGATCAAGGCGAAGACAAATTGCTGGCGGCGAAGGAGATGGAGACAAAAAGGAGTATACAGTAGAGATCTGAAAACGATATGTGCCTTGATGCCAGATTTCGACTCGAAGCTCAGAGGAGCGAGCAGACAGAAAGCGTAAGGTGCCTCAGGAAGAACAGACTGATTATGAGATCAGATCAGTCCAGGCGCTCTAATGCGGCCGGCAGGTCTGACTTATACGAAATGCGAAGGGTCAGCTAAGACAGACAAAGGTAGCCTTTCTAATAATAATTCTGGGTGTTGGGGAGAGTACTGAGGCTTGTAAGAAAAGTCTTTCGAACTGAAGGAATAAGAATACCGTAATAACAATATGAAGTCTTACATGTTGAATCGTCTCGAGATGCCACGACCGCAACACGATCACGACCCAGAAAATATTATATCCGTACGGAGTATCCACATCCACATCTTATCCTCCTACTGTAGTGTCCATGCGGCACGGCAACCACTTTAATCCCATTTCTCAGCCTGGTCCTCCGTCTGCCCTGCTGGTGCTATCCACCCTCTTTTTCAAGGGTCCCTTAGGTTTCCATGCTTTGCCTTACCTTACATAAATGTGCAAGTAGCTACTAGTCTACTGCCACGACATTTGTGCAAGTATAGTACGAAGTAGTAGTTAGGTCGTGGATATGTAGATAGATTCGCTCTGCCGTCGCCTGTTGGGTCACTACTAACTAGGTGGATACCTAGGTAGGACCTCAAATACAAATACTCTACGGAGTATGGTCCTAATGTTTTACATCCGTACGAACGAAGTACCTACCACCTATACCTATTGCCTACCTAGGCACCTAGCCCTCGTACATTGTTTTACATTTGCATGACTTTATCCTGCCTGCAACTGTCTCCTCATTCCCCTAAATATATTATTCCTTTCGACTTCGCACTATATACACACTACTACTCCTTCCAATTTCCAATTCCCTACCTACTCCCGCTCGTCCCTCCTCGTCCCTCCTCCCCCCTCGACGCCGTTACTCTACTACGCCCTACACTACTACTTGAATACGTACGCACGCAGCATTAGTAGTACCCGTCGGCAACTACCTAGGTTAGGCTGACCTGACCACCACCACTACCACTACCACCACTATCCCAACTGCCTCGCCCACCTGTGTGTTTGCCCCGTCAGCCGCCTGCTACTCAGACCTTCATGTTCTACCCGTACAAGGCCCTGATCTGTTGCCAAATATCCATCGCCATCCAATCAAACGGCCTCTACCCCATAAACTCCGACTAGCCGATGCCCGCTCATATCATATTATTGTCCCTCCTCTCGAATCCCCTTCCTGATCCCACATACTACTACACCCTTTGAGACAACGCCTTCTCCACCCCATCATCCATATTCTTACTTCTTCGAGACGCCTCCTTCTTTCTAGCCTCTTCATGACATAAGATTTGCTTCAATATATGCGCGGAGGTCATTTTTCTTTCTTGTTGTATATTCTGTTCCTATAGACATTCATGTTTCGCCTCCGTTCATTTCTCCCAGTCGGCTCTTCCGCAGCATATTGCCACTTGCACACACAGACTTTGTAGCAAGTTGTGCCATTCCTTAACCTTGATTCTTTCAGCTCGTGGCAATTTCGAACTTCAAGCGCATCATGGACATCCCTCATCGCGGTCTGAGGCCATCTCTGGCCCTACCCGAAATATACGTCCACGAGTCGAACCCCGAGCACTTTCGATCGTCAAGTAGATCGAGCTCATACAATTCGACTTCCTCTCCCACGACTTCCTCTATTCCAATGTCAATACCGCATTCTAGGACAGACTTCGTACCCCCACCTCTTCCTCCGCCAACACATTTAGCAGATATAGCTTCAGGAGGAAACAATGGACCTGATCTAGCCTGGAGGTTTGGGAACTCGCATGGTTCTACGAGTGATTGGGGGGGGTCTATGTCCTCCGTTCCCCCCGGGTCGAGTCTCTACGGAAGCTTTGCAAGTAGGAAGGGCTTAATGGACGACCGGCCCGACTATTCTCGCCGCACAAGTTCTAATTCGACAATAAAAACTTCGGTGGGAGAGGGTCGTCAGGAGCACGCATACCCCAAAGATGAGGGCTATTCGAGTCTTTCCGGGACGAGCATTGGGTCATACAGGTCAGTTTCAATAAATCTGTGCCTATGCAATAGGTGCTCATCTCGCTGCGGATCCCTCCAGATTCTGGGATGGCGCTTATGAGCTTGAGCTCCCGCCCTGGGTTTTAGATTGTCATTTTAAAACGTCTAAATCTCAATTCGTTCGTAATTTGAAAACTATAGCCGCTGACAATTTGTTTGCATAGGTCCAAGTACCAAGAATCTTCTTCGGCGAAATCAGGTTTCCAGAGTCACGACAGATTCCAAACAAATGCACAGGCTTACGATAAATCTCTTTTACAAAAGCTGGACGCTCGAAGGGGGACAGATGATAAGTCACCTTCGCGGTGCTATTCAAAATCAGCTTTCAGCTCTTCGGCTAGTGACGCTTCACCCACATCGCGCATTGCTCTCGAGCATAGACACCCCAGCCAGTTGAAGCCATTGTCTTTGCCAATCTTAACCAGCAGGCCTGGCTTCGTAGAAAGCCCTATTGCCATGTCTAGATATGGAGAAACTCCACTATCGTCTGGTATTTCTCCCGGAAACTCATATCCAAGATTCGGGGTTCAGACTCAATTTGAGTCCAAATCGCCCATTGACAGCGCGGATTCCGACAGATCTCATCCATTTATTGGACGTTCTGGAAGCAGTTCTGTAATGAGTGTTGGTGATGAAGCTTCGAGTGTCACAAGCAAATCCAGGGAGACTTATGACCGTAGAATATCTCCAGATCATGATGTAGACTTTCCTATGGAAGAGACAGGGCTTAGGCGATTGTATATTGACGAATACTCTGGTCGATCAGATGCGACTACGGGTCAAAAACGACGTGCATCGTCACCACCAGTAGAAGATGTCCAAACATTGCATACAGCCGGCAGCGTAAGTGATCTTTTCCGGCGGCGCGAGTCGGGATCAAGAAGCTCCCCAACTCCACGATATCATTCGAATTCAGGGTCAGTCTCTTCTACGACATCCGCCCCGCGGAACAACTCTTATGCTTCTTCAACATTATCCATTGCTGCGAGTAGCATCACAAGTATGAGCTCGTATGGGCGACTTTCTCCAGGTGGGATATCTCCAGCAGCTTCAGACATTCCGGACTCCCCTTATGTCACGTCCCTGTCTTTAAATCCAAGTCCACGCGCGTCTACAACTCATCAGCGTCAAGTATCAGACACTCGACCGCTTATGACCTCGCGCAAACTATCGGACAGTGTCAGCCATGGAAAATCCAACAACATCCCAAAGATTCATGGCATTTTCATGTGTGAATGCTGCCCGAAAAAGCCAAAGAAATTTGATTCTCAAGAAGAACTGAAGTAAGAATCTATTATGAAATGGTTGCACAAAAATTTGCTAATGAAAATTCTAGTGCTCATGAGCAAGAAAAGCAATACGAATGTGCTTATTGCCGCAACCGTTTCAAGAATAAGAACGAAGCAGAGCGTCACCAAAATTCGTTGCATTTGCGCCGCCATTCCTGGTCTTGCGCTGCACTCTCGGGCTATCCAGCCGCTTTTCACACATCTCCAACTCGACCAAACGAGGCAGATGCCTGTGGATACTGTGGTGAGGATTTCCCTCGCTCCGGTATCTCTTCACCGCCCTCGGGTCCTCAGATGGCTATAGCAACAGACCAAGATTGGGACATCCGAATTGCCCATTTACAAGAGATGCATAAATTTGGGGAATGCAATCATGCCAAGAAGTTCTTCAGAGCGGATCATTTCAGGCAGCATTTGAAACACAGCCACGCGGGTACCAGTGGCAAGTGGACAAACATGTTAGAAAATGCATGTATGAAAGATGAACCTCTTCCAGAACCGATCAGAGGCCCCGAAAGGGTGAGCCCTGGCGGGCCGAGAGTAGGGATAATTAGTGAGGAAGAGGAACTCCTGTGAAAAAATCCCTTCGCGGAATGATGATCATTTATATGCTTTAGATATATTACAACAATTGTTTAGGAGGAGAAAATGGACGGATTTCTGAAAGACAATGGACGACAAAATTCTTAACGGCCGTATACGAGATACCCGGGGGTACTTTTTTGAGCATTGCTTGCATCTCAGCATCATCTAGTGGCATTTTGAGCATGAACGGCAGAGAAAACGTATTATTCCGTTTTTTTGGTTATGTTATTTGAATATCTTCACGGAACAGAAGGAGGAGCGAAGCAAAAGCATTACATTATTGGCGTCTGGTGTCTGATCACCGATTTTTCCCTCGGCAACGTCTTTACCGTTTGCTAGAACGCATGGGCGGTGTGCAACGAAGGCTTGAGGGTTGCATGGAGGAACATTATCGGGCTTTAACTGGTGCAGATGAGCACCTGCTCCCCTGGTTAATTACATATATGAAGACGTCACTATGGACGTGCAGCTGAAAGCAAATAGCAGGCTTTCCAAATCCTGGTGCCTGGGATAATATGAATCGATGTGCTTCAGCGCTTTCCATTCCCACCCTGAGAAGTACATGAGAGCCGATATGCCTGAATGACCATGGACCCATTTTGGCTAGACTTCACGTCCACGTCGACTTTTGCACTGGATGGGAAATACCCCGTTCTCACCATCAAGATATTACAACTCGAAGGATGACCGTCCAGCATTAAGCTTCACGGTTGCGTTGATAGACCAATGGTATGCAAGGAGTCGAGAAGGGATAGTATAAAGTAACATCGACACCACCTGCTAGGCTTAGGGCGGTTGGTCGGGTCGGCTGCGATCGAAGGTTGGTGCCGCGAAGATGCATCTCAACCCTACTTGCTGTACATGAATCTTTTCACGTAAAGCTGGCTTCGCGTACATGGCATGGTTCCATTCTTGCAACCCTGTCTAACCTGGCAAGCGAGCCCTTGACATCAAGGCAAGGCCAATCGGCTTGCTCGCATGCATCGCAGTGGTCATCTACGAAGTAGGGAGTTAGGATTCTACGAGCAAGTTATGGAGGTTTCCTCCCTATGGACCTCGGAGTCTGACTGGCGGGGTTGCCTGAATCAAGCCGCTATGACCAATAGGCTTTTAGCTTTCTGGGGAAGGATCATTAAGCTCCTACCTTGGACATTCGAATTTTCTTCTCTGCATGATGTGGCAGAAACCGCGAATAGTTTCTGCTAGGCTGAAGGATCAAAATCGGAGACACCGGTCTGCAGAATTCTTACTTCAATAAGGCGACCCGTCGTTATGGTACCCAATCGCAGGTCGCAATATTTTGAGAAGATTATGTCTATCCCAAATGCGTGGTGATAGGCTAGTACAAGTATCATAGTATTCCGTTGAAAACGCAAGGTCTATCTTACTGTATAGGCTTAGTCCCCTACGTTTACTATTTTGGGTCAAAAGTAGTTAGTTGTTGCGTACAGCCCTACCATTAATACGCACAACCTAGTTGCGGGCCTCTTACCCTCGCAAGAGCTTTCCTAGATAACCCTTTCTTGCCCCTCATCTATTTACTTGAGGCTTGGCAAGATGGTTTTGGAAGCCAAGTGCGAAGAGCAATATCATGACAACATTATAGTCAGGCCACCTCATCCCATTTATTTTTATATTATCTTTCTTTATCGTCATAACAGTCTTATCTTGTTTGGTACTTAATCATAACTGCCGGTAGCTTCGTCTGCGACTAGGTAGAAACACGATCCACCACAAGACAGTGTTCATAAAGGTCAGCATTTGTGCCGATCTTCACCTCTGAGCCCCCTTAATGCATGGCGAATGTCGAATGCCGAATTCAAGGGCACTAGTCGAAGTAATGACTCGAGTGAGCTGTTTACCCCTCTCTCGTGATTGTAAGTTTATGTGCAGTAAGTGGTGCAAGGGAAATAAAAGGTCCAGTGTCTTTATAAAGGCCCGCTTCAATAATAGAGAAACCTTCATGCTCCTTATTCTAGTAATGGTACGGCACAATTTCTACTCTTGTTATAACTTGACACTCATGCATATTTTGGAAAGTGAAGAAGAAGGATACCGATCGACGATGTCGGATAGGCCCGGAGGAAGATATTACGGTACCAGTACTCGGTCACATCCACATCTACATCCCTCATATACCCGCTAGTCATGCAGAAAACATACGACTGCATCATTCAGAATGCAAGAGTATCTTTTCTCACTTTCTCGCCCATACCCAGCAGCTCCCACAGACACACATATACATCCACATAATATAATTCACATGCAGTACATCGACGCAAGTTGTATCCAGGCCAAATCTAGGAAAGACAGAGCCTCTACAGTTGCTGCACATCCAAAGGCCCAAAAAAAAAGGCGTTGTTAAAGCGAACCACAAATCAAATTATATCTTTTCCTCGTTTTTGCCTTTTTAGTAGTCAAAATAAACGCCATCAGCCTTACCCTCCTCCCATTTCTGCCCTATAACCAGCCCTACAAGGCAGATATAAGCTTTTGCATGTTGTTCTACTGTACATCGGGCATTTTTTTCTATATTAGGAATACGGCGTGACTTAGCCTCGATAGGAAGTTGAAGCTCCGGCTCCCAAAATGTATGTTTTAGGAAATGTATGCGCATGCTCAGCGCATCCATCACTTGCGGGAATATCTCCTGCGCCTTGAAAATAAAGACTTTTGAGTAGGATAAAGTTTTGGTATCCCAAGACTGTGCTCATACATACACCGCAGCGTTGAAAGGTTGCTTGGGATGGCGGCTGGGAAACAGCTCAGGGGGGGTGGTACACGTGATTCTCCCAAAAGCGCACTGTCAGGGTGAGAAGAAACGTCCGCCATGTGAACGAGAAGGTGGGAAATATGAAAGGATACAACTGACATGACTTGCTACTCAACCATCTCAAAGCTACGCATTCGCCAGTTTTCGGTCACCCATATTCATTCATCATCGCAACCCCGCCCCGTACCCCACACTCCGCTAAGAATTCTCTTCTCAAGAAATATGTCAACAAGCGTCACCTCAACCCCTGGAATAAAAACAAATCAAATGATAAATACACGCAACTGATAACCGCATTTCCCGAGCTAAGAAACACTATCCAGGCCGTAGAAGATAATGTATTCCTATTTCTGAGCAAGCCCCTTTTTAAGCGAGGGCAAGATAGATGCCCGAGCTCTATCTACTCGAAGTCCCATGGGTTGCGTACTATGTGTAATGAATGACAAGTATTCATAAGCTTGTTAAACAATGAATAAAGCATTTCATATTGATAAGAGGCGGGCAGGTGAGTGAGTGGGCATTCGTGTCTAATTAATAATGGCGATTATTCATGCGGACAGAAAGAAGGAAGGAACTTGCACTTTGCTTAATCGAGGATTCATCGCTCCATCTTTATACTTTACGCAACGTAGAAGGGTAAGGAAAAGTACGGCCAGCTCATAATTTTGAAGTTTTTCGGATTATATTTAAACGATATCGGAGAATCAAATATAAAATACTCAAATATCTAAATACTTGCTTAAGACACCAACCACAAGAATGCCGGCGAGAAAAGCAATCGTAACACTGTTTAGGACCTTCCCTGCATGGACGATGGTTTAAGGAGGTGTATGGGTAGGTAGTATTAAGGATCTTGAATCTTTTTGTAAGTTCAAATAAGTTTTATCTCGGTATATATTTGTAATAGTGCTCGCGAGGCGTTCTGGTGGGATACATAGACCATTGTAAAACCATTTGTTCCAATCCAGAGATATTAGGGGAAACGCAATTCAGTTCGTTGATTCTAGGGACGCTTGTAGGACTAAGAACTCTGCTTTGGCACACGCAATGTTGCGATTATTTCGGCTTTTCAAACTACAGAATTCGCTCTCAGATGTTCGCTGGGTTTGAATGTGTCAAGCAGAAGCTTGAGCTATTTATTCGGTTCTCTAAATATGCATGGAGACACTGAAATCGAATATATCTCTAACTGCACCGCCGACGGTGCAAAGCTTCACCAACCCGAAGTCACCACCCAAAGAAACTCTCTCTTCGGTAGTTGCTTTTTCTCCAGACGCCGTTTCACACATTCTATCTACCCAGCTGTCGTATCCATCTTCTCTTGTCTTGCCGCCCTCGCCTTCTCCCTCATCTCACTTCTCCACTTACCAATCTTTTCCTTCAACTCCGGGTTCTCAATCACGTCCTCGATCTTCAGAGGCGAGCGATTGAAGGGATCGTGCGGGTCGCTCAGCAAATGGCTACGGATCGTACTGCGGTCTACAACCATCTTGCTCATCGGCAAGGTGACAGGGTCCATCATGAGGGTAGCGAGGAGAGGATCTTCAAACTCTTCCGGCAACTCGCCCAGATCGCTTTCATCTTGATCCTCGAGTTCTTTAGCCTTTGCGAAGCGTGCCTTCAGTTTGTTCCAGCGGACCAACTCTAGTGCCGGGCACAAGTGATAGCGCTCCATAATCCGGGAAGCATTGGCAAAGTTTGCGGGTTTGTAGGAACGGCCGTCTCGGGCGACGGCTTCGATGAAACGGTCTGAGACGCCGAGGTTAAGATATATCTCAACGAATTCACTGAGGAGATGGCGGGGGTTGAACTTGTATTTCTCTTCCATGCTTTCGACCTTCAGATTCGCTGATTTGGGGCCGACGATGGTGTCGAGGGTATAGTTGACCATGGCTGCTACTCGGTCCACGATTTCCGGCATAGTGAATGAAGCGCTGAGGTTCTTTGTAAAAAGTTTCATCATGGATATTGTTTCATTTGTCAGTTGCATGTATGATGTAGCTTGTGAGCTGGCGGTCTTGAGCTCTTCACTTTTGGCCTCGCGCTCCTCTGGCGTTAATTTCGTGGTTTTTAATTCTTCTTCAAGTTCGTGGATCTTTGGGAATTTGGTGAGCGCCTCGTCTAAGACGTATGTTGCGTCGTTCAAAAGGAGATTGACGAAGCGTAGAAAAAAATCCGTATTGGTTCTAGATTATTGTTAGCCGCCGGACTCACTATTAAATAACAAAAACACTCACTTGCTCTCCTGCGCCAACCTTTGCTTGTAGATATCGTTCGACCAAATACACTTGATGACTTGGAAGATCTCATATCGAATGTTGAACTTGTCATAGAACTGTGTATGGACTCCAGTTGATTCGACCTCTGTGAAGAATTAGTAAGTCCGACTTGAAGCATCGACAGGTCATCGACGTACCGATATAGAACTTCATCAAAGCATGAAGCAAATGATCGTTGGCGAATTTAGATCCTATCAGTGCATCCCCTAGGACTCCCTTTGTACGATGGTATACAGGCCAAGTGCCATGGTACAAGAGAGTAACCAATTTGGCCTTCAAATAGGGATTCTTGATATAGTTGGAGTTGGTGAGGAAGGTAATACAAAGCGCAATGGTTTCATCGCTAATTGCCGAGAACAGAACGTCTGGTATAAAACTATGACAACATTAGCGGCGTGTAAAATGAATTGTAATGCCAGATAAACCTGCCGGAAGACGAATTTGAGGTTTGAAAGGATGTCTTCAAGAACGTATTCGGGCAAAAATCTGAAGGCGTCGGGTTGTTCTTCTTTCAAGGGTAACCTAGAGAAGTTAGCATTGGAATATATGCATGTGTGGATGTTCTTACTCGATAGTCTTGTCCGGGGTATAATCTGATTGCGTTGCAGTTCTTAGAAGCCACACAGTAACATATCTCATGAACGTTACTGATTTGGTTTGCATCTGCTTATCGAGAAGAACACCTTCAATGGCAAACTTGGTCTGCATGTGCCGTTCCAAGACGAGCGTATATCTCTGAAGGTTCGTCTCGAGTACTGAAAGATTGTGTTGATTCTACAGATTGTCAGTGCAGCCTAGGGATATACGGACTGGGTCACCTACCATTGAGGCCTGAATCTTTGGCCTTTCCGCCTCCATCTCTTCCAATTTTCCTGCGAGGTACTTGATTTCCTTGTCCAAGTTCTTGAGCATACTGTTGGTGGCCTCACTACCATAGTGATGGGCAGCGAGAGTCAAGAAGAAGATCTCAGATATGAAGTTTGAAGTGCCCTCGACTGGCGTGCTATAGTATTCATCAGAGGCATTTTGGTCGGCGTTCAGCTTCGTCTCCTCACTGATATCAACTCGAGGATTCCTCCTCAGATAGTCGACATCAATTTTCGACACCTTTGAGAATGTACTGTCCATGAAGGGTTCGCATAGACCGTCTAGAACGACAGTCACATTCATGAGAAATCCATCCGACGACAAATTTTTAGCGTCCGGTTGAAGTGCTCGACGTTTGTGATTCGTATTTACAATATAGGCAAACCAATCCAGGGTCCTGTTTTTAGACGTTGGGCCTGCACGAACGAAGAGATTGATTATGTCAAGCAGGTCCCTCTGGTGAGTTTGCAGAGTCAGACGTAGGGCTTCTTGTGATGTCTGGATTCGCCGGGTGTCCATGGTCTTAGGACCCGCGAAGTACTCCTTCGAGACTTCAGGCTGGAGTGGTGAGATCCTAAAGAATGGCCCTAGGAGTGTATGCTTTTCGATACCTGGCGCTGATGTTGCCATTTGGAAAAGAGGATCATCAGCAATAGCTGTGACCAAAGGAGCATACTGTGATATTTGTTTCAGAGCCTGCAATCAATGTCAGTAACGTTTCAAATGCCGTAGTTTATTGAAGATAATATAATGTCCCACGTCGACTTGCACATTAACGAAAGCACACCAATAACAGACAAGGATGCAAACCAGCCAGAGTATCATTAATATGAAAAGGAGATTCATTGAAACCCTCAGTTGAGGGTCCTAGAGGATATGCTCTACTTTTTGTACTTACATTTATGTATGGCTTGTAGTTATCATTCATCGTCATGTTCGAGAGCTGCAAACTCAGACCCGCAACAGCCTTCGTCAACATCGGTTTGACGGTATCATCTTCGGCGAATCGAGAAATAGCCTCCGTCAAGAAGTCGGGGCATATTCCTCTGTCCTCGACAGCTTCATTCAGTAGATATGGAGTCAAAGAGTCCGTATTTGGATTCGGTTCACGTCTGAAAAGGTCAGCCACACCCATCAGATCCTCAAAACCAAACTAACCCAAAAAGCTCCGGCACCTCCACTGAGAATATGCAATAGCTCATACATAGCCGCTTCGCCTCCTTCAGAATCGCATCCTTCCCATTAGCATAACCCCTTAAGCCTTTGAGAGCCTTAATTATTCTCTTCCAGGCCGGCAGAAGATAATCTAGAATGGACTTGTTGTGAGAAACTGTCGACGCAGCTTCCATAAGAGCGGAGTCAAGCCTCTCTTTCGAGAGCTGAATAGGAGCACTTTCCTCCTCTAACTCTTGTCTCAGGTTCGGAAGGTAGATGAGTCTGTGATTTGAAGCATCCACTTTCTGCATGGGATCCAAAGTAATCCTGAAGATTTGCCCCAGTATCCTGTTCGCATACTCATCAAGATCCTCATTGTTAGAGGGTGTGGCTAGCTTTCTGGCTTGCGTACCTCCGGGGTTCTGCTCGTCTGATTCAGCGCGCGGACGTTTCAATGAAGTTGCTTCGGAGGATTTTCTTACGCTTGGCGAAGGTGTGTTATTTGAGGGTCGCGCAGTCAGCTTGTTGAATGGGTTCTCGGGGGTTGTGGTGGCGGTCGGAGCTTTGGTGATGTTGAGCTTCGGTTTCGGCGCAGGTTCAACTTTTTCGGGGGCTGCTGGAGCTGGTACAGAAGAGGTCGATGATGGGGCACTTGATCCTTCCCCTTTTTGTTCGGTCTTTGGTGTTGGTATTGTTGTGCCAGACAACTTCTCCAGGCGTCTCTGACGGATCTATAGATGCATCCCACATTAGCCTCCCATAGATGGCGGACATGGGGAGTTATGACTGACTTGGTCCATCTTCTCCTTGTCAGGAGCTTCGGGAGGAGCTGGAGGCCCTTGCTGATTGGGGTCCATGATTGGAATGTATTTTGTAGTTGTTGCGGATGAATAAAGTCAAGGTGCCTTGACTATCAACAGCAGCCTTGCGGACCCTGAAGCTGGAGTGACGTTCAGGCGGACGTGCGGGCTTTTAGCGATAACGCTTGCTAATCGGAATCGGTACAGGGGGAGGGGGGTACATCGAAGCTCGAAGAAGCTCCATATGCATATGGAAGGAAATATTACCAAGTACGCCGTAAAGTCAATTGTCGAACGTTGATTCATTCATTGTCCGAATAATGTGAAGCTGGCGAAATTAATACGACCTAGATATGCATCATCTGATCTTTGTTTGTATTTACTGCTCTACTGCAATATTGAAATGACCAGTTTGTCTTTCGGGCATGGAAGGGAAGCCTCCGATAGGGTAACCAGGAGAAGCATCACGTGCAGTTTATATCAGAAATCTGCCATGCATCCAGAGAGACCTACAATAATTCCTCAAGTCGGGTTGAATTTGAGTGCGAGGAAAAGAGGTATCAAAATAGAGCAAGGGGTCTGTTTGGTCACATCCCGAACCCCTGGATATCCCAACAATGCTTCTCTATTATGAGTCTACAACCCCCTTGTGAACCGCCGGCGAATTCGCCAATGAATGCTTTGTCCCAAACGCCATGCTTCTCGCTCAAAGGTCCGCAACTTGTACACCGAAGAGAGTCTCCATTCCGCCTAGTATGAATTCCTTAGTGGCGTCTGCACGCCCAGCTCTTCTAACTTCCTGCAATTCGCCATCTCCATATTCCGTGCCCTGTTCATTTTGTGTGTGTCTTGGACGAACCAGCCTTGAGCGTCTTGCACTAATCGGTTTCTTGATGCCACCTCTTCTTCACAGTACACCCTCAGCTGCTGAACATATTGTATTTCCGCATTCTGGTCGAGGTGGGAAAATTGACGAGCCGTGTAGCCATCCACTTCTCCAGGATCTATCCAGTAAGGCACCTTCTTTTGGTATGTTTGTCGGCCCATGGTATGTGGAGGTTTGGCTTCGTCGAATCGCATCGAGGGGCCACTTGATCCAGAGCCGGAGAAGATCGAGGATATGAGCGGCAAGAATAGAACCAGAAGTAAGGGTAAAAGTCCCTTGAGTATGTCCTTCAATGAAGGTGGTGGGGCTGCTGGCGCATTCGGATCCCTTGGTCTCCGTCTCGGTGCTCTCCCCCCAAACTGATGTACCCTGATACCAGGGCCTCCTCCCATATTAAACACAAAACCTGGCCCGTCATTGAACATTCCACCGCCTCCTGTAATATCATTAGTCTTCATTTGTGTCTCAAGTCAATCACAGCCTCAAAACTCACCACCACCAAAAGGACCCATCCCCCCTCCCCCGAAAAACCTATTAAACATCTCCTCCGGACTTATCTCCTCCTCCCACATACTCCCACCGGACGCCTCTCCCCTCGCCCTCGACGTCCGATCCGCAAAGCCACTAAACGGGCTCTGCTGCGGCGCGCCCCCACCAAACCTCGAATCAGGATCCCCCCCATACCGATCAAACTTGGTCCTCTTCTCCTTATCCCCCAGCACTCCAAACGCCCGACTCACCATCTTGAACGCTTCATCCGCATGCTCATGTCCGTTCTTATCTGGATGCGTCAACAGCGACTGTTTCCTATACGCTTTCTTAATCTCCGATTCCGTGACCGTAGTTTTGACATCCTCTATACCCAAGATATCGTAAAATGCCGTAGGTGCACAGCGACGTACTCTAAGGACGGCGGTTTTCTGCTCGATTGTGTATTTGCGATCTTGGTTTCCCTGATTGTGATCTCGGGATTTGGCAGCGCCATTTGGTTTGGCGTCGGAGCCTGATGCAGTGGCTGCGGGCATCGCGCCGCTGTTTGTGAGCGAATAATACAATAGATGGAAAAACGTCAAAGTGATATTATTTGTTGTTGCGCTGGGATTTCTCTCTGTTTTGTTATGGCCACGAGACGGACGGAAAGCTGCCTCGCGGATAGGGAGCAGTTGTTCTAGCGACCCGGGGCCGGTCTTTTTGCAGGGGTTCACTGATGAGGATGAGGCTACTGTAACTGCACGTGAGAACGTGCGGTCATTGAATTCTTGCAGACTGCACTCTTCTATGCGTTCAATTGAACTTTGCCAAAGCAACCCTAATTGTTCATAATTTCCATTGGTTTAATCATCACCCCAAAGTATCCGCCAAAATGCCTACTGAAGATAAACCCCTCGAACAAACAAAACGCACAGCCATGTCCTACGCAATGGACTGGGGCAGTACGTTCCCCTCAATTCATGTAAATCTACTTGAAAGACTAACATTACACCATAGAATCCTCCCTCCCCCCGACCCTCCTCGCAACCCTAATAACAGCCCTGCATGCCCGCCCCTTCCGACCACTCCCGATGCTCTTCCCGCCAGTACTCCTCTTCTCCGCGTACCTAAACCTCAACGGCTTCATTGTGGACTCAGCCGGCTTAACTGCTGCCTGGAGCGGACTGTACCTGATTATGGCGAACAGGAGGAGGGTAAAAGGGAGTTTCGGGCAGAGGATTGGGGGTCGTTTTGGGGCGAGGGGGATGGTGAGGGGTGGTGCGATGGCGTTGGCGGCGGGGAATCTGGTCGTGTGCGGACTGACTTATGGGCTGGGGAGGAGGGTGAAGGATGATGGGGTAGCGAGGGAGAAGGAGGTTTGAGGTGGTGGTTACGTTGAGTGTGCATGTTGGAGGCATGGGTAATAAATTAAAGTGGATTGTAAAAACTAGGTTTGAGTGTGGGATAATGTAAGAATACACTACAGGTTTTGGTCTGGGAGTGAACCTTTGGATGTACACTATGATCACGAACGGAACGAAGACAGCTTGAAGGGTGGAGGTGATCGTCAGATCTGTATTATGAACCACCACAGTGATTTCCCGTGCATCCAGCTTGAATCGCGTAGTATGCAATGTACTGTATTACACCCAATAACTCCTTAATCAGTCGGCCTTTGGCGCACTGCATTACCGACATGCAAAATCCGGTACTCCATGCTATGGTATGCCCTATGCCAAAAACGCCACAGTGCCATTGACTCTACTCGTTCTACAACGATTTGTATGCAGGGAATAGGTAGAGGCTAGTTAACCAAATGGATACCGAGATACCGGAAATAACAATATATCGAGCCATCTTGGAGCTTCTGCGGCGGCGGCGATGTTGCTGAATCCGCTCTTCTTTAGCGACGCAGAATTGGTGCAAGCTTGAGACTTGATACTCGTTGATGTAATTGATATCACATTCCCTGGATTTGTCGCCAGCGAACTTCCGGTACTCTTTCTCAATCTCAGTGACTGCAACACCATGGGCATGCCGGATGACAGCAACCGCGCAACCAGTGCGATGCTATATTGAAGTTAGAGGTGCCACACAAGCCCCGAGGAATCACACGTACCTTGCCGTGATTGCAATGAATAAGGAGGGGGTAATTTTGCTTGTCGAGAGCGACATCCATGATTGAATGCATGATGGCCTCAGAAATGGCAACTTTCTTCGTTCCAGGCAGCTCAATGACCTTATGGCAGATATCGTTTGCTTTCATGAAGTCTTTAAACTCAGGAGTGTCTTTATTAACGAGGGTTCTGTAAAGACATCAATAGGTGAGAGAAGGTTACAGGCTAGGGCCACTTACACAATAGTCTTCAGGCCGAGAGTTTGGAGGAATTGATAGTCTTCAGTATGTGGGAAACTGCTCCGGTATATACAGCCGGGCATTACTTCTCCAAATTTGAAATGATTTTTCTCATCGTCATTTTGGTCTTCGTCCTCGGCTTTCAATGCCTGGGGCTTTTTGGAAACTGTAGAGCATGTCAGAATGGAAATCCAAATATATCCGAATGGTGCGTGGCGCACCTTCTTTCCCAATATCTACAACCGTGCAAGGAACCATCCCATTGGTAGCAAACTCGGCTCCAATATCCACCGGAGTCTCCATCTTGACGCTTCTCGCAGGAGACCAGCTGCCCTCTTTCTCCAGGCTGCGAGAGCGACGTTGCTGCTCGTGAATTATTGGGCCTGCGCTACAGCCTTCGATAATATGGTGGTGATCCTCAACAAAGGCTCTGGTTGTTCTCTTTGATACCAAGTTTCCCTCCGTCATTGTATGTCCTTTCAGTCCTCTCCCCAATCTGATGATAAATGTACACACAGAAACGTGAGCAAACACAGCTCAGACCTCGGTAGCAGGTGGGGTCTGAATCCAAACGATAGACTCGGTCGTAACGTCGTTAAAGGACGCGGCGACAAGCCTGCTGATTGTTCTGGGTTTGTGAAGGCATGTTGAAGATGTCTCCGCTTCCGTGGGGGTGGGTTGGAAGTCGATGTTCTGTGGGAAAGGAAGCAAGAGCATTCAGCAGAAGGCGCTGGGATTTAAAGGATTTCCATTTCGTGGTGGTGGTGGTTGTGTAGCTTGATGGCTAGAGGTCGTAGGTCCAAGACGGGGCTCGGTACACCTGTAGGTAGTCAAGCAAACCGGCACGGGGCTAAGGGATTCTGCCATCATTAGTATGATGTGGAATCGACGTATAGCACCCACAAAAAAGTGCGTGTGAATTACTGTAATTACCATGTTTTCATAGCAGGGACTGGAGCAGGAAGTTATTAAACGTGCATGTTGTGATATGTATGGTATGGTTGCAGACGGTCATGCGGCGAAAGTCCAAAGGAAGGATTTGCCGAATCAAATGTTGTTGTACTATAAACCTGGTCCTTGTCATGTTCTACACACAAAGGACCTCCAATTATTTATTTACTCTCCAGGCAACAGGTCTTCTAAAGCTATGGTATTCTTTCACCGTGTGATTATTGATTAGTACTCTCGCAAAGGCCTTGAGGAGCATCACTTTTAGGTCCGTCAAAACTACGGATACTTTTTACGACATGATTATTAAGAAACATTCTGGAATGTTGAAATTTCCGGGATGTGATCCGTTCAATCCGAAGAGGTGGTCTACACTGGTCTTGGTTCATATTTCCTCAGTTGGTCACCCCATCTTACATCTCATATTTTATTTTATTTACAATGATGTACTTTTACCTTGATGTAGAGTTTGTTTGCATGATGAAAGATGGTCATAACGTGGGTAACCATATTTGCATACAAAAACATCCCAAATTCCCAGGTGGGCATTAAAAAGTGATTGAGGATTAGCAGGGCAGAATCTTGGGTATCCAGAAGTATTGACTTGAAGGGGGAATTTTCACAACCAGTTGGTATCTTTCACCCAGGATCCAGTCGAGAGTGTTTTAATCACTTAGGCAAGACGGAACATTTTATAATCTGTTCTCATTGGTGATGGTGTTACTTTTACAATCCTGGTGATCCTGGTATACTGATATCTATAACAAAACTCAACCTCGCTCATTTACTCCATGGTATGCCCGGCCGTTAAACATAAAAATACTCCATTACAATGCCCAGCCCTTGCTCAAAATGCTGTTTCCTTTTACATATATCACTCCCGTATAAACAAGCACAATAACGAAAAGTAGAGTGACGAGGGAGCCGATTCTGAATTGTCGGCCCGCCTTCTGTCGAGGAGTCTCCTCACTGCTGCCAAGTGAGAAGCCTTTGAATGTATCGGCCAAAGAATCCGCTGCTTCAAAGGGGATATCTGGTGCGAAGAATCGTTGCTGTTGAAATTCAATATCTTGACGAGACTTTCTGGCCCCAATAGTCGCCGTCAGGTCTAGATTCGAATTTTTTCGTGTGACATTATTGAAGAAGTTCTCCTTGACCTCTGGTGAGGACACGCGCAATTTTGGTTGGTTGGGTGGGTTTCGGAGTCTATGAGCTGGCGTGATAGGTGCCGGAGGGATCTTGGCCCAGAAAATTGGAGACTTCTCAGTCACCGGTGTTTGGCCAAATAATTGCGTGTTGTTATTTGCCTGAAGGGCTCGAGGGGTGTTAAAGGCACGATGTTGCTTTTGGGGTACGATTGGGGCCCAATCCATGACGTCCTTATCGTCATGATGTTGTCCGCGATCTGGTATATTTTCAGTCGCGAGATACCGAGCTGATGCGGTAGGCACTTGATTCCGGTTTCGCAGAGGTGTTGGGTTTAGAGGTTGGTTGTCAAATGCCTTTGCGGTAGGCGAATGGTCCCACCATGGTGTAGAGGGTGATGGACGAGATTCTGATATGGGTTTTGTGGATATTTCGTTTAGAATATCTTCCATACTGCTTCCGCCCTTAGTAGTCGGGCTGTTGGAACCAGATCCTGGTCCAACTATGTTGAAGGCTTCAACAGTGGCCCAAAGAGGAGAGTGATCGACTTTGAATGTACCCTGGGATTTGATGGCCAACTGCGACTGATCAGAAAAGCAAATGCTGATGGGCAAAGGGCAGCTTACCAAAGCGTTGAACACGAAAGAAACCAGATGAGCACCAATGGCTGCAGGTCCAAACGGATCGGTGAGAATTCCTTTTCCCATGAAATAATAGGTGAGTGAGCGAGTCACTATCATCACGAGTTGCAATTTGTACCAGTGCCGATATCCCTTGATTTGGGTGTGCAATCTTGCACCTCCGGCAATTGCTTCTTTGATCTTGGGGTTCCATACGAATGAAACAAAGCTGAGCTGTAGTGTTCGCCATGCCAATGTCTTCGAGGTCGCTAGAGACGTAAGAGGTCCAAGTAGAGTAAGTAGGAATTGTGGGATGTTAAGGTCGGGATTTGCTTCGGCATTGAGCAGAGAAGCGGCGATCAAAGCAATCGCATTGCAAAGGAGTTGTCCAAGAACTCCCGCAAACCAGGCAAGCTTCAGCAAATCAAGCAACGAGACAGATCTGATGTTGGTTTTGAATTTATTGGTTCGACTGTCTTGCAGCCTGCGTCCAAGCCAATCTGCTTGTGCAGTCTTTTTGGCTACTTTCATACGTTCCAGCGCTTTTGGCGCGCAGTCTTCGCACACCTGAGGGTATAGTTTCTCGATACCTCTCTTGTACTTATAGTACGCTTTCTCAGATGCCCTATAATTTGGGTGGTTTGGGTCACACTCAACATCAAACTGTTGCAGCGATGCTCGGTACAAGTGTTGATTCTTTTGGCAGGTTGAACAAAAGATGGCTGTGTCGGGGCCTTGAGAAGAGGGTTGATAGTCAGGCTGAGGAACGGCATATGAGCGGTTTGAGGGTGCTGCCCAATCCGTAGCAACTGGAGGATCGGTAATTTCACCATCCTGTTTGAAAAAGTTAGCATCGTGGGCCATGTAGAATACGGGGATGTAGATACCTACCTGGTCAAGATAATTCATGGCATCGCATTTTGCGCATTCCCATTGAGTAATGAGGCCATCATACACGATTCCAGATCTCTTGTTGCAGTAGAAGCAAACAAGCTTCTTTTTACCGCGAAAAGAAGGCATGACTCCATGACTTTGAGGAGCGGTGGTGGTGGTGGTGGTATTGAGGCTTAAGAAAGATGATTGAGCTTCATCAGTGTGGACTGTGATTCGTGCCACGATGCGTCCACCAAGAGAGGTGGTTGATGCACAGGCACCACCACCCTTGATAGGCGGGGCGATTCCGCGGATTCGGTTGGAGATGACAGGCGAGAGCATGAGAAGGACGAGGAAGGTCAAGAGGATATTGAACGCGATAGACGCATTGATCTCGTTGAACGAAATCATCTTGGGAAGAAGGTGTTTTTGTTTTTGCACGATGCTAGAAGCAGGCAGAATCCAATGTGAAAAAGTGCTTTGTCTGTGGAGTATTGGAAAGAAGCTTGAAGTTGTAAGTTGAATCACTTATTCACTTGGAGTGTGTATCGTTCGTTGTACTGTACATGTAGAAGAGAAGAAAGAAAACACTTCAGACGCGACGCGACGAAGTATATAGTCTGTTATTTTTTTGACCTTCGACCTTTATCGAAAGGGGAAGGGGAAGGGGAAGGGCTACCTATTTTCTCCACGTCAGAAGTGGTAATAAACTCGCTCAAACTTTGTTGTTGTTCTCCAAATATCAAAAGAGGCAATCGCCAAACAGCCCTCCTGTACGCGAGACAATCATACATTCACCCAAAATAAGTCGCACTCTTCACAATACAGTATAGAGCTGCACTCAATATGTATCTCCGCCTCCGCCTTCTGGACTTACATACAAAGTATCAATAGCCTCCTGTCGATTTCCACCAGACTTCACATTCGCCGCCGTGTGTTTCAGCCTCGTGTCCTCAAAGATGGCAGAGATCTCAGCCTTACGTCTACTCGTCGCAGCAATCATCGTTGCTGTCACCACAGCTTTTGTGAGCATTCCCTAGATAGCCATTCTAATCTTGACTAACAGTGAAACCTAGCTACGCCTATTCTACATCCTTCCTGCAACATGGGGCAGCCACAAGCACCCGCATCCCGAATATCCAAGAACAACACCCGCCCACATGGTGGTAGTACTTGGCTCAGGCGGCCATACGGCGGAGATGCAGTCAATTATGCGAGACATAGACCCAAGAAAGTACATGCATCGAACCTACATCGTGTCATCAGGGGATGATTTCTCTTCCAGCAAAGCCTTTGAGATCGAGAGGAAGATCCAGTCAAAGTGTACAGAAAGGGGAAGCACAACAACTATCAAAGGCAAGAATGATCTTGTAGTAGGATTCTGGGACATCAAAGTTGTTCCCCGCGCCAGGAAGATTCATCAACCTCTTTATACGACCATGTTCTCTTCGGCCTGGTGCTTAATGGGTTGCTTCAGGGCTTTGGTAGAAACGGCCAGAGATTCCACGATATCGCCCGGGGAATATCCAGATATCATAATCACGAATGGGCCAGCTACAGCTGTAATGGTGATCTTGGCTTCTTTGGTGTTGAAGTTCCTTGGTGTAGCACCCGCGTGGTCAATGAACTCGGTCTATGTGGAAAGTTGGGCCAGGATCAAGACTTTGAGTCTAAGTGGCAAAGTCCTGTTAAATCTAGGATTGTGCGATCAGTTCATTGTACAGTGGGAGATCTTAGCGAAAGCAATCAATGGGCGAAGTAGGTGGAAGCAGGTTGAGTGGCATGGATTTCTAGTGGAGTAGATGTGCTACGTCCTCGATTTCTTCACATGAAGCATAAATGATGTGACAGATTCCTCAGACGATACCTAGACCTAGCCATGTCTGTATAGGAATCTGAAGATGTTTTTCACTAGTCCTGAAAGTCTAATGCAGTTGTGAGGATCAAAACCCGTATAAAGACATAATTACATATTGTACAACTGAGCCTACTTTCCCATGCAATTGAGGGTCTCTTAAGCCGCAGCCGCAGCAGGCTCTTCAACTTGCACCTCATCCGGACCTCAACCTCATCGGTTTCTGGAATACCGATGTTGTACGCAGCGTCTCGGTCCCTGTCCGCCACCTCGATTTCTGTCCCTGCCCATGACCTCCATCCCTCATAGACCTTGTCTTCTAACTGCATGCCAATCTCTAACATGCTCTTGCCAAAGTATGCTCCGGTCCACATCGCCTCTTCCTTTGCAACTCGGCGCTCGACTTCCTGCTCGTGCCGCAGTGCATAGAATTCCTTACGGGCAACATCGTAAGCGTCACTTTTGGGGAGACCGGTGTTCTGAATAAGCCAGAGCTGCCTTTGAACAACACTATAATACCATTAGCAGGCTCCTCCTCAGACCATCATGGAGGCCGTACCTCTCTCCGCTCAGCGGCCTTGCTAATTGTTGTATCCTACTCCAATCACACCTCTGCCCATCCCTACCATCATTCTCCAACACAATCCTCGGCCTTGCCAGCTCCCACGGGTGATCGTTGTAAAACTCCTGCCGTAATTGATCCTCCTCATACTCTATCGGTTGTGGCTTGAACATCTTGCTCGGCTTTCGTATTCGTGAATTGATCTTTGTCTCTCGGTGCTGGACAGGTTGCATTCGTGTCAGGATCTCTCCAGGAGGAATTGACCCAATGGTGTCGAACCATGCTGGGGGGTTACTTATGCTTCCAGATTCGAGAAGTTGGAGGGCTGTTTGGAATACCCTCGAGGGCTTTAGATTGCGGCCTCTCATCGCTGAATTGGTGACAAAGGCGATACTGTGGATTAAGATTAGTCTTACAGGTATGAAATTTCATGAGGGAAAACTCACAAGTATGCAAAGATATATGTGTTGGTTGACTTGCGGTAGATTTTCCGAGGCCATCAAGTTGCTATCTGAATTTCAACAGGGGTCAGCATTAGCGTCAATTTTGTACCTCAGGTCTTTTAGGGCCCTTGAAGAATTTCGAGATCCCCACGAAACATAGTGAACGCGCTGAACTACGCGCTATCACACCAGTCCATCTCTAAATAGCGGCAAAGGACAGTGACAATATATCTTCAGCTCCAATGTGTCTGTAGGAAAGGTGGCAACATGTCAAATTCATGTCCTTCTTTTGCAGCTCTACCCCCTCGACGGCCAGCAATATCGTCTCGAAGGTAGCATCCCGCCAGGTGTTCTCTTTTCTCTATCCCGCCGACTTTTTTACAGCCTTGCATCCTCACTCACGGCGAAATCGACATCGAGCTCCCTTGCAGATGGTTTCAGCCACAGCTCCGCAACTCGAAGCATGGTTTATCGAGTCCCTGGCCAGTGCTGGCCAATGTCAGAAGCACAATCCCAAAATCCTCCAGCCAACTACGTTCTTCCCCTCGCAGAGACCAGACGTAGCTATCAAAAGGAGACAAGTACACAATGTTATCTTTAGCCGGCCAAAATCTACACGGGATGCGAAGCCCGGGGGGGAAGATTCCGTGCAGGAACCGAACTTGACGAAAGAAGAGCTCATGGATTTGGTGGACCAATATGATGGAGAGTCACTTACGGACCAGTTACCGCTGTTAGAGATGCCAAATCTCTATCAGCCTAATGACGGCCCTCATGTCACTGTGTCTGATAGGCCGGAGGATGAATGGCCGCCTCCAAATTATACCTGGCCTGCGGATGCCGAGACGAAAATCAAACTTGCTGAGTTGGAGGCTGCAGTAAAGCAGAAAGACTTGTGTCTGGATGCGGAGGATCTGTACCAGCTCTACAGAACGCTTCCAAGACCGCGTGCTCCATATCTCCCTGCAAAGCTCCGACACACATTTCTTCGTCATTTATATACTGTGGAACGAAAAGATGAGACTTCTATGCTCCGATATCTTTCTGTAGTAGATGACATGAAAACTGGAGGCATACCATTGACCACCATGGAGTGGAATAGCGCCATTTCGTTTGCTGCTCGCTATGTAAACAGGTCAACGGATGTTGAAGTCGAGGCCGCATTGCATATGTTTAGAGAAATGGAACATGTAGCAGGTGTCAAAGCAAGTGGCGTTACTTTCAACATACTCTTTGATGTTGCCTGTAAAGCTGGTAAATTTACACTTGCTGGGATGATCTATAAGGAGATGGCAGCTCGCGGCTTCGAGTTTGATCGATTTCACCATGTCAGCTTGATCCAATATCACGGGCTTATGGGAAACGGGGATGGTGCTCGAGCCGCCTACAAAATCCTTGTGGAATCTGATGAGATTGTTGATACTGTTGTGCTCAATGCTATGATATCAGCTCTCGTCGGGGCAGGCGAAGCCACTGCTGCAGAAAATATCTACGAACGAATGAAGAGAATACATATGAGCCGGGATTCAGATGCTCCATTACAACCCCGCAATTTCCTCGCAAAGCGTAGAATCGCTAGGGTGCTCATAAACATGGCCAAAATCTCAAGACTCGATCCGACGAAAAGGGACCAGTTCCAGAACAAGTCTATCATAGCTCCAGATATCCAGACGTACCGGATCCTAATCAACTACTTCACTATCCAAGTCGGCGACCTCAACAAAACAGTCAAACTGATGGATGAGATGAAATGGTTTAACGTCCCTATCCATGGGGCGCTGTTCCTTTCCCTCTTCAAAGGCTTCTATCTTCACGGCGGCATACGATACACGCACTGGGTTGAGACACGACTTGAGAGCGTCTGGCAAGCTTACATCTTTGCCATAGACAACGACATCGGAGACTTGTATATATCTCAGTGGATGGTCGCATGGATTCTCAAGGCTTTCGCGAAGTGCTCGGGAAAGGCCAGGACGGCTGCTGTGTGGGCCGAGATCAAGACGAAATGGCAGCCAAATGAGATGGAGCTTGAGTTTGTGATGGACTGTTTGAGGCCGCTTATGGAGGGCCCGGATGCGGCGGAAAAGAAGCATAATTGGTTACTAGGCTCAAGAGTGTAAACTAGGTGTAATTATTATGTTTTTACCATGTATAAAGTCTTTGCCCTCGTTTCCATTTTGATAAGAGGCTATCATATTTCCTGCTTCAAATCCCAGTTCAGTGCGAGCGCCCTTCGACATACACATTTCCCCTTCGCGCGCCAAGCAGCGTTGGGGATGTCATATGTATGTCAGTGTGATATTGAGGAACTGAATAATTGGGGTATCTGTTTGGGGTGTATTGGGCATTTGGAATGTTGGAACTTCTACAGACTTTATAAACAGTGAAGTTGTTTTAGCTAAGACTGTCGATCGTAGGGGCAGCGCCGAGATTTCGTGCTATTGATGGCTATCTGGCATATTCTCATCGCGAGATGCTATGGGCGTCAGGAAGGTTGCCAAGATATGTATATTAGGTTTAGGTAGAATTTTACACAATTAGCAACCCATTTCCTACTCTTGTTCATATATAAACAGACTTGGGGTATAGACGGATAGAAGCTGTGTACCCCCTAGGCATCCAAATCTAGCATTCAATCACGGCTGACAAGCAGGGCGCTACCTCGATCTTTTGTTGAAGGGTATTTCAATATGCCCTTTGATGAAAATGATATGTCCCGAAAATATGCAGGCAGGTGTGTAGAAATGCGTTCATTGGGAGAAGTAGAGTACCAATGTATGCCATGTCAACACAAAAAGCAATTCTTTCAACACTCGTAACACATGTTGAAAATATAAAGTAATCACTCCAAAGCAAATATGAGATGATTAAGTATATAATGAACGCATTATAAGAATTTTCCTCGCCAGTAACCAACACCCAATGTATTATTCTCAGCTTTTCCTAAACTTCTCTACTTGTTTGCTAGCAATTAACTGCAATTCATACAAATTTCCTTGCCGTCTCGCTCATTACTCCAGTGCTGGTAGACAGACAACTACAGCGAGCCTAGCATCGAAGGGTGCCATTGCAAAAGTCTCCGCGGTCTATAAAAAGGGTGGGAAGCGAGAAGAGGCAGGGAACTGGCTATTATTCAAACACAGAGAAGCCAGAAACTGCCTCTGACCATTTGAGAACCATCGGTGGAAACACTGTAGCTGTCCCTGACAGCATTAGTGGAGAATGCTTAGACCGAGCTGGATATCTGTAATCATCGAATCACTTGAGATAATAATTCTTTTTTTCTTGGGGTGAATATGACAGCTGGACGTGACCGCCAGGAACTCGACGAGTTTTATTTCTATTACCTTGTCGCCGACTTTCTGCATCACAGGGGCTTGCAATTGTACTTGGTACATCATAATCTTGGTGATGTACCGTGTCAGCTTACTATTTGTGCCTAACCCGCCTTACAGACTTACAGTACATCGCAGCGGCCGGCCGAGAGTGACGTGGCTCTAAAAGCATTCGGCTTTGGAAGTATTCCCGTATCCGAAAACGTTATAGATAGCGGGTGTGAAAGTTTGAAAGACAGACTATCTTCGCATGCTTCCTACGAGGTAGATGGGATAAGGGGGGCCTGGATACAATTGAACATCTGTGTGGATGGCTCGGCAAGAAGCTAGCTACAGCTTGGTCTTTTCACCAGAGTGGTGCCCAGTACAAAGAAAAACACAGAAAAAAAAAAATGCGGGCTTTGAGGAATAAAGAATATCAGAGAGACAAAATATAGCATATAAATCTAGAGGAACTTGACATGCCCTTACCATTGACGAAATAAGTGGAAATGACTGACTCGAAAGTACAACAGCTTTCTAGAGCTTTCGCCTCAGCTTCATAGATCAAAGATATCAATGGCTGGAAAACACCCATGCCCAATTTTTACTACTTCGTCCCAGGCCTAACCATTCCGCCAAGGATACGGGTGACAATGATCTGAAAAGGGGTTTCAAGAAATGAGTATTTGTCACGTGAATGCGCGACTGACAAGCTAAATTCACGCGTACCTTTTTGAACCTTTCATCAAAGCTGCGATCAGGAAACCCATCCGCACGACCCCCAAGAAATCTCAACCTGGCATCTATCCTCAGAAACCGGCTTCGAGGTATCATTCTCACAATGACGCCTCCCAGGCAGCCTGCAAAGCGCAAACAAAGCACACTCGATGCACCAGTATCCCCACCGCCCTTGCGACGCAAAGTCCAGTCTACAACTACGCGTATGCTCTCCATGATAACCCCAGGACCCATACGTACTTCAGCTGATATGTTTTCAGAGACTGCTGTAGCCTCGTTCTTCACTCCCGCCTCGCAAAAGCCCCCCGAAAAGGTTGTCTGGCAGGAACGAGCGCCGAATGATGATACGCCCAACACACTTCTCGTTGGCAAATATGAGCCTGCAAATGACCCTGTCTCAACACCGAATGAGCATGAGAGCGGGAGGAAAAAACTAGCTGCTTTCGATTTCGTGAGTAACCGTTAGCTGTTGCTATGCATAGGCAGGTCTGACGTGGTTTTATCACATAGGACTCTACCCTCATTGAAACCGCGTCCGGGAAGAAGTTTGCCTCTGATAGCCAAGATTGGAAGTGGTGGCATCCTTCCGTGCCTGGGAAGCTCCGAAAGATGCATCTCGAGGATGGATACAGGATTGTGGTCGTCAGTAACCAAGGTGGGGTATCTCTAAAGCCCAATACGAAAGCACCTAAAACACAAACATCTAAGGTGGCGTCGTTCAAGGAAAAGGTTTCGGCAGTTTTCAATCAGCTGGACATTCCGATGAGCATCTACGCGGCTACGGAAAAGGACATTTTTCGGAAGCCTAGGACAGGAATGTGGGCCGAAGTACTCGACGACTATGATATCCAGCCTGATCTCGAGCAATGCATCTTTGTGGGTGACGCTGGAGGTCGTCACGCGGAGGGAAGGAAGCCGAAGGATTTTTCATGTTCCGATCGGTACGGTACCAAATCCCGCTTTGCATACAAATGTTTACACAAGATAGGAATTTCGCGGAGAACATCGGTATCAAGTTTCAAACCCCGGAAGAGTTCTTTCTTAGTGAGGCCCCGAGGCCGTTCACTCGTATATTCGAGCCTTCGGATTATCTTCCCGAGTCTGCGGCTGAAGGTTTGTAATCCTATAGATAGCACCGTCCAACAGACGAAGGCTTAATTCTCGTACAGCAATTGCACCATTCGTCAAAAAGAACGATATCGATATCGTTATCTTCTGCGGGAGCCCAGGTGCAGGGAAATCAACTTTCTACTGGAAGTTTCTGAAACCGCTCGGGTACGCAAGAGTCAATCAGGACATTTTAAAAACGGTATGTATCACCTGCCAACGCCAGTGATTGTCGTTCTGATAGTTAGTAGCGAGCAAAATGTTTCAAAGTTGCGGGAGACTACTTGAGCGAACAAAAGTCAGTCGTCGTTGGTAAGTAATTACAACCCGTAAAGACTTTACATTCTTAATCACCCTTAACTCTCCAGACAACACCAACGCGGATATCGAAGTTCGCAGCAAGTGGATTGAACTGGCTGCAAAATATTCCGTACCGATCCGTTGTGTCTTGTTCACAGCAGCAGCACAGATCTGCGAGCATAATGATGCCGTGCGAGCGTTAAACAACACTGTAAATGACCCCTTGCCCCCCCAACCATTTCTTCAATCCCAACGAAAGTTGATGCATATGAGTCCACGTTGAATGCGAAAGGAAGCATGTGAAGTATGTACTCATACGTAATGCAGATGAACCCTGAGGAACGGCAGATTCTTCCTGGAATTGCATTCAGTAGCTTCAAGGGTCGGTACAAGCCTCCTAAAGTAAGCGAAGGGTTCCAGGATATAATAGAAATTCCCTTCAAGGTATGTTTATTACTTGCAGTAGACGGTTTGCTTTTTCAGGTGAAGTGACTAATCTATATTTATAGTTCGAAGGTACTGAAGCTGAACGGGCAATATGGCTTCGACATTGGATATGACGGTTCCACTAAAAGAAAGCATATGCCGTGCACACAACCACAGCCGCAATAAATCCATATTGGGTAGCATGCAAAAATATTATTTGTCGATCACGAGTATATTTCCACTCTTAGGCCTCGAGGTGGATGGTTACTAAAGAGGGGTAGTTACCTCCCCCGTGAGCATTGTACGACTTCAAACTTCGCCAAATTCCCAAAAAGGTCGGGCTGAGCCATGCGAGTGTCAACATGGCTACTCATTTGGGGTTGCAGTATTGTCACAGCATTTCTGTGTTCTGTGTTACACATCGATGCGCCTTCTAGGAACACCGTATTTACTTGTAATCCAAGGCACTATAATCACTAAACTTGTGTGACCGATTGATATTGCTCATAGAACAAGTCTAGATTCATTATACGATCCCTGGACGCACAAAATTCAGAATGCTTAAGGTAAATTAGTGGAGCCGAAAATATGACTCGGCGATTGAGTATCAACTCCCGATGCAAGAGCGTTGATAGTGGACTGGTCGAAAGACCTAGTGGAACTCATGATTTTCGATGACTAAGTCACTTGCTTGGTTCTTTCGGCTTCCAAGAGCAGATTGATTATACGCGTTGTGGGGGCTTGAGAAGAGAATTTCGGAGATTCGGGGGGTAGGGTCTAGGCTTCGGCGATCTCTATGGGGTAGGTGCTCTGCTCGGGTCTCTTCCCGCACAAGCAAAGCTCAGATAACAGCAACACAACTGACTCGTACTCGTACAAATTCTGGGATTTTTCCCATCGCAAAACCATGGACCGACTCAAAAGATTCATCGTGTGTTACTACGGATCGTTGAGCGACGCTGAGCGAAAGCCTCAATCATTGTCTGTCTGCTTGTCCATCTGTGATGTGTTGGCTTCGATATTTACCGTACCGGTAGGCAACGGGGCCACGACCCTCTGTTCCAACTACAGTAGGAAATAAGCGGAGCAAACAAGGACAGGGGCCCAATAAGATGAAGTGCGGAGGACAGGATACCGCTTCCGCAGCGATTGAGCCCGTTGAAAAGTGCGAAGTAATGTTGGAGCACAACCATATTTTCAATTCTTCAACGCTCCGAAGTCATGAGCATTGCTTTGTGCCAAACACGAAGTAGTTATTACGGGCAAACTTTGCCTTTTCTATCTCAAGATGTCAATGTGAGATGTGACAAAACAGAGGTGGGAGGGGTGCGGGAAGTCCATCCTGGATGCTTGACTGGCCTGCGGGTTGTTCTATGATTGGGTCGCCCATGCCAGCAAGACTCAGGTACCCGACTCGGTTGTCTCACAGCGCAAACAAGGCGCAAAGATCTTTCCAGGTGGATCTGGATGCCCGTGACTGGGGCTGCTCAAGCTTCTGTCTGTTCGAATTCCTCACACGCCGCCACGAAACTTGCGCTGACTGCATTCAACGTTGGCATGCAGAGAGAACAGAGCTGATGATAGGCACGTTCCTATGGATGAATTGACCTCACTTGATTGTCCCAACCTAGGCACGGAGTATAGTATCGTCCGGGGCGTGGAAAGTATACAAGGGTAAAGGCAGCCCACCACATCATATCCCGCCAGCAAGGTTAAGCAACTTACGGAGAAAAACAAGGTCGTGGGCAGAGCAGGGGAGGGTAGGGAAGCTTTAGGCGCTAGACTCTCCGAACAAATTGAGCTATCAACGGCCGGAAGGCGACCCATAGGCTGAAGCAGGGTCTGATCGACAAAACAAGCTAATGAACGTCAATAGACCCTTGTCCTCCGAAGTGCTGGGTCTTCTGGAGTGTAGGGAATCCTTGCTCTGCTTATGATTATCGGGAGCTTTGCGTGAGGATTGTGCAAGGGCAAGCGAAGCGCTCCTTTCGGAGTCTGTTTCCTCGCATTTGCTGCTGTACAGTAGGACCGCAACCTATGGACGTTCTCCGCCCAGGGCATCACCCTGTAATGCTTTATTTTGCCCTTCCTTCTAGCGGCGGCGACAGAGCATGTCCCAATGCCCTGACTGGGTACGCTCCGTAAAGGGCGGATGCCGGCCAACCAGTGTCTTAGCTTTCCAATGGTGGGTTCTGCGCCCGCCGAGCAAGCGGCAGGTGTAAACAGTGGGCCCAACTCGTGGAAGAGTTGCCAAAATCCCACGCTCAGGCTCTAGCTTTAACCCAACTGCCAGGGGCCCTCCCGCCTGAGTGCTCCGTAGTGTCTGTGTGCCGCCAAATAGACGCAACGGTCAATTACCACCGTATTAAGAGCGAGGACCGCACCAGCATCACAACACAACACAAAATCTCCCTCTCTCTGCTTCCCACTCCAACCTCTTCCGTCACTCACCTTCCGACAGCAACACCATCACTGTCGTAGTAACATCGTGCCATACAGTACGTTGATTCAGTACATTCCCCCAACCACAATCCAGGTCGTCCAGCACGTGAGCGGGTATGTTGTGATCTACAGGTACGCGCGAAGGTGCAAAACTCTGATTGGTAGCGCAGAAGACTCGCAGCAAGAAACTACTCGATTCCGACACCTACCTACGTGGACCATTTGATATCACACGACCTCTCTCCAGCAGGCCTTGACCACGTATGGTCTTGGACAAGCAGTTCTCCCAACATTCCATCGTCTAAGAAAAGAAATAATAAAGCACACAACATGCCTTCGAGCTCTGTTTAAACTTGCGATCAACTTCGCATCCAAACACAAACACACGCCAGCAATTACGACAAAGAGCAGAAATGTCTCCAAATCTTAAGCCACTTTTATTACCACAATTGGTGGAGGAGCGAAGGAAAAGAGAAAGCATCATGGACTCGGATATGGACCTTGCATCGTCCTCTTTCCATTCTCAAACTTCATCTTCTTCTGAGATACCTTCACCCGTTACGTCCACCTTCTCCAATCGAGGGCATCTAAGGTATCCAAGCTCAACTTCGTCAATCGAATCGACTCATCAAAACCCAGCAACAGACAGCCCGTCTTCACCAATATTCGCCACTTCAAAAACTAGCAAACGATCACTACCCGATGTACAGGAGGAACCTCATGAACGCGAGGAAGAGTTTGAAATGTTTGACGTTGCAAACGAACTCTACGATTGCTTGTGTAAGTTTCTCTACCGCGGGGCTAGGTAGTAAATGATTGCTAATGTTGGGATAATGAATAGGCGACAGCCAGGAATGCCTGCACAGAGAGTCCATGGCGCAAAGCTCAGAACAATTACCTATGCGACAAGATTTTGATTATGATCTGGCTGAGGGGTTCTTGAGCGACGGAGATTTTGCATTGAGCCCCCGATATAAAAAACGAAGAGCAAACGAGATTGCACTCAATGGCCTGGCGACACGTTTTGGCACTCGGTTTCCCTCATTCTCGCGAAAATGGCGGCTTGGAAAGGGGGCAAGCTCTACTTCACCTACCTCGGAATCTCAACGAGAGAACACAACTTCTCAAACCGCGTCAAGTCGGTCCTCTTCAGTATCAAACTCAGTACGACAAGCATTTGAACCGGCACTTGAGCCTCAAATGCCCCCAACGCCTACCAGGAGCCTCTTCGGTAGCCGAGAAGACGTTTCGATTACTGCTCCCATAGACATCGAGAAGGCGAACAATGATGGTGGGGAGCGTGAGGAGAACTTTGCAACGACGCCACTACTTCCGCCACTAATGACTGATGCGGCGGCCCACAACAAGCACGTCTGGAAGCAATCCCCATTGCAGTCACCATCGGTCGCCGAATCCAAGGACCCATTTTCTGGTCCCATAACGCCAATTGACTCTATCACTACTCCGCAATTCCAGGGAATTCCCTCGCCGCCGCTAAGCTCCAAGCCATCGATCTCATCATTCCATCGCGGCACTACTACCCGCCCCGGACAGCTTTGTCCCTCCTCGGAAATTCCCCCCATTGTCATTGCCGACCCCAACGATGAATGGGCAAACAAGCTCGGCCACGCCAACTTCACTATCTATCCAGAACCTTACGTACCTGAAGATTTCGACCTGGAAGCGTGCCGACAACTGCGCTCAAACTGGGACCTGGCAAGATGTAACTATACTAAGCATCTCGTCCGTACTGGCGAACATTACGGCGCAACGTCAAAGACCTACAAACTCACCGAAGAGAAATGGGCCAGCGTTGATGCAACCTGGCGCAAGTATAACGATCTTACAATCGGTTACACTGCCCAAAGTAGTGGCGACGCGTTCGCAACCCTGAAACACACCAAAATCGAGGGAAGTGCAAACAATATAATGACGCGCATTCCATCACTCAACGATCCCCGCAGTGAGGGCAAGTTCCCACAACTAGGCGACGAAGACATTATAGGGCCTATGGTGCAGGTCGCCGCCAAACTCCAACGAAGTCCTAGCAAGAAAGCCAAGCTCTTCAAGTACTTGGCGGAAAAATTCCCCGCCAATCTAGGACGCTCATAATCATAGACTTGATCGACATTGCATATCATGTCACACGGCCTACACATTCGATTCTCCTGTCAATTTTTTGACTACCTTTTTTGTTCTTTGCAACAACATGACGAATCTCACGAACTGCAGCCGCATTGTTTTTTTCTTTGCCTTGCAAATATCAGATACCCACGCTCCTTAGCAAGCTACGTTCCTTTGAATTGGCTTTCTTTACCGACTTGAACTTATTGTATACTTTTTATTGATAAAGTCTATATCTTATTGTGTATCTTCTTTTTGTTGTGTTGGCGCTAGATATATTAGACGTGGACTTGTGGGATTTTAGACGGGTGAAAAAAGTACAGGTGCAAACTTAAAGATGCATTGGACTGGGGAAAAGAGTATGGCGCATCCTATAGAAAAGGTGTACTATAGGTAAGGGTAGCATTCAGGATGAGAAGAGAAGATAAGAGAGAAATGCAGAGGCTCTCTGTTGAAAACGGAGAGCGGGAGTTTTAAAAATTATTCATTGATTTTGGTTTGAGTAGCATGGCGGCTATTACCTTCAAATCCTACTAGGGTTTCGTTTGGGAGAGCGCAGTCTTTTAGTGTCATCTCGGAGGAACGAATGGGCGCTTGTAGATATATGATCGAATGGTGGTGGATGAGATGAGGGAGATAAACAAGAATAAAACCATACAAAAAACAAAAAAAAAAAAACCAAAGCCCCTTTCAATTGAGCAATGTCACTGTGATCAGAAGAGAAAGATTATATTGTTTCGAGTGTTGTTAAAACAAGAGTCCGATGATGGCGTTCAATGTCATCTCTCTTATTATAATCGCCCTACTTTGCGTTTAAGTTTCTTAACCCTCTCTTTTCCACCGAAGAGGCTGAGTGTCTCTCTCTCCTCTCCCTCTTTATCTCGCATTATCATCATGTACAACATATCCCCTCCCCGCGGTCTCTCTTCTCAACATCATTCCATTCGAATTCAAATAACTCCCCCTCATGCAGTCTAGACTATCATCTCACCAAGAAGTATTGCTCCCTAACCTCAGTAAGTGGATATCAACATCCCTTATCTCTACCAGCATAGCGCCTTTTTCTGTTTCGTCCCGGCCATTGAAGCAAATGTGAAGAATAATAGTAGCTCGTATACGGCGCTCCTTCGTGGTGTTTACGTTTGGGACTTACGAAAGCCCTGGAATGCAAATACTATAACGGATTGATACCAAGAAGTGATACTGTATACGTTAGTACCGAAATTGTGTATTCTCGAAATATATAATCGCCACGTCGTGAGGAATATGATTTGAGAGTTGGGTGAAGGAATATGCTTCAATTATCGTCGCAACATTTCGCAGGATTTGATGCATGTTTTAGGAAGGCGGTTAAATGTATTCTGTTCTGAAATGGATGTAAGATTAAGAGTATGTTATACTTGTTGGCGGGGAGTATAGAAAAGCTAGGAGATTTAGGGAGTGAAATAATTTGGAGTGATATAAGGAATGTTTATGGCTTTTCATTATAGACTGACCCAGCAGCCTCTTTCCTTAGTGCGTTCGTGGATATCCTACTACATAACCTCCTGGTTATGTTCTACCTTGAATAATAGTTGATAGGCTCTCAATTTAGACAGGGCCGATATCGAAATGCTTCTCCGAAATCAACATCGGATGCCGTTTCCAAACCCCAAGACGCGTAATAATTGTACACCGGACGTTGAACATTAACATATCTCATGATTCATCTTCAGCCTCATCATCTTCATCATCTTCCTCGACCCCATCACCACCACCTTCAGCATCACTATCCTCGTCGTCGCTGCTTCCCGAACCCTCACTCTCTCCATCACTCCCCGGGTCGTAATCCTCTTCTTCTTCATCCTCCTCGTCCATAGCAGCCTGTTCCGCCTCAGCAGCCGCTCGTTCAAGCTCGCCAGATTCAGCATGCCCGACCACATTGCCCTCCTCATCCTTCACCACGTTGACATTCAGCCTCTTGGCCTTCCTCTGCTCCGCCATACTCTTATCCATCAGTCCATGCCTCTTGACAAACGCATCGATACCACCAAAATCCTCCTGATCCAACATCGCGAACTCAAACTCTTCTACTGCTTCCTCGTCCCCTTCCGAACTAGTCTCCATCCCCACCTCCACGTTCATATTAAAAGTCCGCTGCAAAACATTCAAATAACTGACCGCCGAAATCCTGTCATGCGGTAGAAATAGCAAGGGTTTCTTGAAACCCCATAATATACCATTAGGTAGAAAGAAAAGGTACCCATCTTTTGAACCCCGGAACCCCTTCACAAACACAGCCTTCTCACCAGGTCGATGGGGTTGCCTCAATTCGCTAGCAAAGAGCTTCTCGTCCGCCTGTGTAATCTTCACATTATTGCCTACAGCCTTCAGCCGTGAAGTGATAGCCCAATCGAATAAAGTCTTGTAGTCATCAGATACAGCAGCTGCATCTTTGCCGGTGATGGTACCAGGCTTGGGCGCTGTGTCCGGGACTGTGAAGACGATGGGGTCGGGAATGGATGAGGTGGGCTTGGAGGGTGTTATAGAGGAGGAGCGTGGAAAGAGGATGTAGTTGTGTTGTTTTTGGGTCTTTTCGGGAACGGGCAGGCGGAATGCGTATTCTATACCGGTTCTTAAATATCAGCAGAAATTCAAGATGCAGTATACAGGGAATGGAGATCAGATGAAACATACCGATATCTTTCCACGCAAAACTGATGCCAGCAACTGGTTCACTGGAGTCTGGTAACCGCGCATAGAGGTGCGAGGCCGTGAAGCAGAGCGTGTATTTCTTGCGCTGGGGTATCACGACTGAGATGTCTTTTACTTCGAGGAGTACGGGATCGTTGCCGCTTGCTGCTGCTCCATTTGCAGTTTTGGCATGGCTGTTTGTGATATTTGGGGGCCCGTCATCTAGTTTGCGCTTTTTGGACGCTGGTTCTGAAGAGGATGGGACAGCGAGGCTGGTGATGTGGAGAGAGATTTGATTGAACAATTCGATGTATGCATCGCCGACTGTAGAGGAGTCAGTTATTGAACACCACGCATACCTGGGTGAGTGACAAATGACACAACTAAATGTCTTATTTCAAACGAACCACTAACTGTTGGACACAAAAGAGCTGTGAACAGGCGACCCAGGACAATCTGAACGAGTCATTGTAATCCAGGAGACGGGAAAAGATGCCTTGCAACTCCTTCCAGTTCCTGGTAGGTTAAACACACATTTGCGGTGGAATATGATAATATACTAAACGGGACAGAAAGATGGCGGTTATGGAAGCCAAGGCTGTGAGAGCTTACCTGCAGCTTTTTGGATTGCGGTTTGGAGATCAGGACGACCTTGGAAGGCGGCCTGGAGACTTTGCTGGTCTAACGCGATGCCCATTCTGATGTTTTAGGATCACAGGCAGAGGCTCATTAGCTGCCTTTCGGTGTTGATAAAGGAAGAAAGGGAACGGGGAGGTAGTGACGCGAAAACAAGCCTCCCGCAGACGCGATCTCGGTTCTGGTGCATGGAAAGTCAGCCTTGTCAGGGGGTGAACAGCAACGGCTTGATGGTATATATTTTGAACGAAGACAATTTCGTTGGTTTCTGAATTTCATCTAAATTACTTAGTGCAATATTCACGGCAGTACGACAATGTGTATTTAAACTTGAAGCACATGTTCATTGAGCGTCGAAACGGCTAATATGTCCCCGGAAGCGTTCATCAAAGTAATCTCTCGCCAGGTGCCGCTACAGTATCTCTAATCCTTTGCACCCATATTGTCAACTGAATAGCCTCTGATCTTCCAGAGCTTAGGAATACTCAGACCCATCACCACGTTCCATGGATACACGTTGTAATCTATCCCCATGGATCTCATCCGAACGGCCATTACTTCTTCGCGGCATCCAGCTTATCAACAACGTCCCACATGTCCCCCAGAACGTCTTCGTCTTCCTCTTTCTACTCTTCCAGTGCATTATCCAGCGTGTCAGTGAAAGTTCTGGTTTCCTCCTTCAACCTAGCAATGTCGCCCCTCATCTCGGTCATGATATCGTTACGAATCCGAGTACCATGATGGGCACTGAGAGCGGCAATAACTGTGCAAAATAGTATGTACATGTTCCCAAAGATGAGAAGATGGGATATAAGAAGGCAAAATCTATTTTGGTGTGTCGCTCTTTCCTCTTTTTGTATTTCGTTAAAATCCACGTACCAGGACAACCTCTTTATCAAATTTTAATATTCCCGCACCAGCCCAGATCCTGTAATTTCGATGTGGAGGATCATGTCCTGGATGTTGAAACTGGGTAGTAGTGGTGTAAGGAAGACGCTTCAGAGTATTGACCTTCTTGATCTCCAAGCACGTACTTCTGTAGTTAGAAGCATGGGGAAAGAGTGGCGAGCATAGAAGGAACCAATGGAATTGAGTTTGGAGATGGAGATATCTTCCATGTTGAAGGATCATGAAAAAGTACAAAGGAGCTCGAAACACAAGACAGAACTCTCAAAATTCTGCTCTCGAGTCCTGCCTATTCAGCAACTGATCTCATGTTCAACTTCATCCCGCATGCTCGGTATCCGATACCGAACACATGTGCTCCGTGACAGCTTTAAATTGCTTTATCAAGCTGAAGAGTTTTAGCAAAGGCCACCAGCATCAGTAGTGGGCAGATACAAAGACCTGAGAGATACTTGTACGCTCTCGAGACATCTAATGAAGTCGAAGCAACGTCGTTATAGTGGTCCCGGTACACAGTTTCGGCATCTTTAAAGACCACAAAAGATGAGGCCGTCGCTTGGCGGTCTCTTGCTTTGTTTTTAATTTGTTGGCAAGCGTAGTTGCATCCGCAGAATATTCCGCGATGAAAAATACATCTGACCGCTCATATCAATCAAGTCATTTCGACCAGGTGGTATCCGGTTATTGTCTAAAAGAAAGTCTTACACGAATATATGAATTGTAGGTGGAGGCTGTTCACTCGTAGATTTGATGCCTTTGAGGTGAACGGCAACGACCGACACCGACCCACCAAGACAAAGTCACACGTCGTCACGCTAGTCGGCCAACGACATTCAATGTTCCTCAGGTAAATAGCTCGACTCGACGGCAACCCTCTCACAACAAAAACAAAGTCAAAGTCAAACAGCCTTTCAAACAAACAAGTTCCTCGGCTACCGATTCTCTTGACTGGTATCTCAACGAGGCCTCTAGCAACTATGAACGTCTTGCTACAGCCATCCCATCCGTCGTCATTCTCAGAGTTCCCTCAACATTACGACCACACCCCAAGTAAGGACCTGCGATATTTGTCTTTACTGCTTTCACACACACTGACATCCAGCCACCTAATAGTTTCCCCACACGCCCAAGCCTCAAGAATGAGCACTAGAAAGCGGAAAGCCGACGACGATGGCCTCGACGAAAACATGTCCATCTCGCCCCAAAACTCCCCCGCTTTTGCTTCTCGACCTCTTGCTCGCCCTGCAAAGAAAGTTAGAGCCAACGAGGTGACTGGCCGTCCTCTTGCCCTTCCCCGCCTCCTCGAAACCCTCGATGCACAATCTCTGCGAAATGTTCTCCAAACAATATGTGAACGACACCCACAAATCGGTGCAGAGGTTGTGTCGTCAGCACCTAGGCCCTCTATTACCGCAACACTCGAAGTTCTCTCTCAATATCAAGAGAAGCTACGAGAAGCCTTCCCATTTGGCGGCAATTCTAGTTCCGATTATGCCTACAACCGTGTCAAGCAACCTTTGGTAGATCTGATCGGCGCTTTGACCGACTTTACACCTCACTACCTCCCTCCGAACGAGAATCAAACAACCATCTCCCTCAACTTCCTCGACAGTGCAACGAAAGTGGTCCACGATCTCCCTGAATGGGATAGCCAGTCACACAAATACCACAAGGATAACGCATATGATGAGATCTCGAGGGCTTGGGCATTGGTAGTCAGCGAGGCATCAAAGAAAGGTGGTGGGTTTCAGTTGCACTCGGGAGGATGGGACCAGAGGCTTGCAAAGCACAATGAGCAGAGTGGAGGGCGCATGCAGGTTGCTGTAAATGCTCTTGGATCAAACCTTGGTTGGATGGGTGGAAACGCGAGCACGGGCTCGGGAGATCGTGAATCCATCCGCAACCAGTTATTGTCTGGCAGTTATGGTACGAATATGCCTGTCCAGGTGGGGCGTTGGTAGGGGATACTGAAGAGCTGTGTGCAGGAAGTTGAGACCAAGAGTTGATTCGGTATACATACAAAGAAGTGCGAAGGTTGTCATATGGGGGAGCAACATAGACGGTGGCAACTACACGGCGTATTGTGTTTAAGGAGATATCAGTTCGATGACCGTATCATTCACGAAGTTTACGACAAGTGCATTTTATTTTGTGGGCTCCTGGAAGAGCATTATTGGGAGTTATGGCATGGGATAGCTTTGATTTTACTGCATGCGGGGTTTGGAGCAGTAGTGGTCACTCGACTTCTGGCGCACACTCTTTCAATCATAGCGAAAATTCATTTCCGACACGCTGGTTATCTCAAGTATGGAATGATAGGGAGTCCAATTAAATTCTCCTGTCTATGGAACCAAATCGGCACAAGGTCTCATAGTCCCTGTTGCCCTTCTTCTACACTGATCAATATACTTGTAGCCCCGTTCAAGTCATATTCTCATAATTATACTAGTGATATGTAAAATCTGATGTAGAATGTGAAAGTTTACTAAACCCTCCTTGTCCACTTAATCCTCTTATGAAATCCCAGAGCTCTGATTCGATGCTTCACAGTGTGGGGAAAGTAAGTTGCCGCAGCCTTGCATCATTTTCATTTTTGTTACTCACATGCAAGCTCAAAAATTCTTGAGTACGCCAATAAATTTTCCAATGTAAGTAGTTACCTCTGATTTTTCCCGTCAAAATCTTCACTCATTTTGGAACTCCTCAATTGACCCTCAGCTAACTCAATCCTCAAGATGCCGTCTACAAAATCAATCCGTCCTGCTGGACGAGCTCTCAAACAGCTTTCCCAGCTACAAAAACGCACCTACTCAAACACCCCCTCCAGCCCAGCCCAACCACTCACTTCCCCATTCGCCCCCAGACATCTCCTCTCAATCGCAGACCTGACGCCCGCCGAATTCAGCGCCCTCCTCAGCAATGCTTCGTCCCACAAAGCCGCCATAAAGTCCGGAGTCACACCTGCAGCCCTGGTCGGCAAGCTCTCTGGGCAGACCATCGCCTTGATGTTCAGCAAACGCAGCACACGCACGCGCGTCAGCACAGAAGCAGCCGTCACGTCCATGGGCGGCCACCCCATGTTCCTGGGCAGTGGAGATATACAGTTAGGCGTCAATGAGAGTCTCTATGACACATCCGTCGTAATCTCCTCCATGGTATCCGCCATGGTCGCGCGCGTAAATGCACACGCCGAAGTGGCAGATCTAGCCAAGCACTCCTCAGTGCCTGTCATCAACGCGCTGTCTGCGGATTTCCACCCCCTGCAGACCATCGCTGATTTCGTCACGATCCAAGAGACGTTCGGCAAGGAGAAAGTACAAGGATTGAAGGTTGCTTGGGTGGGCGATGCGAATAATGTGCTGTTCGATCTGGCGATTGGGTGTTTGAAGATGGGGGTTGATATCGCTGTTGCTGCGCCGGCTGGTTATACGATTCCCGCTGCCATGAAACAGCTGATTCTCGCGTCTGCGCCAGAAGGCTCTACTGCCAAGCTCACCGAGACCAATGTACCCGAAGAGGCAATCAAGGATTCTAATATCCTTGTCACGGATACGTGGATTAGTATGGGGCAGGAAGAGGAGAGTGCTAAGCGTCTGAAAGCTTTCGCTGGTTACCAGATCACGGAAGAGCTTGCCAAGAGAGGGGGAGCGAAGGATGGCTGGCGGTTTATGCATTGTCTGCCTAGACATAGCGAGGAGGTTGATGACGAGGTCTTTTATGGGAAGAGGAGCTTGGTGTTTCCCGAGGCGGAGAATAGGCTGTGGGCTGCTATCTCTGCGTTGGAGGGGTTTGTTGTCAATAAGGGGAAGATTGTCTGAGGGTTTGTTTTGAAGCATGGCGTTTAGGGGCGGGAAAAGCGGGATTTCTGGTATAAAAAGCGTGAATAATATAAGTTCCAAGTTTCTACTCGATGTATTGGAAATATCCCCCCTTCTTTGATTTTGCCGAGTTTGCTGCCTTGTCAAAAGTCTCAGTATGTTCTCATCTTTGCAAGTGCAGACGAGGCAACTGTCAACATTTAGCAGCGGTTTTTCTGCTTCATTGTCAAATGCAGCACACATTCGTAGGATGATTCTTGACCTGCGACTTTCTCATTCTTTTCATTTAGATCTCCTAAACAATAGAGTCATTCATGCATTTCAGTCCTTTGTTCATTAATACTAGGTAAACGATTGAAAGTTCATCTTCACACAGAAACTTTCTCGTATACCTTGACTCCGTAGGCTAGCGCTCTTTTTCGTCTTCTTTCCTACTATACCTCTTTATTCCCGTTTCAAAAATATCTGATGCCCCTCGATACACATCTCATATATTTGAAAGCGCTGCAAAGTCTTTTCCGACGCGGCAACCATGGATGGCGTGTCTGTTGACTGACATGAACAATTTAGACGAAATAAATATGTATGTATGTGAAGAGAGCTGTTTTGAGCTACTAGCATCCAACAAGCAAGTACACGCGTTCGGTTGCCTATATATGGGACGAGGCGGCGTTGTCGGCGACAAGTTCCTAGTTTGCGGCACTAAGAATTGCATATTGTAGATATCAGATCCGGAAACACGACGATCCAGCTACGGACTACAGAATAAGTCTCTTTGACTAGCTAAGGACTTGCTTCACTCTCGTGGCCGGGAAGAAGCTCGAGCTCGTCCATTAGTAACGCCGGTGCCTTCATGATCGAATCGGTACTCCGAAATGGACATATATGTGATGGCAATACCCATACAGCAAGGGAGATATACTTCATGGATCCGCGGAGGGACAAAGGGGTTTAGTGTGGTCTTGCTGAAGCCTGGATCGATACTATGCTAGTTACCAGGGCATTGTACTACTTGTGAGGGGTATACATTCTGCTAGGAGTGAGCTTTTATTAGAGTATCTGGCTTTGGTTTTCAAGGCTTCTAAGCTCCTAAAAATCTTGATGATTTACCTTTTTTGGATACTCTCTTGATTAGAAGTGGGGCACTTAATTTCCGATTTGCGTATAGATATATGTTCATTCCAAACACTGAAAAGAGGGTGGGGAAATAGGCTGAATGGCCTTTGCTTTTGAAAGCGGGAAAGTTCCCACGTACTACTTGCCACTTGATTACTCACAAGGGAACCATATGGATTGAAATCAGATTTAGGCCTTGGCTTCATGTTTGTGTAATTAAAATACCTCGTAATCTACAAGCCATCTCGTGGCCGCAGATTTCCTTAAAGCAAATGGGTATATCGGTATATCCTTTAGCAACGCCGCGTACCTTCGCCTCGAGTAAGTGGAACCAGCCCTTCTTTATCATTCCCAGCCAGACAAGCAAGTCTACACCCATTCATACTGCCTATGCCATGCCATCAATAGCCATCATAATCACCGTGATATCCATTATAGCCTTGTTGTTTCCTAACCCAGAAAGGATGATACGTGCTCATATCGCGCTGCCCACTCAGTCCCAGTTCACCAGCCACGTTGACATAGCCTTCCGCGTTCACTTGCCCATCTTTAGTGATTCGCTTGATCGTATCCTCATCACCCTTCCACAAGGAGCGGCAGTAAACGCATCTGACGTCTTGTCCAGGCTTGGCTCGCGCCCACTGCTCGAAGCAATGGCGGTGCACATTCTGACCACATGCAGCCTTGCACCAAATAATATCGCGGCGAATATTCTCCGCCTCCTCGAACTCCATAGCGCACACGGGACAATCGCCGTCAATGGACTTGCGCTGGCCACCAGTATCGGTCGCAGTGGAAGGTGCATCATCTGATTTGGGAGGAGTGGGCGCGTTGGTGAAGATCTCGGTGAGCTCTGTGGTGAGAAACGCCAACTGATAGGCCAAATCCTCGCGAGCCTTAAGAACATTGACAAGAACCTACGAAGAACTCAATATTAAGAGCACTGTGAAGCAAGCTAGACTTACATAGACGATGTGTTTACACTGGTTTCCCTTTTCACTGTCAGGGCAACTGCACGTGGGTTCCTTGCTAACTGTGACTTGGTAGATGTTTCCAGTAGTACCAGCAATATCAAAGACTTCTTCCTCATGGGTACCATCTTGACTTGTATTCCTGTTCCTTTCGATCAAGAACATTTTCTGTGTCTTGACCCGATTTAACCGCTCCAAATAGCTCGCGGGAGCTTTCACCCTGGTCCGTCTCAATCGCTTCTCCTCAGGATCTTCACCCTTTTTCTTGCGAGCACGCTTAGGCTTTCTATCGTCAATACCAGCAAGAGCTGCTTGGGCAGCGGCTTCCGCAACCTCGTCATTGCCGTCATAAGTGGCACCTCCGTAGTCTTCATCCTCGTCGGAGTAGGCGGCTGCTATGCTCTTTCGCTTCTTCTCCGCGGGCTGGCAGCTGATTGCAGAAGCAGTATACTCAGTAAAGTTTGACACTGCTTCAGGTAACGCCATTTTGATGCCGTTAGAATTGAAAGGAAGTTACGAGAGGGTCAGTTGAAGCTTTGCAGCAAGTGTGGCGAGAGGAAGTCGCGCCCATGCGCGATATCACATGACCATATTTCCCCGCATATCACCCCGGAATCAACCTAGCGTACCCTGACATTAGATACCTCTCTCTTCATGAGATTCAAACGGTTACCACTACCATTGTCGGCTTCTTTCATAAAAGATTTTGCTTTTAAACCAGCTTATATGTTTGTTTTCTGAGTGCTGGGAATAAATTTTGGATCTCATACTTTCAGAGCACCTGACCTAACTCTGCCCTATCCCGTATCCAGCCTAGCTTCAAATCCTCAGCAACCCTCAAAAAAAAATCAGCCCGCTTCCTTTCTCCTCAGTCTTTATAAAACTTCCGGCGTTCTATTATACCCCTGAACTTGGCTCTCATTGACATCTATTGATGCGATGACTATACATATAGCCTCTTCATATTTCTGAACAGCCCAGAGTAACACGCCTTTTATAATCCCGAGTGCTCGAGTGCAAACTCTGGAAGCTCAGCGGGTTCGCTTAGTGCGTACATACTACTAAATATTGACCTCTATGGTATTAGTCCGAATGCGAGTTAATATAGACTCGGGAAGGAAGCATTGCTTAATATGGGGTTTGGGATCATTGGAAATAGTGGGATGACATGTTCAGATTAATAGTAGGATTGATCCTTCGTCAGCTCTTGGTTTCAGTTAGGTCAGCGTTTATCACAGATTGAATTAATTAATATAACAATTTGCTAGAATCATCTAAGCAGCATATGTGTACATTGCACGAGTTCATCATTCTATGCCAATCAAATATCAATGAACCCACCATCGGGTATCTCGTCAACATTAGTCACATTGACCTACCGCTGACCGTTCATCTTGCGGCGGAGGTCTGAGCTGGCCGGGCAAACCACTCACTGTACGCAGTCGGATTGGAAACCCCAATAATAGCCGAAAGCTCTTCAGCCCATGCTGAGGATCTATTCTGCAATAGTCCTCCCAAAAGGCTTTCCTCGCGGCAATGAAACTATCCTGCTTGGGAACGACGAACTTGCTAACAGTTTGCCATGGGTAGTTTTCTTCATCCAATCCTTTCCAGCGTACTCAACTAGTTGATCTTCGAGATTTTCTAAGAGCTGGACTTGGAATAGATATTCCGCTTCATGGTTTGCGTGGAATTCCTTTAGCTAGTCGCTCAAGATACGGCTTCACAACTTCTTCGTAGAGCTTTTCTGCGATTCGGAGGACGGGACCAGGGAGTATTTACAGACATAATTACCATCTCGGTAGGCAGACTGCGAGTACTGACGGGTTGATGCAACGAGCTATTAGTGTCGCTACCATATCGGAGAGTAGTGATTCAGGCGTTCGAGATGTGTTTCGAACTACGCGGGCTTATTGGAGATCAGCATTGAAGACTTTCCTAGCCAGGCCTCGAGGCTCTGGAATACAACTATCCAGAACTGGCTCGCCAGGTTCAGAACTGTAACGTATAGCCATTGGGTATTTAGGAGGAATAGAGATCAAGGTTTGTGTTAGATGATGAGGAAGTTCCTGGACGATAAGATCCCCTTTAACAATTCTCTGAGTCCTTGCTTGTGTGCCTGATACAATTGTTAATCAACATCCCTCGCGTCTTTTATTGACCTGACTTCTTGACTTACTACCATACATGTGTCTAGGTAAAGTTGTTATACTACACCTTTTATATGGTATTTATAATGTCAGCAACGGCTTGGATGTCTTCTGCCTCTTCTGGAAGCACTTTTTCCACTCCCAGGGCGCCCCATCGAACGTAAGGCCGAGAGCCCAGGTCCTTGGCTACCCGTCCACCGCCATATTGCTTGATATGCTTATATCCTTTCAAGAACGAGTCAAGTTGAAATACAGAAGAGAAAGTACAACAGACACCGTGGATATGCAAGTGGGGAAGGGCACGATGGGAATCAATACACTACCATCATATAACAATGCAATTCTGGGCATCTAGAAAGCGATGTGTTACTAAGAATATGGTGATACTAGTAGATCAATGACGAATGGTGAGTCGGCATAGCAGGCAGTGTGCCCCGCACTTTGCTTCACTGAAACCGCATTGGGAGAGGGGTGAGTCTCTGAGGCTAAATGTTTCAAACATTTTAAGCCATGAACTATGAATTAATTATGAAGAAATATATATAAATATGAATATGAATATAAATATAAACATAAATATAAACATAGTCAAAGTCCAAGTGAAGTTATGGATGTCTCAACGACACGTAATCGTCAGGAGGAGGAAGGAGGAAGGAATATCCGGAGGGATGAGGATCTGAAGAAGCGGATCTACTGTAGGGGTGTCGTGACCAGACGCGCAAGGGCGTGTTCGTAGCTCACTCATAAGCTCGTAAGGCGGCGTGCTAAGGCCCGAGAAGCGGCACCATTACGACAGTTCAACCGCCCAAAGGACAATTGTATGCTTCCAACCAAACCGCCATCTCGAGTTCACCACCCATTCAAAAAATGTCTACTCAGGCGCCATCAGACCCCTCTCAGGCGCCTTCAACAGGTCGGTCTTCCTAGCATCATAGCTGTCCGGACAAGGTCGGTATTTTGCCATTGCTAACACATTCCAATAGCATCTAGTAAGAAGAAGAACAAAACGAAGAAAAAGAACAGCAAGGCCAAGATCAATGGGGATACTGCCAAGTCCCAAGAATCCGAGAAAGACCTGGCTCTAGAGATTGGCGATGGTGAAGGAGAAGGTGAAGGTTCTGGCCAATCAGCTGTGGTACGAAGGACACCTGTTCAATTATCAGAAAGAACCATACATTCTGACCAATTCAATTAGAACACTCCAAAGGAAGCACATTTCCCGAAATCCTTGCCGTCACAGACAAACGGTCACGGTCACGACGCTACGAGTAATGGAAGTGCGACGGTCCCAAACCATGTCTCTGCTGCCAACCAAGTAAAAACTCAAGAACGGAACGTAGAAGACACGATAGACAGCAATGCGTCGGATACTACGGATACAAGCATTCGATTCGAAGCAATGTCTCAGGAACGGGAAGCTCTGCGTGCTGAGGTAGAGCAATTACGGAAGTCATTACAGGATATACAGGGCAAGCACACAGAAGAAGTATCCACGATCAGGAGTCAGCACTCGGAGGAAATATCTGGTGTCCAATCGAAACATAGCGAAGACATTTCTACAATCAAGGATCAGCATACCGAGGAGATATCGAGCGTTCGAGCTGAGCTGGAGGAAAGCCAGTCAGCTAGGGAGCAAGCTGAGGAGCAATACCAAAGCCTCCTGGGCCGTATAAATACAATCAAAGCAAGCTTGGGCGAACGTCTAAAAGCAGACAGGCAAGAGCTAGCTGAGGCAAAGGAGCAGATAGAAGAACTCGAGTCGCAAAACGAATCCCTCCAAAGACGTGTTCAGGGTCTTGAAGGAGACGTGAAGCGACTAGAATCCGAGTCACAGGACTCTTCGAGGGAGCTGTCAAGTTTACGAAACCGGCATAATCTTGCTCAACAGAATTGGGTCTATGAAAGGGAAGATCTGATGCAACAGACCAGGCAACTAAAAGATGAGGCCGAAGCAGCAAAAGAAGCAATGGGCGATTGGGAGGTCTTGGCTATGGAGGAGCGAGCAATGCGTGAAGGCTTGACCGAAAAGGTCGGGGATTTAGAAGAGCAATTCTCATCTCAAAAGGATGCCTACGAAATTGCTGTATCAGAGAGGGACAGCCAATCCCAATCCTTACAGGGATTGCAAAGGGCACTGCAAGAGGTTCAAGAAGCCCGGAAACGAGAGTTGCGTGACATGGTAGAGTCCTATGAAGAGCAGATCCAATCTCTCAAGAAACTTGTACAAGATTCGGATGCTCGAGCGACAGAGGCCGAGAACGGGAAGGGGTCCTTGCAAACCGAGCTTGATCGTTTGGTTCCTTTCGAAAAGGAGGTGAAAGAGAAGAATCTCCTCATTGGGAAATTACGGCACGAAGCAATTGTACTCAACGATCACCTCACAAAAGCCCTGCGATTTCTCAAAAAGGCGAAGCCCGAGGACAACATTGACAGGTAGGCTTCACATTCAACATGAATACATAACCAGCTAACATATTCTCAGGCAAATCGTCACAAACCATTTCCTGCACTTCCTAGCCCTAGATCGCTCCGACCCCAAGAAGTTCCAAATCCTGCAATTGATAGCGGCACTGCTGAACTGGACCGAGGAGCAAAAAGAACAAGCAGGGCTCGCAAGACCCGGCGGCACAAGTGGCAGTTTACGCCTGCCCATATCGCCATTCCACCGGACTCCCAGCACACCCACATTATCAACCGAGTTCTTCACCGAGCCTCCCGCTAGCAAGGAGTCACTGGCCGACTTATGGACCGGCTTCCTTGAGCGGAGTGCCGAAGAGGGCTCTGCATCTGGCAGTAGAAGTGGTAGTATAAGCAGTGCACCGCCGAGGCCGGATACTAGGGGTGGAGATGGAAGTTCTACTTCTAGATAGGTGCCGATTGATTTGTGGGTGATAGATTTCCGCTTGATGGTTTGGTGAAGGTTCCTAGTGTACTATATATTACATGGCGAGAGGCGTCGGGGTGACTTTTAAGGGCGAATGGCTGGCTGCCTCGCAAAGCATATCTTTTTATATCGCAGTTTTGCTTTTTGAATTCGAAGATGTATAGTATCTTGGTTGGGTTTCTGATATCTGGTGTCTGAATTGATTGTAATTGGTGGATGCAATACCATCCATCCATCCATGGCTCTAGGAACTCCCGATTTCGTAGGAACCCCATTCGCTCATTTTATACAAGATATCTTAGCAGAACTCTCGCCGCCGGGAGTTCGATCATAACCTGCATTTCCCTCACCCAACCAAGGACAAAAATCATTAGATAATATACCGAGTATAATAACAGGTATAGATAGATAGCCACCCCGTCCCGAGTCCCGACACGGTCTAATTGTTCATTCCTCAACAACGGCAGCAACTGCTATCTTCCACAGTCAGCTTAGCTTAGCCCCCTAGATACAGTAGCCACCAAACAGACAGACAAGCTGACATGCTACAAGTAGACAGACTATAGTAGTCCCAAGCTAGTATGTATGTATGTATGTACAGCATAATGGAAGAAACAGAAACTTGGAAACTTCCCATCCCCTTTAGGTAAGCAAACAAAGCGTTCCAGCAAGCCATCTTATCCAAACTTTCCCTAGGTCAGATACCTGAGATGTTACTGTGCTATATGGATCAATAAATGAGGTAGAGTAGGTTTTTGGATTTCATCCTATTTGATTTGATAGATAGATGTATACATGCATAATCTAAATATAGCGTACATACTTGTTCACCATTCACTTGATCTATCTATCAATACGCCCGGCCCAGCGGGTAAATATTATAGACTGTAGTCCAAGAACGCTGTATATATTTGCAAGGGTAGGGTGAAGTGGGAGGAAAGAGTCTTGGTCCGAGCTGGTACTGTAGGCATAGCGGTATCTATGAAATGAAAGATATCTCGGCATTGGTATGGTAAGGAGTAGAGCGTGGTCTTGAAATATGTTCACCATGTCTTTTCTTGCGTACGACTTTCCCCGTCTGTTGTTCGAGTGACCGCCCCGTGATTCATGGGTGATGTTGTATATGTAGGCATGTATCATCGACAGAAGTTAGAAGCGGGCCAGAAGGTATCACAGAATACCGTTTGAATCATAACCTGTAGTGCTAGACAGGTTGTAGCTAAGGACAATGAAATGATATTCATAGCTGTCCAGAACATGAGAAAACGTGGTAATGAAGCCAGGCAATGTGGACCTGTATTCCAACACGTGTAAAATATCTATAAGCGTGCAATCAAAGTCAGAAATAATCGTACATTGGTATAAACCCCAAGCCCCAAACCCTATATATTCCCATTTGGCATCTGAAGTTGCGAAGGCCCTATCGACTGCGCGAAAGCCTCCGCATCCCTCGCAATACTGTTGATATCAATCCTATTCCCAAGCGCATTATTCACTCCCTGAACCACATCCCTATCCTCCATCACCTCGCCCATAATCTTGCCCTCCCGGACCCAGTACTCGTTGTTATTTGCCCTAAGCTCACTATTCCTATAAATCGTATTCTTCAACACAGCCATCGTGCCCAGCCGACTCCTCACGCTCTCCAACACTTTGGTAGAAGCTTCTACCCGCTCCTGCGTAGTGGGCGGCTTGATAAACGCTCGGTTTGTGGAAGAGAGGTAGAGCACCCAGCCCAGAAGCCCGTCGATGGCTGCTAGGCCCAACAAGCGATACACGCGCATCCGCCAGAAAAACGTATCAATGTCTTCCAATCTCGTGGCTTTAGCGTTCGCAGCCTGGTCATAAGAGCTCACGAGATAGAGATCTATGACCACGGCAGCGGCAGCGGCTATCGTGGCAGTGTAGCGCCATATTGCGCCTTCCTTGCCGGCAAACAGCCCGGAAGTGACGAGCGCGAGGACGCATAGGTTGAAGAGGTGTGGGGCGAGGATGCTGGGGATGGAGTAGTAGAGGTAGGACTTTGGGTCTTCGGCGCTGCAGAACTGGCAGTTGGTTATTATGTCCGGGCCGTGTTGGAAGAAGAGTAGGCGTGAGTCGAGGGAGCTGATTTTCGTGCGCAAGATATTGTCAGAGTTTGTGAGGCCTCCTTGCCGTAGAGCGGACAGCCGCGTGAAGAGCACGTCGACGGGGATTTGCAGGCGTGAGGAGGTTACGGAGAAGATGTTTTCGGGCGAGTAGAAAGGTAGGGTTCGTATGAAGAAGGCGCAGGCGACGACGAAGAGTATTAGGAGGGCTCGTGAGACCAAGGGGGGAATGGGCCGGATAGAAACGCCGTGCACTGCAGGTGAGGCTTTGGCTGAGCGGTAGTATGCTATTGCTTTTGGGAGGAGGATGGGCCCAAAGAAGAGAAGCAGGGACTTGATTCTGGAAAAGAGGATATTAGCAAATGGTTTGCAGTAGGTGGGCATCATACTTACGTTCCCCATGAGAGTGCCATGATAGCGACAGAGTGTGTATGGGTTTGTTGCAACTCAATGGGATGACATGGAGTTCAAGGACACGGTAGGATATTGTAGAAGGATTGCCAGTTGTGACCGCCTTTATATTCTTGATTCGGCTTAGCTAGATTGTCACTATGTGAATCCCCTCCACAACTAGGGTAAAAAATGAACATCCGATACGGTACCTCAACTCTATCGTCAGTACGGAAGTACAAAAGAACTATAGAATTAGTATATTCAATTCATATTTAGCAAGCTCACTCTACTCGACATGTCTAAACTAACCGACCCCTTCAAGCGTAACAGCTAGATCTGCCTGGAATAAACAATTCTGTATGCATCTTACCCATCAACTTGCATTTGTAGCTGCCTACGTAACATCGATTTCCTCACCAAGGCTCTGTAGAAGATCGATATCCTATAAGTCAACCAGGTCAAGGCATATTGCAAAAAACGTTTGTTCATCATGAAAGAATTAATACTAAGCTATAATCAACCCCCAGCCTAAGGATAGGGAGAGAGAGAGCAGTGAAATGAGCCTAGAGTTCATATCTCATCATCTTACAATCTCACCAACATTTTAACATCCCAATAAACCTATCCTCTCTCTCTCTCACACACACACACACACACACACACACTCCTTCCTTACTTTATACCAGTAAAACACACCTCTACCCAACCAACTACTAACAAGAACCAAGCCAAGTAAGAAGGTATCCGTCCGTCCGCCCGTACCTTCTAGCCTTGTCAGCTGAAATTTAAATAGATCTCTGCACTCGTTGATGTGTCGAGTAGCATGTGTTGAGTAGCGTATCATGTGCATGTGTAGATTTGGTCCGATAAATCATCTGGTGTGGTGTAGTGTGGAGGCTTGTTTGTGATGAGCGGCTGAGAAGCGCGCCTTTGAATGGTGGCACGACAGGACAGCAAGAGAAGCTAGCGCCACCGACGCTGTTATTCTTGGCTTGGAATATTTCCTTGGGCTCAGGCCTGGAGCATGTGAGATTTGTTGGGTTTGGGGTTTGATTTATGGGCATTCTTTTCGGAGACATTCGAAAAGGCCATTCTGCACATATAATCAAAGAAACACCATCACAAGGACTCATTAAAAGGTCATAAGTTATCAATGTACAAGTATTGTATGGAATCTCACTGCCCTAATGTCCATAGTTCACCAGCGACAGCCCAAATCCCACACCCACCTTCCATCCCAAATCGTCAGACGCTCGTAGCAACCACCCCCAAAACAGCAAGGGAAAATTATGCTTTGTCTAGGATATGCTTCGCATCAATCAATCACAACCAACCCCCTCCATAGTCTCTCCACTCATGCATAATCTTCTCGTGATCCGAATGAAAGCAAAATCACGCTTAATGGCTCGGACTGGATCAATCGATTGAATGAAGGACTTTGTTTTGTTCCCGGCGCACGCAAAGAAAAGTGTCGAAATGGAAAACGTGGCAATTAGTTCTAAGGTGACCGAAAAGGAAAAACGCCGACGTCCCAATGCTTTACAGAATCATTTGCAGCAGACCACCGAAGACAGAAAAGCCAGCAACAGCCTCGTTAATTCCAAAGGAAACGGCGGCGGCTTTACTGGTAGTTGCCTTGGCGCTTGATCCGGATGTGGTGGATGATCCTGAAAGACCGCTCTTGGCATCGGCAGTAGCACTGACACAGTCGTAGACACCCTGGATGACATTGCCGTTGAGCTTATCAAACGAGTCGCAGTCGATCACAGATGTGGATTGCATGTTGAAACCACCAGAGACAACTTTAAGACCCGTGAGATCAGGACTAGAAGGATATTAGCCAAGTTTAATTCAGCTAAAGCGACAAGGATACGTACGTAGAAAAGTTACCAGCGAAATCAATGGCACCTCCAACTTGGGAAACATCTGGGAATGAGATGTTGTAAAGCCCTGTGTTGTTGGCGATTTGGAAAGCGCCTGCAATGGAGCTCAATTGGGGGAATGAGATGTTGGTGAGCATTCCGTTGGCGACCAATGCGAAAGATCCAGTGTTTGCCTCGGTTGTGCTACCAAGAGTAGTCAAGTTGGGTGCAGCAAGACTCGTAATGTAGTTGCCATAGAATCCAAGGGATCCGTTGACAGTCTTCAGGGATGGGATGCTGATGCTAGAACAGTTGCGGAAGGTCATGTTGGCAGCAGTCTCCAGGTTGGGGAACTCAACATCCAAGCTCTTTCCATTGGCTTCGATGTTAAGCAGTCCGGTGATGTTGGCAACCTGGGTGCTGAAGCTGGTGAGACGGCCGTTGTTGTTGATGTTCAATGTTTCGACGGTATCCAAGTTAATACCATCCAAGCTGCTCAAGAATGTGTTGGTGATGAGAACGTCCTTGGCCTTCTTGATGAAGGATGGGAAGGTCAACTGTTGCAAGACTGGAAGGGCGGACCATTCGATGGAGCCGACTTCGGTCAAATCTGTGAAGGAAAGGGTTGACAGAACAGTCAGACTGTCCAAGTGGAAAATGCCACTAATAGAGGCAATGCTGGAGGAACTCAAGCTGGTCAAAGTTGTAGCGTTATCGACGATGAAGTCTCCGCCAATTTGTTGAGGACCATCAATGCTGATCACACCAGCTGCTGTCGAAGGGAGGAGGATAGATCCGGCAAAGGTCGTGCAGGACGCGAGTGCGGTGGCATCAGCTTGCGAGTTGATGGTAGCTGTAGCTTGAGAACACCCGGTGGACTGGGCTGGAAGTTGACAGTTAGCACTATCGTTGATAAACAAGTTGCGTGGACTGCATCTGGAGATTCAGACTGCAAGCCGCTGCCGCTGCTCCAACGCGTTCATCGTAGTTCGATGATCAATTGAATGAGCAGGAGCGTGCAAAACGCGTACGGCGATATGGGAATAGCTTAGGGTTGCTTACCAGTTGCAATGCTCAAGACGGCGAAAGCCGGAAGGAGGAGTTGGGCGAACATGGTGAAGATGAACACTGTTGAGGGGATGTGGAATTAAGCTGTTTACAGTAGTAACTTCTGGTCGTTAGCTCAGCTCAATGAAATGATTTGATGCGATGGGAAGCCAGGAGAGCTCGACGATGAAGGTGGTTGACAAGCGGTGGGAGGTGGTGCGTGGCTGTCGGTGCTATTGCTGTGGGTGGATAACCGCGTGTACCCAGTAGGTATGTTTCGAGAAGCGGCCACCGAGTTTTCAGTTTGATGGGCGGTGGATGTTTGGCGACTGTTTTCATTCCTGCCCTTCTTTGCCAGCCGAGACCACCCACGTCTTGTTATATCTCTACCAGCAGAGAGAAGGAGCTTCCGGGCGATGAGAAAGGCGACGATGATAACACGGATGGCAATGGTGAGAGGGATGCTCGAAAGGTTTTCGCTCTTCTCCAGTCGATCCAGGAACACGCACAACACGTACGTACGCTACAAAATGCAAAATCAGACGTACCTTTTTATGAATAATCAATAGATTCGTAGAATTGATGTTCCTGGATTCTTTTCCTTTGGTGATAGGTAGTAGAAAGCAGAGACTCGAACCTTTAACGACAGTGGTGAATTAAAAAGGGAACACAGAGGACGAGGAGGAGGTTTCAAAAAGACAGTGGCTTTGCGAACACCAGTATAAAAGAGGATTGCGAGCGCAGGCCAGTAGCCGGGTTTTAAGGGATGGACCGGGATGGGGGGGAGATGGGAGTCGCGGTAGGGTGCTAGTAGTATAGTGCCACACCAGGGGTATTGGTAAGGGTACCTAGACGTAGGCGTTCTGTAGCGCTATATCATAGGTCCAATTCAGGGAGCTGCCTCGGACGCTAGGGCCTGCACCACGCCCGACGAATCATCGCCCCCCAAAGCCTGCCTACAGTGGAGAGGGCGCTCTGGCGGTGGATTGCACACTAAACTCAAGCTGGCCCAGATGGAAATTGTACAGCGGCCATAGAGATTACACCAAGATTACTCTGCCAAAATACCTGCTGGATCAGCGAGTATTTGCGGGTACCACCGAAATTATTTAATTAGGATGTGCTGCCCCTATCTGATCAAACCTCTCATCAACAGCATCATCATCATCATCACCATCGTGAAACGGTGAAACGCAGAAAGCTTGTCGTCCGTCTACAAAGGATCTTCTGCTCCTCTTGCTCCTCTTGCCCCAATTTTGAACGTGCTTCCCTCCCACCCCCACCCCCATTCCCATCATCTCCATCCCCATCCCCATCAATTATTGCCGTTGATAAGAGAACCAACCTGACATGCGCGGAAGGAGCGAGTAATATTCCCATCGCTCACTCTCGCCAATCCAAACCCGGCATGGTAGGGTAGGATAGGATAAGAATAATGAAGCCAGGTTCAAGGTTAGTGGCGGATAAAGGCTCATTAATCATTACTCCGTATTGGCTCTAGAGCCTACTTTCACCTCGCTGTGGGTCTGTTTATTTGGCTACGGCGACATCGTTGTCCTCGTCGTCGTGTTTTGTTGTCGGGAATTTCCCGAATTGAGACAAAAAGGGTTGCAGACGCCACCCAATGATACTCTCGCAAAACCACCATAATTCTTGCAATTGTTTAAAGTCAATCAATCCGGCACCTGCGTGCTTGCATGATTCCTCATTCCCATCGTCAAAGCTGCTACCGGTATCCTGGACTCCTGGAGATCTCTATCAAGTGAAGCATACGAGTCCTGCTCGCAACAGCCCACATCCGATTTGATATCTTCACGTTTATGCACACGCAATCTCTCTGCTTCTGCTTCCGCGTTAGGTAGAATACAGGGAAGCGCATTGGAGACATGTGGGACACAGTGGGAGCCATCGAACGCCTCTGCAGAAACTAGCCTTTGCATCAGTCTCCCCCCAACATTTTCTATTGGCTGATAAATTAGACCTTTCGTTTTTTCTACTCCAAGTTGACGACCTCCAGATTCCCCGAGGCTCTGGCCTTTTGCTTTTTGCTGTCCGGATCTCTGCTCCGAGCTTCCAAATCTGTAGTCCACGGCATGCCGATGAGTTGTTGGACCCCTCACCACCTCACCAAGTGTGGAGAGAAGTTGCTCTAAATAGAACTTTTTCGCCGCTTGTGCTTGTTTATACTTTTTGGCCTCTCACTGTCGACCTCCGACCTCGAAGAACTTGTATTTCTTGTTTTCCACATCAAGAGTTCGTATTTTCGTCACATGGTCAAGGAGGATGGGAGTCCAAACTGGCTTTACTTCGGAGGAGTACTACTTTGTGAATCCGTCTCAATATCGCGCCCGCGCCCTGGAAATGTGTCTGTGCTGTAACGGCCCAAAAAGTTTGTTGTCTTTAGCGTTGAATAAATAATCAGGCTTTTCTCAACTCGAGACATCATCTTCCAAATTTCCATGCCAGGCAATATTTCCCCTATTATTTTTGGCGGTTTTAATCTTCTGCCACCACGTTTACAAAACCATAAACAGGGTATATCTAGATCCTTGTCTCTCGCGTCTGTTATCGACATTGCACAATTTGTAACCCTTGCCCTTGTGCGTATCACCCAAGACTGAAATATGCTGTGCCGAGATATAATGCTTGATTTCCCCAAACCCACATATTTAAATCAACCTCAGACATGTTCTCCATGTTCTCTGCCCATGGTGACGAGGCAGCCTTCGTGTCGACGAAGCTTTGGTACCCGACACGTGACAGGTTTCTGCTTCATGAACGAGGTTTCTGTTGGTATTTCTCACACCATTCGCGTGCTCCTTGGATGATGGACTGGGTCCTAGAACTATACAAGTTCGCCGCGAGGACAGTATCGATACTTTTTGAAAAGGATGTCTTTTGATCCTCCGTCACGTCCCCCGATGCTACAAGACTTCTGAGGAAAACCCACACGGATTCATGGGTCCATTTGAAGGAGACAGCAAGGTCAAGGACTTCTTTACAGACCCTAGTACTTGCTTCAGTCTGAGGAGCGTGTTCTGAAGAAGCGGACCTGGATAGATAGAATAAGAGGAAAGAAAACCCAGAAGTATCAGCAGGATGTCTCAAGCACCAGTCCTTGACGAGAGATACGATCTCGGAATCCGTTTCGCCCTCTACGCCAAACATCTGGATGAGCCAGCGCATGTGAGACCAAGCATAGTAATTCTTCGGATGTCTTTCCGCCGCGATGAGAACAGTAGTTTTGAGATCTTGGACAATGTTGTGCTCCATATTTGTAGATTGATACACCTCAAGAAGCCAACGACGATGACCCCAAAGTGTAGGTGATTTCGTATGGCGATGCAACCGTGAAGTAAGATAGCTGTCCACAAACACTAACTCGTTCCCCAACACAGTTTCGAGCTCTGCTTTTGGGCCCTCCTGGTATGACTGAATGAGTCTTTTCCGTGCATTGGCAGCAGTAATATGCTCTGGATCCATCAAAAGAACAACGGCCGAAGCATTCCAGAGATCCTGCCTTTTCTCAACCGGACAATTTCTAACCAGATTGAAAAAGATACGACGAGCAACGACGAAAGCTTGGACGAGTGTGGTTTTGGGAATAGCAATGTTGTTCTCTTCCACAAGTACATTGGTGCCAGCAGGTAGTGGGTGACTTTTCCCAAGAAGCTCAATCTCAAGCAACTGCAGCTTGTCTGAACATAACGCACTCACGATGTCCCTGTATATGACTGGAAGATTGTCATTCTGGAGTGATATAATTGTTTCTTTGTCTAGTGCTCTTGCCATGTTGAACCATTGGAAAACTATGTGTAGTAAAGATATTTCTAAATCCAAACCAAGAAAATGTGAGGCTCGCAGCCTTGCGTGCACGGACGCGGCCATTAACTTTCAGACTCATCACACACTGATTGCTGCAACTTTCAGCCACGAGCCTCAAACCCTCGCGTCCAGCCTTCCGGAAGAGCAACGTCAACATCTACCAGGGCCACAGGACAAATACTGCAAAACCTGGAAAGATGCCTTCCCTCCTCGTTGTTGTGTTTGTCCTCCAGCTCACCATCCACCTGGTGAACACAGTCGGAGCCGCAACAATTAACAACATAGTATGCCCACACACTCTTCACATATCCCACTTCACTCTCCAGTATTCAGCCAGCTAATAGATATCTCTAGCTCTGGAACATCTACAACCGCCTACCAACCCCAACCTCGAAAGCAGCAGCCGAGCAACGAGACCTAAAAAAGCAGTTCCTAAAAGTACGAACAGAGCTTAACGGCACCAGCAGCCAAGACAACTTCGCCAAATGGGCGAAACTGAGAAGACAGCACGACAAACTTGTCGAGCAAGTCGAAGCAAATAGTCCGTACCCCCTCCCCCATCCCATCCATCCAACCCAACCCGAGCTAACCTATTATTGTGCAAACAGAGAAATTACTTGACGGCACGAAAAGCACCTTCGACAGCGCCATATCTGCCCTCCGCTGGCTCGGTACAAACGGACTACGCATGCTGATACAGTTCTGGTTCCAGAAGCAGCCGATGTTCTGGATCCCCAAGGGCTGGGTACCGTACTACGCCGAATGGCTGCTGTCGTTCCCCAGAGCGCCGGTGGGCAGTATATCCATACAAGCGTGGGCATTAGCATGCATGGCGATTATTCTACTTGTCAGCGACGCGCTGGGTGCAGCTTTAGGCTTGGCTATAGGGACTGGGAAGGCTGCGCAGGATGAGAAGAACGTTGGTGGGCAGCCAATGAAGATGCAGGGAGAAAAAGGCACGACGGGGTCACGGACATCACCAAAAGCAAAGAAGGAGCTGTGAATAAATACTCTACGGATACTGGGGCAGCCAGTCATGAAGGAGGATAGCATTTATCTATCATAAGCATAATCAGGGAGGGAGCCAAAATGGAATTGTCTCTCAGCAAAAAGACGCAAAGGTCGCCATAGCTTGCGCTGTGACCTTGCAACACGAGTGAGATGACTCTTGGCAGAGTACTTGGGGCTTGATCTGGGCATTCTTTTTGACTCTGAGTGATCATGGGAGAGAGGATCGCTAAAGCTTCGAAAGTGCCACTGCGCGAGCCTGTACCATAGGATTTTGTACAGGAAGCTCACTGGTCTAGAGACAGGACAGATATGGGAATAATTTTAGATACAAGGAGAAATAATTGCCATACAAACCTTGTTCAAGTATAGTTCATATGGATATGTGTGATGCTGTTGAACACTTTTGGTTGTTATGAATGTTTTGGAGAAGAAGCTCAGTCGGAAAAATCGTCGAAATATCTTGGGAGCGCTCGGGCTAGGGCGGATCAGGAAAGGTTCAAGGCGGTCAGCATTCAAACTGCCGACTCCACCTCCACTCCACTTTGAGCTATCATGACCACGACGATGATCAATAAGTCGTCCATTACAAGTCTTGGGAGGAATTCTTTGAGATGCTATCACGTAAATGTAGAGCATGTTTGGAAGTTTCTCGCTCTGGTTTGCGTATCAGGAAGGAAGTCATATACCATGAATTTATATATACAAGCTTCTATGTATTGTACTTCTAAAACATAAAACATTATTCTTGTCACATGTAGCATAGCTAAGAAAAACTGAAACCCCCCCTGCTTTACAGTTTGGGCTTTGGCTTCTCCTGCTTTATCATCGTGTCTGCTACGATACGGCGCTGAATCTTGCCCGTGGCCGTCTTGGGCATGTTGTCTGTAAAGTAGATCTAGGTACAATTGTTAGCTCTTGTCCATGACATATGCAAGGGTATCCATAGTAAGGGTAACAAACCTTCTTCGGCACCTTGAACTTGGCTACTTTCTCAGAAACCCAAGACCTCAGCTCCCCCTCCCCAAGCTTCGCCCCGCTCTTCAATACAATAGCAACGCCGACATCTTGCCCAAACATCTCATCCGGTATCGCGAAACTAACCGCCTCGCTCACGCTTGGATGCCGTGCCAATACATTGTCTAGTTCAATTGGACTGATCTTCTCGCCACCCTTATTGATCAATTCCTTTATCCTACCAGTGATAATCACATAGCCGTCCTTATCCATCTTGCCCTGGTCTCCCGTGCGGAAGAAGCCAGAAGAGGTAAAAGCGGTCTTGTTGGCTTCGGGATTGTTGAGATATCCTGAAGTTACGTTCTCGCCGCGGATACAGATCTCTGCTTCCGAGCCTTGAGGAACTTCCTTTCCGCTTTGGTCCAAGATGGCGATTTCGACGCCTTGGCCAATGCCTACGGAACCAGGTTGGCGCTTTCCGGGTGGGAGAGGGTTGGAGGTCATTTGGTGGGCTGCTTCTGTCATTGCGTATGCCTCTAGTACTGGCGCGTTGTATGTTTCTTCGAGCTGGTGGAAAGTAGTAGGCGATAAGGGCGAAGAGCAAGATCTGATGAAACGGATCTTAGGCTTGGTGTGAGGAGGTGGATTCTTGAGGAGGATCTGGTGGATTGTGGGGACGGCAGTATACCAATTTGCCTTGTAGGTTATAAAGTCGTCCCAGAATTCAGAGGCGCTGAATTTCGGTGGTACAATTACGGAGCCGCCTGAATATAGAGGGGCGAGGAATCCAGCGAGCAAACCGTGAACGTGGAAAAGGGGCATGACGAGCATAGTACGATCCTCGGGAGTGAGGTTGTATGTTGCCTTGATGTTCTTCATTGTCCGCGTGAGATTCTTGTGGGTCAATGGCACTGCCTTTGGTCGCCCCGTTGTGCCAGAGGTATGCAGGACCAGAGCGATATCATCTGGCTGTGCCTTTTCAACAGCCTGGTTTCCCTTGCCCTTCAACTTCCCTTCATCCTTGACATCCAGCACCACTTCTCTCCCGTTCCAATAGCATTCTGCAATTGCAGCCTTGTATTTCCTGGCGGCCCGTACAGCAGGTCCATCTTGTTGAAAAGAGCCCTTGGGCACGAGAGCAACAGCTGATTTTAAGTCATCAATGTAAAATTCGAATTCCTCCTGCTTATATGCCGCATTGAGAGGAGCAGCAATGCCTCTTTGCCAAGAACTTGCAAGAAATGCAACGATAAATTCGTAGGTATTTGGGAGGGCAATCGAGACGGCCGCTTGTGGTGTAACACCGAGCTTTGCAAGTTTCTTCTGGAAGGAAAAGATCTCTGCAGAAAGCTGTTCGTACGAGACTGTAAGAGCTTGCGGTTTGCTTGGAATGATAACGGCGGTGGACTTGGCGTCTGGGGAGAAGGAATTGGAGAGTGTGGTTGCAGCCATATTAACGTTTAGGCTAAATAAGTATATAAGGTACACAAAAGAAATGTGTTACTATAACGAACAGGACGTTGGCTAAGCCAATTGATATTGATTTAAGCTTCGGGTTTCAAAATTGAATATGAAGGTTGGAATTCTCGAACTTTAAGACGGGAAAGACAAGATGAACTTTTGAGGTTCCGTTCCCCTCTTATCACTGGAATGTTATCGCTCTCTTGAGCGCTGCTTTTGCCAACATACATCACTCTTTCAACCAACCTCGCATATGGACTCTAAGCCTCACGCGCCAGGCTGTGGAACGTCCTGCGCAACTACAAGAACCCTCAAATATTAACACATCATGGCAGATTCCAACCTAGGATCTGCTCCTAGGGGAGCTGGCCTCTCCTTGTACGCAAACTTATTAGATCCTCAAAAATCAAACGCAACCCTTTCGCGAGGACCAATTGTCTTCAAAGCTGCTGGTTCAGATGCAGCAGATGAAGCTTCAGCTAAGAAACCCCAAATAGATTCTGGTATATTTGTTCCTCTCAACTATGAAGCTTTATTGCTCACATATAATTAGCTGCTCTACGATTTCAACCCACAAAAAGACCACAGCTTGCCCAGAAGCCAAAGCCCAAGGCGTCCTTCCCGAAAGCTGCCCCCCAAGAAATGCCACCCCAAGCCAGTATTCCTGCCGCAGCTCCCCAAACGCAACGACCTCCGCCAAAGAGTACTTTAGCTGATTGGACTGCTACGGGAGACGACGATGATGTGAATGGATTCTATGGAGGGGAGAAACGCCAGAGAGGGGGGCGGAAGAGGAGAAAGAATAAGCATAGGGAAGAGCAGGCCGTTGCGCAAGACTGGGATGATATATATGATCCGACGAGACCGAACAGCTATGAAGAATACAAGCATAGTGAGGAGAAGATCCGGGAGATTCGAGAGTGGAAAGACAGGTTATATGCGCATAGGATGGCGAGAAAGTCCGAGAGCGAAAAAGACAGTGACGAGGAGGAATATCGTCCACAGCTAAGAAGTGAGCAGGTCAAATTCTATCTTTCTACACAAGTACTAATGATTCTAGACCAATTTGCGCCTCCTTCAAATTACTCTTTTGCACCTCCACCAATGGATTCTCCACCTCCAAAACCAGCAGCCAAAACTCCAGAACTAGATTCCTACAGTCCTGCTCCCTCAACAAATCAACCTCCACCTCCACCGCCGCCAGAAACACTACCAATAGGGGCAATATCCCGCGCTCCAGTCCGCTACAACCTCCCCCCGGCACCCACCGAACTCCCTACCTCAGAAGCAGAACTCGAAAAGGCTCTAGCAGCGGAACCGGAGGAAGACCAGACCGAAGATGCAGAAGAAGCGCCACGTTCCCTACGGCCTGGTCAAAAGGGGTTTGCCGAGCGCCTGATGTCCAAATATGGCTGGAGCAAAGGTACTGGTCTTGGTGCTGACGGGTCCGGTATCGTGAACCCACTTTCAGTCAAGGTTGAAAAGCGGAAGAAGAAGAGTGATGCTGAAGGAGGTGGATTCAGGGACCCGCCTGGTGGCAGAGGCAAGATTATTGGAGGCAGGAAGAATGTACCTGAAGCAGAGGCGACAGGAAAGTTTGGGCCAATGAGTGAAGTTATTGTGCTAAGGGGAATGGTGGACGGAATGGATCTTGATGAAGAGGTCGAGGGATCTGGAGATGGTGGTCTGATGCAGGAAATTGGGGATGAGTGTGGAGAAAAGGTGTGTCTTCTCCGAAGATTGAGAATAATTACGCTAACATTTGATATAGTATGGGAGAGTTGAGCGAGTGTATATTGATCGGCACGGAGAATTGCCTAAGGTATTCGTCAAATTTACCAGCCAGCTTTCTGCTTTACGAGTGAGCATTTCCCCCCAACTATACTAAATAGGCAGCTGACATGTGTCTCAGGCCGTGAACGCTCTTGAAGGACGAATATTCAACGGGAATACCATCTCGGCACTGTTTTATGAGACGGAGCCATTTGAGCAAGGCAAATACAATGAATAGGCAGACATAAATCATAAGTTCAAGAATTGAAATGCCTTCCAAAGAATGCTCATTCGTCCGAAGACTATTGGCGATGCTCCAGCATCGGCAATCGCCATTACTATAAGTCTCCTGCAACAACAACAAGGCCATTCAATCAACCCCATCCCTTTAGTCGAGCCCCCCCACCGCACACTTCCAAATTCTAACATACACCATAACATCATCCTGGTTCATAGAAAACCACGGCAACTTCTTCCCATCATACCAAATCGGCCCCCTTCCCATCCTAACCCTCCTTAATCTCCCCATACTCAACCACACCCTCAATACCCCTCCAGCTCTCCCACAATCTTCCAGCAACCTTATTTGCCTCTCTCGAGCGCCAAAACATGCCTTTGACATCCCCCTGAATGCTGGTAACCCAGCCGAGTCCGGAAGAGCATTTAGAGGCTGCGGTATAGGTGGATGAGAAGGGGGTCCAGACTTACTTTGCGAGACTTCCCTCGTCTTGGGCATACATGCTGTTGGGACAATTGACTTGATCGCGCCAGCGCTCTGGAAATGGCACTACGTTGCCCTAAAGCCAGGTGCATGCACGGGAGAGTGGAAGAAATTTGGGCTTGAACTTGCAAATGCCGCGGGAAGAGAAACATTTTCATGTGTGCTACGCCGATCGATCAGCTTCGAGACTATCGAGGAGTATTTTACTGTCTTGTATATACATCAATTCCAGTGGAGCTTGTTACTCGGTTTTAGACATGCTTCTTCGGCAACGAAGTACCAGAATGCTGCCTGCAGAACCCCTTCTTTGCATTTCATGTTTCTTGTCCCGTCTTTCGGAGTTGTCTTTGACGAGACTTTGATATTTGATTCAAGCACCCTTGGTACGGACCACTTTCCACATTCCAAGGCCAGAGTGTCTAGTGTTCTCTTTGCGACCTTACATCAAGGTTTATGTGTTTTGATGATACCAAGAACCAGTAGAATGAACCAAGCTCTTGCGCTTTGAAGCTACGTATTACCTTTCTCACAATAGCCTGATTACTTCTTCCCCAAGCAACATCTCAATCCACGCATTTTCCCTTGCTAGGTCTCCTGTTGGTCTGAGAAATTTGAAGTGAAAGTTGGTTGGACACGTGAAGTCCCCCCTTTATATGTTGTTAGATAGATCCGTAGTGAAGCGAAAAACTACAAAAGGTTAAACAAAATATGTATTACCTGCCCTGGTTAAAATGAAGAGAGATAGAGAAAATAGTAAAAAGAAAACAGGTAGATGGGAGTTGGAGTTGGAATTGGGGTTTGGATTCAGAAAAATGTGCCGAAATGATACTCAGCTATTAGACTTATTCTCGACAATAGTTTATTTTCCTTGGAAAATGGGCTTCTATCATGATATATACAATTAATTATTTCGAGGGACCGAGATTGTACCAGTTTGTAAAGGCAGACGGATCGTGGCTTGGTATTTGCTATCCAAGGTATCACAAGTCTTACTTACCACCACATATCAAGTGCGCACAAACCCGCAATCCAGACCTGCTCAGTCTCGAACGTGACCTTAGTTGAAGCTTCTTCAATGGTGGCAGCTATGAGCCCTCGGCAAAAGCCATAATACTCTGACTCGGAACATCACCCCAAACAGACCATTTCCCATTTCCGGTTCTCCAACTTCAACCAGGCTGATTCGGGCAGATCGCGTACAATGTGACGCCGGTAGCACACCGTGTCATCGGCTACTTCGACAAACATCAGGGTCAGCAGAAGTCTCCCTCCATGGGACATCTTCTCCTTTTTCGCGCCAATAACAAGGAATTTTCCCTCTTCTTCCTCTAAGGTGAAGTCTGTCCAGCCCCAGAAACCATGTATTTCTGTTTTCCCATCGGTGATTCCAATTTTGGGGATAGGTGGAGAGCCTGTAGGTTCTTTTTTGATTTTCAAAATGGCGGTGCTAGTCCAAAAGCACAGAAGTGATGGTGCCGCATCGCTCAAACGGATACTGCTTGGGATATGGGACACGGTGATCTCAGTTTTGCACTTGTCCATCCAGCTGTGCTCAATATTAGCGGGATATCGGGGTTGGGTTACAGTATCGGTTCCAAGCGCGGAGATGACATCTTTGTTCCATTGAGACACATTGGCATCCATGTCCTCTTGGATGGGTATCGGATTACTGTCGTAGTCTATACGATAAAACCTAAGGCCAAGTAGCCCCATATCGTAACTGCCCGTGCCGCCCGATATTTGAGACCCGAGCCAGCCAGTCCACGACCAACTTGGAAATGGACTGGCTGGACCACCTGGAGCTGCGACTTGACAGGCAGTGTTTCGCGGGATTGCAGGGTCATCCGTCGTCCAAGACAAAGCGAACTCCAAGTGGTTCTCGGGCATGCCCCAGAAGAACCTTTGCCCAGTCGATTTCTCAAGGACACTAAGGATACCTGACAAGGCGGCTAGTCGGTCGCCTTGTGAGGTTAGTTGTCGTGTTAAATACATATTCAGCACTATTGAGAATAGTGAGGACCAGTCCTTTGATTTATCCTCCAACAGCGAAAGCATCTCTGATTTCCCAAGGCAGTGGCGGTATATAATAGGGGCATCCCGGGCGTCTTGCTCCCAAAATGCGTCTTCGCACCAAGAAGCGCGATGGCACTGCCAGTACACTTGCTCTGTGTCGAATATGAGACAGCGTGATGGTAATAAGCATTCCTGGTAAGTCCACCCTCTTGTGTTCCATTTGCAGTTCTGGAGGTACCCCTCATACCCCGCATGTGGTGTATCGAGCGCCGATACAAGCCATGTGCCGTTGATCTCGAAAGTTTCCTGGACGCTTCGCGGAGATCCTTCTTGTACACCCGGAATGGGCGAAGAGACCTTCTCACCCGCTGCGCTAATAATAGTAACAACAGCTTGGCCATAAATAATACCCATGGCGGGGATGTTCCGAAGTTTGTCTTCGTCGTCGTCTTGAATTATGCAAAGGGAGTCTACCCATAGGAAACGTTCTCCCATCGCTCTTGTGACTGCCATAGCATCACGGATCGTCGGCGGCACCATCTCTTTAGCCAGAGAGCCTGGCTGGTGGTAGGATGTAAAATTTCCCTTTTGCAGTGCATGCTCCTGTGCTTCACCCCAGACATAGCTCAGTGCAACCCATTCTACATCATTTGCCGACTCCACAATGCAATCGTCTATTACATCAATGAAGCGCATGGAGTTTATCGAACGAGACATGAATCTAGTCTTCCCACAGATGCTACCATGATGGCTGGTGCACTGATCCATCCAAATTTTGAAGATCCGCATGTCAACGATTGGAGGACGCAATCTCGCAGTGTAAGGATCTACTTTCGCCGCCACGGAAATAGGATCATCGTGGTTAAGCATAGCAGAAACATGTACAGGTGTAGGACCACCAGATTTCTGGAAAGCCCCTTTGTACTCAAACTTCCCCCCTGCCTCCCGGCAGTCAATATAGAAATATAGGTGGCTTGCCTTGGTCTGCTCGTCCCACGGCTTCCACTCTGCCGGTGGCTCCAGTGTGGAGAACCGGTAGATATCGAAGCCGACATGTATTCGAGTAGCCAATGCAAAGTCTTTGTCATCCGCAAGAGAAGCCAACCACCCACAGATCCAGCAATGTGCCGCAGATGCCGCAGCTTCGGCGAGAGTAAAACTAAGACGATAGTTTTCAGTCGGCCAGTTCCTGTCATGATGAAAACCAACATAGCTCAGATCAAGGAGGCGGCATTTCGAACAGAGCGAGGTTGGGCCACCTGCCTACTAGGTAGTGAGTTAGCCAGTGAGTTGGGTTGGGTTTTTTCTGCACTTACCCGCTCGACTACTTTCTGCCTCTTATCCATGCTGGTCTGTGAATGGCACGACATCTTGAATTCTACGGATGCAACTAATTGATGAATAACTGATTATCTGTGTTGTCTGTCTTGGTTCTCCTTGACGCCTCAATTGCTTAACTCCGTAGATTGTGCAAACAGTACAGGGTGTTTACCATTCGCTACAGTCTCTTGGCGGAGTTGCTATCTAATAAGAGGTTGATAAATCCTAGTGTTATCATAAGCTTTGATATAATGGATAACGAAAATTGATCTAAAGAGAATGAAGGAAGAAGGTAATCGTACATGCTTTTATAGACATCGAAAGCGGCAGTAGGACTATGGACAGACACACACCTTTCCTAATTCGGCGAACACTAAACCCAAAGGGACAAATCTATGCCTAGGCACTTTGAATATGGGTGGGAGGTCCGTGCGGGATGATATGTCCGCATCTGTATTACATGCTCTGCCCCCCCTTTTATTCTCGCTTCGCTCTCCTAGATTGGAATGCGCTGTCAATTGAGACCCGCTGACTTTGCACAACGTATCGTGAACCAAAGATAACATTAGAGGGTACGAGCTCTGTCTCTTCTCTTTCTATAATGAACAATACCATAACAGGAGCTTTCCGTTCACGCTAAAATGTGTCGAGTGTCCGGCTTAGTAGGATTATCAACGCAAGGCAGAACCTTACAGCCATATTGAGGTATCATAGGAGATCAAAAGTAGCTCCTTCCTTCGTCCTTACACAAATTCGAAACAACTCGTCTACAAACGTCTTCGGCTCAGGCGCCTCTTCAAAGGGGTTCAGCATGCTTGCCGACTTGGAAAGTGATTCCAGTTCAATGAACTCTTCTATTGCCTCATCTATATTCTTTCCTTTTGTTGGACGCCCCTCACGACCAGCAAGGTCAAGAATAGGTGCAAATTCGCGATGTGTCTTGGCTGCAAATATTGCGTGATCAGGTGAGTTTCGGTAGACACGTTGTTGTGTCTTGAAAAAGTTCAAGGGAGTGAATACCCAACTCTGTCCAGGTGCCCGAGTATGAATTGACACAAGTATTCTGAAAGTGATAAGCTGCGCAGTGCTTGGCGGTGAGCTCTCCCTGGAGTCACGACATGGTGCTTCAATTGGATCAGCAATCAGGGCAGCATCATTGAAGAACCCATCGCTGATCTGGTCCATAAGTCCTTCGAGCGTTAATTCTAATGTCCTGGCGAAATTCTGCTCCCTCTCTGATGGATTGGACGGCATGGTAGCTTTCTGAAGAAATTTGATACATGCTGAAACTTTGAAGTTCTCCATCTGTCTCAGATAGTCGAGCTGCCAGCTCGCCAAACTATCGTACGGAAGCTGTACGGTAGGTAGCTGATTCTTCGCATCTTTGCGTACAAGAACCTCAAACCCTGAAGCCATTGAGGCGCGAGTGGTGAATAGAGCAATGTATACCCCTGGTTCTAGGATCTTGTGTTTATTGGAATAATTGCACATCATCTCCAGACGAGAGGAGAGATCATGATGGCCCATTCGTAGACTGGTTGCGATAATAGGGACCACTCTTGGAACAATTCCAAAGCGAAACCCAACAGCCTCCAGGTGTTCTGCCTCGTGTCTGTCAACCGACTTAACGAGAAAGAGGAGTTTCCCTTTGCCAACATTGGTTGGATTAAAGCCTTCCCGCTCTATGTCGTCCGAGTCGGTGGATGTTCTCTTAACTCTCCAATTCTCGCTGTCTTTGAGCCCACTGATAATCAACTCGTCGTAGAGCATTCCAAGACTCTGAACTGGCTGTTTGAGGTCGGCTGCAAGGTCTGCTGCTGCAACACAAAAGAGTTCCCTGAAAATGAATGAGTAATCAACTTTAACCATCATCAGGCCGGCTCGCCGCAAATGTATTCGCATTTTTGGAATGAGATCTGCCACGCCAGCCCAATTGCAACTCGTTCTGTAGATCCAATGAAGATTTGGATGTGAAGGACCAAATTCTTCGTTTACTGACTATTGACCTATTAGAAAAATGCATGACAAACTGTAGCATTGGACTTGCCCGCTCGAGATAAGCGTTCGTGATCTTTTTTGTTGGCAGATTTCCATCCGGAGAGACCAAAATCCTTCTTCCCTTGTCGAAAATAGCTGCAGCAAGAACAACCTGCTGGGCTTTCTTCGCAGCCCCAGCTCTCTGCCCTTTAGTGAACAGAGAGAGTGCAATGAGGACAATACAGCCAGAGACAGACTAACATATCTGAGAACGCAGCTATATTGTTTGGCTCGTGTGGACTTACAATAATCAGGACCGCAATGACAGTTGTCAATGGCGACAAAGCCGGACCGCTTGTCTTGCCCATCTTCGATCGATATTGCGTTTCCGCTGAAGCAACCCACTAAAACAAATTAGTACCTTGATTTCTGCAGAGAGCAAGATCTCAGAATATGAAACATTCTTTGGTATCCCTGATGCAGTACCATCGAGGAGGAGGAAGAAAGGGGCTTTTTACATGCATGCCAGAAACACCGGTCGCGAGAAGGAATGCGACCGTGCCTCTCTTCCACCAAGAGGAGTTCCATGCGGAACGGAACATGAAGAACAATCCCAAAGCCACTGTGCTAGAAACGCAAGCAATGACAGTAGAGAATATGATAAAACCAGTCTTATACTCGCAGGTATAGTTTGAAATTCCAGCCTGTCCTAAATAATGCATCCCACAAATACCAAATCCTACCAAAACCCCCCGAACGATTATTCGTGAAAAGCTCACGTTGTTGTCGTATCCAACTGCGCAGAATGCTAGGAACACTACCACGATCGGGAGGAAGAACGACAAGGCAGTGAAGAGCGGGCTGTAAACAATTTGACGGTTTTTCTGACCATCTCCAGGCTCCAGAACAATCGCGTAGTTACCGATGTAGTGCATGGACCAGATGGCTATACCGCCTAAAGAGATCGAAGCACCGATGAGAAGAAACCTGCGACTGTGAGAACATACCTGAGGAAACAAAAAAAGAGAACAATACCAATTATAGAGCCCTCTCATGGACGTCCTCCTCATCAAGAGCTCCAACGTTGTCAACGATCCAAGATAACTGATGAAATATGACAGAACCACAAATCCAGCATTGAACCGTTTCGGAATAATATGCCCCTCTATACTTTGCCCATCATTCCTGACAACAATCGAGACGAGTTCTGTTGCAATCACGGGAGTGGTCATGGTGGGCAGGAAAAGTTGAGAGAAATTGCTCGGGAGTCAGAGATCTCACTGACTCCTTCGCATGTGTCGAGGACTAGTGATATGATGATGATGAGTTCTTAAGACAAGGAATGATCTTGCAATTTAGGGTCGGGTGTATTGGATATGTGAGGGGTAAGGATAGGTTGATGAATACGTTTATAGGTGATGCAATGCATTGCAATCGAAGTCCAAGTTCTCCAAACGGACCTCGACACCAGAATTAGTTGAGACAGAATAGGAAAGAGCTCACTTCTTTAGTGCCTGCCACCACAGGCAAGTTGCTTTGCTCCTGAACGTAGTTGCAATGGCGAAGGAATATTATTCGGCATATGAGGAAAGAACGAACAAAGAAAGGTCGAGTAGAGACTTCTGCTGCGGCACTTGCTACCAATGACACGGAGCTGTCTAGCTAGAGATTGGAAGACACAACACTTCAAAACGTTGGACACATAATGAGAATTCAAAACTGGTGGGGTCACCCACGCTCCTTTCTATCTCCGGTGATGTCAATGCCAAACCTTGACAAGTGATGCTGGCATGTCCAAACAGTGCCTAAAACCTTCCACCATATGAAAGACCTTTCCCGCAATCCCACCAAACACCTATCCAATCTTCAGCTTCGTCTCAAACTCACCCGCCCTAATCCTCTCCATCTCCAAGTCGACTTGCTTCTTGACATTTGCCTTGATGATACCTCTGACAACCGGATTCGATGCTGCAAAGTTGCGGGCTTCCTCATCAGACATATTGGACTTCCCGGCCTTTATCTTCTCCTCCAGCTTCTCCTTTACAGTTGTGAGGTTGACGGGTTCAAAAATGGATTGATTCAAGCCCATGGCGTCCGACAGTTCTCCAAATGCTTCTCTCTTCCCAGCATCCCGAGCCATCGCCACTTCCCGTTCAAATTTCTGCTTAGTGACGACCTCCATATGCTTCCACATGTTCTCTTTCGCCTTTTCGTTGCTCATGTAGTTATTCTTCTTTTGATAGGACAGCTGAGTTCTTGCCTGATGGAGTTGCTCCTTTAGATGTAGTGTTCCCACCGCACCTGGTACCGTGTCTTCAAGTGACATGTGTTCGATCGGAATGGTAGTTGCGCCGTGAGGTACTGTATCCGCTCTTGCAGCATGATTATTGTAAGCCATTCTGCCAGCCCATCGCTGTTGATTCAATGTTAGGTGTCCTCCGAATTGATCGGGTGTTTGGGTTTGGCGGTATGAGCTGGAATCTGGGGTATTCGATCCGGTAGATCGAGGGTAGAATTCTGCCGTGACGCCTCCTCGCAGGACATCGCGGCTTTCTTTCGATTGAGATCGGAATAATCCCAAGACCTCGTAATCCATCAGCCGATGCTCCTCTTGCGAATGCGAATTCCAATTTGAGTCCTTGCAAATGTTGTGATAGAACGCTTGAACATGTATGGGCCCATTGGCAGTTTGCTCGATCTGCTTTTCGCTGTACACACCTGTCCAGCCGACCGACGATGAGTTGATGGTTCCACGCATGTTGAGGGCGCTCGAACTAAATCGCGTCGTTCGAGGTTCATGTAGTGAATCGATGGTGATGTTTTGTCCTTGTTTACAAGCTGATACTTCATTGTTGGGCCAACACGTGGTGGTCACTTAAGGCAGACAGACATTCACCCCGCCTGATAAGTCATGACGAGAAGCTGACTTGCAGGTTGCCTATACCAAATAGACCATGAATCAGCAATGGTAGATTTTGGTGGAACAGACGGAATAGAAGTAAACTTGACACTCGACTCGACTATTGCTGAGGAACCCTTATTGCTTCCTATAAAATGTTAAATGAATTGTGTACTTTTCTTTTGTTATAGAGGTATATATATATGCCTGTCTTGTTGTTAGAAAGCTCTTGTAAGGACAGCATTCAGCAACGGACTCGTGATCCTTTACCTAAGTACTTACAGGTAGGGGTCAGATTCCGAGAATACAACAATATGACCTGTTTCGAATGAAAAATGCAACCTCTAGTACTATTCTACTCATCGGTGTGAATTGGATAATCGGAGTACTTACGAGATATTCACTGCTGCTTGGACCTAGAAAGAAAGAAACTGGTATTCTTTAATTGCTGTGCCTTCCCCATATCCAAATACAAATCCATATCCAATACATACACTCTGTATCTATCCTAGATTCAACCATGTTGCTTTTCGGATGCTCTAGCCCCAGGTCTTAATCTTTTTCATACTCCCCTCCTGATCCAGCGCCTTATGCATATCAAACGAATTCCACAGCAAATGCGGTTCATGCCCCCACCCTCTTCTCATACATTCAAACTCTGCCTTCGCGAAATAGTCCTCCAGAATCGGCTTGTATTCAGGATGCGCGCACTTCTCAATAATAACCTTCGCTCTCTCCTTCGGACTCAATCCTCTGACATCAGCAAGACCTTGCTCTGTTACGATGACATCGAGATCATGTTCCGTTTGGTCGACATGCGTGCACATGGGCACGATACACGACAAACCATGCGGGTCTGTCTTCGAGGGTCGCGTAGAGGGCGTGTGCATGATGCTGTATTTCGAGGAGCGGAGGAAATCTGCGGAGCCGCCAAGGCCGTTGAGCATTCGAGAGCCCATGACACATGTACTGTTGGCGTGCGCATAGATGTCTACTTCGACGGGGGTGTTCATGCCGATTACGCCGAGACGGCGGATGATTTCGGGGTTGTTAGAGACTTGTTGGGAGCGTAGAAGGAGCTTGTTGTGGTACTGTTCCCAACCGTCGTAGAAACGCTTGAATCCTTCGGGGGAGAAGCGGATCGATGTTGCCGTTGCAAAGTCGAGGCGGCCCGAGTCGAAGAGATCGAGGAAAGTGTCTTGTAGGACCTGCTTTGCGTTAGATGCGATCATTTAAAGGGAATTTGGTAGGTTTACTTCAGTCCACACTTTGAGGTGCTCAAATTTGGATTCTGCAAGTCCACCAATCACTGCATTTGCAATGTTACCAATACCAGACTGGATTGGAAGGAGATTCTTGGGAAGACGACCATGTGTCACTTCATGTTCAAGGAACTCGATCAGGTGACCAGCAATGGCCTTGGATGTAGCATCTGCTGGAGCATTTGGTTGAGTCTGATCTTGGTAATCCGACTCGATAATTGCAACAACTTTCTCCGGGTCTACTGGAATAGAAGTTGTTCCGATTCTATCTTCGGGAGCCATGATCAGGTAAGGTTTTCGGTGAGGTGGAAGCTCAGTCATTGTGATATCGTGAAGGCCCTCGAAGGATGGCGTAGCTGTGTTGACTTCAATAATGACCTGGGTGTAATGAGTCTTCTGCTTGCAGCAATGTCCTCTATGCGAGGCATTTTATTTTCCAGCCAAGACTCACCTTATCAGCCATCTGTATCAACTCTGGTGAAGCTCCCACTGAAGCTCCTGGGACAATGCCTCCATCTTCTGTAATCGCAGTCGCTTCAACAATAACAACATCCAGCTTCTTGTTTGGCCGATCTTTGGTGTAGAATCCCTAATAGCAACCCATCAGCTCGTTACGTTCCCCAATCCCAACCCATAAAATACGCTTCCCGGTAAAACTCACGTAGACCAAATCCACCGGAAACATGGATAAATGCTTATCAAAAAATTTGATATCACCATTATTGATCCCCTTCGCAATCTGCTTGCCAACCTGATGCGGACTCCGTCTCTCAATCATATTCAATTCAGCCCACCTATTCTCTGTCTCCGCGCCAGAAGACGCCCCCACAAACAGCGAGTATTTCAGTTGACCTTGAAGTGAATTCTTCTCGACGTGGTCTGCGAGCATCGTAGGTATTTTCCTGTTGGCCAGAGCGTGATTAGCATTTGTGTAAAGGGAACTTGAGATGATTAAGGATCATAATTACTTTGGATACCCAACTCCAGTGAACCCCGACCAGCCTATATACGCGCCATTAGGGAAGAATGGTATCAAATCCTCAGGATGTGCGAGCTTGTTCAGCATAGAGGGCCGGCGGACCCGAGATTTCAGAGCTGCGGACGCTTTGAGGACCGCCGAAGAAGCCATACTTGGTTTGCTTCAATCAAGAAGCTCAATTGGCAATAGAGAGAAACAATGAAAAGAAGAGAAGATAAGAGGATAAGCAGCAATGAAGAGCGGAGAGATGATTAAAGAATGAGGAAGGTGGAAGGTAGTATACGAAACGAAGCTCCTATGGAATGATTATGTACCGAGCTGGGTAAACTTCGGATGAGTGGCAGTGGCATCATACTCACCCCACCATACGCTACTGTGCACACTAGCCGGCTATACCGGTGCTTAAGCCAGAGCCTCGTCGCCGCAATCGCAGTACATCGGCTATTGCTGTTTCATTGAGTACGGAGTATACAGTAGGTCAATCCTGATTGGCTTACAGCTTTATGCATCCATGTGAAACATAAAACGCTTAATTATTTGAAACTTTCATAAGCCGGCGCAGCGGATGTTGCCCTGGTTTTTATTTACACTTGGTTACTTTCAAAGTCCTACAACCCGTCACGAAAGAAGAGGAAAATATCTGTCAATATTGTGCTAGGTTCATTATTTCTACCAAAACATGACTATGGCCCTCGTTTGTTTGTTTGTCTATTTGACCTCGGCCATTTGCGAGCGACGCTTTGGAGTGGCAGCTTCCCTGGCCTGTCTCATCTCACTTTGACTCAATCTCAAATCTTGAGAATAGTCCCCAAATGCATCGATGAGCTCTTCGAGCCCACCCTTCAGAGCTTCCAATATAGTATCGACCTCGGGGCTCTCCTGCTTGGGTTCCACATCGGTCCAATGAACTCCAATTGTGGGTTTAAATCCCTCTAGTACAATGACTGCTCTCGTGAAGGTCTGGATAATCATCTTCACATCCTTCTGGACATTGCCGTAATTGTCTTCGGCCAAACTGCAGACCGCAAGCCGAGTCAGTGCATCGATAGCATCCACAATAATTCCAACATCTCCATACGGCGTGCCTAGTACGACGGTAGCTATTCTCCGTCTGTACTCTTGTCTGAATGGCCAACCAAGACTAGATTTCAAGATTACGAGAAACCAGGTTTTGATAAGGCCGCCCACACCTTGTTTTGATAATGCTTCCTGCTGCTCTGGTGTAAGGACTGCGCTCTCAGCCTTTATCAACAACTGCTTGGACCTAGGCGAAATACTCTTGGGCGGAGATTGGCCATGTCTCTTTGCAAATCTGCCAACGACTTCTACAGCACGTTGACTTTCCGTCTTCCCTGCGGGGCTCGCAGAAAAAATGTCTCCTGGTGCGTTCAATCCATCTTTCAACGGCGCACTGATCCGTGGCAGCAGCGGCGCTGGGTCTGGCGCAAGTGCTTTGGCCTTTGCATCAGCGGCAACCCGAGGGGGGTTCTGATATTCGGTAATCCGTAGTTCCATTCCTTGGATCGTTTCAAGACACACGGCAAGTATTTGAGACCAAGCCGAACCCCCGACTCGGTCGATATCTTCAAAGACGTTCTTTCGTCGCCCTTCAAAGCGCTGAGCTATGTATACAAGCTCCCAAAAAGCAAAGGCCTATAATGCGTTAGGAAAGCCTTGGAATGATAGCCTTACGGAATTTACCTTTGTCTGCAGCTTGTTTCCCTTCAGGCCCGTCAATAAACTTCCATTCGGATCTCGAGACTCGTAGGTTATTGGTCTCTCGTTTTTCAGCGGCTCTTGTGCTACATATGCAGAAAAGGCTGCATTCCCAACTTCCCAAAGCATCAAAAGCAGGAAACCGGAAGTGACGGTCCTCATAAGTACACTTATATGAAATGGATGAATACTCGGCAGCATGCTCGACTTGGGTAAATTCCAGAATAGCTTGGCCCATGCTCGATTGAGGCTCCATGCAAAACGTCGGATAGAATAAGGGTAAATTCCCCAGTTCACGTAGTATAGGAAAGGCGAAAAAATGGCAACTCCAAGAGCACGTTGGATGGAAGTGGATATCATGGCGGGCAATTTGGTCCTCAGTTGCACCGCAGGAGGAACAACGATATTGGCTTTTGTTTTCGTGACTGGCATATCGATTCTGTCATAGTCGTAGAAGAGGTGGAATCCCGCCTGGACAAACCCCAGAATGAACAGGTAACAGGCAATATAAATTGGCTTCTCGTTCAGCATGAGGCGATCAGTTTTTGGTATGACTTTGATCCTGCTCATGTCCGCGTCGTTCGATGCCGACCATAAATAGATCTCGCTGAACATGTATGCCGAAAAGACGTAGAAGCCGATGGTTTGGACAACGTTGAAGTTGAGAGAATATCTTTTGAATGTCTGCCATGCCGAGTTTGAAGTGCGTAGCCCCACGTGTAATTGGGCGACACGAAGAATAAATATCACAAATGCGGGGATGAAGAGAAGGCCTGTCCGGATGCCTGCTCTTCCAAATGGGAACCAGGACCAAATCACTGTATGCGCATTAGACAACACTCGCATAGTATGTCCGCAGATACCTACAAGAGTTTTTCTCCCCAATCAAGATCGATTCCAGATAGCAAAGCCCAAACAATGTAGAAGTTGCCATTGCAAATCTTCTATGCATAGCAGGTGTCAAGAAGTCCTTGTACGGACGCACTCTTTTGACAGGCGCCATCTCGATTTATCGCAGGGCTTTTTGCGCCCTATATGAAGCTGTAAGGACTGTAGGTAAATCGTATGCAGGCTATGAGATCGTCTTTGTCATGTCGCCGTTGCGGACCTGAGCACGAGAAGGAGAAGGCAAAGGATTGGTTTTGTTGACATGCAGTTTCCACCAAAATAATCGCGGCCCAGCGACCGCCTGCCGCCCCCGCCCAAGCATTCATCCGCTCCGCTGCGCCTTGGCAGCGACGTCAACCTCCCTCCATCACAAGCTCCAGATCAGCAGGCACCGATAATCTCAACTGTACATAAACACCCACGATCACTACTTCGAATTCGATTTTCCTTTTACACATACCACTGAAAATATGTCGTTTGATCAGTTGTCGTCGCTGGAATCCCAGCCAACTACAACCCGAAGGCAGGATGACCCGCAATACTCAGACGATCCCGAATTCCAACGCTTATCGAAGGAGCTCATGGCGAAGCTTTTCTCTTTGACCGGAAACATCTCGAGACTGACGAACGAGATTGCTTTACTGGGGACGAAACGGGATACGGAGAGGGTACGGGAGAGAGTGCATGAACTGTTAGAGGAATCGAAGGATACATTCAAGGATGTTGGAGAAGGCGTCAAGAAGATACAATCATGGGAGGATGTCAGCGTAAGTCCACCATCCCTATCACATCTAGAAACAAATTAACAAAATCACCAGCCATCACAAAAATACACCCAGCAAAAGCTCGCCCGAGAATTCCAAAACAACCTCTCGGAATTCCAAAACGTCCAACGACAAGCCCTCGAGAAGCAACGGACATCAGCATCAGCAGCCCGAACAGCACTCGATGAGCAGCAGTCACCCAGCGCAGAAGGAGGCAACCCATTCGGCCAACAACAATCGCAAGAGCAGTTGCGACTAGCTTCGCAGGACGAAGTGGATTTCCAGGACTCGTTGATCGTAGAGCGGGAGGCAGAGATCCGAAATATCGAGCAGGGCGTTACCGAGTTAAACGAGCTTTTCCGCGACGTTGCGCATATTGTCAATGAGCAGGGCGAGGTCCTGGATACTATCGCGAACAACGTCGAGAACACCAGGACAGATACCCGAGGTGCAGATTTAGAGCTGAGGAGCGCCGCGAGATATCAGAGGAACGCACGGTCGAAAGCTTGTTGTTTGTTGTTGATCTTGGCAGTTATTCTCACAATCATCATACTGGCTGCTGTTGTGGGATAAGGTTTGGCAGGGGAGACAGTCGCATGTTGGGCAGTTTGGCGTTGGGTGTATACCATTTTTTTTATTCCAATGCCATTTTCCTTTGCTGTATAGCAATAGCGGTTTCTGATGGGGCCAGGTAATTCATCCTGCATGTATGAGTCTTTCTGGTGATTGCAATCCGATTTTGCGCCTGTTTTGCAGAGATGTTATAGACGGCATTCTGTTGAATTTGATGTCATCATATTCTTGATATCTTATTAAGTGGACTGGTAGGACGAGCACACCAGAAATCTTGTTTCTTACTATCTTCATTCCCTAATGAGATGCATTACAGTTGGCTAGTATCATAAATGGGGACCAAGTTTTGGTGGCTGTTACTCCATAGCTTCAAGGAAGTTTGTATCTCCGGCTTCAATTTTGAGTTAAGAATCCACAAGTTTCAGCTCTTAGCGTCACATGTATGCATAACTGTTCCAAAATGGGCTTAAATTTTTAACCAGCTTGCGGTCAACCCTACAATACAGTCATTATTTAGGCCTCGGCCTTTTAGCCCTTTGGAATGGAGAAAACAAAGCAGGCAGCAACATTGGCGCCTTCATTGTAAGACTTACACCAAGACATCATCCTCGGGAAGTCAAGGTGTAGATCTAGGAGTAGACTGTAGATCAAGCTTACACGTCTAAGCAGCGGTACTCGGGTGGTAAGCAGGGGTAAAATTCTACTTTCCTGAAAACTATGTACTCAAGACCTAGCTGGGATCTGAAAAGAGCCGGGCCGGATAATCTCAGACTTTGAGGATTGAGAGCTGGAAAGCTTTCTTGTTGAACATGGCAATGTCCCATCTCCTGTCATGCAACCTGCGACCTATTCATACTTTCTCAAATGCATCTCATTCCGATACTTCTCAGCAGCTACCCACTTTTGCAGACTCTCTTTAGAGACCAATGGTTTGAACGAGCGGTACAGCCTGGGCGTAGAGGCCAAGAGGCTTGAGAGGTCATGGTAGATTGTGTGAACAGGACTTGAATGTCTCAGAAGGTCTTGATAAATCTGTGTTACTTGCCGATCGATGTCTGGTATATTGATGGCTGCCCTGACTTTGTCGCGCCACTTCTTGAAGGGGCGACTCAAGTGTGCTGGCTGCTTTGTCGTACAGCTGTTTTGGGGTCTTTCATTCTCAGATCTTGTAACTGCGTTGGCAGACTGGGGACACATTAGTTTTACGATATCCCACAGATTTAAAGATAGCTTCAGGAGGCATACCAGGACGATAATTGTCTGTTTGAAGTCCGTATAACTCAAGAAGGCACTTCTGAAAAATAGGTTAAGCTGGTCAATTAGTGACTGTCGGTTTTAGGGGCGGCAATTTGATATCCCAGGGTGGAGCACTATTGTCCTCACCTTAGTATATATCCGCTTTGCCCGAATCCTCGAAGCCAGGTCCGTCCATTGTGTGTCACTAATTTCTCCGTGGATCTCGTGTTGCTGTGATTCGAAGCCAGGATTAACATCGGGGAGCACATCTGGATTTTGCAAGAAGCTAAGATGACGAAACTTTCGAACCGTTGTGTGACTGCGAGGAAAGCCGCTCAAAGAAAGGGGAAATTCCTGCAGTCCTTCATTCCCCTTTTCCGAAGTAAGATTAAGAATGCTCAAGTCCCTCTCTATGGCTGCTATGAATCCCACCCATAGCTCGAGGAAGAGGTCCGCCATGAGCTCAAAGTATCTAGAGGCGTAGTGCCTCTTGTTCTCGGCGATAACTTCGATGTCGGCAACCATCTTGCATACTCTCCACCACACGTAAATTGACAGTGAAATCGTATGATACAGCCAGTCTCGAGATCCTGCCCACCTATAACGAATTAGTACTTTCCAGAAGCCCCACTCAAGGAGGGGCAATAGAGTAAGGGTTTAATTACATGTCGATGGTATCTAACAGCGTCAAAGCACATTGCTGAACAAGTTCTCTCCATTCATATAGACTGACCAACCATTTCTCCTGGTCGCAGTCCCAAGTCTGCTGTAGGATATTTCGTAAAAGCATAAACAGGTCCATCCCCGATCTGCAAAATGCATGGTCGACACTTCCAGACGTAACTGAAGATAATCAGTCAAGAATGTCTCCGGGATATCGAAAATAAAACTCTACGCACCTTTGCCATCTTCATCGATGGGGTTGTATCTCTTGAGGTCCGCATTCTCCTTGCAACTGTCAAGACCTGTGACATCCTTCACCGGCTTGGCTTGTTGCTGTGGACCTCTGTGAGCTTTACCACCGGGCTTAGGAAGACGACAATGGTAATAAACTCTCCCTTTGCGGCTCGGTGTAGGCCATCGACGCAGCTCCCGCGATGTGACTCCTATTTTCATCCGATTATCAACGGCAGGGCTCGAGACCGATGGCTTGACACGCTTAAAACCAGCATGGCTCGTTGAAGGAAGGGCTAGCGACATTGTTATGATGTTTCGTTCGTAGAGTAAGAAAAGCAGGAAAGGAATATCAGAATGATAAAGCTCGTGATTATTGAAATCTGAAGGTAGGGGAACCAAGAAGAATGTTCCACCCGATCTTGACACACTTTAGGGACGGCAGATCTTGTATCAAGATTGATAAAGGATGCTGCTTTGTTCCGAGACAATTTTCGAGATTCGGCTCTTGAATGCACACGCAATCTCGTATAATCAGCAGGAGCGCTCGAACTTAGGCATAACGTCGCCCTTTCCACTTTGAATTCACGAGAAGCCTCTAGGTTAATATCAAACCTACATAGAGGCATCACAAGACTCGTTTTGAATGGCAAATTGTTTGGACCATAATACATTCGTTCACACTCTGCGCCCAAACGCTATTAATTCCAGTGAGAACTCTGTCCGCCCTTGAACTTCTGACCATGAATAGACATTGTTTATTCCTGACGCCAATAAAATGCCTTAAACCGATGAAACGCCAATGTCTTTCATAATGCAAATAACTCATTTATCGCGCTCATGACAACCATATGCTCGTACAGAATATAATAAACAACAGGGTAAGTTAGAAAGTTTATGCATTCGCTTCATCAAAATGCCATCTTTCCATTACCATTACCATTGTATCTCGAGGAATTCATCGAGCTCATCGAGTTCATTGGACTCAATATTGACGCGGGCGTCATCATCCCATCATTAGAACCTAGTGTCGAGCTCATCGTTCCCGACCGTGAAGATGCAACCGAACTGCTGCTCATATTTGCCAAATACGTTCCTGCTCTTTCAAACACATTTCCATTAAATATTTGATCGTATGAAGCACTGTGTGGTGTTGATGGAACAGTCGCTTGAACCGCAGGACCCAGTGCGGCGCTTTGCGGTGTCATTGGCAAAGGAACCTGAGACGCAGGTGATTGCGTACTATATGAGCCATTGACGCCATTCGAAGTTTGTGGGCCGGCAAGGAAAGACCATGGCGAACTCTGAATGAGTTGACTGGTATTTTTTATTACCTTTTGTAGTGGCCGGAGTAAGACGATCACTTCAGGAGGTAAAAGGGCGGATATGCTTTTGGCTTCTTTGACTTTAACCACCAGATCCGTATATGACTACAAAGTATTAGTACAGTTATAATTGGTAAAAAGAAGAGTGATTTTGCTTACATGCACAAATGCGCTACACAACTCCCAGAAAGCACCCTGGGTCCGAATTCCCGGCTCCTTCAGCTTAATTTGAGAAAGGCGGGTCTTGAGGGCATCGGCGGTTTGTTGTGCCATCTCGCACCTCTGTACCAACACCTGCCAGAATTGTCTAGTCATGTCTGGGCTAGGTTGTTGATTGTTGGTCCTCATGGCAGTGATAAAGTGACTGCTGACCAGTGGAAGGATTTTGATTGCCATCTCGGAAGATTGTTGAAGAAGCAAGAATATCTTCTCAAATAGGCGATCTTCTTCTGAGAAATCGCCTGGGGCCAATCTGCCACTAGATGTATTGGAGACAAACGAGTCCCCAGACCGCGGAGTTGCACTCATCATGGTTGCAGATCGTAATGCACCAGGGTGGAATTGAGGGGGTGGAGTATCAGTTGCTACTCGTAAGGTGTTTGACTGCTGTAAAACTGTGCCACTCCTAGATCTCGAGATCGTGCCTGGCCTTTCTCGCGTCGGTGTGACAGACTTATCTCTCGGCTGGTACCTCACAGTCTCGTTGATAGTTTCCGGTATTGGTATTCTGGGCTTTATGTTTCGACCATGTCTGAATAGGTCGGCACCAGCGTTTCTTACCTCCGCTGCACTTCCATAGATGAGAAGTAGAAGTGTACGAATATACCGGGGGTCGCCGTTGGCGAGTAGAGTTTCGACATTTCTCGACAACAGGCCCAAAACATGTATGTATGCTTGGACACTAGTTAAGCAAGCACTGTGAACATTCTCGTTTGAGCGGGGCGAGGTCTCTTCATCTTCATCGGAGTAGGATATATAGCTTTGTACGTGTCGGTCTAGCTCCTCTACATGCGTCGTTGCATTATAGAATACTCTCTCCAAACTTGTCCGTTTGTTCGTCCCATCCCGAGCCAAGCCGAGAAGGTTTTGAATAAGTGGATGAACCTGGAACAAAGCATACAGAATACCCTTTGCTCCTTCTATGACAGGGTCTGGAGAATTCGATTCTCGCTTGCGCTCTGGAAGGCTGGACAGGCGACGCACATAAGTAGCTCTCTGGCTAGCAGAATCTGCTGGACTAGCAGGGCTTCTTGAGTTCGTCGCGGCTGTGATACCGTTGGTACCAGCCTGCATTGCGGATCCATGACTTAGACCCCGGTAGTGACTATAGCGGTTTAGTTTCGTCTCATCCACCGTTCCTAATTCTGATGCTTTCCTCGAGACTATCCCCATTCTTCTGGTCCGGTCAGATGAGCGTGGTGGCTGTACCAGTCCCTCACTATTGCTGCGAACGCGCTCGTTGCTACTCCCAATCGTCAATGGCAGTACGCCAGGCCGTCGAAGGGCTGCATTTTGTTGTGAAAGACCTCTATAATGAGACCGTGACGGAATCGGAGGAGCGCGTGGAAGAGCAGGGGAACGAACATCGGGCACCTCCGCACCGTTTACTTTGATTGGAAATCTGCCGCTCATTACGCGTTTGACCGGCCGTGGAGTCTCGGTTCCTTCACTTGATTCTTCCCCTCCAGATTCCGTCTCGGAGCGGTGTGCCATGGCCTCCTGCTTAAGGAATCGCTTGATTTGTGAGGCTATTTCGCTCTCCTGGAAGCCCGCATTAGGGGGCGAAGGTGCTTGAGGCTGAAGAATCTCTTTGGGCGGAAATGTTATGGGATTGCCATCAAGCTTGAGAACTTGCAAAGATGCCATGTCTGCGAGACATAGAGGGAGAGCTTCGATTCGGTTTCTGGGGACGGACAGGACTTTGAGGGAGCTCAATTTGACCAGCTCCGGTGGTAAAACTTTGAGCTTATTGCGGCCCAGATCTAGAATCTCGAGAGAAGTCAATTGGCATATCTGTGGTCATTATCAGCATTGTTTCCGTATTTTATTTCCCACATTATACACACAGATTGCGGGAACTCGCGGATCTGGTTGTTTCGAACGTTTAGATATCGTAAGGAGGTACATTCTGAGAATCTGGAGGGGAATGTGGAGATTTGGTTGTGAGACAAGGCCAGCCTGGATGATAAAAGCTGTCAGCCGCATCCCACAGATCTCAAGGCAGGGCAAACACAATACCTCTCGAGTTCGTTCTTGATTATATCAACTACCTCATCGGGGAACACCTTGATTTGCTTGTGGCTCAAGTCGATCGTAATGCCTTGCTTCAACTCATTGCTGACACCGCTGGCCTCTGCCGCTTTCGTTCGATTCTCTTCCAGGGCGCTTTTCATCGCATCTCGGGCAAGTTGAACGACTTGGCCGGCAGCAGGGGTGGGGTTCAAACTCTGTGAGTTCATTGAAGAGCTCGAGGGAGCATGGCGCATCGTCTCCAGCGGCATTCTCCACGCGGTATTAAGAGGAGATGGCCGTGAGATGCCACTTTCTGCCAGCGGTCGCCCAGTTGACTGCGTCGCTGCTCCTAATGGCAGCCCAGAGGGTCGATCCATCGCATCCATTTCAACGCCTGGTTCGGGATGCGCTTCGTTGCTGTAGTAGTCGGCCTTGCGGGTTGACTCGCGGCTTGCAGCAGAACTTGTTTCGAATGCCCTTTCCTCTCTCTCTGGTGTATCCTCCTATCGCGAAAGCTCACAATGATCGTTCGATAAGTTTTGTTGGCTGAGTATCGGAGGGGGAACCTGAGAGCATGGCTGTCCTATGTCGCACACCATGGCCTGTCATGTCTCGTTTCTGAAGAGAAAGAAGAGCTGATGCTGCTGAGGTTGCGATGCTTTACAATTATCTGTACGGTATCCGCCCAAACAAGCGATAATGCACCGATCAGCCGAATCAGGTGTCTTCAGGTCGTTCCTGCATTGAAGATGGCGCCTTGCCCGATTGGGACCCGTGTTGGAGCTAAATTTAGGGGCTGGGCTGGGCTGACAAGACAAGACGAGAGTAACACCACAGCTTGGCTATGGCTATGAATATAACGAGAGTAGAAAGATGTCTTCTATGTTGCGCAGAACTGTCAAAGCACACCAATCAAAGGAAAGGAAAAGAAAATATATACGGTATCAATACGAGTATGTAGTAGTTACATCAGCCAGCCCTGAGCCCCGGCCTTTAGACGGTGGTTCACTTCAATAACACGAACCAGATGTCCCATTCGCAGACCCAATAAATGTTTTTACGGGCATCTCAATCCAACGGAAAAACAAATCCTTTTGCAGCGGGACTTCCCCCATACTAATTTTGAGTTTTGCCTTTTCACCAATCCACCTTCTTTCCACGATTTCCACGACGCCTTACACTCTTCCAACTGTCTTCTTGTCCCGATGGCCCCCTAAGCCTGAGACCGGATGCATTGATTACATATTTCTTCAATCCAGCTGGTGTCCTGCGCCTCTTCATACAGCGATCACTTCATTGTGTTAGATCCCAACAGCTTACCACCAACACCGATTTGCATTACATTTGGATATGATTTTCTCAAAGTCGCCAGACTCGCCACCTATCGATCACGAGCGCCATCTCGCGCCCCGAAGTCATAGAGGACAATTCTCGTATCATTTTTCAGGCCGAGCACGTTGGCAAGATCCTCACTATCCCGGGTGTAACTCAACACACGGTCATACAAGACGGTACCCTCTGTGAAAGCTCGGGACGGCTCTAAGCCAATACCAGCTATGGCGCCGGGAGTCTTCGCAGCTTGGTGGGCATGTTTCAATTGAATATGCAAGGGCTAGAGCTGTCTTTCCGCTCGGTGAAAATATCAACACGGCGGCGCGTTGAGTATTGCCCAAATCTCCATCCGTCACCCGGATGTAAAGAAAAACAAAGTGGTTCATCATGTAATCCGTTCCAAGGAGAATACACAAAAGGAGACCGCATCCTATATTCTACTTCTCCTGAATTGTTCTTTGTCAGAATTCAGATAGGGGCATCTTCGGCCATGATGGAATAGGTTTAAGTTATTGTGTTGAATGCTTGCGAACTGAAAACTCCCCCACAGTTAATAGTTGTGAGTGTTGACTCTCTACCAATGTGTACGATGCACCTAAACTGAACGCGTTTACTTGGGAGCCAACGCGATTAGGAAGCTGCAAAGTTAGATATGCACTGATCAACTCTAGTAATGAGTGAGAATCTTAGCTACCGACAATATTGTCCTCCAAAAAGTACAAAGTGGGACAATCTGAATGTGAGTGGAATTAAACCATAGGAAATCATTGAATGTTATTATATCTAAAATTTGTGAAAACAATTCACGGCTCTAATAACAGGAAGTGAAGGGGTGTTATCTATAAGCTATTGGCCTTATAAAGCACGTCACTTGTTGCTAATTTATAAGACGGAAGGGAATATTACCATACTGGGGGGAAATAGAGAAGAACAAGAGGAATCACTTTCGTGAATTACCTCGAAATAGGGTTTGCTAGTGGGGCTGGTCTATTTCGGCCCCCGTACTCAACACCTCCCTTTTCACAACCTCGAGCCTTTGTACCTTCTTCCCTTTCCACAAATCAAATATAAAACCCTCAAATCCCATCTAAACACCCTCGGAACAACTTCGACATAATGCCCCAAACTTATGCCAAGTGCAGCAATTTTGATCATCCTCAACGGCGCTTGATATCAATCTCTCCTCAAACCCTCTATCATCACGTGCTGTGAATGAACTGCCTAGTTCACCTTCACGATGCCCCTGTCGAGATCTAATTCTTGCATTGATATTGACTTCACTTTACGAAGGAAGTTTAAGAAGTCAGCTTTTAGGTATGATCATCACTTTAAGAAATAAAAATAGAAACTGACCATATATAGACCTCTCCAGCGCGATGTGATCGTTGAAGCTTTAGACGGGAAAGATGTTTTCGTGCAAGCAGCAACAAGTTTCGGGAAGAGTTTATGCTTCCAACTTCCGGCAGTGATAGATCATGGAAGTCGGTACTATCAAGCTCTAAGCTATCTTTAAAAGGTGCTAACTTCTCATAGTCACCATTGTCATCTCTCCTCTTCTGTCGTTGATGGTCAGTAAGCGAAATCTTGTGAAAGCCTCAAGCTGATTCTCCTAGACGGATCAAACCAACGCTCTGAAAGCTGCAGGTATTGAAGCCAGCTCAATCAATTACCACACACCATACTCGGAGAAACAGCGTATCCTCCGGGACCTCGCCACTGGCCACCCTATCACCCGCCTGCTTTATGTTACCCCCGAACAATGCGCAACCGAAAACTTCCGGAGCCATCTGAAACTCGTTCACGAACAGCAAGAGTTGGCTCGCATAGCTGTTGACGAGGCTCATTGTATATCGGAATGGGGTCACGATTTCCGCCCCTCTTTCAAGGAGCTCCGATGGTTTCGTGCCACCTTTCCCGATGTGCCTATTATTTGTCTCACTGCGACAGCAACTCTCCAGGTTCGACAGGATGTCATTACCACGCTCGGACTCTCAGAAGATAATTTGAAGGTGTTCACAATGACCACTAATCGCAAGAACCTACACTACGAAGTACGGTTCAAATGCGATGAAGAGGATCACTATAACGACTTTTTGTCCTGGTTAAAGGGAATTCATAAACGTCGAGCAGAAAACGTAGGCCGAAGACAGGAGCTCGAAAGGGTCAATGAACGGCTCGACAACGTTTCCGGCATAATCTACGCACTCTACCGGTCCGACTGCGATAATCTTGCTGCCCGTCTTCGCTCAGATGGAATTGGAGCAAAGCCATATCACGCAGGGCTCCCCAATGACGAGAAGAAAGAAACGCTGAAACGATGGGTCAATAACGACAAGGGCTTCGATGTCATTGTCGCCACTACGGCTTTCGGAATGGGTATCGACAAGGAGAACGTCCGATTCGTTGCCCATTGGCAGCTGCCAAAGTCTTTCGAAGGCTACTACCAAGAAGCAGGGCGTGCTGGTCGAGACGGCAAGGCCAGTGCGTGTATTATGTACTATAGTCGCGAAGATCGGGATCGTGCATACAACAGGTTGAGTCGAGATGCGAAGGAGAAGAACTCCAACCTTGAGGCTAGGATGAAAAGTCTCCAAGCACTGGTCAATTATTGCGAGGATATAGAGACTTGTCGCCACAAGATGATATGCCGGTATTTTGGAGAAAAAGATGTTCCTGAATGTGATTATGCGTGCGATTGGCACAAGGATCCGAAGGGGCTTAAGAGAGCAAAGGACAAGGGGTTGAAGGATGAGGAGTGGGTTAGTACGCAGAGAGAAATGGGCCGCTTTGATAATAGCTATGAAGGATACGATTGAACATATGGGTACGGAGTATATTTTTCCAGGTGTGTATGATACACAAGAAAGGTCTAGCCTTTCATATCAATAATGTCTCGGGATACGTGATATTCCCACGAATATATGGCACATCCACCTTCTTGATCTCTTGCTTCCATGATCTAATTTTCAATGGTCCCGCAGTATAGATCATAGTTGTTTGCGCTGCATAATCATTAATGTCTCCGACGTCGTGAGAGTTTCGGACATAGAGAAAAGTCCCATACAAAACCAAAGTGAACCTAACCCAACAATATTCATCCACCCATCCATCCAACCCTAAACACAGATACCCTTATGAACCCAAACCCCCGTCAACCTATACGCCAAATAATTCTCCAGCACCCCCTTCCCCAATTTCTCCACCGCCCTTCCTCTAAGCCTCTTCCGAAGCTCGAACCTCTTCTCATCTTCCCCTCCTCTACCAACCATCTCCTCCCACCTCGCCCTTCTCCCCATAAACGCCTCGATAACCTCTCTCGCAACCCCATCATCAAACTCCCAATGCGGTCTAATCTTCACCAACTGCCCCTTCCCACCTCCACCTCTACCTCCGCCCCCAATGACATCCCCAACCCTCTCCAACGCCCCTTCTCTACTCTGTCCCCGCCTAACATTAACAACTTTCACCCAGCGCTTCCCCGACGTAAGACGGTGCAGGAACCTGGCATCCAGATTCCCAAGCTCAGACGCAATACTGGCTATTGAAAGTCCGCGACCCCATAAGTACAAGATGAGCGAGTGGGAGGGCGGCATGATGCGTGGGGGCTGCGGGTGGTTGATCTGCGGGCCGTCTTTACCTTTTCCTACACTTACATCGAATTCCTCATCATCATCTTCATCATCATCCTCCTCATCACCATCACCATATCCATCTCCAGACCACGAATATACATCACCGCCTTCCTCAAAATCAGAAACGCAATTCCAGTTCCCAGCACGGCGTCCGGTCTTGGATACTTGTGCTTGTGCTTCTAGAATAGGCATGCGGTAGTAGGGCGACAGATTCGAGACATCGTTGCAGGGAACGTGGATGCGGAAAGCTGGGGCGGAGCTGTGGGCGTGGCGCAGGAAGGCGAAGAGAGGCGTTGCGTGCGTGAGGGGGTATTGCAATGCGAGGGTTTTAGCAGAGGCTGGAAGGGACGGGGGTTGGATAGCGTGTTCGTGTCCGTGTTCGTGTTCTTGCAATTGCAATTGCAAACGGACGTCTTTATCAAGACATACAGTACTCTCGCGTTGCACTTCTGTGGAGCGCAAGGGCCAGTCGAAGTCTATGTCCAGGTATTCTGCTAATAGTAAAAGTGGAGGTTGGGGTTCTGGTTCTGGTTCTTTGACTGCATAGTCTTGCAAGGCAGGAGTGTAGAGTTGCGCTTCTTTTGACATTGTTGGTTGGGCTGTGCAGGTATGTTCGTGACGGATTTATTTGCTTGGTTGGTTCATGAGATTCTTCAATTACTTTCGTGCTTTCAAGGGAAGACAGAGGAGGGGAGGCTCTCGTGATAGCATTTGCTTGATTGATCCGTCAGATACCGCCTCTGTATTGTTTAATTATCCCAAAAGGCGATGCTTCCGCTCCAATCCAATTCACCAGCGTCCAGGGTCATTCCAAACCAGCGATAACGGTGCGGCTGGCATTCATTGCATGTGTCGCATAGTAAGAGGCAGCAGTGCAGTGAATTATACGAATGCTACCTAGTAGTAGAGTAAAATAGAATATTCCATTTTAAGCTCGCTGCAATGCTTGAATATGGGGATATATATTTGGGGTTACAGTAATAGGATGAAAAGGGGCTTAAGCGAGAAGGAAACTGTTAATCACTTCACTATAGCAAAATGCAAACCCCAAGTAATATAGGTATTTTACGACGAAGGATAGTTTATCCTCTTCACAAAGAGCTAGACCTTGCGTAAAATACATTAGAATAGCAAGGAATTCATATTTCATGCCGTCTTCATTAGGCTCAAAGGCCACACTATATCTATTGTCGCAAAACCAATCACTTCAAAGTAACAAGCTCCTCCGCACTGGTAGGATGAATCGCCACACAGCTATCAAAATCAGCCTTCGTGGCACCCATCTTAATGGCAACACCAAATCCCTGCAACATCTCTGCGCTCCCGAGGCCCAAAATATGTAGACCAACAACCTTCTCATTTGGTCCTTCACAGATCAGCTTATATCTTGTAGGCCCCTTATCCTCCGGCTCCATCATCGCATAGTACATGGCCGTGAAGCTAGTATTGTAGACCTTGATGTTATCCTTGCCGTATTTCTCAACAGCTTGTGGCTCCGTGATACCAATGGAGCCGACTTCTGGGTGTGCAAAAACCACAGATGGAACGTTATCGTAGTCAAGTTTGGAATCCTTGAATTTTTCCGGTCCAAAGAGGCGATCGCTGAGTTTTCGTCCGGCCGCAATGGCTACGGGTGTCAATTCAATCTTCCCGACTACGTCGCCCAATGAGTAGATGTTTTCGACATTGGTGTTTTGATACTCGTCTGCGATGATCTGTCCTATTTGGCTCTGCTTGACGCCGGCCTTTTCCAGACCAAGATCCTCAACCTCTGGTGAACGGCCAATGGCCCAGATCAAGTCATCGACATTTTCAAGCTTGCCCTCGCCAGTCGCGTCCTTGTAGTGGATTGTGAGCTTCCCGGTCTTAGGGTCTTTCTCCACTTTGCTTTGGGACGAGTTCTTGTGGATGTGAATACCGACTCTCTCGTACTCCTTGACGATTGCATCTTGGACCATAGGATCGAAGGTTCTTAGGAACTTGTCGTGTCGAATGAAAAGATGAGTTTCCGTGCCAAGAGCATTGAAGACGCCTGCAAACTCAACAGCGATGTATCCGGCGCCCACTAACGCAACCTTCTTTGGCTGTTTCTCGATATCGAAAAAGCCGTCGCTATTTACACCATACTCTGAGCCAGGGATGTTTTGGGGGATTGTGGGATGACCTCCAGTAGCTAGTAGGATCTTCTTGGCCTTGATCGTCTGCTTCGTGCCATCATCCAACACAACCTCCACCTCATTCTTGCCCGTCAAATGTGCCCGGCCGTGGATATACTCGACCTTATCATTGCCCAAGTTCTTCTCGTAGATGCCATTCAACCGCTTTATATATGCGTCCCGCTTGTTCTTGAAGTATGTCCAGTCGAAAGGTGCCGTTTGGTTCACGGAAAACCCGTAAGCCTTAGCCTGGTGTATGGTCTCGGCGATCGTGGCAGCGTTCCAGAAGATTTTCTTTGGTACACATCTATAGCTATTAGCTTGAGCCAGTATTTAGGGTACCAGTCTCCCTTACCCCACGTTAACACAAGTGCCTCCCAGTCGCTTGCTCTCAACTGCAATTGTCTTTGCGCCGTAATAACCACTTGCTCTTCGTGCAGATGCTAGACCCCCACTTCCACCTCCGATCACCAAGTAATCACACTCTTTTGTAATGGGCGCCATGGCGGAGGGAGAGGAAGAGAACTGGCGGGAAATGGAAGATATTCTTGAGTTTGCGATTGCCGTTTTGGAGGCTGCAATGGAGGTGACTCGGGCGAGATATAATAAGTTGTGCATGAGAAAGGGAACAGAGATGGACGGAGGCTTCTTCCTTAATATGCTGCTGTGACGTGCTCCAGATGCACTTCTTACTTAAGCTTGTTGGTGGTGTCGATGACCAAGACTATGCCTGATGCAGGTCCAGACCTTTTCGATTTGAAATGTATGTTTTTCTTACGCAAGATAGCAACCCAAGGATTCTCAAAGGAGCTCTATTTGCATTTATTTACCTAAAAAACAGCACATGTGAAATGTATTGTTTTTGTTGCTTTTATGCACCTGAATTTGTAAGCACTTGATAGGTAAAAATGTATTTGCATTTTGAGGGGCGGTCGTAAAACGAGAATGGATTTCATCATCCCGCACCACGGCCGCTTTAAGCTTATCTGATCTGATAGCGAAGCTACACGTGACTATTTCAGAGTGGAAGCTTACAATTCTATACCACTTTCCAAATCTGTGCTCTCACATTTTTAGCCAGACTAAGATTAATAAACCGGTCAATAAGGATCATGTAACGGAAGCCACGAAGCTTTTAATCCTCATCCTCATCCTACGATTCCAAACCTCGGCAAAATCAGACATACACGACACGTACATGTACAGACGCCACAGAATACGGCAATGCCGCCTAGAGATGTATACAGACACTGACGCTCTCTTGTGGCGTAGAGGATGTATTATTCAGACCGAACTGTAAATAGTGAAGCAGAATACTGGTTTGAAGGACGTTGAATGGGTATCATTGATGTAGGCAACTCTCTTATACACATTAGAATTCTTTTCCATTCGGAGATTTCACTCCCTTCCTTCCTTCCTTCCTTCCTTCCTTCCTCCTGATTCCCAATAAAGTACAGCCTGCTGAATGCTTGGAACAAGACACGCTGAAATGCTACAACAAACGTGTTTCGTAGATGAAGAGGGTCGGTGGAAGATGCTTGAGATAGTGTCGGCTCTCAATCGGTGGTGGCTGTCGGGTGGGCCAGGGATAAAGTCCTCCCGATCTTGAAGTATTGAGGCAAGATACCTTCTCCCGCGCGTAAAATGGATTACAAAGTGGTATTGAAAAGACGAGGCTGGTGGACAGGGTGACTATGTGAATTTTGTGTGGATGATCTCCGGGTTCTCATGCCAATCATCAATACTGACCCACATCTGTACACTTCATGTTAGCCAGGTACGATAAAACGCAAGGGTTGACATACCTTTCTAAATGTGCTCAAACCAGCCAAGATACTACCTCCAATCCACGTTGAGTATTTCCTCTCAGGAGGCGCAAAAATCTTGATCCTCATATCCTTCACAGCCAGCCTTTGAACCTCGTGCAATAGCCTATCACCAAAGCCCTTTGTTAATGTACTGCCACCAGATAAAACGATATTGCCAAAGAGGGATTTCCGTAAGTCGAGATCTGTGCGGTTGATTGCGTCCACGACGATTTGGTGGATTCCTGGGTACTCGAGGCCAATGATCTCGGGATCGAAGAGGATTTCCGGGGCACGGAATCTTTCTGCTCCAATCTGTCTTCTGTCAGCATCTACTCCTCGCTCAAGTATCATGAGATTTACCTTGATTCTGTTCCCATCAGGCAGCACATATTCAACCACCTTCCCGTCTCCCATCTTCGCACTAGCCCAGTCCTTCTCCTCCCTCTTCGGATCCGCAGCAACATAACTGACTTTCTCCTTAATCATCCTGACAACTTCCTTTTCCGCACTTGTATGAAATACGTATCCTGCTTTCCGTAGTAGCGTTTGCATGTATTCTGTGACATCTCGTCCCGCCACATCTATCCGCCGTATCGAACTGGTCATGGAGAATCCTTCATACACAGGTACAGCGTGAGATACACCATCTCCAGCATCGAGCACTATACCCGTTGTTCGACCTGAGGCGTAAAGAGACAGCACGGCTTGGATGGATGTGTAAAGAGCGGGTACGTTGAATGTCTCGAACAGTATTTGCGCTGCCGTATCACGATTACTCCGTGGGTTGAGAGGGGGTTCTGTTAATAGCACTGGATGCTGTAAATATTCCCGTCAGTCACCAATATTCCCATCTTGGGTTCTCTAAGCGCAACTCACCTCCTCACTCAGCGTCTTCAGCCCCTCCCCATAAACCCATTCCCAAATCCTCTCCATATCATCCCAATCCGTCACAATCCCATGCTCCAACGGATACTTAATCTTTAACAAGCCCCGTAGTTCCTGCGCTCTTTGCCCAATGAAAACATCTCCTTCTAATGCGCCTGCCAGCACTCGCAGGTGTTTCGGCCGGCCAACAAAGGAGGGGAAGTAGCACTTAGGGAGGTCGTCGCCTGCGAACCCCGCGCGGATGGTTCCTGAACCATTGTCTAGGACTATGGGCGCGTTGTGTAGGGTATCGGCCATGGTGTTTGGCGTTCAGGGGTTGCGCTGGGGAAAGGGTTTGGAGGGTCCGGGTGCACTGGAGAGGACAAATCCTACGAGCTTGGACGAGTATCGGATCTGGACCAGTCAGGGAGGGGGAGTATGGAATTGCAAGAGGTGAGATAATTTCCTCCTGCTTTTGAAGTTGGTTGTTGTCTTCGCGTACCTTTTTTGGTAGACGCGAATTGCAGGGGTAGCTTAAGTTAGTGGTTTGTTAGTGCTGAGGTATACCATATAGCCGCCAACGGTGTATATCTCAGAACCCATGAGTTCTGGTAAGTTGTAACCTCGTTTCGCTTGTAACGTCTTGCTTGTCTTGTTCCTGAGCATATAAATGCAAACATAGGTAAGTATACTTGCTATCTATGCAATGTAATTGCAATGTTGCACACAAAGCAAATATCTGAATTACTGGATTCAACAAACCCCTTTTCAACAATAGTGTCAGATAGAACCTCCAAGTGTTTGCATGAGCGCTTATGAACAGAGAACCGAGGTTCACATTTGTTTCTCTCTCTGAAAGCTTCAATCGAAACTCATTTACTTGCATTTATATATGGATACAAGCATACTGGTCTTGGTACCTCCATACAACGAACTTGTTTACCAGTCCAGTCCTCCCTAGCTAGCAGTCAGCTTTGAAATTGCGGCCCAAACGTAAACTCAAGCGTGTGTTTACATGTAGTCATGCCAAATGCATACCTCCTCCTTGCCTCAACGCACTACCTAAGATATCTACCTAGGTACTTCCAATGCCGACCAGCGACCATCTCATCTCCTTCCCGCCTTGGCCAGCCACCAAATCCCCTTTCCCCTCGATCCAGAAGCGGGCATCTCCACGCTGATACCCCGCATTACGGCTGCGATTTCTGTTACGGCATCATGGATGTAGCGCTAAGTATATGAGTGATTTGAGCGCGTATTTTTGACACATGGTGCATGAATTGGTTCTCGGGGGTTTGGGAACAAGGAGTGAGGAGTACCTTGTTGGTTTTAGGAAGGACGATTGTTACGTACTCCCCGGGATGGATGTTGCAATATGTATACTGTATGTAGCGCAGGTAGTGGCTTTGGCTCATGTTCAGGTAAAAAGGAAAAATTTGAGCACGCAAGATGGGCAATATTTGAGGTATTGGTAATGATATTAAGTAAGTATTTTCTACATTCCTTATGCTCTAGGCGCCTGCCCGTCCAAGTATAAACAAAAACACACCGGGTATATAAAGTTGGGTATATCCATCGCATCGCTAAAATTCACCAAGACAAGAAATCTGGAGTCATGCCAGCCAGTATTGCCTTGAGGTCCCAAGCTTTTCCCGTTCCGTTCGCTTTGAAATGTAAATCATGTTAACGCCATGAAAATGCAACCCACTGGCAACTTTTCCTTTTGAGTTTGCCTTGCGCCGTAAAGTAGAGTCATTATCGTAAAAGGCGGCGGGAATCAGAACCAGCCCGCTATATCCGCCCTGTGCTATGATAACAACATGAAAATGAAAATGCCGCGCCGTGAAACCGTGAAAATGAATGCTGACGAGAGACGTGATTCAGTGGCGGTCTGAGAAAGTGTTGCTGATACGACCGAAGAAGCCGCTGTGAGCGCTGTCGACGCTGTCCGCTGAGCTTGAGTCCTTGCGAGAAGAAGATGGAGCAGAGCTGATCCAGTTGCCAGCCCCTCCCCGGCCTACGTGCCATACGGCACCTTCCTTCATCTTCCTCTCGCGGGTGTTCATACGCTCAAGCTCCTCATCGAAGGAGAACATGGGGCGCTCAGACTTGTCGTAGATGTTTCCTGCACCGCCTCGGCCAGCGCTGAACTTGGAGCTGGTTTGTGGGAGCCCGACTTCGAAGTTCGAGGCGGGGCCGCGAGCAGTGCTTGGGTTGCTGGTCTTTGGGGCTTTGTGGTAGTTGCCCGCGCCACCTCGACCAGAGTGTGCGTATTTGGTGACGGTTGGGTGAGGCTCGGTGACTTGGTATGGCATGATTACTGTTGGTTGTGGCGTACTATGTAGATGGCGTAAGATCTTGAAGTGATGATATCAGATGACTGATGTGAGAGTAGGATATTGATCTTGATAATTGGGATGGAAGCTTTGCAGTTATTGTTGTCTGATGATGGGTAGTTGATAGTGCAGTTCTGATAGCAAGGTGGAGGAGGGGTCTCTTATACCTCCTACCTTTTGTCATCTCCTCTTAGAGTCATAGCAAGAAAAGTTCTCACGGCATTATTTCACGATGTTTCGCGACCAAGCAGTTAACGGACGAAATGACGAAGTGTAGTCCATGTCCATGTCTAAGCGGATGCCGTTGCTGCGTCCGGCTCTCTAATTGGCTCGGCCAAGCAACTATTTGGTAAGAGGGTACTCCGCAGCAACATCACCTGGCACCATATTCGGTTTCCTGGGGGTAACAGAAACTAATCGACTGGATGCAAATTGCAACATCGTGAGCTTTCGTCGCAAATTCGCCCTTCCTTACCTACTCTGTCCCTAATACCTATACGGTGTGAAAATTTACATCCGGGTCATGGATGGACCCGTGCTCGTGGCACGTTTGCAAAATAGATTATCTGCCGCAGTGGCAAAACGTGCTCGAAGCAATGGAAGACATCATTTGGTGTTGTTTCTTTGATGACATATTGTATCTTCACTCTTACTCGGATTGAAACAATGAGTCTGTATCTGGAACATAAGGTACAAGATGACGGGCCTACAGGTTCATGGTGGTACAGCAGCTGCGGGATGCCATGCCCATGCCCATGCCAGTCTATGCTGCAAATTTAGAGAAGGCGAAGTCTGGCCAGTAGACAGTGGACAGTGGACAGTGGACCAGTGAAAACTCTGATGGGCCCTTTCGATGGCGTCGAAGATTTTCAGGTACCAAGCCAAGGCTGGTAGGTGGTCCTAGCCCATCCCATCCGCCTGTAGCCGGGGGTTTTTTCTTCTAAAAAAAGACTTTTCTGGGGAACTCAGATCTTCTCTCGTGACTGAAAAAAGCCTCTTACCCCCGCATTTTGGTCTGGCATTAGCATCTTTTCCTCCCGTCTTGAAGACTTGAACATCGCAAATTGGCGGTGTGAAGACAGGCTAACCTTTGATATTGATAATAGTCTCCAAGAAATCATGCGGATGTGTTGCACCAAGATCAGCTGAGCTGGCCGGAAGCCAGCAGATTTCTCGAATACACTCGTACCGTACTGTACTCGAGTACCTCGCTCGCGGTCACAAGGCTTACGCTGCCCTTGCCCTTGCCCTTGCCCTTGCCCTTGCCCTTGCCCTTGCCCTTGCCCTTGCCCTTGCCCTTGCCCTTGACCTTGCCAATAGTCTACATAGGTACGAAGTATATTGGACTCTAGCTGGGCTGAGAAGCCTGGGACATGAAGCTCTCGGCCCCTGGTCCCTTAGTTACGGGGTCCAGTCTGAAGCCGACTATTGCGTCGCCGACACTGAAATTGAGTGTGTTACAAGTGCAAGTGCAAAATATGCTCCTCTTGTCACGGCCATGCAGTGCCGTTTTACGACAGGGTGAACGGCGAGCGGTACTTGTCGAGTCACCTTCGGCAAGCCCATTGGGGACTTCACTGATCCTGAAACCATTGCATAATGGGACTGATTGAGCTCTGTACTACGTCACGAGACTTGAGACAGCAGAAGGGATCCAAAGTTCTTATCTAGGCACTCTGAAAAGAGTGCCGAGCGAACTTATTCGCTATCTATATATGCTGTCCCTAACTGCTGGGTCCCGAAGTCTACGTAGTAACGTGACCTGGCGCTTAGAAGTTCTGACCGGCTTCACAAGACGCAGTGCGCAGTGTTGTAAAGAAGTCGCGCTCGCACACGGCTTGTATGATGAATGATGGGTGGACGGTAGAGGATGGCTTGGTATTTTGTGTTCGGCTCTAATTGGAGCAGACATTTCATTCGCCGCTGCCAAAGCTGGGCACTGCGTTTGCAAGAGCGGGCGGAGTGCAATTGTTTCTTCTTCGTAGAACGCAGAACATTGGAATATCTCTCACCCGTCTCAACGTATTTGAGCCTATGCGCATGCGAATCTGCGATACATTTGGGACTATAATAACCTCGGTTTTGCATCATATCCGGCGCGCCAAGAATACGACACCGAACGCGTCCGTACAGGGAAATTTCAAGACACTGATGAAAGTGCGTTCTTTCGTATAAACATGGCAATCTTTGGGGTTACTCAATGCGGTAGTAGGTGCCACTATAGAAACGTCTGGTTTGGTGTGTACAGATGAAGATGGGACGAGGTGATTACGACCGAGAAGTTGCCTGGAATGCTTCACAAAATCCAACGGACTGTTGAACACGAGAAGGCGCCGCCATAATACACCCTTGCAGTCATTAACACGCGAAACGATCGTGTTGCGACTTGTTTCCGACCAGCCCAGGATGTGTGGGAAGGTTGCTGGGATTTGGAGCGCTTTTCAGCTTTAGATCTAATGTGTACGAAGTCCCCTTGGGTATTCTTGCTATCACTTTGCAAGCTGAGGCTATTCAACATCTTGGTGGCCACATCACCGATCCACAATGTACCCTAGCGGCAGTTCAGAATTACTCGGAATCCTTACCTCACTGAGCACATTTCCCAAGGCTGGTGTCCCGTCATTATCGAACAGCTTCGGTCAATACTACACTAGTCTGCTGGGCCCTCCTCAGAGAAAGCTAGACCACAGAGAGTACAGAAAAGACAATGCTGACTGCAAGGCGATGAGGAATTTCCGTCGTGGAGCAACCAAACATGCAGTACACATTTGTGGATGAAAAGAGATTGGCAGATAGAATTAGCAAGGCTAAGATACCCATATTGAGTCTTGTCCATGATGGCGTGGTTTCTGCTTTAGATATCGCATGCCCCGCAGAGCGATTAGAGTACACTTTAATATCACATGTGTAAGTCCTTCTCTGCAACACAACTTGGACTTTGGCTAAACCACATACTGTAGTCCTATGGTTTGGGGGATTCACATGCCAATCTCCTTCGACGATGCTTAGTAGGGAAACTAATCAGCATGATTTCAGCCGTCTACTCAATTCCAGACTTCGATGCTGCATCTCCAGACAAAAAACTTCACAGAGCTACTAAGCACGACGGCCGAGTATTACTATGGATGAACTATATGTGTAAGTAGAGAGTATAAAGCCTATGTCAGCTAATAGCCTTCCAAGATTTCTCAGTAACAACTCACTCTGCTTTTGTAGGTTCCTCAAAACCCCTCATCTCCCTACACCCCCTGTCTATAGAAATGTCCTTGGTCACTACCAATCCTACCCTTATATTCTCACGTCAGCATAAAGCTAACGCAATTATAGTAATACAAATATGAAAAGTATATGAGCAAGCAGAAAGAGTCTTTATATTAGACTCTAAACTTGCACTTTTCCTGCCGAAGGATATCGAGCACCTAGACATTAAGACTGTATTGATGTATCTCTGGAAGGTCCTTTCGAGTCATCGTTCGACCGGTGTTGAGCACAGATGAGCCGGTTTGAGGAGTGGTTCTTCTGAACTTTGATATAGAGCGCCAGATGAAGGCACCGAAGGCCGGACGTGTGAGGGAGTTCTGGCCCTTATATATCGAAGGGGCTCCAATTGACATACTTTTATGTACCTGGCAATCGGCTGAAGGATGTAAGGTTTCCTTGGGCTCTGGCATCGTAGCCCTCCTGCCAAAACGAAACAGTCGATCTCTACGATTATTGCCGCATTAATGATAGGGGTCTTCAAGTGCCTCCATTCCTGCTCAGCACCCTAGACAAGGTCCGCAAATCGGTATTCCCTTACATCATGGGATGCCAACAGATACTTCGTTAAGAAAAGCCCCGTAAAGTTCAACGCTTCCCAGGATGACCTGGATATCCATAAACGACAGGACTTGGCCGTGTTAATCGAATCCTCCCGTGTACAAGGAGAAGATAGAATGTGGTCAATTGCTGGATCTCGACCAGCCCTGGTATCCCTTGCCGATCGTTGCGATGGCGTTTTCAGTGCCAAATACATGACTCTGTTCAGCTTCATACGAGAAGGGAGCACCTATCATCATTTCTCCAACCCGCGGTGGTCAGCACAAGAGGCAGATGAGGCAGGTAACCTCCTTATCAAGCTATACCGGTCTATACAGAACAGGAATTCTGTCTCGCCTGACCATATTCAAGATCTGCGTCGTTATTGGTGTACAGCGATTTGAATGGACATGATGCTTTTCGAATTCTTTCGGAAATAAAAGTCCATCCTGCTGATGGAGACTGGAAATTTCTGTGAGCACTTTTTCTCGCGAAAACGTCCAGTCTCGTCCCATGTCTTTTCGGACATTCCTTCACCGTTCATTACAAATTCGAGATACTCTCAGTAGTGTAACGCAGAACACGTGGGAAGCAAGCGTTCTTAACCCGCGTGATGTTTCTCAACATTATCGCACCACTCTCGCTCCACTCTCGCTCCGAATGAATCACATCAACACCTTTACAAACCCTGGCTGGGCGCCATCAGATTTGTCACTGTATCACCCCTTTTAAGCCGAGCTTTTTGGTAAATACCCCTCCTTTCACCTCAGACGGCCTCATCCCACGCTGCCAGCTGGGAAAAAAGGGGTACACAACATCCTCCGCAGTAAGGGCTTCACCCTGAGAAGCAAGGCAGCGTGACTTACCCCACGCACGCACCGCAGACACCGATACCCCGTGTCTGGATTCAGCACGGTCGGGTGTACGGCCGCATGGGGGTTTTAACAATTGCCCTCTTCGGCGCACATTATACCTAACACGTGTCACGTGGCACAGCATAATCTGTCCCCCCGAGGGAATTATGACCACCGGGAGACTCTCTGGGAGAATTCGGCACCAATCAAGAGGGGCGTGGGGGATCGCTCGTAAGGTTCGTACCGTTATGGTAACGGACGCTGTGCGACGGTAGTGATGTGGACAGCAGAAAAGCAAGAAACTGCAAAATGAAGATGGGAGATGCA